TGTGTTTAAACTACAACTTTAACTTCTGCAGTGAATGTGAGGAGACACTCTGAGTCATACCTGAAGACGAAACCTTCAAACGACTAAAACACGCAAATTAAATTAAGAGATCTCAAAAAAATGTTAAATACCCTGATTTTTAAAAACTGTTGATAAATATTTAGTTGATAATCTGTCTAATGGTTCATTAAATACTTTTCCTTCTTCTTCTGTGGGCCTGAAGACAAATGAGGAAGTGCTGCTGCAGCTCTGTTTGCCCACAGATGATCATTTAAACCACGATTTGTCTCCAGCAGTCGGTCTTTAAGCTTTAATCTAAGAGGCTTTGAATCAAACTCTAATTAAATTATAAAGACAGTTAATAAAAAGCAGCTGAGTAGTTACAGGATGTTGCCAGCAGGAGGCGATGTTGCACTGACTCTCTTGAATTTTCCCTCTTCTCTTCTTCTTAATCACTAACAACCCGATTCCTCTCTTTTCTTTTCAACTTGTAGCGTCAGAGATGGTTTGTACTCTTTGCTCTCTGCTTGAGTGTTTTTTTCATGCATGTTTAAATTCTGCATGCACTCATAGATCCAGTGTGACGTCAGGTTGGTTGTGATGGAGATACAGATGTGTTTGTCTCATTTTGGCATTTTTTTTCTGTGACATATACGAACACTATCAGGGCTCGACAGTGCGAACGTTTCACTCCCATTAGCGACTTAAAATAGATGTGTGTGAATTGTGAAATGTATTTAGGGGCACATGTGCAAATAAAAAAATCAGCCGAGGCAACAAATGTTTTTTCAAGTTAGTTTTAGTTTGGATATTTGAAGGACGTTCACTGCGGATCTACCGGTGTCTTCTCACTCTCCTTAACCGAGAATAACAACAACAGCAGCGCGGTTAAATCTACTCTGCACCCTCGCTGTCAACATCAGGTGTTGAATAAGGGACCATCAATAAATTACCGGTTGATGTTTTCAAAAAAGGCTGTTTTCCTTCAATAGCTTCCATGTCATGTGACCAACTGACCTAAAAATGATTTCAAATAATAGTACTAAGGTCGGACAATAAGACAGACAATGAACAATTTTTATTGTGCCCAAAGTTCTTTGTGTGCTCCTTACTTTTAGTTAGTTAGGGCCTGATCTGCTAGATCGATTTAGCGTTTTCGCCTTCATGAATATGCAGATTGTATGTAGATCATCAGAACGCGCAAAATTCTGGGAGGAGCAGATGAAAATGAAATCATTTTGCACTCGCAGTGTGATTAATCAAATCCGGAAACCGATTACGGTCGCTATTTTGCGTCTATATTTAGTAAGTTTGAAAGGCACGTACAAACTGGAGCAACATTACGCACGTTCATTGTGGAGAGAAGGATGCAGAAGTGCCCCGATACACGCCATGATCCTTGACCACAAGCTTTTGATTTATTTTGTTTTTCTGTTTAATGACGATTTTCATAAATAATAAGGTCAAACGCGAAACAGACGAAAACATGTATCTGTTTGTCTTATTGATTTTGAATCATTTTGATCCCTTTTCTGATTTCTAGTATATCTTCTTGTAAAGCACTTTGAGTTACCTTGTGTATGAATGGTGCTGTAATAAACCTGCCTAACCTTTTATGCAGTTCCCCAAAACGATATGTACAACTCCATGGCTTCAAACACTCTGCTCTTACAAACTCTCCATGGTGACGGTCGATAGCGCACGCAAAATCCTCCTTTAATGAGGGTGGTCCGCACCATGATAGTAGATCACCCGCAACACGCCCACTAATAGCATGTGCAATTTTTTGGTTTGCACACGCAATTTAGCGCTCGCTATTTTGGATCTTAGTAGATCAGGCCCTCAGTGTCAAGCCCTGACTATAAACTTATCACAACAGTGTCTTTAATCTGAGATTTACCTGCTTCTCCCATCAAGATGCATGCTTTGTTGTTTGTACTGACCTCCTGCTCTTTCACATAATGCACGGCCAAGCATGATAGTCCACGTCCTTTTTATTTAGCATTTCAATACCTCCAGTCTGAACCGTACATACACTCATTTAACCTCACAGAAACAGGGTTTCACAGCTGCTCTTGTCTTCCAGGAGGGGTTCAAAATGGGACTAACCTTGGAGGGCACCGTCTTCTCTTTGGACCCGCTGGACAGCCGCTGCTGATGCCAAGAAGATGCTCTCTGTCGTACTTTTAACTCGTTTGTATGAAAAAGTGCCAAAATCCACTCCACGGTCGAGTCAAGATGTCACACTTTTCATCTTGAGGTTTCTATGCGTTCGCGTTTCGATTGGTTTTCTGATACTTAAAGGTGAACTAAAACAGATCCATTATAGAAAAGAACTATTTTTGTAAAAGAACAAATACTTATGGAAGGATTAGTTTTGAGTACCTTTGCTTGCACAGGCAATGAGGGATGTAAATAGTCGAAAAATGTCTAATGGTACACAGAGTTTTCATATGAGACAGTTTGTGTGTATGCACCATTTGAAATCTGTATTGTTGATACATTCCTGTTTGTATGGCGGTCAGAGAAAAGAAGTGGAACCTGTAATTTTAACACAACTTGACCATAACATCACAAACTTTATTTTACTCCACATTAATTCACACGTTATCCTAGTCAGTAATCCAGTCTCATCTTTCTTTTTTTTAATAGCTGACTTACAACCTTTGTTTTTCACAATAAGTTGCTGTTATATTTTTGTATCACACATCATTAAGTTGCCATGTCAGTATTTAGATGTCATCTTTTTACTTTTCCATCATTGTAGTCTCCTCTTTCCTTGCACCAGAAGGCACTTTTTTATTGGACGACCTCTGTCCATACACAGTACTATGCTCATTATTTTACTTTTGGTTGCATTGACTTTGTTGTTACAGTTATTAAAGAAAAACTACCAAAAAAAAAAACAACTTCTCATTGTTTCTTTCATCTATGATTGCTTGCATTACTCAGCTACGTTATGAATTATACAGGTAGGTTACAGTGACAGTCCATTATTCAACACTTCATGTAAGAATTAAGAATGCTGTTTTCATACAAAAATGGGACAATGTCAGCATTTGTGTTATCTAAGCTGTGGGAAAAGTATTCTAGTCCAAGTCATGATATTACGCTCTAATTATTTTGAACAAGCTCCTGTGACAGAAGCCAAACACCCACACGTGAAATGACTGATTGCATCTCAATGGCTGCAGTATTTTGCACAGACCTCCCAGAGAGACCTGCTGAGGTTTGTAAACACATAATTTCTCCATTTTTATTCAAACTCTGACAGCTCACCTTTTTGAATTACTGCCACCTTTAATTTATGACAACCTGCTGCTTTACATCTTGTTATAACAGCTACTGCCAAAAAAAAGTCATATTATACTATTTAGAAAAATGTCATAGTATAGTATGATAAAAAGTTCATTATGTTAAAGAAAATGTAAGTAAAATGTATTGTATGATAAAAATTCATAATAAGATAAGAATGTCACTGTAAAGTATTTTTAAAATGTCATAGTATAGTTAGTTAAAAAATGTCATAGTATAGTATGTGACAAAAGCCACAGTATAGAATGTTAGAAAAACAGTCATAGTATAGTATTTTGAAGTCATAGTAGGGTATAATAAAAATGTCATAGTAAAGAATGATAAAAATGTCATAGTATACTATATAAAAAAATTTCTTAGTAAAGTATGCTTAAAAATATGATAGTATAGAATGATAAAAATGCCATACTGTATTATAATAAAAATGCCATAGTATAGTATGTGGAGAAAATGTCAAAGTATAGTATGATAAAAATTCATAGTATAGTTTGTTAAAACAATGTCATTATATAGTATGTTAAAAATATATATATATTAGAGTTTAGATTAAAAATGTTTATAAAAATAATTTTAAAAAATCACTGAATTGTATGATACAAATGTCAGAGTATTGTATGATAAAAAGTCATAGTATAGTGAGATAAAAATATCATATAATAGTATGACTAAAATATCATAGTAATGTATGATAAAAGGTCAGTGTATAATATGGTTTAAAATGTCCAAGTAATGTATAAATTTTTTTGGTGTTTAAAAATTAAAATGTCATAGTAAAGTCAGTCAAAAAATGTCATATTATAGTATTTGAAAATAGTATATGAAAATGAATATAGTATATGAAAAAGGTCATAAGGTCATAAAGGTTATTGTATAGTATGATAAAAATGTCCTATTATTTTATGATAAAAAGAAACATAGCATGTTATGCATAAAAGATTTCACAGTACAGTGTGTCAAAAAAGTATTTTATAATTAAAAAGAAGTCATAGAATAGTATTTTAAAGTCATAGTACAGAATGATAAGAATGTCTTAGTATTGTATGATAAAATTGTCGTAGTATTGTATTTTAAAAATGTCATAGTAAAGTATGCTTAAAACTGTCATAGTAAAGGCTGATAAAATGTCATAGTATAGTATGTTTAAAAAGCTCATGGAAAAGTATGATAAAAAATGTCATAGTATAGTTAGTTAAAATATGTCATTGTATAGAATGTGAAAAAAGGCCATAGTATAGTATGATTGAACAGTCATACTATAGTATGATAAAAATGTCATAGTATAATATGTTCAAAAATGTCATAGTATAGTATCTGAAAAAAATGTTTTTCTATTGTATGGTTAAAAAAAAGTCATAGTATAGTTAGTTAAATAATGTAGTTGAATAGTATGATAAAAATGTCCTAGTATTGTATGATAAAAATGTTATAGTATAGTTAGTTTAAAATGTCATTGTATAGTATGTGAAAAAAAAGGTCATAGAATAGTATGTCAAAAAACGTCATAGTATAGTATGTTGAAAAATTTCATAAAAATATCAAAGTTTAGTATGTGAAAATTATAACAGTATAGTTAGTTGTCATATGTCATAGTTAAGTATAATAAAATTTTCATAGTATACTATGTTAAAAATGTCGTAGCATAGTTTGTGAAAAAAAAAATTTGTATAGTATGTTAAAAAATGTCATAGTATAATATGTTTAAAAATGTCATACTAGTGATTGAATAATATGTATGACAAAAATTTTTTTTAGTATGTCAAAAGAAAGTCATGGTATAGTATGATAAAAATGTCCTAAAATTGTATGATAAAAATCCATAGTATAGTTAGATAAAAAATGTCATAGTATAGCATGTTAAAAAAATGTCATAGTATAGTATGATAAAAATGTCCTAAAATTGTATGATTAAAATTCATAGTATAGTTAGATAAAAATGTCATAGTATAGTATGTTAAAAAAATGTCATAGTATAGTATGATAAAAATGTCATAGTATAATATGTTTAAAAATGTCATACTATTGATTGATTAATATGTATGACAAAAATTTTTTTTATAGTATGTTAAAAGAAAGTCATGGTATTGTATGATAAAAATGTCCTAAAATTGTATGATAAAAATCCATAGTATAGTTAGATAAAAATGTCATAGTATAGTATGTTAAAAAAATGTCATAGTATAGTATGATAAAAATGTCCTAAAATTGTATGATTAAAATTCATAGTATAGTTAGATAAAAATGTCATAGTATAGTATGATAAAAATGTCATAGTATAGTATGTCAAAAATCCCATAGTTAAGTATGTGAAAAAATGTCATAGTGTTGTATGGCAAAAAAGAACATTGTATAGTACAGTAAAAAAATCATAGCATAGTATGATTGAAATGTCTTAGTGTAGTTTGTTTTAATGATATGTCTTGAACCTTTATATTGGCTTTTAATAAATGTGAGTATTATTTGTAGTCGTTAATGAATGTTTTTGCTTGGAAAATCAATGACAACACTAGACCTGGTTCTCTTAAAAACTTTAATGTGCAGCAGTTAATCACAAGTTTCTCAGGCAACAAACAAGTTATATCAAGACTGACCACCAGGGGGGGCCTTTTCTGTTTTATGCCTATTGCTTTAACTAACTGGGTCCTGAACTCCAGATCCTGTCGTCTTCTATTCCTTGTTTGATCCTCAGGTGGCGGCAGGAGGACTGGAGACCCGGCACTTGGTGGGACTTGCAGGGGACAACATGGGTGACTACACAACCACCAGAGGGTGGGACCCACAAGTTAATAAATAAAAGACACAAACACACTGTACCTCTGTGTCGCTTTATTTTAATCAGCCCCTCCCCATCCTCCCTCCCAACCCCTATTTTCCAGAAAACCTCGACATAAACCTGTCTCTGTGGCTCAGAGGGGAAAAAGATCAATTTCGACTCCTGAGATTGAAGGTTTGAACCCTTATCCAGGTTCTGGTGAATTTTAAAGTCTAGTGTCTTGAGACGAGAGTGGAAGTCTTTCACGAACAGGATCTTCCTGTGTGTCCACATGGCTCAGTGGATAAGAAGACTGACCGGGACTCCTGAGGTTGTGGGTTCAAGCCCTACCTTATCCAGGTTGAGGTGAATTTTAAAGTCTAGTGTCTACAAAGGAGAGTGAAAGAGGAAACAAACAACCAACATCTGTGTGTCCACATGGCTCAGTCAATAACAAGACTGACTCAGACTCCTGAGGTCTTAGGTTCAAGCCTTACCTTATCCAGGTTGAGGTGAATTTTAAGGTCCAGTGTCTACAAAAGAGAGCGAAAGAGGAAACAAATGGGATCTTCCTGTGTGCGTTTGGCTCAGTGGATAAGGACTCCTGTTGTCATGGGTACAAACCTTATCTAGGTCTAGTTGAAATTTAAAGTCCAGGAGCCAAAGTACGAAGATACATGCGCGCAGAGCTCATACCCAAGCGTGGATAGTAGCGCAGTGCGGTAGTCCACCGGCACCCAATGTGGGTACCCCGGTTCGATACCCACTCGGGACAGGAAGTTTAATGTGATGGAATGATGATAATAAATAGAGAATTCTTCTCTAGCAAGAAGAAGTACTATTCATCACTTCTGATGATGAAAAATAATAATAATAATCATCACTTCTAATGATGATAATCTGACCATTACTAATACTCTCCAGCCACGAGCTGGTATCACACCGGTACTCATTGGGTGCCAGTAGACTACCGTGCAGCACCATTAGATACCATCCACATTAGGGCATGAGGTCCACCCGCTTTTATCTTCATACTTTGGCTCCTGGACTTAAAAATTCACCAAGACCTGGATAAGGGTTCGAGCCCACAACCTCAGGGGTCCCAGTCAGTCCCAGTCAGTCCTCTTATCCATTGAGCCATGAGAACACAAAGGAAGTTCCTGTTTGTAAAAGATTTTCACTCTCCTCTCCTTTCTAGACACTGGCCTTTACCATTTACCAGGACCTGGATAAGTGTTCGCACCTTCAACCTCAGGAGTCTAATCAAATAAAAAATACAAACATACTGTGACTCTTTGTCTCTTTATTTTAATCAGACCCTCCCTGGAAATGCCAGACATCACGTAAATGCACCAACATCTCCATTCAAAAGCAAAGATTTAAAGTCTAAAGATAACTTCAACTAGAAAATGGTTCAATCTAAACTATTTTAAATTACTTGCTGACTAATGATACCTAAAAGCTTTTAAGTGATAATTTAAGTGTCTCAAATCTTCACTCTTAATCGTGACATAAGTCTTTAAACACTCAAGGAAAAGGTGAAACAACTAATTCAGACTCTATTTCCGGGAGGCAACTCCAGGATCTGCCGGCGATGAGTCCTGAAAGAAAAGAAGAGAGACAATTAGTTTTTCATATTTAACCCAACAAAAGACAAAAAATCTGTGGCTGAGGATGCCAAACTGGTCTGTGATGAGAGCTCAGAGAAGCTCTCAGGCTACTTTACTGATCAAGAAGTTGTTTTTACCCTGATGTCTTTTAAAACAGTAAAAATAAGTCCAAAGTTTTACTGCATTTGTGCTTGAGATCTGTTTGCACTTATTTTGGCGTGACTGTCAGAGAATATTAGTCTATAAATATTTGTAAGTGAATGATTAAACCTTCAGCTGTGTTTGGTGTCCTTATTCTTGTGTCTATTACATTAATAAAACCTGGGACCTTTAACTCCAGTGTTTATTGTGGTTCTTTTATCGTTTCTTACAATCGTCTTAATATGCATTACACTTAAGGAAAAAAAAAATTTAACATACTTAGTGATGAAATTTTTTATCATACTATACTATCACATTTTTTCACACACTAAATTATGACACTGTTTGACATACTACACTATGAGCTTTTTTTCATGTATTATACTATGACGTTTTTATCCTACGATACTATGACTTTTTTTTATTGTACTATACTATGACATTATTATTATACCAAAAAGTTAGACCCATGTTTATCCAATCAGAGCAAGCTTCACTTTTTCGTCGTCACGCCCCCAAACAAAGTAAATACGAGCGCGGTTAGCCTGTTAGCATTAGCATTATCCACTTCGTGTTTCTGTTCGCTTCTCTTTTACTCACCTCAAAAGTCATGCTGCGCTGTGTTTCAGGATGTTGTCCTCGCTTTATATCGATCTCCTTTCGTCTGTTTTTCAGTGTTTTGATAGAAAAAATGTTGACACGCTGTTCTCTGACATTGTTACCTTCTGCACACCTGGGCGGAATTAGCAGCGGCGGGCCGTGGCTCTGAGTCACGTGACAAGCGGATATCCGGTGAAGGGCAAATAAACCAAGAGTACCCAGATGCAGCGCCAAGATGGCGGACCCAAAGATAGAAAACCACATTTACAAAACGCAATAAGTTTCCGCATTACCTCCGATTGGCGGACCCAAAACATGAACTTTGAACTTCTGCTTTGCGATGCCAGAACAGTAGGTGGCGGTATGTACCTACACTTTCTGACGGCAAAATTTACAGAAGAAGAAGAACTCTCAGGAAGTTTGAAAAGAAGCAAGCCGTCCGCATTCATTCAATCTCACCTCCGACCACTCAAACTAACCCTAACCCTGCATTCCATTGTTTCCATCATGGGAAATCTAAGTGACGCTCTCAAATTAACAGGAACATTGCGCAGAAGATATGTCCTGGGCAATGGACTGAGAAAACGGGCAGAGATTTGGAGGTATTTGTGCATGCTCTATATTACAGTTGAAAAGTGTATAACAGCTTTCCAATGCTGTTACTTGTGGCGAACACCTTTTTGCTTGAGTTGATGCGTGCCCGCAGGTGGAATAATGTCACATGTCACACACATTTTCTGTTGTTTTGATTTATTTACTCATTCATCATTTTATGTGCGCACCTCTCCTAATCAACCCACCCATTAAATAGACAGGCACAATAGCACCATCTGCTGGCACAAAAAATACATAACAATAAACTGCAAAACCCCAATCTGGCTCCTACAAAGTGTATGTGACAAGATGATTAACGTTTGCTTTTGTTAAATCAGGGCTTCCCCAGCCAGGACTTCGGCTCAGACTGTGGCATATTCATGTTGATGGTAGGTCATAACGAGCTGTAATGCACAAATATTGTATCTAGAATAACTTTCCAACATGGACTTTTTTAAAGTTATCTCACATGTTGTCTCATAATTTTTTTTTTAAAGTCTGCCATGTACATCGTTATGGAGTCACAGTTTGACTACTCAGTTGTAAGTACTTTTCAACACGCAGTGTCATCCTCAAGATTGTATTTTGTATTGTGCACTAAAATGAAATACAAACAACAATTTCAGCATGACATGCCTGTTTGGCGGCGATGGTGGTGCCTGTTGCTCCTGGAGAACAATTTTTTGAACAGGTAGACAGTTTAAGTAAACTAGATGTCCTAATTAACTGGAAGACAATCAATATATTGTACTTAAAGACATATTGTCATTACAGTTGTGGGAAAATCTTCGCCCACTGGACCAAAGAATGTCAAGAGCTCATTGCTGGAAAGCATACTCCGGTCTTCAGTCTAAAGAGGAAGGCAGAGCAGCAGGACATAGAGGTTAGAAAATTGCCTTGTAAAAACAGTATTATCTCAGTGGGAGTCCTTCAAAATGCACACAGTTGTATGGATCAACATTGTCTCGATGTATTTGGTAATTGATGTTACTTTTCAAATTGCCTTGTCAAGGAAACCATGACGCAGACGGTATCGGATGTCCAAAGAATGTGCATGGCAGATTCAATGCAATTCTGTGTCTACCAGACATCGAACAACACAGGAGAGAGGTGTGTTGCAGACTCAATTTAATAAATGCAATTATCGGGGCCTATTCAGTGATTTTCCATGAAGTGACCACTTTTACATATAGTTTAAATGCACGAATCATGCAGGAAAATTATTTATACATTCAAATGTGCTGCAGAGGTATAATCAATTGGACAGCGTGTTTGTTTAATATTATGTTTGTCTCTCATTTGATCAGATTGCTTTACCCTGAGGTAAACGTCATAAAATGGGTCCAGTGCAAGACGTGCAGGGGCTGGCTGCATCAGGATTGTGCTGGGATTGAAATGGAGCCGTTTGACTGCGGGTGCGAGGACTCCATTGAGCATCCTCGGTGGAAAGATCCGCTCCAACAGAATGTTCCTTTGGAGGAATCCCGCCACCTCACTCCGACTAAAGCAGCATCTTAAGATAAGGACACTAAGTTGGAGTGAGCAGCGCGTAAGTAAAAATGCCATCCATCATGAGTATTTTTACTCTCAGGGGTGTTACATTTGAAAGGTGTTTACTTTCTGTGTTTTTCTTCAATAGATGTTCGAGCTCCTGCGGTTCATTGAGGTGGCAACAAACATTTCTAAAAAAATAAAGAGAGGCGAGATTTATCTGCTTGATTTCGTTTTTGACGTCATGCTCCCAGAGGTGAGTAGATCAAACTATATAGCTTGCTTTGAAAATTGATGATATTGTTAAGAGGTTGTTCTTATTCATTTGGAAAGCTCAAGAACAACAATTAACCCATACTGCATAACTTCAATTGTTCACATTATTTGACTGTTTTTCAGCTTTTGATCAAAGCACTGAAGGAGCATGGCATCAACCGGTTCAGAGCAGAGCTGATGATGGCCTGTGGCAACGTGTTTTAAGCCCCCCACCACACCGACGGCAGTGCTGAATTTTGTATATATATATATTTTTTTTTACTGTTCACAATTTTGTTTGGAAAAAATTAAAGAAATCTTCAAAGCAGTTGTATGACAATTTCCCATTTCTTTACACAGTCTGTAATGATATCGCTATTCAATTGTTTTTGCTATATGGCTCTTCTGAACCTTAAAGAGATCATGTGACTTGTCTCTACAACTATTGTATACTTGGATTTTGCACAGTCAAGCAATCCTGAAGAGGTTCACCAGGAAGCACACCATTTCATAAATGATGTCCCTGGTTACACAATGTTACTAGGGGATGGGGGGAGTAAATTTGTGCAGCAACATAAGCACTCTCATAAAACATAATTATGAACAACAGAAAATATGTGAGGGTCAGGGCAACATTGTTGACATTAAACGAGGTCCTAATAGGAGTGGAGAAACAAGGTCACAGAGAAGTTAAGAAACATTGATGTGCTGTGTAATAAAGCTATTGGAGAGAAAAGTTAGAAAACACTGTTATATGATGTGTAACGAGAGGTTAAAACAGTCCATACTTGTAGCAAACTCTTACAAAAGAATTTGAGTAAGATGATAACTTCTACATACATTTACCTATTCTGACAAATTATCAGAATATGAGGACATCAGGCTATATATACATATTACTGTAAACTTCAGAATTAAATCAGAACAAAACAGTAGTCATAGTTAATACATAAACGTTTTATTTTGATTTTTAGCTCAATAATAAATTTAATTCGATTCTTATGGAATGAACGGAGCAAAAAAAAAGGATCCGGCGACTAAATCCGACTACCTGAAGTATTTCGGCGCCGGAAGTCCGCCAACGAGAAAGCCTTTCCACCGGAAGTAATTGTTTTGGGTCCGCCAATCGGAGGTAATGCGGAAACTTATTGCGTTTTGTAAATGTGGTTTTCTATCTTTGGGTCCGCCATCTTGCGCTGCATCTGGTCACCTCTCAAATAAACCTTTGATTAATAAAATTTTAATATATGTATTTATTAACTAGTGTATCATTTCGTGTCTTTAGGCTTCAGGGCGTGTGTCGAGTAATCCCGGAAATTTTCGGTGAAGCGCGTATCCAAGTTTGTGTTGATGACGTGATAACGTTCGAAGCCTCACTACAGGTGTTATGCCGTAGAATGCACCCCTGTAGAATGCATCCCCTGACGGTAGCGCGGTTGAAAGTACATAACGAGGCGAAATAATCCAAGTTTTCCTTACCATTGGATGGATTCAGGAGCGTGTGCCTGTAATGATTTCATCCAGAGTATGAGATCATTTTCTTCCACTTTCAGAAGCTAATGGGTGGCTGGGACGCAGGGGTGCATTCTACGGCACAACACCCGGCCGTACCAGGTGACTGATTCAGGAACCAATTCGCGGATTTGGCGGATGATTCGAAATATAAAAGGCAGCGAAGGGCATTGGAGTCCCCCAAAAGCACAGTCACAAACTAAGTAACACAAACACATTCACATCACATCCCTCTCCTTAACATGTCCTCCTCCCCTTTTTACCCTGCTACTGTGTCTTAAAGACAGACACCATATTACTAACTTCATTATTTTAGTACTGGTATCAGAAACACATGGCATCACATTCATTCATTCATTCTTTGATAGTCACTCTGCCTGTTTTACATTTATTGTCCACTTGATGGCGCAGTTGAAGCACAGTGAATCTTAGGCCTAGGAGTTGAGCAATTAGATGGAAAGCTTCAATGCCTCAAGAGGCTTCATCTCACCATCACTAATATTAACCCTTAAACCTTTACTGCAGTGAGAGGAAGAAAAATAAAAATCAGTCATCGAGTTGTTTTGTACCATGATATGTGGCAAAGAAACAGGTTGTGCCATCAAATGAAATATTTGGGCAGTAAATTATTTCTCCTCTGTTTATCGTTTACTGTTTGTACATTTTAAATAAAACTACGTCTAGGGTGAAGTAGCTCGTGTGTGCACTGTAAGACCATAGACTCTACGTATAATGGACAGCATCTGCCTCCTCGTTGGGTGAGGCCAATCAGAGAACAGCTCACCCTGTTGACGGGCTGCGGTAAAGGTCATAAATCCTGCCTCCTCCAGTAATCCCTATGAAGCTATGAAAAACTTTGGAAATTTATTACACAGAATATACATTTTCTCCCCCTGGTTGCGATGTTGACATGTAGTTACTGTAAGACTGATTTGTGCTCAAGTCCTCTTTTTTCTGTTTATCAAAAGTTATTAGGGGGTTCATGTTTTCTATGATTGACACTTAGGCTATTGTTTTTTGATTTTTTTTAAACCATCTATCTCGATGTTTTCCTGTATTTACTGTAAGCTTTTTGTTTTTATCATCCTGTAGCTACTCTTAGGTAGAAACTAGAGTGAGCTATCCTCTTAAATTTGTTGCAGACATCACAAATAAGTTATTTTACCGCTTCTCTTTCTGGGTTTTCATTTTGGATTTGAGTTTAACATCCTCTTAAAGTGGACATTCTTACATGATACACAAAGCTCTGAAACAGACCAGTTTTCTGAAACAAGCAACAGGCAGAAAGAAGTATTTTCAGTATTTATTTGTCAGAGGGTGAAACGCATCTGCTTCCAGTGTGGAAAGCTCCTTTTCTCCTCTTTTTTTCCCCTTTTTCTCCTCTCTGCCTCGAGGGTGTTAGTGGGAAATCAAGTCCTTTAAAACTTACAAATCTACAATAAATATGAACCAAACGGTCACAATAGAATTACGTAAAAGAACATTTGTAAACATTTAAAACAAAAAGCTTACATAAAAATCAGCTGAGAGACTATATTAAATACATAAATGTTACCTTAAACTACAAATTACACCTAAAATTAGGTTTGTGTGCAAAATGACAAACATAAAGAACCTAACTAAACCTGAATTAATATGACAAGAGCTTGGGGGGATTAACAAGCATTTTGTTTAATTTGTTGCATAGCAAGAAATACAAAGCAAACAGCCACCTTATTCTATAAAAACGGTTATAAAGAAGGATTTCAAGAGCATATAAGTCCAGGATACTAAAAAAAGGGCGAACTGACATGCATAAAAATAAAATATTCTGTGCTACCTTTTACTGACAAAAAAAAAGAAATTAAAATTAAAACGGAAAGAAAGTTACAAATCACCACACACCACTCACACGACACCTCATTTATCTCTCTATCATAGACAGAAAGATCTTTATTGGTATCCCCAAACCCTGCCCTGTACCGTGCAGCTGGGAGAAGTGCACAAGAATCACACTACTTACAGAACAGCACCTGTGAAAAACAAGATTTACATGTAGTGTCATCGCGTCTCAGTTTCGGTGACGAGGTAGCTAACACTGAGGAATCGACAGTCTGATCGTGTGTCTTTAATGTTCCAAGTTTGTCGGTACAGAGTCATATACATAACTGGACACAGACATTGGTTCATCAAAACTGTCTTTAGGAAAGAAAAACGTGCGCCAGTGAATGCATCATCGGCCGTGTGTTTCCTCAATAGCACCACAATGTTGTTTTTTTTTTTAATATTTAAACATTAAGAACAAAAAAGTAATAGACAAATTTGTAAGAAATAGAAGTGGCAGAACAACATTTAACGTAGCTTCGGTGGGATTTTCAGCCTATAAACAGCAGTTACCATTTTAAAGCTTCTTTATTCTTAAAATCTTTGGCAATTTGATAAAAAAATCAAATCAAACAAATGGGTAAAACCTTTGGACTGAACTACACGAGAAAGAGTTGGCAATGAATGCATCATGCTTAGAGTCAAACATACACAAGAAGACAGAGGAATGATTCTGGTTTTTTATCAATTTCTTTAAATTTCAAACATTCATTCCAACTTACAAATCTCTGATGTCTCGATCTGGGTTGAAGGCACAATAAATATCTTGCCACAGGGCCAGAGTAGTCCTCAGTACTCGTATGTACAACGTGGCTGAACGCGTCAGCTGTCAGTTCAATAGTCTCACGAATCTCCTCGACAATTCTTCGCTGACGATTTTACAAGAAGCACACGGGCCCGATGTCGACGCCGAACTCTTGATCTGAGCCGCCAATATCCACAGGGCCAATGTCCACAATAGGAAGTCTTGCTGTTTTCTGTGTCCTGTACTCAAACACTGTCTTGCCCCATCTGCCGTTTGCTTGCTGTAAAAGAAAAATCAATAAAGAATTTAGACATTAGGTTAACTTTATCTCAGTGGTAAAGCAAACTGAAAATGTACCTTTTTAGTCTCGCTGTAAACTAAATTTTATATCATTAACTTTAAGTGTTTTAGCATCTATCTCTTCTAGTTTTAATGACAGGATTGTCTTTTATTGAGCTGTTTTGCTGCTTTTATTTTAGTATCTTTTACTGTTGTTTTTATTTCATTTTATTTATCATTTCTCTGTTTTTAGATCTTAAACCTCCAGTGTTTCCTTATCTTGAATTTTAAAATGGCGTTTCCTCAGTGCACACATTCCTGTCTCTATGAAATTTATCCCTTTTTAAGTTCATGCTTTTCATATATGTTTCTATTGTGCTGAGATTGCAGGGTGGGAATGAGGGGTTGGGTTGGGGTAGATCCGGGTTTTCTTTGTTTCTTTTATTCCTCTGCTATGTAAAGCACTTTGTGCTACATCGTTTCTGTATGAAAAGTGCAATACAAATAAAGACTGCTTGATTGATTGATTGATATTGTAAGTTTAGTAAGTTTTATATCTTTATAGTTTCCAAAAACAGTAAATACTCTTTAACCCGACTGCATCATATCTTCTGTTACTACCATAAACAAACAAAGATGACCTGAATCTCACAGAAATGGCCCTAAAATCCAAAATGTGTATTCATCCTCCACTGAAAATAGTCCTAAACACATTTAATCCTGTTTAAAGCAATAATGCTCATTTTTTTCTCCACTAGAGGGCAGTATAGTTATATTTGTGAGCATACTTTGGACATACTGACTATAAAAAGTTGTTGGTAAACTTAGTAAGAGTGTTTTAGACATCAGTGCAGATCACATTAGTGTTTATCTAAACTAATAATTGTTTATTTATCTAAATTCCGTTTGACTTTTTATGAACTAAATCTTGACTGAAGTATTTTGACTCTTAACTCTTAAACTATAAAACATTTTAGACTAAAGACTCTTCCAAAATCAACACTTTCACAGACTAATAAGACTGAGCTTTAATTGTTTTTGAGAAACCGTTATTACTCAGAGAGGGAGCAGGTCTGGTTCACAGAGTCTGCTGTGTTTGTAAAACCAGATTTCTACCAGGAACAGCCAAGAACACACAAACCACACACTGGCTCTGGCTCTGAAGGGCTTTTAAAGCGTTTCTTTTTTTCTTTCTTTTATTGCTACTAAAGGTTTTCTGCCAACTTTGAGAGGAGAGGTTGAGGAGAAGGAAGGATTTTTTCGTTTCTGTCATTTCAAGAGATTATTGACGCGATGACTTACTGAGCAGGAGTCCTCCAGCACCGTGTATCTGAAGCGGTTGTTTCCCTCCGCTTTGAGCTCCAGGTCGTTGGCGCCCTTGAGGAGCACGGCTTTCTTCAGGTTCCCTGTCTTCTCGTCCTTGTAGCCCACGGAGTTCTTGCAGTGGTAGGTGATGGTCTGGGAGGCCTCTTTGGAGAGCAGGCGGATGAAAGTCATCTGAACCGTGACTGAGTTGGCCGACTGATCTTTGTTACCATAGGCGAACTGGAGAAACAATCGGAGAAATCATCATAGAATCATGTTTCTACTTATCCTGCATGCTTTCTGAACACATACCCTCCCTCTGTTTCTTCTTCTTCTATTAAATCACTCGGACAGGTTTTTTTTCACAGCCCCACTTCCCTCCCCTTCCCCCCGTCAACAGAGTGTTGGCGCTCACATGTGTTCCTCGGTTGATGTCGGCTCCGAACCACACAGGTTTGTTCCTGGAAGAGCTCCACCACACTTTACGAGGTATGCTGGCGGGGTTGGCGGCGATGCAGGTCTCTCCGGTGTCCATGTTGCAATGCACTTTGATGGCGTCCTCCACGCTGCCTTGGTTTGGATCCACCCAGTATTCACCTGCAGAACAACACGATCAACATGATGTACGCGGAAATTGGAGTCGGATTGGTTCTGCAGCTGCTGGGGCTGCATCAGTGAAATAAATCAGTTCTACTGCAAACAGTTCAGTTGAGTCCTCAGTTCAGAACATGAATCTGACAATATTTCCAGATTTTAAAGCGCTGGAAAGATGAACAGGAGAAAAACTCACCGCTCTTCTTCATGGGGTAGCACCTCTTCAGGTCGTCGCAGGTCCTTGCAGGGTGTTTCTTGCTGCCGTCGGGGCTCTTCATGCTGTTGATCTGGCTGCTGAGGGCCTTCAGGGTGGCGTGCACGCCGGGGTCCACGGCCAGGATGGTGGTGGAGTTGCTGTTGGGCAGAGCTTCATCCTCGCTGAACTCAGGAGGAGGAGGAGGGCCCATGTCGTAATCATGGGGGCCACCGAACAAGTCGTCCACAGCGGCCATTGGGGGTCCTGGGGGACCAGGGAGACCAGGGGGTCCAGGCTCTCCAGGGGGGCCCTTGAAAGCAGAATGATATTAAACAATTACTCCTCAGATAGTTTTTAATTTTGCGTCTTAAACTCAAACATCTGTTTAATAAATGTTCAATGATTTAATGACGGTCTGATCCTTTAAAAGCTCTCTGACTGTTTCTTAAATTGAATTTGTCGTTTTATTAGTTCATCTCCAGCGTTTTAGGAGGAACTTCCTTCTGCAGACTGAGACTCTACCTCTGGTCCGATCTCTCCGCTGATTCCACGAGTTCCCGGAGGTCCCATCGGTCCAGGCGATCCAATATACCCTTCTTTACCAGGAGGTCCAATAGGTCCTGGAGGTCCCTGAAATACAGTCAGGTCATATATATGATCAGAACTCTCATTTTCATTTTCAGGAGTACATGAGATATGAAACTAAGTATTTACCCTCGGCCCGCCTGGTCCGATGATTCCTGAAGATCCCTGCTCTCCTGTTGTGCCCTAAGAAGAGGAAAAGATCAATCTGGATGTTAGTTTATATTTTTAGCCGTTACATAAGTCACTTTTTCTTGCAGGAACACCAAACAAGGTACAAAATTTTATAATAACTGCATTATCATATCAGTTTATAAGACACACCTCCATCTAAGAGGAGTTTTAGACATTCTGATTGAAAAAAACAGATGAAAGAATGACTAAAAGTTTCTCATTTTGTAATTGTGTTACTAAAAGTTCATACCTTCATAGTGGAAATAAGTTACTACACTCTTAATTTGGGACCCCTTGTAACCCCCTCAGCTCATGGACTCCATAAAGTTGGATAAATCACAGGTAGGAGAATTAAGACTTAGAAAAAAATCACCACACGTCTGAGTCTGACGTATTTTAAAGATGATCAAATGTCTCGGCTCTTTGTGGCACCAAGTGACACTGAGAGAAAACAGGTGGATCCAAACCCTGCTCTGACATGTTTAGGTGGATCACAAACAACTTGAGCTTTTGTAGATTTTGACGTAATCTGTGGATGTTTTCAGATTAAATCTTTTTCTCTGGACTCAAATCCTAGGAACCCTTTCTGAGGAGTCTTGTGATCTTTAATTGTGACCTCTGTTGTTCTTAACCTGAGGGGGGCTGTGATTGGATGACAGGTGGTCCTTGACGGTTGGCATCATCTGGCAAATTCTGTCAGATCTGGTCTGGTTTTAGTAAAGGGTCTTCTAGTCATCACAGAAAACTTAACCCCAATTTCCATCGCATCCAGAACGGCTAAGAAAAGGCTGTATCCCCCGATTGTAGCTGATCATAACCATTCAAGTTAATGTGTCAATTTCCACCGGCTTCTTTCTGTTCTGCTGCAGATCGGCGGACTCTGCAGCTGATAACAAAATAAAACATCCGGCTTCTTTTCAAAATAAAACACTCCCTGTTCCACCTCAATGACACCATAGATGAAGAGATCCTGATTTTAGAAGTCAAGGACACAATCTACTGCTTATATGGTTCCCCTACAGTATGTGGCTAAAGACAACTTGTCATCGCGCGATTTCACGTGAATCCACGGGTTCTTGTGAGTTCCTGCGATTCCTGCTGTCCGTAATCCGCCATGAAATCCGCCTCAAACGGATGCGGGGGAAATCCTGGGTTGCATTATAGTAAGCATCATCAGGACTTACTGGAGGTCCAGGAAGACCCTGCAAACCGGTGAATCCTCGATGTCCCTTCTGCCCTCGCTCTCCATGATCACCAAGGTCACCCTTATCTCCTCTTGGTCCTTGAGGTCCCTGAATAAAAAAACAAGATTCAATCCAAGTCATGATCATTGATCTGACTCATAATATTCACCTAAATGTCTCATCAAATGAGGCTCTAAGACTCACCACTAGTCCTCTCTTTCCAGCAGACCCTGGTGGACCCACCGGTCCTCTTGAACCCTGCAAATGAGTCCGATCATTAGAGCGCCCTTATGGGAAAAACAGACCTTCACTAGTGCTGAAAAACCCTCCAACTCCTTATGGCCAAGCACACATCACTGTTAGCACCTCATATAACTTCATTCAGGTCCCAGCATGCTCCCAGGACTCCAACCATGCATGGGAAGTATGTCTGTGAGTCTGTTATTCCAGTCCTGCTCCTGGGGTGACAGATAGACTCGCATATAGAGCAGAAACAGAGGCAGAAAGAAAACACGACTTACAGCTTCTCCTCTCCTTCCAGCATCACCCGGTGCTCCAACAGGACCTGGAGGGCCTGGAAGTCCCTGAGGACCAATCATACCCTCTGGACCAGAATCTCCTCGGTCTCCCTAAAAAGAAATACCAGTCAGAGTCTTAAAAAAAGAAGAATAAACACAAAATCCACATCCTGGATCTCTTAACCTCTCTTACCCTTTGTCCAAGAACGCCATCTTTGCCTGGAGGGCCATCAGATCCAGCAGGACCCTGAGGACCAGACAGGAAACATCAGGAAGATTCAGAGGAGGATTCAAGTAAAGTGAAGAGAGAACCAAAAGGAAAGAGGAAAAGTGTGTTTACATCAGGGCCAGGATCACCACGAGGTCCGTTCAGTCCAGGAGAACCAACGGGGCCAGGAGGGCCTTTGTCTCCAGAACCTCCTGTGGACCCCTGTTTCCCTGGTGGACCCTGAAAATGGAGAACAGGTGATTAAAAAGACCCTCCCCACATACTGCAGGTTCAAAACAATCATCACAGAAGAGTCAATGTGCAGCAGGATACAGACCGCTGGTCCTGGAAGACCTGGCATGCCACGTTCTCCTCTCTGACCAGGCAGACCCACGATACCTCTCTGTCCTGTTGTTCCAGCTGGGCCTGGAGGACCATCAGGACCCTAAAAACCAAGAACATGATGGTTAAACAGGCCCAGAGAGGGGCCAGTGTCTCTGAATCAGAATGTGTCTGACAGAAGATGGAGCAAATATATTAAAAACCGGACTGAGACCCGTTTCAAAACAAGGAAATAAAAGTTTAATTGATTGACTCTCAGCCACAACACTTGGCTGCACGCCCCCCCACCCCCACATCCCTGGTCTCTCCTCAGCTGTCCTGTCTATTAAAGGGATATTACAGCTTAAAATCAAGTTAGTTGAATGTTGCCGACTGCTTGCTTCTCTAGTTATACCAACTTTAGTAACAACCGTAGGATAGCAATACACAGCAGTCTGAGGAGCCACAAAAAAAACCTCGACGGAGTGTCTAACTCGGTGTTACGGTGTGTGTGACCCTAAATTGATTTTACTTTGGAATTAAAGACAATAAGGGGCCAGGAATCAAGTGGTCAAATCCGTTTACCGTGGGTCCGTCCTCTCCAGAGTCTCCTTTGTCTCCTGGGCTGCCAGGTGGACCCGCTGGTCCTCGCTCTCCTTGTCTTCCTGGAGCTCCATGATCTCCACGAAGACCACCAGGACCCTCTTTTCCAGGTGGTCCAAGTGGTCCAGGTTCTCCAACTGGACCCTGGTAGAAGAGGATTTGATTATGACACATGAATAGAGCTGTGCAGGGTTGATAAACTAAACTCAGGGTTGTACTTACAGTTGGGCCGGGTGGGCCGACTCTTCCTGCAGATCCAGGGAAACCAGTGGGACCCTGAGAACAGAGAGTAAAACAGGACCCTCGTGTCATGTCATGTTTTACAAGTTTTCAGTTTTTTTTAACCAGACATTGCTTTCGACATTTTTTTTTTCTGAAAGTGAAACCGTACCGGTGCTCCCTGAGTTCCTCTTCCGCCTTTCAGTCCAGCAACACCAGCAGGTCCCTGGAATGACATCACTTCATTAGGAAAGCATTAACCAGCAGTGCATTATAAATTCTCTATTCCCTTTTTTTTTTTACTTCACTTTCAAGAAAGTTAATGCTGCTTTATAACTTACATGAGGTCCGTGAGCTCCAGCCAAGCCCTGAGGTCCTGGTGATCCAGCGTCTCCTTTCTGACCTGGCTCTCCAGGCTCTCCCTTCACTCCAGGTTGGCCATCAGGGCCCTGAAAAATGTTGTTGATACTATTAAGGTAACATCAAAAGTGGTTGAAGCCATCTTTTCTTTCTGAAACAGCATCAGAATTGTAAAATCCTGGACCGGGACTGCACACTCACAAGAGGTCCAGCAAATCCAACAGCACCAATGGGACCAGGGTCACCTCTCGCGCCCTGTAAATGGAGATGAATTATAATATTAGAGCACATTTACAGCATAAAAACTTGTTGTAAGTGAAGGATGTATATGACTTTAGTGAACAGGTTCACTCACCGGCCCTCCTCTGGATCCTGGTGGTCCAGACGGTCCTTTAGGTCCCGGTTCTCCCTGCGAAAGACGTTAGAAGTGAATTTCAAAGCAGCTTCAATAATCCTTCATCAAACCTACGCTCTCACATGAAGTCATCCATGACTGTCCTTCACGAGCTGCAACATGCCATCAAACGCAGCCAAGAACATGAGACGGAGGGGGATTAACAGCACAGCAAGGCATCATGGGAACTGAGACTTTCATTTATCTCCTCATTAAATCTTTGAGATGTGAAACACAGTCTTCTAATAAATTGCCACTAATTGTCTTTTTATTTTTCTCTTATTGCAGATGTTCATTTTAATCGAAGTTCTTCATGTTTATTTTGTCATTTTATTAATTTTCTCTGTTCTAAGTCTTTTTCTTAATTCCCGTCTTAGAGGTTTATACTTCTTTTACCCCTTTTACATGGACACATACATACTTTTACAAACTTATCTGTTCATTTAAGATTATTTTCTTGTTTTAGTCCATCAGGTTTTACTTTTTTTTTTTTTTTTTACCATTTTTATCTTTTATCGCCAGTGTTTCCCAAAGTTAGCTCTGTTCCTCATGTAATTGTCTCTTTAACAATATATCTTAAATTCTCACATTGTGTGCTTGTGTATGTGTGGGTCGAGTTTTATTGTTGTTAATTGTTGTTTTTAGCCTCTGTGAGGAACTTTGAACTGTGTTTTTTTGTCTATAAAGTGCCACAAAAATAAAGTTAAATTTAAATAAGTGTTAACAGAAAAACACTCTACCTTCTCTCCGCTGGGTCCAGCAGATCCAAGTGGGCCAACAGGACCTGGGGCTCCCTGTTGATGCAAAAAAAAAAAACAGGTTTGAGACTTCTGACTGAACGAGCCCCGACTCGTCTCCATTTCACATCTTCCTCCTTTTTTTTAGTTTTCGGTGTGTAGAAACAGTTTTCTTACTCTTGCACCGTCGTTTCCTGCCGTGCCCTCTGATCCTTTCTCGCCAACTGCTCCCTGTTACAAAGACGTTTACTGTTATTGGCAGACAAACTCTGACACTTCATTCAGACTCAGACTTGTTTGTTACGTAACGAGAACATCTAGATTACTCAATTCGTCTTGGCTGCATTAAACAGAAAGATGATGATGATGATGATGTTGATGATGATGATGATGATGCACTTACTCTGTCACCTTTAGGCCCAGAAGGACCAGAGATGCCTCTCTCTCCTGGCATTCCCTGAAGACCAGGAGGACCAACGTCACCCAGTGCGCCAGGAGGACCAGGACTACCCTTCAGCGACAAAAGAGACGTTGCATGTTACTTAACCTCCATTAAAGGACGTCTAAACCTACTTTCTTTGTCTTATGGCAGCCTAATAATCTGGGGTAAACTGGTGCATCCCCTCCTGTCGTCATATCCATGATGGCAGGGTTAGTAGACTTATTTGTGTTCCTGCATTAATGAAACCAGACACCTTTAAAGGCACAAATTGGAAACCTGCATCCATTAGACGATGAAATATTGCTTTTTCCCAAAATTATGACCGTGCAAATGGTATCAAATTTTAATTCAGGTGCAGCACAATCTTGTTAAAGATAAACAAACCCAGAGTGGAAAGAAATGATTTCAACCAGAGGGATAAAATGACAAGAAAAAACAATTTACCAATCCTATTAAAAGTTTGGCTGCACAATATTCAAGGATAATATTTTTGCAAAATGCTTTCTTTCTTGGATATTTATTGTCAAATTGAAATAAAGGAAATTCAATCATGTTATTATGGTGTGTTTTACAGATACACACACACAAAAAAAACCTCCTGCCTGTCTATAATTTGTTGCTCTGTGTCTATTTTCAAATTATCTCTTATTTTTGTCATATTATTTCAGCTAATGTAACCCCAGGCCTGCACAAAAAGGGATGTGCAATAACAATAAAAATGAAAATATATTTATTAGCTCAAATAACTCACAGATTCTCTCATCTGTCTGCTGATTTTCAGGTTTTTTATTGGTAAATTACTTATTTGATATCTTTCTTATAGATGAATAAATAAAAACAATGTTAAATAAGTTATTTATTGTGATAAATCAAGATTTTTATGGTGTGTTTATGGCAAAATCTCTGTACTCTGTACTGTGATGTCAACTGAATTTGCAATTTACCGCACAGCCCTAATTTACTTTACAGAAGATTCTGCTTTCTGGTTTTCTGAGATCCTCGTGCTTTTTTTTGCCCTTCTACCAGATTGATGTTTAAGACCTGGAGCTGCAAATTTGATGTACAAAATGCTTTTAGATATCTACCATCATGCACCCAAATTTATCACAAGAACCTAAATACTATGTTGAAGGTCTGTTTCAGTTTTTTGATCAGCTCTGTCTCTGTTTTTTTACCTTTGGACCATCTGGACCAGGTGCACCAGGGATCCCCTTAGACCCCTGCAGACCTGGTGAACCCAGCTCTCCTCTCTCTCCTGGGATCCCACGCTCTCCCTGTGATAGAAAACCAGTTAGATGTCACCGGGATAAAGGTTTTTAAGTGATGCTAAATAATGTAGCAGGTTCATAGATACCGACCCTCGGTCCGATTGCGCCCACAGAGCCAAGTTCTCCAGGAATACCCTGAAAAGAGAAGATTTAAAAGTTTATAATCCGTCACTTCATATCATTTAAAGATTGTTTATAAAAGAGGAACTGAGATGCATGAGTGCACTTACCAGGTCACCTGGTTTTCCAGGCTCTCCAGGAGGTCCTTGATTTCCAGGCAGGCCCTAAAACAAAGAACAACCAACCATCAGAGTCTTTCTTTAGGTCTCAGTGTGACTTTTCCTCTCGACTCATGTCTACAGTTTGACAGGAAATGTTTATATTTTGTGATTTTCTGCAACATCTTCAAGTCCTAACAACGAATTAAAACACAAATGCACCTGGAATCCGTTTACACCTGGAGGTCCCTGCTCTCCTCTGTCTCCTGCGACGCCCTTTGAATGAAGATGTAATGTCTCATTATTTATGAACGCTTAATTAAGGAAATATCGTCAATGTAACAAGAGAGAAATGAGGGACTTACAGCTGGACCTGGAGGACCAGCGGGGCCAACTTCTCCGTCTTTTCCAGGAGGACCCTGGAGACAAATATTGATTATGTTAACATGATCTGTAGTCTTGATTGATCATTTGTATGTTCTTCCTCCATGCTGATGGGAATATAATGAGTTAAACACTGAGAACAGAGCTCACTCTCTGGCCTGGTACTCCTGCAGATCCTTGCTCCCCGGTCTTTCCTGGGTCGCCCTGAAGAGGAAAGATTTTTTTAGAATAAGAAACAGAGAAAACCTGACGGATTAAACGGATTATCTATGCACAGCTTCGAGTGTCCCCCCAGACTTACACTGAAACCTTTGGGTCCTGGCACTCCCATGGTTCCTGCTGGTCCTCTGTTACCGATAGAGCCTGCAGGTCCTGGACGACCATCTTCACCTGGGGCACCCTGAACGAAGGACACCACACTTAAACTCAGTCATCTCTTTAGTTTGATGAATTACTTTGAATATGATTGACTGCAGTGACCTACCAGAGGTCCTGGCTTTCCCTCTGCTCCCTGGACTCCAGGGGTGCCGGTCAGACCCTGTGATACAAATGAAAATCACAAAAAAGGACATTAAGATCAAGAATAATCCAGTAATTGAGGTTAAAACTGGATTAAAAGATGAAAAGAAACAGGAAAGATGATCAGTGTTACCCTTGCACCTGGTAGACCAGGCTCTCCAGTACGACCGGGGTCTCCAAGTGAACCTTTGGGCCCTGGTGGTCCGGATATTCCACGATCTCCTTGAGCACCCTTTAGTAGAAAAAGGCAGATATGGCACAACCTCTTATCAAATCTGGCTCTTAGTTGAAGTAGAAACATGTTTATCCCTTTAGTTTGAAAAAAATAATAAAATTTGTGTGAAAATACGAAGAAGTGGTTCAACTTCTGAGACTCGTACCTTAGGTCCTGGCAAACCATCAGCACCGGGGAATCCTCTGTTACCAGGAGCTCCCTGGAAAGCAGATCCTCAGTTAGATACTAGATCATGATCAACATTTTAACCTCTTTTTGGCCGATATCGTACCTTTTTATTTCATTGTAAAGAGCGTTGAAAGAAGTCTTGCTTGCACCTATGCTACTTTATGGTGCTACTCTTGTTTCTGTTCTGGGTCATGGTTCTTCAGACGCACTATCAAACCGGTCCTTTTAAAGATCCAGTATGAATAAATTAAGTGATATCTTGACGTCAGAATCCAGATCCAAACACTCCCTTGCCCACCCCTCCTGTCAGAGAGGTGGTGGTGGACTTTGAGGCCTCCCATCTCCCATCTATCATTGACACATTACACTGTTTAGGGTCCCTGCAGTCTACAGACCATTTACTTTCTTCACTTCATCTCATTTTCAGACTGTGGCAGGAGTCCAAAAGCTACAAAGATATAATGAACACAGAGACTCCATGCAGACAGGCCAGGATTCAAACCCATGACCTTTTACTGCCTAAATGGGAACATTAACAATTTCACCAAAAAGTGCTCAAATCTTTTAAATATTTTTCCACTCATATGTTATTGTTTCTCCTCCCTTTGTCTCAAACTTCTCCTGTCTTTAGAGTGCAAACACACAATATGCCAAAACGCTGACTCACTCTTTCTCCAACTGGACCATGAGGACCAACAGAGCCGGAGTCACCGCGTGTACCTCGCTTTCCTTCTTCACCCTGAGGTCCGATCACTCCCTGGGATCCTGGAGGACCCTACAATGACAACAGACAAGCTTTGACAACAAGCTTCATCACTTTAAGTTACATTAAAAACATCTTATAAAGCAGATTGTGTATTTTTGTTTAGATGTGTTGAACGCTCACAGGTTCTCCTTTGGGTCCGGCTTCTCCTTTAAATCCGGGAACACCAACATCTCCCTGGAAATCATGAAAACCATCAGTCTCATTTATATCAAGTACAAAAATGTAGATAATTCTCTAATAGAAGCAGCGCTGTACCAGTTGTCCTTTGATTCCAGGATGACCAGTGCTTCCTTGAGGTCCTGGTGGGCCAGCAGGTCCAAGATGGCCGCCTGGACCTTGTGGACCAAGATTACCCTGTAAAAGATCATCTGTGTTAAATGTGGCCTTCAGTCTTATCATGAGGACTTGATGTAGTTCTGGTAAAACACTGAGAACATACCACTGGTCCTTTGGCACCTGGACCACCATCTGTGCCCATGGGTCCCTGTGAACATCACACCTCCATAGTTAGATTCTTGATATGTTCAGTGAAGGAGTAGTGATCAATGTAGCGCTGATAAAGCCGATCAAAATGAGGTGTTAGTGATGATAATGAGAAAGATATTAACCGTGAGGCCAACTGGTCCAGCTCTGCCACCATGCCCGGTCTCTCCTCTTGGTCCCTGAGGGCCTTCTGGACCACGGACTCCTGTGGGGCCTGGTTGTCCCTGTGGAGAACAACAAGTAAGATTATGTGATTCAACTGATCATAGTTTTTCTTTTTAATTACTCCGTGGACTGTTACTGAACATCAGGACTTCATAAAGGTTTTAACTCTTTAATGCCTTATGTATCATATTTAATACAGACAATTATATCCTTCAATCAAATCAATATGATCAACAAATAACTAAAAAAAAATCCTGAATACAGTCCAATAAATGATAAAAATGTCCTCTTGTAGTTTATTAGTTTCCAAAAACATCTAATGGATCAAACGAGATCAATAAATATGGATGTTAAATTTTAAGTACATTTTGATTTTTTTTTTTTGTTTTCAGTATTATTGCTAAATATTTCAGTAGTATTTTTTATTATTTATTTACTTTTTAATTTTTATTTAATTAATTCATTTTTTTAAATCTTTTTTTTATTTTTTTTTATTTTAGTAGTATTTTTTATCTAATATTTCAGTAGTATTTTCAGTAGTATTGCTAATTTCCCTTCGGCAATTAATTAAGTTCTTATTATTATTTTGAGTAAGTGAAATAAACATTTCAGCTCCAAATAAATGTGAATTTTCTGGCCATAATTTGTGGTGTCAGGCATTAAAGGGCTACAGCTCCAGAGAGGAGTTTTTGGATCTTTATAAAATAGTTTATATCAATCTTGTGTGGTGTTTCACTCCACGTACCTTCATTCCTGGGGTTCCAGGATAACCTGGAGGTCCACTAAGACCCAAAGGACCCTGTTAAATTAACAAAAAGACAAATTAAACATTAGAAATGGGCACTAAACATGTGCAATCACAGGACAAACCAAAATAAGAATAAGACGTTTCCACTTCAAGACTTGTCTTCAAAGTTTAGGAACATGCAGATACTGGTGTAGATAAAAAACAAGTCTCAGTAGAAGACAGGAATAACTGGCTGATTAATCAATTGATTGCATTTATTTACGTCCCATGCACATAAAGTTATCAACTAATGTTCCTTCAACAGTGTATCCTGCTTTTCTCAGTCATTGCAGGTAAAAACTGGAACCACAAAAGGTTCCTCCTCTAAAGCTCAGGTCAAGTTTTTTATTAGAAGAAGATGAAGAAGAAGAAATCAGCGGACCTTTTTAACTTCCTTTGTACTCAGAGATTGCATTACAATTCAACCATTTAAAGGACTTACCATTGGACCAGGTTTTCCCAGATTACCAGGTGGACCACGCTTTCCCTACAACACAAAGAGAATCACTTTTACATGAAACTTAAACTTGAATTCAAACCTTTATAATTTGGGACATGAGGAAAGATGTTTTTGCTACAGAGAGGTTTTATCCTTACAGCTATACCACCGGGTCCAGTGCGTCCTCTCTCTCCCGTCATACCAGCAGGACCCTGTTAGACGCAAAAGTTAAGAGTTAAAAAAGTTTAATTACAAGTACGATACAGTTTAGCTTCAGTCAAGAGTGCACATCACCATCAGAAAAAGCAGAAACAGATTTAAGATCATGAAAATGTTGGTTGAGAATATGACTTACCATTGGTCCAGGAGCTCCCATTGGACCAGATGGTCCTGTAGCACCCTGGAAAACGACAAAACAGGCACATTTAGACACTCTTTGGAAAAGTATGAAGTCTTAAAAATGTTAGCGATAAAAAATGGCTGAGTGAGTTATGGTGATGAAAAAGAGGTTTGTTTCATATTTTCATACCTTGGACCCAACAGCTCCAGTTTCACCTTTTTGTCCAATAGGTCCCCCATGACCCTGAAATCAAGGTACAGAAAAAAAGACATTTATATGGCTGCTTTCAGAACTCAAGAAACACATCAAATTCAGGTCACACACTTCTATGCAAAGGGTTTTAATGAAACTTGTGCAGCGGCTAATAAAATATCAATACACTCACCCGGTGACCCTTCAATCCAGGAGGCCCTGGTGTACCTGGAAACCCTCTGGATCCCTGAAACATGTGACAGTAAACTTAGTCCTCATGAACACTCACGATCAGACCCTCTGGTTTGTAATTGTGTGAGATGAGCTTACCGCTGATCCAGGGAATCCAACTTCTCCAGCATTTCCTGATTTTCCTGACTCCCCCTGTGCAGAAACATGATATTTTTATCTCACATGAATAAACGGTAGCAGCGAAAATGACACCCTGAATCACTCTGTCACTGTCTGGATCCTCTGGCTATAGTTAATACAGATCTATACAAGCAAATTTAGGGCCTGTGTCCACTAACTGTTTTTTTAAGCTGGTTGCTTCTTATTCAATTCAAATGTAATTTAGCATTTACAGTGTTCTCAGTGCAAAAAAGGTTCTTTGGTATGAGCTGAATCAGTGGTTCTCACTCTGGGACCCACATTTTCCCATTATCCTTAAGTCGCGACCCACTTTTATAAAATTCTAACCAAACAAATTTGTCTTTTTATATAAAAACCCTTTGAAGACTCAAATCTTTAACATAAACAAACCCATTTTGTCAAGTAAAGTGCATTTCTGAGAACATGAACTGAGACGACAACTACTGAAGTTGCATATACAGAAAATATCAAATATCACAAAAATGGGGACCAGCAAAATGAAAATTTTACTCATATGCATCTCTGCATTCAGGCCACATTACTAAGAAACCGAGGAGGACCACGACATAATGCATGCCTTTCAAAATAAGCTAATTTTCAAAATAAAAGACAAGTCAAACATCAATATTTCTTTTTTTGACCAGCTGTTTGTGACCCATTCAGAACGTGTCCGCAACCCACTTTTGGGTCAGGACCCACCAGTTGAGAACCACTGAGCCAAATTAAAAACTGTTGTGGTCTTCCATGATGCTTCTTTATCACCAGCCAATCAGAATCAAGAAGGGGCGGGACTTCTGATGTCAACTTTGCCAAACAACAGTAGCTGAGGTTCATACAGAGGAGAAACTGACCATGCGTTCTTTAGAGGTAGATTTTTCAGGTAAAAAGGTGCAGCCAATGCTCAACAAGGTTTCAATTTTTTATATTTTAAAAAGTCTTTAAATGAAAGCAGATATGAAGTGTTCAGAAAATTTTAGGATAGATTAATTAGTCACTATTTAGGAGGACTGTAAGTTTGTCCTGAAGCGCCACGATCAGACCTGTTACCAAGCAGGGATGCACCAGCGAGAAGCTGCTGCAAGTCCAGATCACATTGTTAGTGTAGACAGGCCCTTACATCAACAGTTTTATTTCTTTTTTGTTGGTGTGAAGAATAGATGGTGGTTTGTCATCTTTTTACTCTAACTTTTACACGTGAATCGTGCAGTTTGCAGTTTCCACCGCTTACTTACATCTTCACCTGGTTTCCCTGCAGGTCCCTCTGGTCCTCTCTGCCCGGAAGGACCCTGAAAAACAAACAAACAAAATCCATCAAAGTCACAGAAAAATATAAACGTGAATGTTTATGTACACCACTTGGTATGTTTTTGCTATACAGTTAAAAAAACAGGGTGCTTTACCATCTGTCCTGGATCACCAACATCTCCAGGTGGTCCTTGTGGTCCAGCTTGACCCTTAAACAAGAAAGAGTGACATTTAGAAGTTGAAAAGAGCTCAAAGCAAACTGAATAAAAGACTTATGGAGTATTTTTCTGAATTTGCTGCAGACTCACAGGTGAACCAGAAGGCCCAGGAGGTCCTCTCGCTCCAGACTCCCCCTGAAACAAACATGATGCAAAATCAAATTATCAGAATTTAGACTCATCCTCATGAAAGGCCAGAGATAATGAAGCCTGCCCTCCAGGGTTAGAGAAAACAAAATGGAGTGAGAGATTAATTTGGCAGTTAAGTGTGAGCGGAGAAACTGGATGAACCCTGTAAACACAGAGGCGAGAGCTCATTAACGTGCTCCAGTTAACACGTGTTTTTATTTAGCTCAACTTTAACAAGAATACAAATCAAGTCCTGGAGAGACATATAACAATAGCGAAGGAAATGTGTGCATATGCAAAAAGGCTCCATGATGAATAAATCAGCTGTTGTTTAAAGATCAAAAACACAGAACAAAATAGGGTCTTTGCTGCTGCTCTCCCCGCCTTCCCTTCTCATGTTGGCCCATTAAACAAAGGGGAGGGTGCACTCTCTCTTTGGTTTTGAACATATGCATGTGGAAAGGTTTAATTGACAGACACTAAAATCACAATAATCTACTTCAGGTTTGGGTTCATATTTTGTAATCGTCCTCTCACCCTTGAGCCAGTCAGCATGCCCTGAGGTCCTTGTTTTCCATCAGACATCCCAGCCATCACATTTCCCAGACCCTGCAGGTTAAAAAAAAACACAGTTTACTCATTTTGGTTCAGCTCAGGCATGTAGGCGATCTAATGTGTGTCTGAAAGTGTGCATGTAAAAAAACAAAACATGCCACACTCACCTCTGGATGGGAAGGATGTCCTGGTGGTCCTGGTTCACCAGGCTGACCTGGAACTCCAGGCTCTCCATCATAACCTGGAGTTCCCCGCAGTCCCTGGAGAGCAAAGCGAGAGAGAAGAGTGAGTTTAGTAGTCTTGAAGTGATTTTATAAAACTTTTTATTTCAACACAGATGAACAGAAACACAGGTTCAAAATGTAAAAAGTATATTGACTCCAATATATAAACTGAATAGCACCTCATTAAACATTCAGCCCCTTAGTTGAAGTATAAATATGAGAAAAGAAGTTTGAATTCTGATTTTTATCCCAGAATTCCAAGAAAGTCAGAATTATAACTTTAATTTTTAAATTCTGACTTTAATCTCAATATTCTGGTATAAAAGTCAAAGTTGCAAATAATTTCAGAGCTTTTTTTGTTGTTTTTTCTCTAGAAGGTCAATAAGCAGAGTTTCGGGGTCACAGAAATTTAATGTTTTCACGTCATGAACTTGCTGAAGGCTAAGTTGTTGCCTTCTTGGTACTGTGAGTTACTCCTTAAATACCTTTGTCCTATATAATTCACAAATTGCCTACAGACCCTGGAGTGTTCAAACTTGCACATTATCTATTATCCTCAGTCTGCGGTTCTTGAAAGAAGGTAAATATCTGAATTCATTCACTGAATCACTGTAACTTTAGTGCCGTGGCATTAACACAAAATATTACCAAAATATAAGATAATACAGAGTTTGTGTCTGGCTATAATGGGATCACATCAAGTGAAATTAAGAGATTTGCTCGATCACATCACAGCTTTAACTGTTTGATTCTTATTTAATCCGACTTCAGGTACTTTATTCTGTCTGTGGAGATTCTTGGATGTGACTTACAGGCCGTCCTTTGTTTCCACGAGCTCCTCTGTCTCCTGGAGAGCCGGGAGGTCCCTGTTGAGACAGAGCGAATAAAGAATCAGGAGGTGATTATATCGAATCACCACGAAGTGACACTTGTAAGGATATGTCAATAGAGCCTGAAATGTCACAGCGACTCTGAGGACGAGTGAGTTCAGCAGGAGTGCTCTTGAGATGAAGTTTGAGGAATGAACTGTCCTGTAATGCCATCTAGTGTCAGTTCAAGAAGCCCAAGAAAAACTACAGGAATATACAACCTGTCATTTTCAGGAAATAGTCGCTGTAAGAAAAAGTTTGGCTGCTCACCATGGGTCCAGGACGCCCTCTAATTCCAGTCACCTACGAGAAAAGCATCAAACACATAGTTAACTTCTCTATTTATCATCTTCTCTGATGATATTTAAGGGTTCAAAGGTTGATACAGTCAACACTCACAAGTGGTACATCCCCGGGTTCTCCTTTCTGACCCTGAATGAACAAAGAAAATCTTTCAAACTCAAATTCAATACAGATGAAAATACCAGAAAACATGAAATATTACAGTAATAATAGTCAATCTTAAGCCTACCCTGAAGACCCTGCCACCACCGCCACCTGTGTAAAAGAAAAAAGCAAATATGATCACATCATTTGTTCATCTCACCAAAAACTACACAGTGTGAAAGCCTTAGAGGCAAAAGTGAATTAAAATTTCTGCTAAAATAGTTTTTTAAAGTTCTTGTTCTGTTTTTTTTCTCAAACTAGTTTTGTTGGAGTCACAAAAACAGGACTAGGGTTGGAAAAACATTGATGCAGGACTATATCTTCATCTTGACTGGTACTATTATCCACATTTTAACAATCTTTAAAGATTTTCTAAGCAATTTGACTCAACCATCATGACTTCTAGCTGTGCAACCTCAGCAGATTTAAGTAAAAACGATATAGTGTTGTATTTCATTATGTCAGTGTTGTATAACACTGTCTCATTTTGTATTGTATCAAATTCAGTCCTATCATATTATATCGTACTGTAACCCATTAAATCGGCCATATGGTCAGCTTGTTGTATGCTATCATATTGCATTTAACTGTATTGTTTCATTTAGTGTTGCATCACATCTTACCGCACAATAGCATAAACTTTTAGTATCATATCATATCAAACTATACCGTACCATATCATATCATATTCTTAACTTTTAATACAATTGTATCATATTGTATGGTGTCATATTGCATTGAATCATATCGTATCACATAGTTGCGTTTCGCTAGTTTCATATTGTGTCACAAAGTTTCAAATAGAAATGTAGCATAACGTATCATTTGGTATTGCATCACATTGTACTGTGTGACATATTTTTATATCAATTTATTTAGTATCTTACAGCATTTGAATATATCATATTGCATCATACAAAGTATCATATCATTCTGTATTATATTGTTTCATATCTGATCACATTGTGTCATATCACGGTTACTTTTCGTATCATATCTTGTCGTATTACATAGTTTCATTTTGTGTTATAACATATTGCATTACATCATATCATACTGCATCACTTTGTTTTATATTGTATCTTATCTTATTATATTTAATTGTCTCTTATTTTATCGTATCAAATGATATTGGATTATATCGTATAATTTCATATTGTATCAGATAGTTTTGTATTATATTATATTAATGTATTAAATCATGTCATCTTGTATCATAGTTCTGTTTTTAAGTTATGTCACATCTTATCATCTTGAATTGTCCTTCTGTATTGTGTCCCATTGTATGATACCATATTGTATAAAATCATTTGTCACATTGAATATCTAATATCGAATTATTAATTAATATCTAAAATCGATTTTCCCTTGGTGGATAGTTAAAGTTCTTCTTGTGTTATCTTTATCGTTCTTTGTAAGGAAACCCCTTTTTTCCTCTTTTCTATCGTCTATAAATATAAGAACGGAGAAGCACTTCTCTACATAGATTTGCCCTCATTATAAAGGTTAACAATCAAAATAATCAGTTTAATCCATTTACATATCCAGCTCTCCTCCTGACAGTCTGTTGACATCTAACATCTCCACGATGGCTTCATTTGTTCATCATTATTGACAGATCAGATTTCTCCTCCTGGAACCGCTCACTCACCAAAAGCGCCCTGGCCTCCGGTGCTGGGTGAGTCACTCTGACACACGGGGCAGCACTCTCCATCGGGGACCACCACTTTCTCACAGTGAGTCAGCTCATCACACTGGATCTCGTCACAGAGGACGTTGCCGTTGTCGCACACACAGATCCGGCATGGCTCCGGCTTCCAGATGTCCTTGTTGGTGTAGGTTTGGCCGTCAGCCGTGCAGCCTTGATCATCTCCTGAAACACACAGAAGACAAAGAGAAACATTTTAGCCCCTCATATTTACTCTTAATGTTGTGCTAAGTTTACTGAAACCACAGGCAAGACGGGACAGGGTTCAAGAGTCAAGATAACAAAGAAGAAATTAGCTTTAACAGAGAATAAATAATCGATTATAGATCCATGTTTTCCTTTTTAGGATCACAGAGGCCGAGGCTGCCTTCAGCACAAACATTCATTATTAAATCTCAACACAACTAAACACTTAACCACCTTAACCACTGCCTTCTATTTATTTATTGCCTCTCAAAGCAGCTGCCTCCGGGGGGAGAAGTTGCAGATTTACAGCTCTGTTCGGTAACACTGAAAGGTTGTATAATTGCCAAGAATCCATGATTAATTTGAGCTATTATTTCAGGTCTAATTTTGCTCTTACTACAGGAGACACTTCATTTAACTATAATAAAGGCTCATTCAGCTTTCCCTCTCTGTATATGCTTCATTTCAAACAAGGTTTTCTGCACACGCTCAGGTAGAAAAGGTCTGGAAAACATGCCTCTGTGCCGAGGTCTCCAGCCGTTAGACATGAGATCATTTCCTCCAGAGGGAAAGAGGCAGCGTCTCAGAAAACTTGACTCACATCCAAGAACTGTACTCCACCAACAACTGAGTCCAGAGAGCGTACAATTACTGACAGATATGTGCATACAAATAATCACGGAAAAAAGGAGTTACTGTCGCAGAGGGAGGGGAGGGCCCCCCGGACTCCTCATTGTGGGTTGAGTTTGGGTTTAACAAAAACAGAGAGTGAGGCTTCTGTAATCCGAACCCTGGACTGTGAAGCCTCACCTGTTCCTCATACAAACAGCAGGTGGCAGCTCTGAGCTTCAGACTGCAGGTAAACCAGGTTAGTCTGACTGTCATGAAGGACCAACTCCTTCCCTCATGTTTGAGAGCACCTTCTCTAAACTACAGGGACTTTACGTATCAAATAGCTGCAACAGTCTCCTAAAACTAAGGAGTAATGAAACATGACTTCATGTTAAAATGGGGCTCAGTCTCTATTGTACTGGTTTTGTTTATATAAGTTGTCACTTTAGATATTAAAGTTCAGGATTCGCTGTCAAATGAAACTAAAAACAAGCTCAGGCGTGTTTAAACATCGATCACAATCAGAATCAACATCACCGGTCTGTGAAAATGGAGAATTCAACTTTTTGCAATAACAGGGTTCACTTCGTGTAGCATAGATATAGACTTCATATACTGTAGATTTGACATGTCAGAGTTTACTTTTAGGCAGCACTGTGTTCAAGTACAACATGAAATAAGAGGCTGATCTCTCTGCATCTGCACAAACCCGACCATCTGTGTGCATTTTACTGTGTGGGAAAGTTCTGCAACCAACTTTTGCACACAGGGAGAGAAAACACCAGCAAATAATAGCATGCAGGATTTTCAGAGTGGGATCTCATATAAAGTTGCAACAAGGCGCTCAGGGCAGGCAGGTTTCCAAGAGAGAGCTTCAAGTGTACTAGTGTCAAAACTGCAGCAACTACTCATCAGTTAAAGTTTAGTATTAAAGGCTTCAACCTGTTTTTAATCAGTTTTTGTCGTCAGCCAAAAACAGTTTTATGTTGAGTCAAACATTTACTTTAATAGGTGGCTAATGATGAAAAATAATGTTAAAGTCCAGCTCACAGTCTCTGAATTTGAGACAATATCTCAGGATACAACCAAAAACAGTTAATGCATGAAATGTGAATGATATATATGTATATCCATCACTGGGACTTTCTAAATACCTGGAACTAAAGGAAACTCATCTTGGAAGCTGTTCAACATACCGTGTAATCAGACTTTCCTTCATCATCTCAAAAGCACAGGGATCTTTAAATTAAGGATATAACTCAGACTCTGGCACAGGTCCACAAAAGCTTATGATCTCTTTTTTATTCCTACCACTCTTTTACTCATTTAAGGAAAAACAACAACAAAGAAAGTTGTAAACAAGCTCAGATGCATCCTTCGTATGTATAGATAGAACTTTGCTTTCAGCCTTTTCTTTATAGATGGTGGTACGTTTGTGGAGCTCATTTAAAAGTCATGAAGACCTCCTTCACCCGATCAATCCAGTAAGACTCAAACCAGTCCCTTCTACTGGCCACTATCTCTAAACTGGGAGATTGTTTAATCCACATTTAATGAGGAAGGAGTTGTTTAACAGTAGAGCTGCAAGACTGGTCTGTTTCATACATGCAATGCACAGCAGAGCGCCGTCTTTTTGGTAAAAAGGCTTTTAAAGAGTGTCTAAAACTCTGAATTTCTTCTCTTACAAGCTTGATTTAGCATCTGTGTTCATCTTTAATGCCCTCTTCTCCTGTTATTAGCTCCAGGTCTCTTCTACATTAACATTTTCCATATGAACATGAACAATTCACCCTTACAAGTTTCCAAAGACCCTTTAATTTGCAACAAGATTTAGATTTGATAAACTGCGTATGTTTTGACGCACAGCTCCCCGACTCTCTAACCGGCGAGTTAAACTCAAAGATTTCGTTCTCAGGCTTTCTGCAAGTATCTGACGGCGTTAAAAACACGACTCGAGACTTCCTGTCTCTTAACAGCCAGAAACATCCAACTGTCTCAGTTGTGGTCTTAAAAAAAAAGAGAAATACAGCCCACCATGGATCACCAGATCACATCTGTCCTCATTTGTGGTGAGACACTTGGAGTTGCTTTGGCCATTAATCTTAATTTTTGGAAAGCAAACCTTTTTTTTTTCCTGTTTTAAAAGAACACAGTGTTCCTTTAGAAACATACACATATTTTTGGACGTGGATGTCTCCGCTCGGTTTTATCTGACTGAAACATACCACACGCTCTCCACTCAGAATTTATCTGTACAGGAGTTCGGCTGCAGTGCTTTCGTTTGCTGAGAGTAAATCAAACCGAGGATGTGTGGCCATTTGGTTTTCAGAGATTTCATGTTGGGAGTTTGAAATTTACTGGAAGAGAAGTGCGGTTTTTTTAAAGCGGTCTTAAACATCCCACCACAAGTCGTGAGGAGGAGTAGAAAGAGGGAGGTTCACTTTTTCCCCTCCTCTCAGCTAATTCATTGCAGGGCCCACACTTTTCCACAGACGCCGTAAAAGCACCGTTTAACCGTGACAACGGCGAGAAGGCACGCTTCTTTCTGATGGTGAATACTTGATCTGGATTTTCCACGAGTCAGCTCAGAGGGCAGACAGTTTCCTCTCCTGGTTAAAAAAAACAACATGGAGTCTGGAGCTTTTTAACATGACTCATGCGTCTGATCTTTACCTTTCACTGAGTACAGCTCACCAGACGGCAGACAGATAACTAACAGAACTAACCGCTTCTCTTTTATGTCACGTTTCACATCTAAACCACAAGAAAAACTGCAAAAGACGTCAACAAAGAGAGAGTGTTAAAGATGCATTCTTAAAAACGACCAGCAGGGGGGGAATACTAGCGGCATCAACAAACCCTACTCTTACTAAGGCTGTAAAAACATGACCACTCTTCTCAGTAAAATGACTTTTATAAATATTAAGGTGATTATAAAACAACTTTAACAAACTCTTGAATCATATTTTGCATTTCTACACCATTTGTTCTGCTAATTGCTGCTGAATACCTTTAATTTACAACAATTACTGCTTAGCAAATAGGAGCAAGTCGTGTGTTTGCTGATCACAGAAGCCCCTTTTACATTGCTTGCTTAAGGCAGGACTTTTACGCCTCTTTTACGGCTTGTTTGGGGTGTAAAATGAACAATGGCTCAAGGGGAGAGGTAAAGTTATTTAGCTAAAGCGATAGCATCAAAGCCGACAAGACTCATGTGCTCCGTACATGACCATCTGAGTGTGTGAGGAAGTGTGACGCCACTCTTACTGTCTCCACACACCAAGTGCGAGGAAAAACATTTGTGCGTCTGAATTACATGTTAAGTTAATGTAAAGACGCGATTAGACAATCCTATTTCTCTGGTGGCGTGAATGATGTATATTGGGCGGATATTTGCATCGCAATAACCAATCAGCATTAAGTTTGCCGGGTGACGTATGAAAATGGACAGTTCTTCACTGGTATCTAAAATGGAGGACAAACTGATCGTGTTGGTGTGTGATTATCAATTACCAAAACCGTAATAAAAAGGAGCTCGCCTGGAGGCAAGTGAGTGAGGAGGTCGGATTATCTGGTAATTTGTAAAAAAAGGTTGTCTATCACTTGATCCCGCCGGTTGAATTGGCAGAGATTACTGTTGAAATTACTGTTGACGTGCGACTAAAGCGAGTAGATGAATTTATTCACGTTTGGTGTGGGCGCCTCATTAGTCAATACGTTTAGATGTTTGAAAAAAACAGCTATGGCCTTCGTCCGACCAAAACCGGACTTGTAAAGTACGTGTTAACACCTTAGTCTGACTGTAACTACTCTGAATCAAACTTCTCACTGTCAGACTGTCTCACCAAAAGTGGCAAAAGCAATCTGCGCATGATAAAGAGTTTGCACACCCGGCTTTGGCCAGGAAGTTGAAAAACCTAACCACGCTGCTAGGACACCAGATACTAAACAAAATCTCAGGGACGGACGAAGAGAGAACGTGAAAGTAGAGTGACCGTATTCTGAATCCCCCCAAAAAGGACACAACTACGAGGGGGTGGAGTCACAAAGTTTTTCAGGTCGGGTCGAGTGTTTTTTACGCGACACAAACTCAAAACTTCCAAACAAAACCCAGGGCACTGGAAGGATTTTATGAACTTCGTCGGACGGGCCGGACAGCCCCCCAAAAAGAGGACATGTCCGGGAAAAAGAGGATGTATGGTCACCCTAGCGAAAGAAGACATGACATACATCCTGTTTGCCTTTTGCTCTCATGTTTGGTTGATTTTTTGGTACTAAATAGTAGCTGAAAGGAGGCACATTGCCTTGGCAAATACAGACCTGTTTCCCTCACTGATTTAACACTTATAAAAGTCCACAACAAAACATGATGGTTGGTCTGTTTTACTTATTTATAAACAGCCGTCAGTCTGAACCTGATAAACCTTCCTCTGCAATGCCAAAGATGTGACCAACAGGAGGACAGAGAAGCATAGAAGGTTTATGGGTTTTCCCCAGCTAATATGGAAATACTCATAACAAACTGCGCTGGAGAGAATCTAGAGCAGCCACAAGTCGAGGGGTTAGAAAATGACCTTATGGAAACAATGAGTCACTCAGAACTGGAACTCTCATTTCCTTCAGAAAAGAGTCCAACTGCAGGACTCAAACTGATGATGGCTCCGCTTTTTAAAAAGATAGTGCAGAGCGGACGAGGATTTCATGAATCCATCGGTGACGTTTGTTTCCATTCTTGTTCTGATCTACTTCTACATAGCAGCGAGAGCAACTCGCCCTACGTGACACGGTTAATACCGAGAGGACGCACTGCAGCCTGATTCCTTGTCCAGATGCAGATGAGTTACAGCTGCTGAGGGGGGGCTCTGCTGCAGCTGTGCTTTCCTGCTCTGAACCCCTCGGTGTCACGGCCGGACATAAATCTCTCCCCTGTAAAAGACCTTTAGCTTCAACCTGATGAAGCTGTCCTTAAAAGCAGACGTCCCACACTGAGGTCAAAAACATGTCAACAGTTTGACTTTCTGCTTTAAAATACCTCCAAACATTTCTGTATTTTCAAAAAGTCAGGATCAGAAGTCTCCTCGCTGATCGGCTTCCTAAAGCTGAGAGGATTTGCTGTTTTATGCTCATAGGGGCTTAAAATCTGAAATACAGCTCTAGTTCGAACACGCTCTTCACCTCGGCTTCTACAAACAAAGCTCAGTATCTCGAGGGAGGGGAGGAAAGCTCCGGCCAGGAAAGTTGAAATAAGTAGCTTGCTGATTACATGTCTGGGCTTTTCCATCAACAGGCCCCCGTCTTCAGCGGGTCTTCCTTTTAAAGAGGCAGCCGCAGTTATGAGCTGTTCCCATCCCACCGTAGACCCGCTCGACTGCACATCCCCCTCCTCATCCTTTTTTCTGCTCGGCTGACTGACTCCTCTCTGTTCAGAAGACATCGCCTCACGAAACCATGACTTTCATACTTTCTTTGTCTTTCGTTTCCTGCATTAGAAAATCATGCTTTTATTTCCAAGTATATGACTTTTGGTAGATGGTAAGCTTTTGCTGCTGTGCATCTTTTTCGTCAGTTACGGTGCATTGTGACTAAGGTTAATCTAAATTTGTATTTTAGAGAATCCAGTCTAAACAGATCAGCTGTGAGACACCGTTTAAAGTCTCCGGTAACATCCTTACTCCTACTTCAAGTGGAGACCTTAAGTCATCCTGTGGTAAGAAGGAAAAAGCCAAAAGTTTAAAAGCAGTGAAGTCATTTTAGGTGTGGTAGGTGGTGTCAAAGAAAAAAACAAAAACATGGTGCATTTAAGACAGGAGTTTGACTGTGACATCGAAAGTTTGGGTTGAGTCATGAAGTCAGATCTGTCGTATAAAAACTACGAAAATAACCTAAACCATTGTTTATATTCAGATCACCTTTGTTCAAAGACAGATTGATCATTTATCAGGTGAAATTAGCTTCTCCTCTTTGATCACAGGTAGTTTGTATACAGTTCCTTAATGTCTGAAAATTATGGCATCATCTACGTATTTACGGATCTACAAACATAAGTGGGAACGAGGCATGAAGCTGCTGTGGGATCTGTTGGTTTTCATTGGTTTTGGTCACAGACTGTATATAGAACGGACGCCGTCTGCCTCCTCGCTGGGTGAAGCCACCGTGAGAACAGCACCCTCTGGTGACAGGCTGCAGTATAGGTCATAAATCCACACAGTATATAAAGTTTTCTCCGGTCTGCTTGAGATGTTGACATGTAGTTATTGTCAGACTGGTTTGTGCTCTAGTCCTTTTTTTTCTGTACAGCTCCATTTTTAAAACTTATTAGGGGGTTCATGTTTTCTATGATTGACACTTGATATAGCCTATTGGCATTCAGGGATTGCGTAGCTCAACTGGGGGATACGCTATTTGAGCCGAGCGTCATCACAGCGACTCTCTGCGACTCTCCCGCCAAATTCGTACAACAACGAAATAAAGAGGAGTCTCTTATTGTCCAACCTTATTACTCAATTTGGAATCAATTTTAGGTCAAGTGAGTGAGAAGACACCTGTAGCTCTGCGGTGCATGACCATCGAATATCCAACCTAAAACTAACTTCACTGCGGTATTTACATGAAAAAACATTTGTTGCCTCGACAGATTTTTTTTTTTTATGTGCACATGTGCCTCTAAATACATTTTACAATTCACACACATCTATTTTTAGTCACAAAATTAAGTGAAACGGTCGCACTGTTGAGCCCTGAATTTGTATATGGTTCCTAAATGTCTGAAAACTATGGCATCATCTATGTATTTACGGATCTACATAAGTAGGCGGGAACAAGGCATGAAGCTGCTGTGGGATCTGTTGGTTTTCGTTGGTTTTGGTGCAAAAATATCTACAAATGACAGTATAGATTTTCATCAGCCTTGTTGCTGGTGATCTTGTTTGCTTTTGCAGGTCATGGAGAGTCTGTTAAAATCCCACTCACGAAACTTTAACCATGACTACATGCTTACAAACTTTTTTCAACCCCATTCAAAAACATCACCCTAAAGTTTCATGTGTAAACCCTGACCAAACTGCAACTGTTTCGTACATTTATTTCCTGTCTGAACGTCTAGATATATTCAGTCACGCCGACTTCCATCTGTAGAGGATCCAGTGAGACCAGAGGACAGGAACAAATGATTGAATTGGAACGGAGTGAAAAGAGGAAAACAATTTGACAGCTGGGTTATACATGAGGGCACAATCAGCCGTGCTTGTAACAAATACCAGACTCTGTCTTTTTCCTAGCATGTGCGTGTTGACTCATCACAAAGTAAGTGTACCCGATCACAGATGGCGTGCTTGATATGGCGTAATCACAGATTTAGAAATTATGAGCTGTCGAGATGAAGGACAATCTTCATCTTTACAGTCAAATATACGACCGAACCCTCTTTGGCCTGGCCTGAGGCTCTCTGCACAGTCAGGGTCAAAGTTCAGAAACAGGGTAAGCCTTCTGTAGGGGCATAAATGTGCTTCGAATCTCAAACCTTCCACACCACAGAGAAGAAAAGCTCCACACTGATTCAACACATGTGTGTTTCTCCTCTTAGTTTCAACCCTGCGGTTTCACATCTGATAATATTGAAGTTTCTCGGTGACCGTGAAACTTCTTGATGTTTAATTTCTATGTTTTTATTATGTAGGATATGTAGATATGTTGCAGACATGTCTGGCAGGCTGCGTCGCTCTGTAAATAACACACTTCGCAGGACTTTTATCATAACAACAGTGGAATGTAAACACATGCTTAAACCATCGAGCCGCACCGTTCGTCTGGATGTGCAGCTGATGCCTTTCAGCAAATCCACATCAGAGTGGAGTTTGTGCCACGTAACAGCAGCAGATCTACAGGAGACCAAAACATGTGAAGAAATCCTCAAGCGCAACATAAACTATAAAGCAAAGAAAGACAATCACAAATCAGTCATTTAAAGGCACAGTAGGGAGTTTTTTTAAAGGTTGGGATACAAACAGTTGTGTCTTTAAACCCTTAAACACCATTAGCATAGATACTTGCTTTTTAGTGATTTAAAATCACCTCAAGGAGATGTCGGACCACATGATTGACAGAAATAAAGCATAGCATTAGTTCTGACAGGACACGACGTCAAGCGCTGATCTGCAGCCAATGGCTAGTAGCCACCTTAACCAAACAACGGCCCAGCTGATTTCCCCCTAGCTCCTATTGGTCCTCTGCCTTTAGAGCGCCCTATTTAAAACTGCACCAACCCAGCCTCTTTCTCTGCTTCGACAGCTAACTCCAGCTCCACCTTCGTGCCGGCTAAACTGCTCCACTACCCTTAAAGCGCTCCTGTTCTGGGGGTTCTGTTCATCGCTGCTCTAACCCTCATAAACGGAAGCGAAGGTGCTCTTCCAGCCTCTGGCCTTTCACGCATGCTAGCGTGGAGAACGGGGGGCCCCGGACAGAACCTCGACAGAACCTCGCAGACAGAACCAAGAAGGGGCTCTTCCTGCCTCTGGCTTCCACGTAAGCGCGTGGAAGGGAAGGGACCCAGAACAGAAACATGCCGCAAAATTTAACTTTGCACAATAAAGCTAAATTTTGACCAAGTGTTCCTGACTGAACTAGCTTTACTCACTTTTTATGCAACAAACAGTTACTTTGAGTGATAAAGTCATTGTTAAAAGACGACAGGATGAGGTCAGGTACCTAAAACCTACTTCGACATAAGCAGGACGATGGATGAAAGGTATCACTTTGTCCACAGGGGGCACCAATATCGCCACAAACCAAAAGTTCCTCACTGCAGCTTTAATTAAAAAGTAAAGGCATGATGCTTTAACTTTTAAATGTTGTTTTCTTCTTTTGTGATGCGCTAGCTGCAAGCTAACTAGACAAGAAAGACATTAATTAGTAGTATCAATTAGCATAAAAAGTTCTGCAAAAATGACTTAATTCATCCAAACTCCCAACTATTACAACCATGGTGTGGTCCATACCAGACAGATGTTGTATTTTGTTTCCAGCTAACTGACTCAGTCTTGAACGGTGAGAAGCAGATCTTTTATTCATTATCGAGGTGGAGAACAAATCACCCTAAAACTGTTGAACTTTCCCAGGTGGAACTGTTTGATTTGAAATCAGATCTTACACAAAGTTGGATGGTTTGATGTCCAACATGTGTTTTTAATCTCCTCTAAAGATAGATCCAGTGAACAGCGTTCAAACCAAACAAAGACTCTGACTCTTTTTACTAATGTGAATGACACGACCGCTTAATGTGAACTTTATAAAATTAACTTCATGGACTAAATGATGAACAATGAGCTGATCCAGATCTGAGGATGTGATCAAAAATATTTAAAAAAACATGTTATATTCTATTAAAACTGTTTTAAACTCAGTGGAAACCTAAAAACAGATAATAATTGTCTCCAGAGACGTGTCGGTTAAGTTGCATAAAATTTGGAAACGTGTTAATATCATCCGTCGGTCCATTTAAAAGCAGATATTCAGCAGAGGAAAAGGTGATGTCAAACATTCCTGCTCAGCGGAGCAGAGTGTTCACATACACAGGGGGGTCGAAGCGTCCCGGTGTTTTACATCCACTGAGCATGTAGCCAGATGTTGGAGAATAAACCGTGGAGGCTGTGCACCGAGGAACTGAGTGGAAAGTGTTTAACAGCTCGATACGATCTCGCTGTGTAACAAAGTCGAACTTTTAAAGCTTTTGTACGCTAAAAAACTGAGCGCCTATACTATCTGGACAAGTGATGACAATATGGACAGATGGAGCGAGATACTGGAGAATAAAAAGTTGGATTAATCTATATCATCTGAATTTTGGAGTGACAGGAGCACATCTGTGAGAGGTTCAGAAGTGCTTACCTACCATGAGAGAAATTTCATATCAATATTCAGACCAAAAAAGAATAAAGAATAAAAAGAATAAAATTATTATAAAACAAGATTACAGTCAACAAATTATGAGATCAAAGTCATTGTGATTCGAGAATAGTTATTTTACAAGAATTAAAGCTCCTGTCAGGAGTTTTTTTTTCAAGTTTATGAAACAGATTGAAATCATGTTGATGCCTTTTTATGATAAAGAAAAGCAAAAAAAAAAAAAAAAAATTAATGATAAAAATTTAGTTTTTATAATATTGAAAAATAAGTGCAGGGGTAGGTGTCAGTCAGGCAGCTACAGACAGAGATAGATGTGATAAATTTGTATGAAATGAGAAGTTTCAAAGTCAGAAGTCAGCAGGATGTGAATTTGTTGCCAGATGTCACTCAAGCATGTAGAGGAGAAGCAATGACTGTTTTGTCCACAGGGGGTGCCACAGTTGATGCAAACCCAGAGTTCCTGACAGGAGCTTTAAGTTGTATTGTTGGTCAATTATCAGCCACAACTTTTCGAGTCATCTTTTTGGAGTCCTGCCGCAAAATTAGGGTTTTTTTTATTCACAAAAACTTAAAAATAAAATCTAACCAGATGTGCCACATTCCTTGTTTTAGTACAGGCTGCCCACCATACACAAAAACTACAACTTTATCTTCAAATTATTCTTATGACATAATTACATAATTACATGTATCTTTTCTTCACACAGACATTAACTTAACATGCAAGAAATTAGAAAATAACTTAAAATGTTAAAAAGACATTTTTAAAATGTGTGAAATCCTCTTAAAAATGCATAAATCTCACTGACTATGAGGATTTCACAGCTTTAATAAAAGCTGCAGCAGATCTGGACATCATCCTGAGCAGCTTTATTCTCTTTTTGATGACATATTCACACGTCTTAACTTTACTTTATCTGCTAGAAAAGCACATTTTTCCTCCAGTTTCATCAGACAGATTTGGTTTTTATAAACTCAGCAGAAACTTTGAGATCCCGTGCTCGGCTGGGATAAATGTTTTCCATGGTTTTGGTAAACCCACAGCACAAGTCATCCCCGAGCATGCTGTCTGCTGCTTAGATCAGACGTACATGTCTGTGAAAGCCCTGGAGTATCACGTCTGTCTTTCCTCTCTGTATTTAACTTTATATATGTCGTAGGATTAATAGCTTTAGGTGGTTACATGATCACAGTATCCTGGAAAACATCTCTAGTGTTGACTCTTCCTGGAGTTTTAGTTCATCACTCCACACGTGAGCAACATCAAACTCATTAAAAACACCGGAAAGGAAAAACTCTACAGCTAAACCCACAGAAATCCCTCAAATTTGACTCAATCTCCTGACAGTGTTCAGTGATTACAGCATATAGACGCTAAATGACTAGATTCACATGAGTGAGCGTTATTATTCCTCAGGATGGGAAGGATTTTTTTAAAGATGGCCTATTTAAATGGTTGTGGAGGAACCCTGAAGGGAAGAGAGACTTATTGCCTCCACATTTTGTCTGACCTCAGAGCTGAAACAGCTGAATGATGCTGCATCCTCTCTTCAAACCAAATGTCTGCCCGAGGCTCTATTTTTGAATCCTGCTGATTCTCCTGCATTAGTTTGTGTTTTCTCATATCCCCAGAAAGCTCTCCAATAACCTCCTTCTCCTCAGACAGAAAATGCTCTTTTTCTGGACTTCTCCTTCACATCTCTCTGATTTTCACCCTATTTGCTCTTGTCAAATATGTTGTATCAAAAGCTAAAATTAGCGATGCAACAGCGAGACCACAGCGCCGGAGTATAGCGTATCATACGTGCGGACCTCAGGCGAAGGATGTCCCTCATAAATATTTACATTTTCAGCTGGACTGCATGGTGCCGGGTCAAAGGATGATTTATATTTACAAAAGATGATGAGCAGAAGTTGATGCTCTCTCCATAATGTCCTGTAACATCTGCGACCACAAAGTCGGTCAAAATGCAAACGCAAAGTCTAAGACCGAACTTTAACCTGGCATCAACATTGATACGTTTCAGGGTTCACAGCCCTGTTTTTAGCTGTTTCTGTTTACTGACTGTTTGTTATAAATCAGAAGCAGCTGTCAAACTACTGTAAGAGAGAGTTAAAGAATTTTCTCTGTCTTGATTTCTTTGGATTTAGATTAAAGCTCCTGTCACACGGTTTTCAGGGGGTCATTTAATGGAGAGCTAATGCTCCTAAATGACATACCAAAGCAAACAGGACCACTAACATCTAGATTACGTCTATCAAGTTCATTTTAATACAATTATCAACTGTCATTAGGTAGCAGGGGTGTGTCCAGACTTTTTTGACTGGGGTGGCCAAACTACAGATATCTGTGTCTCTAATGTACTCCTGTTTATATATTTATTTTCTTAGTTTAGACAGAAACACAACATGTGGTGGCCAGGATTAGCTTGTCTTGTTTATAAGATGCTAATTCACCTGGGGTGGCCAATCAGGTTTAAAAGGAGGGGGTCAGTGCCACCCCTGGCTGCCCCTTTGGACACACCCCTGCTAGGTAGGTGTGATGCAGCAAAAATTGTCTTTTTTTAACCATAAATTCTCAATAAAACATGATGACAGCTGGTGAAAAAGAGAGATTTATCAAAGGGGAAAAAAAGTACCTATGCGTGCACAAGATAGGGTTAGCAAAGAGGCACCACTCTGTCCACAGGGGGCGCCAAAACTGATTCAAACTGTCAAGTATTGCTCAATAACACACAAGTCTTCCAAGTGTTATCAGGCTTTGAAAAAAGTTACATAACAGCTTTTATGGACTTTTTAAAAGTTTTTTTTCCTTTTTTTGTCAAAATCTTGAGAAACAGGCTGAGACAATTATCGGCAAAAACAGGAATTTTAGTGAAAACACTCTGATCAGACACATCAGTCCTAAAGAATTACACTTCAGTCAGTTTAACAGCTGCTCTCTGGACCAAAACTGAAAAGTACTTCTTGTCGTTTTTAAACTATGATTGTGAAAGTAAGGCCTTGGTTTTACAATACTTAAATTTCACTCGAATGCGCATTCAAAGTTTTTCCAAACCAGAGAACAAAAACCACATTAAACAAGATTTTGCTGCAGGATACTCTTGTTAAAGTTATTTTCCATGTTTGTAAAAACAGAGGCCGTCTCAGAAAACGTGCTACACTCCTGAAAATCCCAGAAAAGCCGATGTTATGGAGAGGCTCTTCGAGAAACAGACGCCAATCCTCAAGGAAAACAGTTTCTCTGCAGATGTTTAGGCCAAAATTTCCTCCAAACATTGAGTGATACGCTTGAGTTGGCGAAAGTCCACTATCATCTCTGAAATGGAAACCATGACTCTATTCCAGGTGAACTAAATCAACTGTTCCCTCAAGCCGCCCGAGCTTACAGCAGATATCTATTATTACTTTGCTTGGATAGATAACACATCGACTGTTTCTCTTGCAGAGACTGTTGAGGTCTGCTGAGCTCCGTTTAAAACAGGGCGGGATAACATTCGCTGCAGATCTCTCATTCATAATCAGTAACTTTAAACACCGCTGTGGCTGGAGAGGGGGGTCGACTCTGTGAGGCCCCTCACTGAGGTGACATCACTCGGGCTCCGGCCTCGGGGGACACGCACAGAATTTATCACTTTCTCTTTATTGCTGAATGGAGCCCTTGAAGTTTACGGCAGGCTGCATTTTTTAAACGCGGGAGACGGACAGAGGGAGGTGAGGAGGTCGGGGAGGAGAGCTGTTATGATGCTTTTTTATCTTAGAGGGGTTACAGAGGGCCTGAAAAACAGCGGCCCCAAGGAAAGGCTGCGTCTGTACAAGTGGACTGAGACAGTGTTTGGTATTTTCTGTCCTGCAGAGATCACTGACAAACACTTTAATACACTTAATGCTGAGTGATGATATTAGTCACCACACCTTTATCTGCAAGTCTATTTGTCTGTATGATTGCACAGCTTATATCAGCATTGATAGACAGGAAGTAGAGACAGATCCACTCCCCATGATCAGCACTTGTTGCACAGGCAGGGTGACCATATGTCCTCTTTTACCCGGACATGTCCTCTTTTTAGTGGGCTGTCCAGCTTTGTCCCGGGAGTTTATAAAATCCTTCAAGTGTTCGGGGGTTTGTATGAAAGTTTGGAGTTTGAGTCGTGTGGAATTACTGAGTTAGAAGCAGAGGTGGGGGAAAGTCGCTATGTTGCAAGTCCAAGTCGAGTCTTAAGTCCTTTGCTCTCAAGTCTCAAGTCAAGTCCAAGTCCTGAACTTTTTGTTTCGAGTCCCGTAATTCCTATTAGTTGATGCGACACTTTTTAAACAGTTTGGGCTGTAAGGTATTAAGTGACTTGAAAAGACTTGACTTGACTTTTCAAGTCACTGGGCTCAAGTCAAGTCAAGTCTTTAGCAATCAAGTTCCAAGCGAGTCCAAGTCATTTCTTGATTTCATCAAGCAAGTCTCATCAAAAACGGGACTCAAGTCCAAGTCGAGTCTCGAGTCGAGTCGTCAAGCCCCCACCTCTAGTTAGAAGCGTGTAAAAAACATTCAATCTGACCCGTAAAACTCTCAAAATTAATTACGCATGGATCCGCCCCCGTGTAGTCTTGTCCTCTTTTTGGGGATTCAGAATATGATCACTCTTTGCACTGGCGTATAAGAAAGATCAAAATAGGAAAAAAAGCTATCAAATACACAAACTTGTGTGATATTCATCATTTGATATCAGCTGATCGGTTATTTCTCCACATTTCTCCACTTTCTCTCTCTGCACACGCACCAAAGCCTGATTAGTACCACTTGGAGACCAAATGGACAGATAATAAAAACCAGATTTTTCTTGTGTCAGCAAAATCTTCTCCCAAACCTCCAGATTTTATTTTCAGAGGTTGGATGTTTTCACATTATCAGAGCGACTTTTGAAACTTATTTTCCCTCTCAGAAAAAAGGTTTGAGATAACTTTGTCAGATATTCTTTGACCGATAATTACCATTTAACCAGCTACACATAGAAGAATAAAGAAATAACATAGTAGTTAAAGTCTGCATCTCACTAAATCACACTTATTTTTTGCCGTCTTTGCAGCGGTGCTGATGGTGAATTACAGCGATGCCAGAGGCAGAAAATTACTCATTTATTTCCACAACAAACAGAACATGATGTCCTTTATCCCTTCAGTCGCTGCCACAACTTCATCAAGATCAGGATCAGATTTGTGCAAATTAGCTTCACATGATCTCGAATATCTTCAACGTGGAAACAACTTTAACTCCATGATCTGATTTTCAGTCTGCAGAGAGAAATGCACGAGTTATTTTCTTTGACCCAAATTAAAACTTTACAGTGACTTCATGCATTTCTACATTTTGTTGCACTGAAGGAAAATCTCAAACTGCTCCGACCAACTCTGCAGGATTTTACTAGCACCCTGAGAGCATTCTTGCATCGCCATCAGCGGAGGATTAGTTCTTGGCAGATCTGCAGCAGTTTGTTTGCTGAAAGCCCTCCTCTCTGTTAGTAACAGTTACATTCTTTATTCAACATGTCATCAGCAGCTGTGTGAGCCTCAGAAACATCCTCCCAAACTGCACAAAAAAACGAGGATAAGATCATGGCTGAAGAGCTCACAAACCACCAGCTGACCTAATTTTGAGATACTGAAAGTTGTTCAACCTTATTGGAAAATTGACACGCTTTGACATTTTAAAGACTAACGCTCTCTTTGCTGGATGCAGAACTGATCTCCTCCACCTCTGAGCACACGGTGTATTTAAGTATTTAACTCCACAATTCAGACTCAAGTCCAGATTTCGAGCACTGCCTGACTCATATATCGATCATTTTTCTCACTCCGATCATGCAGCATATGTTCACTTGTATGCATGCTCATGTGCCGTCTTGTTCGGCTACATTTCCTGCCAGGACGCTCAAAGAGACGCCAACGAAATCGTGAGATTTGCTTTCAAAGATTTTATAATTAATGCAAGCAGCAGCTCACAGCATGTGTAAAATGCAAAACAACGACCACTGAGGAGAGTCGACGTGGTTCCCAACACTTCTGCAGTCAGCCTAAAGTGGGCGCACAGACATCTGCAGATTTTAGTGAGTCAGTATCGAGATATCTGACCTAAATATCCAGACATGCTGACAGAGCCAACTGGATTGTTAAATCAACAATATAATGTGTTCATAAGGGATCTAAAAGGTCCCACACAGTCAGTCCAGGTTCATAAAATGAGGAGTTCCCCCTAGAACTGGGCGATTATATGATCGTGATTAATGATTGTGGTAAATTTCTGTTCAATCACGGTGATCAGCTGTGAGCATATTTACTCAATCAGACATGGCGGAAATGTTTGTCACAACAGCCAATCAGAGTCGAGCTTTTCCTGCTCACTTCTGTAAAGTTGCCAGAGAAGTAAACAGGAAGAGTAAACAACGTGGAGCTGAGGGCAGCAAAATAGATGTCAGCCGTGACGTGAGAAGAAAAGTTATTCAACGTCGGTTGTGTGGCGGTGGTTCGGCTATCTCCACAGTCAATGTGAAAGGTATGTTGGTGGTCGATGCCCTTAAAAACTGGCAACACGACAGATCTGTTCAATCATTTGAAGAAGTTCTTCTCCAGTGAAGTAGCAGAGTCTGCACAGCTTTAGCAGTTTAGCCAAAACTAGCAGTGCAGCCACCAGACGAAAGCAACAACCAATCATATCATCTATGTTTACATCAGCTAATGTTAACATTTTAAGGCGTCTTCATTATCTCTGAGGGGCAATTCGTTTATTTTGGGTCCTGCATACCACCAGAAACACTCTAAACACAGTAAACTAGTTCACTGTTTCAGTTAGTATTTATCTACACATGTTGTATTGTTGAGTTAAAATGGTTTTTACATTTTTCTAAGTTTATCTTATTTAATTTGCTCTGTTTTTTACTTTGTATGTTAATAAAATGTTAAAATCCAGTTTCTTTAGTTTTTAGCACGGATGCTTTAAAACTGGCAGCTTAAAAAAATACACAAAAAATCTTGATACTGATCAAGATCAGACAAAATATAACGTGGTCATCTTTTCTGCCAAATCACCCAGTCCAAGTTCCCCCTGTAGAGTAGAGACCTGGTCCTCCATGTCAGTGACTCAGGTCTGATTCCAGCCTGTGGTCCTTTAATCTTGTCCTCCTTCTGTCTCTCATCTGTCTTCTCATAAAACCTCAGACCTCCATGTATCAATTATGATGACCTGACTCAGACCCGGACCAAAGTATTCAATAACAGGGGCTCAAGGTTCGGTGACGACAAACTGTCATTTACGTCTTATACCTCTGCTTACTGACCACAACTGTAAATCCTAACAACGTCCAGATGAAAGACTCGGGCTTATCCAGAGGAAACTCTAAATTAATATGACCTGTCTGCGAGGGGCTGAGATAAGACCACAAAGAAATGTCTGCCACACAATCCACACGGCGTCCCTCATCGCCACTTCTTCCTCGCCTCTTTTTATCCTCTTCCTCCTCTTCCTCCTCTCTTGATCCCTTCATTTAGCTCCTTTCTTCTCCTCCAATCCCTCTTCTCGTCGTACATATTAAACTAAGATGAAACAAGTTCCCTCCGTGTTTGAAGCTAATCCCTCTTATTCAGCGAACGGCTTTAAAACAAAAAGAGGCGAGAGAATTAAGAGGAATCTGGACTCCGAGCTCTAACTGAACCTGGTAAATAAAGACCGGCATCATGTGTGACGCTGCTTTGTAAACTGGATGTGTTTGTTGATCTGATGCAGCTGATAAAGTGAAGTCAAAATATCTACACACTACAGCAATTACACGCTTATTCTACAGGATAGTGTTTCTTTAGGGAAATCCATGTGGATCTTATTCCAGAGTTTATTTACAAACCCCCCAAAAGCTCGGGTTTGATGGCATGTGGATGCAATTTAAAGCTCACTGACTATAAATTACTGTACCAACATCGGAGCATTGTTGTCCCTCTGCTTTAAAGAAGTCTCTAACTTTCCAAAGTTCACTGTAAATATCTATAAAGCAAAAGTGAGGTCTAAGGAAAGCTTCGACTAATCCTCAAATAAACTCCTTCTCTTTGACTCTGCAGCAGCTCAACCATTCGGTGAAATCATCAAGTTAAATTGTCGCCATGAGTCACCGGCTCACAAGCAGACAATTCCACATCTCGCTGGTCTGGCTCTGTGAGAAGTGTTTGTTCGGGAACACTGACTGGACGCTGCGGCCGGCGAGTAAAGGGCAGGACAGACTCACATTGTGTTGAAAGAATGCAGCCTTCTGTCACATTGAGACTTATTTATACCCAGAATTCATTTGGTTTTACTTTTTCTCCCCTTTGACGTGGAAAACCATGCTGCCATCTTATTAGCTGCATTTACATGGGCACAAATAATCGGAATAAATGTCTGATCGGAATAAAAATGCGTAATGTTAACATGTCGATTGGAAGATTGTGATCCAATTCGGCTCAATCAGAATGAAACTGTATTCCGATCGAGAGGGGTGGTTAGGAGATTCAGAAGTGCGATAATGTTCTGTTCGATGTACAGAGCCGACAGCCCGCACTCGGCTTGAGCGTGTGATGACTTTTCCAGCTTTTCTCGCCAATTAAAGGCGAAGGAGGCGAGATCTTTCCCTACAATCCTATGAAAAAAAATATTGCAAACCACAGGTGCCGTGTCTGCTCCTCCAATAACATAACAAGGCGTACATCCTGGAAATCCAACATGATGTAGCTGAACCTCACGTTTTTCCATCTGAGCCTTGATCTTTCTAGAAATCTGACTTTACAGAGTAAACGGTATATGAGCAGAACGTTTCTAGTCTAGCACTCCTGGATCGACTCCATTTCTCAAGACTGGAGGTCGCCTCTTCGTCGGGTTCCTGTCAGCGTTAATTAATCTCATTCACGAGCATCCAGACGCTTCAACATACAAATTATGAGAGCTGAGATTAAATTAACTGTCAAACTGAGAGTTTCTTCAGTTTACCTCAGAGCCACAGCTGCCCATCAAACAGATTTCAGGAAAACGGTTTAAAAACTAACGAACAAGTCTTGACATCAAACTCTACAGCTTCAATTAAGATCGAGTAACAATTAAGCCTGAATATATACTTAATTTTAACTACATGCACATGCAGTTGATCGCTTTTTGCTCATGGATTGGTCTGGGCCATGTGGAGCAGGGGTGTGACAAGGTCATCAGAGCAGCAGAGACAACATTGGTATAAAGTTTTAAAGACATGTGATTGACATCCACATTGTTACCAAATGCCATCACCACTACACCGCAACAAACATGCCAAACATTGAGGATAGTGAATCTGTCAACTGGTTTAGCTTGGATTGGTTTGAAGAAATCCAGAGTTAGTAAGACAGTGACCCTCGTGAACTCTGCTCTGACTTGTTTTGACATCCACCTGAAGTCTCTGGTGTGCTCTCTGCAGGTTTGTTACAATGAGACATCTAAAGTATTTGTACAAGTATGTTAAGTTACTGCAGTCGAAGTTAAACATGAAGTTTATCCATCTGATAAAAACCTCACGAAAACACTTTACGACAAGCTTTCACCAACTTCTCACTACGGTCACAATGTTAATTAAATTAAATATTAAGAAAACAGGTTGGCAATATTTTATACCTGCAACACGTAACTTAAAAAAAATATCAGTATGATCAGCTGTTGTGCAAAAATAACACAACCTTCATAACCCTAACACAAACAGAAGTCTTCTTGTTGTATGTTAAAGATTTCACTTAGTGATTTTTTACTTAGTGCTGCTGGTCTGCGGTTAATTCATATATTATTCCCTTTTTTCTGTCCGATGATATGGAAGCAGACAAAATAAAGGTAACACAGACTTCAGTGTGTCAGCCCCCCTCAGGTAGACCACCTGGATCCTGACCTGAAGGCTTTTCACCGCACACACGTATATATAAATATGTATTTATGAGGCGTTTCACCAATCAGCTGTCCAACAAGCTGTTAAAGCCTAAACATAACTCAGGCCACATTTCTAACCCTTGTCACCCACCAACACCCATGTAGCTCCACTTGTTAACCCTCAGCAGCGGTAATATACACAAACCCGCTACAACATAGAATTTAGGCTGAACCGCAACCTGCAATTATGGCTGACAGGCACCATTTTGTGGCGTTTAAACAAGTAAGTGTAGTACTTGACAAACTAAATGATCAGATTTTGGAGACGCCGTGAGAGAACGCTAACTTTGTAAAAACATGAAGGGTTAGTTTATCTAAAACTGATTAAATATTTTAATTATCTAAAGCTTTATGTATGAAGACTCTTCTCTGTGTTATTACCAAAAATCCTTTAATCTGATTTTGCTGAATCATGACCCCATCCTAAGCTCTTCACCTTAAAGAAAGGGGGCAACCAGATGGGACATGAGACCTCCTGAAATTGAAGAAATTGAACCAATTAGACCAATTAGACCGGCCTTTGAAGAAGTCACAGAGAGAGAGAGAGAGAGAGAGAGAGAGAGAGAGAGAGAGAGAGAGAGAGCATGTATGTTCAGAGCGAGTCTTACATTACAGCTGGACCTGCCAACCTGCAGAGGATGAGCTCCAGAGGGCAAAAGTCCTCCAAGATCTCCTGGAAAAACTACATCCAGCTGTATCAACACTTCACACAGGAAAACTGGCAGCTGGTTGGAAACCGAAGTATTAACATGACAGTTGTGTTTTTATTGGTGTGTGTGTGGACAGGATTAGTCTTCATAATTGAAAGAGACAATGTTTGCCTCAGTCATAAATATAACTAAGCTCTCTCTCGATACAAACCTTGTTTGAAAAGGTGAAAAAATGTAAAACTAGAAAGGACAGGCGATAAAAACTTGACATTTCCTGCCTTTTGCGTGCCCATTTTTTCCCAAACATATCTCTTAGCCATAGTTAATATAATCATAACACTTCTGCTGCTGAAAATCAAGACTCTTGTGTTCATATTCTACATTTTTAAGCAGAATCTGGAAAAGTGCAAAAAAGTAAAACTCTCAAGCAAATACTGACTTCTGAAGAGCCTCTCTTAAGTGTCAAGAAGAAAAATTAGATTTCCAAGTTTGTGCACACTGATTTTAACGTGTGCATGCATTCCTAATTTATGTGCATACACGAAAAATCCATGTGCATTGATGCCAAATCCAACCACTCAGTTTGCACGGTTTACCAATCTGTCCCTGCAGATTACCAATCCCTCACACAGATTACCTATCTGTGTCCACGTGTTATAAATAAACTGAGGTTATCATGGGTAATTCAACTATTATCACCACTTGAAAAGGCCAAACTCTTACAGAGGTTGGGACATGGAAGCACATGGGAACCCGTCCCGCTCCGTGTTTACGTCCTGTCCTGTCCTCCTCCCACATGGACAGGCTGAGAGGATCTGAGAGCAGCAGATTGGAGGGTAAGTGACAATCACGGAGCAGGAAACCCGTCAGTCTGAGCTCTAATTGAAAGGCTTCTGAACAAACAGTTGCTTTAACTTGAACCTGCTGAAGGTGTTGAGACCGTTTAGGTAAACCATCAGCCGAGACGTGACACCAAATATCTGACATCAGCCGTGTGGCGCCCTCCTCGTCCAAGTATCTTTGAGGCTAAAACTCTTTTTTTTTTCAGTCATATCCAAATTCAGCCAAGGCCTCTATTTAAACATCTGGAAATCATCCCCCCTCCCCTCCTCTCCTCTAGCCTCCATTTGCTGACTGCAATAATTTGGTTTATAAGTAGTTCCCATGGAGCAGTCCTGGAGGCGCACACTGCTTTAGAAACTGAAATCAGCTCCATCGTCTGTGCCACTGAAGCCTCTCAGGTTCACGTCAGACGCCACGCTGATAAAAAAAAAAAAAACCTCCTTGTAACCTAAGAAAACGTACAATGTGGAGCGCCGACCCCTTTAACTGTGGAAGAAAAGAGGCGTGTAATCAAGTCATAGCTCAAAAATGCGGCATGTGGTTTTAATCAAAGCCGTCTGCGGACCTGGTTGAATTCACATGTTTGGACGTTTCTGCTTTGGTAGAAAACAGCCCATTTGTTGCGATGTCAGTGATGTGGCAACAACAACTGGAAGTAATTTGGAGGACGGGGTGACCTCATGTTGGCGTGTAGATTCAGAGTACCATGATGGGGAGTGGGGAAGAGTTTTTCCTGTAGATTTGGCTTGGAGAGACGGTGAGACAGCTCTGACTCTGACTCCACCACCAAACCGAATTCACCGTTAAGTCTGAGTTTGTCTCTTTGATGTGCGGCGCTAAGTGGCATCTTTGAAGATGTTTTACAGCTAAGTCAGCGTCTGGGAGGTGTTACGTTCAAGATCACACACACACAAGCAGAGGCATGAAGCTATCTGAGGCAAACGCAGACCCAGACCTGCTTCTCCTGTAGGTTTTGGCATCATAGAAGGTTCGAAGGTAGATGGTTTATGCTGGCATCTCATTGCGCGCCGAGAGTCTGCGCCTTGATCTCATTTGCCAACTTCTGTTCCCTCACGAGCTAACTTTACGCACATGTGCAGCCAGATGACTTTCATCTCGAGCCGCCGCATGACGAAAACTTTCAACATTTGTCTAAAACATGTTTTAACCTTCAAAGAGGTTTACATTTGAGTTTTTAGAGACTGGATCCTCGGGGATCTTTGCATCGTTACGTTTTGTTGCTTTCTGAGAAACACTAAAGATGGTTTGAGAATAAATCTGCATTCAATTACAGAGTTTCCTGCAATTTTCCAAATAAAATCCCCAATAAAACACAAAGTTGAATTCATCTATGAGGCTAAAACGTCTTGTGTATTCTTCCTTTAACTTGCTTTATCACGTGGATCAGGCCTCAAACACACACGACTACATTGTCTCAGAGCTCTGGTGAACCACATTTTCCCTGAGTCTACAGAAACCCAGAACTTTCCACTGTTTGAGTTTGGTCGCCCACCGCTCTTCCAAGGAAAGCAGCCTGCAACATCGCCGTACGGTCTCACATAACAGTCAGAGTAAGAGCCTTTGAACCACATCGGGTAAACATTTGTGAGCGTTCAAACTTTCCCTGTCAGGATAAAGTTGCAGAAAGTTTCAGGGTTTGGTTAAAAATGGACGTAAAATCCAAAACCAGGAGAATATGGAGATTTTTAAAAGATATCTAAAGTATTTATAGGGCTGGATGAAATGTCCAAATATGCCATGTCTTGATTATAACCAAACCTGTGACATTAAAGCATAAAAACAACAAGTTGGCATGAGAAATGTGAAGTTTCTGGCATCCAAAACATGAAATCAGTCAAATCAGAGAAATATCTGATCTCCTTGGTCTGATCGTGTCCAAGTGGTTCAATTCTGGGGTCAGATATGTTCCTGATGTGGCATTTTAAAACCCTGTAATCTGAAAATGTCCTGCATGGATTTCATTATATATACTCTATAATACTGAGATTTTATAATCTCTTTAATCTGAGGTATTTTGCACAGTGATTATCAATCATTTGCATACTGTAAGTGTGCAGAAAAAGGTACGTTTTGGGCCCCATGCAGCACCCGCCACAGGGTGGTGCTCTAACTTGCACTACGCTGTCATCCAGCTCTCTTCGCTTTGTGATATGATCGTAAAAACCAAACTCATTTCAGCTCTTTATTCCAAAAAAAAAAACAAAAGAAATGCTTCGAAAATGATCTACACAGCTCTGAGGTAAAATAAACAACACTTTGGGGCCACACCATTTGACTCCGCAGTCCATCAGGGGCCCATCAAGTGAACTCAGCGTGACATCATTTAGTGAAACAACAGAGTCCCTGTGACGACACGACACTTCAAACGCTCCAGCTGGAAAAGAGGGCGAAGCGCAGTTCAAGTCAAACAAGAGGTGCATGCGCTCAGGTGTTCCAGGTGTGGATGCTGCCAGCTGAAGACATGAGCAGAGCGAGCAGAGCGAGCGAGTGACTCACAGGCTCCAACAGCATCTCTGCTTCTCATGTCTCCTCACATCTGCTCTGCATTAGCATGCAGCCTGTGTTCCCTCACAGACGCGCTCGGGCTCTGCTGCGCAAATTCTTTCTGCAGATGTACAACGCTGTTCGAAAAAGAGAGAGAGAGAGAGAGAGAGCAAGAAAGAAAGAAAGAAAGAAAGAAAGAGAGAGAGAGAGAGAGAGAGAGAGAGGGAAGAAAAAGCGTTTGTGGTAATGAATGTTCCAAAGCGGCCAAAGAGCCATGCAGGAGAAATGTAAAACCGCAAAGGTGCTCGTTTCCCTCCTCTGCACACTTCTTTTTCGGTGCCTGAGGGTGACATCACAGGCAATCACTGACAGATGTCCACAGAGCTGTTTCCTCACATACACCGCTTGCTCGCCAATTGCGGATAATCCACAGCGGAGTTGTTCTAATCCATAATTTTGCTGCTTCAAAGCGAGATTAACCCCAAAAAAAGGGACATCTAGACTGTCTAAACCACCTCTGCAGGAGGATCTAACTCACATGCTCAATCCTCAGAAAACAACATTTCTGATAAAAGTTTGATCAAGTTTAACTCATGGGTAAAAAAAAGAGAAAAGAGTGATATCCAAACTGAGCCAAACTTGTAAGAGCTTCCTAAAACAACAAGAATCTCCAAGACCAAACTTCACACTTTAAAAACTCCAAGTTAAAGTCACCTGAAGGGCAAACCTGACCTTCCTTTCCTTCACACATTTAAAACCCAGCAGCAATTAGGTGTTAAAACAAACAGCACAAGGGTTTAACTTACCGCTGTTCCCGTCCTGACATGAAACAATCAAAACCTGAGCCCCGGAGACGAGCAGAAAAAGAAAAGTCCTTAAACGCACGAAGCTCATCATGTCTATAAGAAAGACATGAGAGGAAAAAGGGGAAAAAGGATGAAGAAAAAAAAAAGGGGTAAAAAAGCTCAGGTTATCACTGCACCACCATGAATACAAGAGTCCCCCTCCTTGTAAGCAGCAAGCAGACCCAGCCCAGACTGCGTGAGTGCTTTTTTGTGTAGTTACAGCTTTAAATGAGAAGAATGCTGGCGAGCCTAATTTTCCTCCCCCTTTTGTCAGCCCTCTCCCATCCTCTCACAGGCTGTGGGAGAACTACACCCATGTTCACAAGTTCTCATACTTTCCAGTGTCTCTCTCTCTGCTTCTTGGAATAAAAGTAGTCTCCATTAGTTTCTAACAAGACATTCAGGAGAAGATCAGAGAGAGCAGATAAGGAGAGATAACTCGACTTGTCTCCGATTGTTGCTTCTCTCCTCGAGTGGTTGCTTAGCAAGATCATAAAAAGTGTTGTTTTATTGCCGTCTTTGGGGCACCAGAGAGGACACACAGTAAGCAGAGAGGATCTTTTTTAACAGGCCAGTTTAAAGTAAGAATAGACTTTATAACTGTATTGTTTGCTGCGGAGAATTTGTAGCACACGAGATCACTTGTTTGCATGTTTGCTTATAAAATCAGAGGTTTTCTCTTGAATTGCGGGGTTCTTAGTCGAAGGTAAAGGAATAAAAGGTAAAAAAAAGTGAAACTGTGTGTTAGAGAAACTCTGTGGGTGGTCAGGATTGTAGGTGGTCACGATTGGGAATCCAGAGTTTAAATTTAGAGAGAAATCTGAGGTCAACACCTTTTGACTTTCAGCAGGGAAAGAGAATTTGCCCCCAAAGTTATAAATGTAGGATGGGATCTGTGAAATTTGAGGACTAATGTAGATTAAAGATGAGGCCTCAGATACAGTAGATTGTTAATATATCCAACTCTTAATATGACTCCACCTCTCTGGACGAGAAATCCCCAAAACACATCTTCAAGTCACTTTGACGTCACTTAATAAGGAGCCATTGATTCCTGATACACATGAAGGAGACGGTTTGATTCACGTCACATTCACATGTTTAAAATTCTTCATTATTTCCCCCTGTTTTCAAAAAGTTAAAAAGAAAACATACTTTGTTCCCATGGCAACTTGTAAGTGGTGCAAAATACGCATATAAGCATGCCAGACCAGTAGGTGGCAATAGTGCGCACACAGTCGCCTTAATCGCTACAGAAGAACACAGTTCGTGTCTGTGTTGAAGAACTTTGAGTAAATAGTGTTCGTAAAAGTGGTGAATAAAAACCATTTGACGTGAAAATTTTTACTCCTGTGTTGCCGTGAAGTAAAGTTACTCAAAAATATGCAAATAAACCTAACGGACGTGAATAAACTGGTAGCCTAACATCTCAGCACATGCAGAAAATGACAATATTCCTAAGATCAAGGTTTCACTGTTGGAATTTTTAGACCTGTGGAGGTGTTTTTAAAAACTTTTGAATTGAAGACGGGAGGTCAAGACTGTATTTGAGGAAAAATGCACAAAAAGGCCTGTCAGATTTTCAACTCGTGACTATTATGGTAATACGTAACACAATCAGTCAAATTAAGGAAAAGCAAAACAAACATTTTCACTGTCTTGCATTTCGATTGCTTATTTCCATGCTTTTATTTTGTAGTACACTACTTTTGGTAGATCATAAGTTACAGAGCTGAAAAACACTTGAAAAACGGTTGAGTATAAATGTTCAGTTTGTAACCTGAAGAGGCACATGCTCAAATTTTGTTTTGGGGTCCTAACTCAGTCTCGATCCTTAGTTTTCGCAAGTGTTTATTCATTTCTAAGTGCTAGCTCACTGGCGGCCTAACACCTCTCCTTCACCAATGCTCTGTTTTATGACTTGCGGCAACCAGTGTTAAGGACACTAGTGAGTCACTTATGGAACCAAATGCTTATTTTTAGTTTGACGTTCATATTAATGTATTTTCTAACAAGACAGTTATTGTTAATACCAGTATATTGACACATCCCGTACACACATAGATGTGGTCACAGGTTTTGATTGTAATGTTTTGTTTAAGTTATTAGTTATTAAGTTACTTCAAGCTCATTGGGATTTATGAAACTTTGTAAAACTTTGTGAAACTTTGTAAAACTTTGTAAAACTTTGTAAAACGTGGCTGGAGTAAAAAAATCATGACTTGTTTTCCTATTTTTGTTTCCTTTACTTTCTATTTTAAGATCAAACTAATCTTTTCACATGATCGTCGACACCATCACAAAGTTCCTGATCCGGTTAAAAATGAAGCCCCAGACACTTACAACTTTCCAGTGACTCCACCTCTGTCAAACGTGAACACTTGAAAAGTAGAGCAATTTTCTGACCCCAAAAGACATTAAAAAAGTTATTTTAGTCCAGCTTTCCAGGTCACTTTAACACCGCATAACAAGTCATTGATTCATCTTGGGAAAATCCGCTCAAAGGAGACAAACAGACGAGCAGACCGATTATTTAAAGGAGGTTTAAACTGTTTCATTAAGAGACCACACACACGGTCTGATGGCACATACAGTGGGATCTGTTCAAGCTTGTCAAACTTGTCAAACATGTACGTAAAGTTGGATAGATTTTGTTTATTACATTTAGAAATCTTTGAAACACCTTTAAAAAAAAACCAACAACAACATATATTTGACCTTTTTAAAATACACCCAGTTTTTCCTCACTCTTTGCCACACACAAGCAGCCCCGAGCAGAATGACAGGAAACAGCTGTGAGCCGTGTCCACAAGGTGCTAAAAGCATCAGGTGATTGGCTTCCCATCAGACAGGGTGTGTGTTTGAGTGTGCGTGTGTGTGTGTGTGTGTGTGTGTGTGTGTGTGTGTGTGTGTGTGTGTGTGTGTGTGTGTGTGTGTGGTTGGATGTGGGTGGGTGAAGAGGAGGGGGTTTAAGAGACTAAAGCAGAGTTAATGAGAAAGACAGCTGTTTTCTTGTTGGTTCCGCCCACAAACAGGGTCAGCCAATTCAGAGTCCTCGTGCTCAGAGATTCACGAGAAGCTGCAGTTTTAACTTTGAGTGGAAACACTCAAAAAAAAAAAAGGAAACTGCAAACACTGCAACAAGTACCAACAGTCGGCCCTTGTTGGCCGAGGATTTAGTCACTGAAGAATGTTTCCAAACGTGAAGACGGGACTTTAGGAATTAGTTTGATGAATCATCGTTGGTCTCCTGCTGGTCTGTGAATATGTTTAGTTTGGACTGATTGAAGGAAAGTCAACAACCACATGCTGCATTCAAAGACAATGAGCCTGTTACACTGTGTTCAGTACTGTGGATTTTAATTATGATTTCTGGTATTTTCTCATGTTGAAATGAGAGAATATAAAGAAGCTGTTTTCCTCAGAGGTCAAGGAGACACCAAACCCCTCCCCCTGCAATCAAATTGGACGCCCCCAAATTCTGTGCTATGATTGTCTTACTGTCTCGTCAGAGGCGGGACTAATGTGTAAATCAACTTTTTAGGCTTTGGCAAACTTGAGTGGTGAAAAGTGAAGTTTATAAAGTGAGGCAAAAAACTGCAGTACCTTCAGTGTCCACTAGAGGCTCGCAGCAAAAGCCAAAGAATTCTCATTACTGCCTATATTAAAGTACCAATTTTAACAGCAAATTATCACATGTTCGCAGTCTGCTTTAAAACATCTAGTTTGAGGGGGTGAATTTTGTTCAGATGAACAAGTTTTTTCATAAATCTCTTTAATTAGGGGCGTGGCTACATCGACTCAAAGATGGATACATCTAAAGTGTCTTTTAGGCGGCTAAAAGCTCACCTAACCTTCGCCTTTTCCCAAAATCAAGACCCTGGTAAAAGTTGCTTCGTATCATTAGCAAGAGCTTGTAAAAGCTTTAAAATGGAAAGTTATGGAGTATTAAACATGCAGTTAAAAATGGGACAAATCCGGTGCAAACTCCTTAAAATTCATCCTCGCACCTGGATTATCCCTGCTAAAAAGACATAAGAGTTCATCCTCCACCAAAGTTTGTACCAATCTTTCCACCAGATGCTGATCGGAGTCAAAACTTTGGCTGCTTGTGTTGCCAAACGGAGCTAAGGTAAACGATGACTGATCATAAATTCAAAACTTCATCGGATATTGTTTATGACACACGCGCGCGGTGTGTTTCTGTTTCCTCGGCGATCTCCGTCTTTAGGGCAGAAAATCAATCCACAACCCCTGGTTTCCTTTTACAGAAAGCTTCAGTTATGAACATTAGGCTGTCAGCACTTACACTAATGTAAAATACAGAGGGACTATTCTGATTCAAATTTCAGGAGGTTTGGAGATGATTATCAAACTCTGCTTCCTGCTTTAAGACGTAAAAGAAAAAAAAACGTCTGCTACCTTCTCTGACCGGGCTGTAAAATGAGACTCGCCTGTCTTTTGTGAGGACTGAATGAAATGTTAAAGGAGGGTTAGGTAAAAGACATGACTTCATTGTGGTGAGGAGGATGACTATGAATTTGTTGTATGTCTGGGTTTGTTTCGAGCATAGACTGTGTTCTTAAAGTCTGTGCTTATCTCTCAAAACATGCTGTAAAAAATCAGTTAAAATGACAGTAAATGACGGTAACATACCGGCAGCAGTTGCAGTTGGTTGATTTACAAGAGGCAGGACTTCACCCTTCTGGCAAACAGCAACAATGTCAGTCGAGTCAGCTATGCCTCTGATTCGCTGATATCGTAACCCTAATATTTCTAAAATACACGCATTACAGAAAAACAGCGGGCGCCATGTGAACTCAAAACTATTCAGGCCAAAACTGCTTTTTAAACCAGGTTATAAACGGGTTTATTTTTGCCTTTTTGAATGAGTGTGTGTGGGGTTCCTGGTGCTTCTGCAGACAGCCCCAAGTGGACACTCTGGGAACTGCAGTTTTTGGCACTTTCACATCAGCGTTATCTCCAAAGACACGAGACTGCTGCTCAAGATAATAAAAAAAAATTGACAGAAAATATTATTATCTCAAGGGAACAAGGTCACAAGGGAGGCTCTAAGATAAAAACTACTTAAAATTATTTGAAAATAATGCACTTTGGTTTGCAAATGTTTTAAGTACCAAGAGTTGTTCAAAAATGTTAAGGTGGTTTTTGCAAATGTGCCTGCTGGACTGGAGTTCATATTTGCCAGATCAGATTAGGTTTCAGGGAAAACTGTGATTTCCAAAAAAGAGCTGATTTTTTTAATCTCTGTGAGTTAGACTGCAGGAGAAGGAAGTGGTTAAAAACTTTTGAGCATCAGACATCATCCTCCATTTCACTCCTCTGTCTCCTCCCTGAATATTAAACTCCTCCTACTGAAACACTTGGATTCTCTGAGTTTGCCTAAAAACACACAAATTAACCTCTCTCCTGCTTGAATGTGATGTTAAGCACTCCTGTAGATGAAGGTGATGACTACAGCAGCTACAGAAAACGTCTGCTGAAGTGATTTGGATATGATCGGTTCACAGTTTCAGTTACTCTGTTAAAAATAGGACGACCTCAGCATGTTTTAAAGTATTAACAGGAAACTCTTTGTCTTTGGGCTGATTCTGGTCTAATGTACATTTTGTCCGCCTCTCCTGAAGGTATTGACAGACATGATGGGTTGCTTCTTTGATTCTTCAGCTTTGGTCTGAAACAGAGAATGGAAATAATTAACTGTGTCCAGGTCTCCAAGGATACGTCTGCCAAAATATTGCAATAAACAGACTCTGCAGTCAGAGCTTACACACCGTCAGAGAGCTCACCTTTCACAGTCACCACCTTTTACCGGGGACTACCTCCGTCTCCACGCTGGTTTTTTAAGCCATGTTTTAATCCAGCAGACAGAAATCCTCGTTCTTGTGTTACTGTCGTGTAAACTGAAGCGTCGGATTGGACAGGAAGAATGTGGGAGCAGATGGAGCGCACATGGAGCGCGTTGTAAAACGCAGACCTCCATGTTGTATATCAGAGAGGATACAGTCGAACCATCACACTGAGATAAAAAGAAACCTGTTGATGGCCTACTTTCTTGTAAATATTTGACACAGCTGCGCTGTAGTGTTCATATTTATGATCTCTTTGTTTATGTAGGTCTCTCAAAGGGATCTGAAGCTGCTGACCGCCGAGAATAAAAGTCTGAAACAGGAGTAAAAAATCATTCAAATTAAATGTCATTTATTTTTAACACAGAGGTTATAGATTTCTGATGGTTACATCGACACTACTGGGGGATCCCAAGGTGTTCTGGGCATGCTCATAACACATGAGTTATGAGCACTGGCTCTTGACCTTAAAATCATAAATGAGTAGATACAAGCTAGAGGTGTCCATAATTCAACACATAACTAGTGAGCCTCTTATCATAGACTCAAACAAGGACAGAAGGGGCTTGATTTAAGTGTGCATTTAAGACGTATTTTGGCTTCACTTTTGGAGAGGTAGCCTCAGTTTTTACATACATTTAACCCTCCTCCTGTGTTCGGGTCTGCACCGACCCGTTTTTGATTTAAATGCTTAAAAGAATCACTTAAATGAACTTTTTTGCATCAAGACTTTGTCAGGAACCTCTATTTCAACTAAATAAAAATTTAAAAATTAAATTGACTAAATTATAAAATGCTCTTATTAAAATTATGGCATAAGTGCATTATCAGGCACCACATTGACAGTCCCTTCCAATCATGTGAGATTTCATGAGGAAATTCTCATTTTGCCATGTTTTTCCCCACACAAATAACAACATTGGGCATGTCCACGTACATGAGATCAATTCAGTATAGATGTCTGTGTGAGGGGTATACTGACAAAGAAAGGCCCAGAGGCTCACAACAAAAAATATTATAAGCAACATTTTCATGGATAATGAAGTCTAACAAGGTAACCTAGAGATGAGAACCAAATTGGATGATAGAGATTTGTTTTTAGTGTAATTACAGCTGATTTAGGATACCGGTCAAAACCGACCCTTAACATGGTGGGTGTGTAGTAAAAGCGAACACAGGAGGAAGGTTGAAGACGTGTGTGAGATGTATTGTGTTACTTTCCTGTAGCCTGAGGACGTTGTCATGTTTTGTGAAATGTTTCTGTTTTTTGGGGGGAGTCAAATTTCTTTTCTGGAGTTGTGTTTTTTGACCTTCAGGGCCACTGAGGGTCAGACTTTGAAAGACACTGATGGACAAATTCCAAGAAGATCTGAGCTGCACTCAATGACCACAACATCTCCTCTTGATTTGTGCTTCAGGACGCCTATTATTCATGAAGACATCTTTGCTTCCTACTAGTTACTGTCATCTCCTTCTCTTAACCTAAGGCGTAGATAATCTGTGAGGGGTTGAAAAGCATCAAGTTAAAACCTTTCTCTCTAGTTTCCAACCGAAAACTGTATGAATACACTTTGAATATTTGAGAAGTTCAAGGAGAAACTTCTTGGCAGGCCTGAGGCTACATTCCAGTGTGGAAGAGGTCCAAGATGTGGATTGGAGCTGAGCCATTAAACGTTTTATATATGTGATAAGAAAATCTTGTTTGAATAATTTAAAATTCAGCTGATTCTTGGTTTTTTAGGAGCACCTGGCTGCTGAGATAAGCTTTGATAAGTGGATTCAAGCTTAAGCCGGACTACGAATAGAGAAGACGTGGCTGAACTTGACCCTTGACCTTGATAATGTCGTCAGTAAACCTCGTCTTTCTTGTCTTTGTTGCTCTGAAAGTGAAACTCCTAAAAGGCGGAGGGCCTCGACAAATCCCCACTGGAGGTGTAAGCCCTGATCGAACTTCCTACAGCGGAAAAATCTCCCCTGTGCTATCTCCAACTTGTACTTCAACAATCCTCCTCCTCCTCTAAACTGAGCCCGAGTCTCCGGCTGCCAAAGCGCTGAAGACTCTTCCCCTCTTTCCTAACATGCAGTTTCGTGGTTTTTGGCTCGTCTGTTTAAGTCATCTTGTCCCGATCCCCTCCCCCCCGCTTCCAAAGCCAGAAGACATTCGAGGCCAATAAAATAGAGACAATAACAAGGAGACAACTTGAAACAAGACAATCTGATTATTTTAGCAGAGGAGACTTTCCACTTAGAAAATATCCAACGCAGATAAACATTCACAACATTTAGTCATATTTTTCTCTCAGTATGTGCAGTAAATCTGTCCTCCTGTGACTCACTAGGGCCAGATCTTATAAATTATACCAAAACTTTCAACCAGGTACAGACCGATCAATCCTCCCGATTCATTCATATTTATATATTCTTTTACCTTAACGTGGAGTTGACCCGCGCTCTCACCTAATTAGCCTCTTTGATCGTCTAATCCTGAACTTATCTGGACGGCAGGGGCATGTTGTTTTTAACATGAGGCACATTTCCGTCAAGCATGAGCGAAAGGAAACCGACACCAGGGGCCTCCTCGGTGCCCACATCTGAGCGCCGTCTGCAGCGGCGACCTGGAGGTCAACTTTCTTTACCCCAAAGAGAAATGAATTGTTTCCTCGCACTTCCTGCTGAACTCCTGACACAAGTGCACAATATCCTGAAGAAAACAGGCCGAAGGAAGCTCGATAATGAGGAAATCATATCAGCTACTACACTTCCACTTCAACTTCATAAAGGAATTTCCTCGCTAAAATAAAAAAGTGTTTGTTTGGCATTTTATAAGAAATACCATATTGACCTTTTTCCACTTGAAATACGAATGAAAACATGGAATCACCATATGTTTTGGGGTTTGGTAATCATTCGAGCCTAAAGATAAAGAAAAGAAGGAAATGTCAAAAACTGCAGTTCCCAAAGTGTCCACTTGAGGCCCGTCCCAAAAGCCCCAAAAGCCACATACACACCCATTAAAAAAGCCCATCTTCATAGTAGAAATAAACATTTTTATAGCCTTGAACAAATAAAACAGTTTTCTATCTGAATAGCTTGTTTCTGTGTCTGCACACCTTGTATGTGAGGTTGCACTTTTTTAAAATAACTTATCAAGTATGAAGATGTTCAAGTTACAAGTTTGCTAAGTTGAACAAAAAGGCTGGATTGAGCATTTCTAATATGGCAGACACTTTAGAAATCAATGGGTCACGTCCCTGAGGTTTTACTGATGTTTATTTTGGAGACATGTTGTCCACTTTGGCTGCTTTGCTTGTTTGTCAAATTGATTTACTTTTAGGTACGCCTACCTTTGCTTTAAATGCGCGATTTTGACACAATGAGAGGGAAAAGTTGTCACAAAATGATGCTGCTATGTAACCCAGAAGTGTGCAGAGGGTCTACGCCATGAGGCGAGCTGCTACAGAGATTATTTTTAGTTATATTTTAGGACTTTTGAGTTTTTATTGTATAGGATAGCTGTAGCGGTCATGAAGCAGAGGTGAGAAGGGGCTGAGGCCAGAAGATTACCCAGCTACCACTGTGAAAATAACTTAACTAATAACTAAAGTCTACATATATAAGGGGCGTGCCTAAACCCTTAGCCCAACTGATGCCTCTTGCACATGTAAGTTTACCAACATTGAAAAAAATTATGTTTTGATAAAGTTGTCGATGTGAGAAGATTTTTTGAAGATTAAACATACACTTCACCATCCTCAGGGATCGAAGGATTAGGATGTAGAGCTCGATATGTCAAAGCCTGTCAAGGGGACAGTTTGGCATCACTTTTGTACACTGGGATAACATTGTCCATCATTATGTAAGACAGGAGGATGTATTATCCTACTTTTGCACAAACCTTAAGTGGCCATCCAAAGAACTATAAGAGTGTGTGACTCCATGTTTTAGACATAGAATAATAATAATAATAATAATAATACATTTTATTTGGAGCGCCTTTCATGTCACTCAAGGACACTTTACAGAACATATAAAACAATGATAACAAAACACTATTAACAATTAAAATCATCAATCATCAAATCAGTTAAAATCAACAAAGCAGCATAAACAACAGCAAAGGAATAAATAAAGAAATAAATAATACCAATTAAAATTAAATTAATAGAGTGAGTTAGGGCTGGTGGGATGGATAGGCCAGTTTTAACAGGTGTGTCTTGAGTTTGGATTTGAAGAGGGGGAGGGAGTCTATGTTGCGGATGTGACAGAAGTCACGTCTTAGTCAAACACAACTATTCACAGACACAAAAAGCAATGTAAACGAGTTTATAAGACTGAAAATTTAGGTTTCCAAATGATAAAATAATCAGAACTACAAATAATTCCCGAGGAAGGAAATATTTGCAGGTTTGAAGATTGAGGAAACAAGAACAACATCTATAACCATGAATTCTCCACCAGCCTGAGTCCATTCAACCTCTTTATTCATCACTTTCTTTCTCCCACTCCTCCTGTCCTGACAAAGGTGATGTTGACTTTGTAATCATGATGGATGCTCATGTATTCCCAGAGAGCTTTCCGAACAAGTCCCGACAACTGTCTCAAACGGAGCAGCCAATCGGTATGCCGGGTGACAAATGAAGAAGCAAAGCCATAACACAACAGTCATCAGTCACAGTCTGGGATAGACAGGCTCCTCCTCCAGGCGCAAGGGGGGAGAACAATCTGGGGAAGGGATTTCCTCGGTGATGTGGGAGGAGGAAGAAGGGAAGAGGATCTCATTTATGGCAGAAAATAAATCCACTTCAGTTTAGAGTCCTGAAGAAATAGACATCTAATCCTAAATAACCTGCAAACACATATGTAACTTTGATAGATAATGAGAAGACCTGATTCTGATGTCTTCAAGGTAGAAGAAAAGCTTTGTATCCCTCTAAATGAGTTTGAGGGTTGCTCTACAGCCTCCGTCAGCCAGAGCAAACCAGCGGTCTGACGGTTTTTCGAGTGGCCTGACGCCTAACCACATGTACATTCAGTTTTACATGCTTGTGGGGAAATGATTTGCACCTTGTGGAAAATGTGAGGAGGACTGAGGCCGCTGAGCATGAGTCATTGGCCAGCTATCTCTGAGGGGGATGGAAGTCCTGCCTCTGAGAGTCCGACTCCGACATTTGTTTACTTTGCAGACAGAGAAGCTGAGAGGCACCAGAAGGGGAAAATGGTGGACAGAAACAGAACTACCAGAGGGGTCTTGATCAAATATACTCTCTTCTAATGTGCTTATTGAGTTGATTTTTAACAGTGTAGGGTTACTTTGAAAGATTATTTGAAGAAAACACTCTCTATGCACTTCAGGGTTGATTTTACGGGACGCCAAACCTTGAAGCGATTCTGCTTCCTGCTCACTGCTCATTTCTCCACGTTTCCTCATATTTGTTGCAAAAATGCGTCTGGTGTTCTCCCTGATGACAAAAACATGATGCAGTGTGGTTTTGCTTCTGTGCATGAAGTTCTCATGAGATCACGGCGAGTCAGAGGATCTCAGTGTCTGAAGATGAAGCTCAGGTTGGAAAGTTTGACTCCCTCTTTAGAAGCTGGTCCAACAGTCGCCTGACAGCTTCATAAAATCATCCGTCTTAGTAACTGGCAAACATCCCGCTTTTCATTCATCAAGTCTTACTCCTACCTTTGGTTCTGAGGAGGTACTTTAGAGTTTTGGTCCCAAAGAGAATAAGCAGTAGGACCATCTTTGACATCAGAGTTCATGTTGTTACTCCCTGTGTGACCCTCCAGGAGAGCCTCCTCCTCCTTTACTGAAATGTGGCGTCTATTTAACAGCTGAGACTGATGATCTTTTCTCTCCCTACAAAGATAACGTATTATAACAGGATTGTTTTCATTATTATTACCGTTCAGTATATTTGATGATACATTTCTTTTGTTACATCCTTTCTTCACCCATAAATAAAACCTGTTTGATAAATAAAAGGTGTAAATTGTGAGCCCATCTCAATGACAAAGGAAAAATAGTAACTGTCATGAGTGAGACTTGATAGTAAATGTATTTCAGGACTTTTCTGAATCAGAGGAAACCAGTGGCTCACATGCAGCTGCTGTCTTCAACACTCATTGTGTTTACATGCACAGAGAAGTTGAGCCACGGCTACACCTCTGACTGTCTCCACACACCACACGCGAGTAAAATCATTTGCACAATTGAATTACATGCTAAGCGAAGACAAAGACGCGATTATACGCTCGTACTACTCTGGCGGTGCGAATGATGGGAATTGGGTGGGAGCTGAAAATGTCAACTTGAGCAGATATTCGTGTTGCAATAACTAATCAAGTATTCACTATTAGAGGGGATAATCATTTATGCATCACAAATTTTATTTCACTGGAATTGGCGTTAAAATTCATGACGATGTGATATTGAGAGAAGCATGCAGAGGCCAGTGTTTACCTGCAGCACAAAAGCATAATGAGATTTATTAAAAAATAGTATCTGGACCTCGATGAAACCTGACCCTGACTCTTCACTCAGTGTTTGTCCTCATTATTGTTCCTTTCCTTTTGACAAATTCGAATCTAAAGCTACATCAGAAATGGCCATGCCTTAACTTTCCATTCAAACCGCTGTAATAAAAGCCTCACGGAGCAGGACTGAACTTGCATGTTTGTGAGTGCAGCAGAGGCTTTATATAGGCTTAACACACTTTGCATGTCCTCGGGCTCTCAGCGCGGCTGTCAAACTGATTGGAAACTGGCAGAGCGCTCTGCCGTTTGCTGTGCGTGTGCTGATGTGTGATGTGTGAGCTGATGGGGCTCGAGCTTGACTGGAAGAAACGGGGAAATACTTGGGTTCATACTTTTCACCCCTATCTGATGAACCGTGTCGCCTCAGGCAGTCGTCCATTATCCACACATGCAGGGAGAGTTTAAACAATGGGACATGTGAATGAAACTAAACTTTAGAGATAGAAATAACAACTTTATATAAAAGTATAATTCATCTCAGGTAGGCTCAAACTTCTGTACTTTGTGGGTGAGATCAAAGAGGTACAAGAATCAACATTTCCTCCTGCAGCCCAGTCCAGACATAATTGTTAGGTTAACTGTATGTAGGTGTGAGTGTGTCCGGTTGTCTGTATATATGTTAGCCTTATGGTGGCCTTCTCTTCAGGGTCGCCTTGTCTCTTACCCAATCACAGCTAGGATTCACTCCAGCCCTCCCCCAAGACCTAATATGAGATAAGTGGTATAGATAACGAACGCATGATTAGGTAGGTACAGTAGATCAGTCAGCATTTCCAGCATGGCAGCACCCATCTTTGGGCTTCATTTCACCCACTCCGATGAAAATCATGTTTTGCTACAGGGCATATCAAGAGAAAACTAAGAGCAAAATTGCATTTCTGAGTATTTCTGCATTCAAATCGCATTGAATCTCTGGCAGATCCAAATGGCAGGTTCAGACACAGTGAGATTTCCTATGTCACAAATCCAAGCTCCGCCCCCAGAGCCCCGCAATGCAGGCTAGACTCGGAAAAAGTAGAGAGGATAATCACGGAACAAGTGTGTGCATTTGCGGATTGCAATGCTTGTAAGAAAGCTAATTATGAAATTGACTTTCATCATGTCCCCAAAGACATCAGTGTCCGAGAGCTGAAAAGCTTCTACTACACTGGCGATTATGTTACTTGGGATTTCCACAGCTGTGATTTTTGCCGTATGCAAATTCCACTCGGATCTGTTTGTGAGGTGAATTTCGTGGCGGCAGGACAGCAGGAATCGCAACACAGTGTTTTATTTTGAAAAGAAGCCAGATGTTTTATTTTGCGTCTGTGCTTGACTTCCTTTCAAGCGCGGATTAATCTGTGCTGAATTTATCCGGCATGCTCCAGCACCCGTAAAAAATAGAACTCTTGCAGTCAGCTGCTGAGTCCGGCGATCTGCAGTGGAACGGAAAGAAGCCGATAGAAATTGACAAATTAACTTTAATGGTTACGATCAGCTACGATAGTCAGATACGGCCTTTTCGTAGCCGTTCCGGATGCGGTGGAAATGTGAGGTTAGGCTGCAAGCTAACGTGAAGAGGAGTGTGCAGAGCAGCTCTGTCTCCGCCCACGACTCAGAGACGAATTGCTAATGAGCTACTGGAGCTCTGCAGAAGAAAAACCCTTGAAAATGTGATTTTGGCTAAAATCTTAATCACAATTTAAAGACCACTGAGAACACTTTGAGTAGTCAAAAAAAAACTTTGAGCAACCAACGGATGACACCAATTAAACTATACATCCATCTTTATGCAGTTAATGCTCGCTACTCTGCTGTAATCCATCAAATCCAGTATATCATTGAACATGGCAAGAAAGAGTCTAACTAACTCTGGGTTTTTATACTTCTTTTGACCGAATCTGCAAGTGAAAGTCCAAATTTACAACTTTAAGTCCATCCTACAGCTGTTTGCCAAAACCTGATCATCAGATCATTGAATTTTTGGTGACACCCCTAAATAATCTCCTGTTGCTTCCCTCTCCTGTCTAAATCCAGCTAATTCATCCCTTCTGATGTTATATACACTTCACATTGTTTAAGATTGCAGCCAGCACTCTGATGCAACTCCTAATCAAGTTCATAAAAACTTTCCCCCACCCACATATGAGGCTAACACTCCAAACTCATTAAAAACAGTGGGATCCACCTTCTTCACACAATAAAAACGTTCCATTTTATCACAGCAATGTGAGGAACTTCAACTTTTTCCCTCCAGACCACGCATGGAAGACTGGTCCAATTAGAAGTATTTGGTATAATAGCAGGAGTGGGTTTCATCCAAGCCTCTGCGACCACAAGATGGGGAGCAGTTCTGCAAACGGAGGCAGAAAACCTCCATGACTGAGAGAGCTGGAGTAATGAAGCCTTCTCTTCTTTCAGGGCACCAGAGAAGTTTGACGAACTTCACTGGTAACTCCTCAGGAATAAGTTAACATGTTAGATTAACCATGAAGTATAGAGGATTTAAAATCGATCAACTTTTGAGTAACCCTGACATTGGAGTTTCTTGAACTATAGCTGCGAAGTCAGAGAATTTGAAGCCACAGAAAAGAAACCTGAGAAAGTTACCGCCTGCGACTCGAGGATAATCACCGGGTTTGAAATGCATGCACTCGAGTGATGTCACACTTTTATTAGCATGTGAGGCTTTTCTTTCCACAGCCGAGGGGGGGAGGAGGAGAAAATTAATGGCCCTCATATTCCAGTCTTTTCTACAGATGGGTAAACCACCCCTCTGTGACTGGTGAGTGGGGGTCTCCTCAGGCCCAAACTGGAATGCACCAGAGTAATTTATCACTCTGAGGTCTATGAGTCAAAGAGGAAAGATGTCCAAGTCCCTCAGGAAGGAGGGAGCTTTGGTTTTTGAGGAAATCTTTACTCTTAAAAGTCCCAAAAACACCTTTACGACCAAAAGATCCGCTTTAAAACCAGAAACAGTGATCACCTCAACCTCCCTTGACTCCTCTGACAACAGTATCTTCGCAACATGCCTAAGCAGACACCCCTTAATGTATACAGAGGCCTCAGAGCGGCGGTGGCGGCCTGCGCTCCAGAGCTGAGTGATGGAGACGCTCAGGAGGTAGTGTTACAAATAGCTGATCGGTGAGTAATGACAGCCCTTCAAAGAGATATTTATTCAGCCATGTCGGGCTGGAGTTGGTACAGGTAAAGACTCTGCCTGCAGCCATCTGTCTTGTCGTCTTTTGTTTTTTTCACCTCTGGGGCATCGGTGATGTGTTGAGTTTCATTGCCAATAATTTAAGGAGTACATCTTCCTTGTCTTGTAGCGGCTTGTTGAGCTACAAAGAGAGACAGAGAGAGACTCTGCAAGGCTTTTTTTAATCTTAGGTAAATTAAATATATGGATTTAAATCTGAATAGTTTTCTCTACTTAATATTTTTAGACTTTTTATCAGCTGATGATCTTTTTTTGTCCACATTTTCTCGAGTACTATTTATGAGCATTTTTGTCTCAGCTGGAATAATTTTGGAGAGACGCTACGCTCATCATTATGCATGCCTTACACATCTTGATTGGCTGCTGCACCTGCCCTATTCACGATCACTTTATAGTCACATAAAGCTGCATAGTAGAAAACCTGTGAAACATCATTATTACATGCTTAAAGTTTGTTTTTTTAATGATCATTTATGCAAAAATATGTTGTTTAAATCACATCTACCAGAGTATGCATGTAGATATATAGAGAGAGGATGCAGGTTTAGACTCTTCAGTGCAGACTTTGTAAACAAGAAGCCCTTTACATCATGCAAACATACACAGAAGCCTCTGCAGACGTGTCCACACAATAATCAGACATTTTCGCATGTAGGTTCATAACATAAGACGGTATATACTTTGGACAACTTGGTTCTGCCTTCTGCCAGTATACAGATCTTTTTTTACCACTTCCTGAAACCAACATTGCGCGGTAGCGTTGTATGCAGTTGGCAGGAGAGTCGCCGAGAGTTGCTGTGATGACGCTCTGCTCAAACAGCGTATCCCGCGGGTGAGCTACGCAATCTTCATACGCCCATAGGCTGTATCAAGTGTCAATCACAGAAACATGAACCCCCTAATAACTTTTAAAAATGGAGCTGTACAGAAAAAAGAGGACTTGAGCACAAACCAGTCTGACAGTAACCACATGTCAACATCACAACCAGGGGGGAGAAAAATGTATATTCTGTGTAAATAGTCTCTAAAGTTTGTCCACAGCTCCATAGAAGTTGCTGGAGGAGATTGTAAATGGTTAATATTTGGTTTTTAAACCATCTATAAACATTACTTACATGTTATTGTAAAGTTAGGGTTAGGTTTTTAAAATTGTCAAATTTACAATTTATTAATGGTCCATATGCTATTTATAAATAATGATGATTAAAAATTATTAAACTATCTGCTCACCATTTATAAATGTTTTTTTTTTTCCATTTATAAGTTATGTTTATTATAAAGTGTTACCCTGATATCTTTTGGAGATAGTTTGAAGATTTTTCAGCACAAGTATGGTCAGTTTGTCGCTGCTTCATATTCACCAAAAAAGAGGATAAAAATACTGCTCAAACTTTGAGCCCCTCGTGTCAGAACCTTGGATTCTGGTGTCACTCTCAGTAAATCAGACTGACTGTAACTATACCCATTCTACTGTCTTAGTCCCTCATATTAATAAGCGTGGTTGTCATCCCTCTGAATCCCGCCAATGATAATACTCCATCTCTAAACTGACAAGCTCCATTATGTTTGTTTCTCTCCCACTAACTTGCTAAACAGTCGCTGCCCTCAGAGGAGTTCTTGTTTGTTTAAAACAACATCGAATCCGGATCTTATTTCAGCTCCAGTTTTGCACAGTAAAGACTCCACACGTGCAGCGAGGGAGGGATTAAAACAGTGAGAAAAGAAGCCCCCGATCCAAAATGAATGCTCCATAATGACCTCAGCAGTCAGATCTGCTCGCCACACCAGACTGGAAAAGTTTAGCTAATCATCTTTGTTTCCTGGAGCTCTAAAGGCCTGGGCTGAACTCCCCCCCAGAGTGGCGAAGCCGAATCAGTTTACCCCCTAAAAAGTGGCGTTTCACTGCTGAGTCACGTTCCCTGAAGAGGATGAATCTGCAAAGACGTGGGCAGAAACACAGCCGCGCAAAAGCTACAGAAACATGTGCTGCACGTGTAGGATGGAGAATCCAGTCCATTTTAGGAACGTAGCAATACTCTCCGGGTTTGAACGTGACCTATGACCAACATCTCTCCCCTCTCCCACATTTTTTCCAGCGTCCCACCCTGATACTGACCTAATAAAAACATGCTGCCAAGAAATGTTCCTAAAGCAGCACATTTGTTAAAAAAAACTTTACATCCTCGTATTAAAAAGTCAATATAAGCAGCTCTACAATTTCCTCTGTTTGGCTCCTGATTCAACCCCTTGTTTAGAGCCAGAGCAGATATCTGAAGTGGTGCCACAAAGCACAGGACATCATTTGGATGTGGGGGTGGTTCCACACTGTTTACACAGTTCCTCTGGCAGCAGGTCGTGTTTTGAGATGTGTCTGGGTTTGTGTTTATGCAGGAGTCGAGCTTTTATACGGCCATCCCTGTAAAAAGTGTCAAAATCCAGCAGACGCCTTGATGTACGGCTCACATGTGGGGAAAAGTTGCACTTTAAAGCAGCGCTCGGCGTTTGTCGTCGGTGTCCCCTACAATTTGGGTTCGCTCGTAAAACATCCTGAGGTCGACAAACGTTTCTTGTTAAACCCGGTTGGACTTTAAGGGCACTTAGTTTTACTTCAGGGGTGCAAAAAGCAGTTTAAGGATGCATCTGGAAGAAAAACCTCCAGACTAGGCGATAGTTTTAAGCCAGATACCTTATTCGCTAGCATTAGCTTGTTAGCTGAAATGCTAACTGTACAGCCTCAAAAATAGGCCTTTTAATCCTCAAACCGCTCATGTTACAAAATAAAGTTTTAAAACTTGGAGCTTCATGCTTTAAACCTTCTAAAAATGTGGGTAACCCTTTCTTTTACAGTACACTTATTACCAGGTAATTAACAGGTAATTACCTAGTAATAACATGAAATTATCTGGTAATTACATGATAACTACTAAGTCAATACTGTCTAGCTACCAGGTAGGTAACCTCCCATCATCATAAAAATTTGAAGATGAATTGCTCTGATATTTCCAGGATTTTCTCCGCTTCCTGGAACTACCACTTGCGCAGTAGCATTGTACGCATTTGGCGGGTAAGTCGCTGTGATAATGCTCCCCTCAAACAGCGTATCGCTACGCAATCTCCGCACGCCCATAGGCTGTATCAAGTGTCAATCATAGAAAATAAGAACCCCAAATAGCTTTTGAAAATGGAGCTGCACAGAAAAATGAAAAAATGAAAAACTAGACGGTAATGACTTAGTAGTTATCATGTAATTACCAGATCATTTCATGTTGTTACTAGGTAATTACCTGGTAATAAGTGTACTGTAAAAGAAAGGGTTGTCAAAATGTGTTCCCTCACTTTAAAGTTTAGTCAAAAAACAGAGAAAAAGTAAGGAAAAAGGAGAATGAGGAAAGCATAATGCTCATAATGACATCTTGGAAACTCTCCCGGGGCATGTGCGGGGTTTCACATGGACTGGTTTCTTAATAAGTTGGGTATATGACTCAACAGAGCAGCTTTGTTGTTAGTTTACTCAAACCCTTTGGGTCTTTGTTAAAGTCAAGGCAACACAGATGTTGTTTGCTAAGTCTGAAGTTGTGTTAGGTCTCTTCTACTGTTCTGGTTTCTGCTCCGTGTGGCTCACCGCAGAGTTCTGCTCTCTGTCTCAGGGGAGGCTGTTCTTGTCCTGAAGTGGCTCCTGTCTTTACTGTCACAAAGCTTCTTCTATTAAAGAAGGTTTTTATCCGTCATCATTGAATAACTCAAAGCAAAGGTCTAATAGACTCTGGATACCTCTCTATCACGGTGCTCTGGGCTCACAATTCATCCTAACTTGTTGGACTGTCCCTTTAACACGTTCAGCTCTGTTCCTGAAAACTCCCAGAGGTCTTTGTTTTTATCATCTGCACATTTGCAGTCCCGATCCTGCCAACTTCCTTTCAAAATGTCCGCCTCAGCTTCACCGTTTCCAGCTCAGACATGCGCCTGCATCTCAACTGACAAACCGTAAATTACAATTTGCAGTAGCATCGAGCCTTTAAATGAGTTATGTAATGATTGTTTTGGTTCATAATTCAAGTCAATAAAAAAAAGAAGAGCAGTTTCCTTAAATGCAATCATATCCAGATAATAACAACATGTTTCTAATAATATAACTGACTCTAAAACTGTGCCGATCATCGTTTTGTCGTCTTAAACCATGAGGTGAAATAGAAGTGACGGGGCGAGCTGTGACTTGCAGATTTGGCAGGACGTTTGTACACAATCTAAATTAATGGATTCCATCAAATTCCAAAGGAAGTAGGAAGTTAGAGAGGGAGGAGCCGACTGATTCAACAGCATGAGAGAGGTTCCTTCATTACAAAAATATCTGAGAGGCGGTTATGTCATGCTGTGAGAAGTCGGGTCTCTAAATATTCACAATGACACATTAAAGTCAGCCAGAGGTGGCGCCACTTGTTATTTTGCAGTTGCTGGTTCAAATCCAGGCCAGCAACACATTTGAACATGTCACGTTACTCTCTGTCCTGTCTGATGAAGAAAAAGTACAAAACTCTTATTCAGTGAAACAGCAAAATAAGACTGCAGTTCCTTAAGTGTCCACTGGAGGCTGTCTCCAAAGGCTTCTGAAACCACATACACACCCCTTTGAAAAAGCCCATATTTACAGCCTGGTATTAAAGACATTTCTCTACACCATGTGAGTTGTGAAATTAGTCATAACTCATCAGTTTTGAAGATATTTAGGTAGGTTTAACAGGACATATAGGGTCCCAACACGTAGTACTAGTTATCAAACATCTTTTTAGCATTGCCTGGTTTCTTGAGCTAAGAGACTAAACACAACTCACCTACTCTCTTCCAGCAGCTGCTTGTTAATTGTTCTTCCTTGAGCTGTGTCACCCCGCTGACGTTCGTAATGGACTGGCCTGGAGGTCTCTTTACAAACAAGCGGCTGCTGGAAGAAAGTGGGTGAGTTGTGTTTAGTCTCTTTGCTAAAGAAACCAGGCAAAGCTAAAAAGATGTTTGATAACTAGTACTATGTCTGGGACCCTATATGTCCTGTTGATGAAGTTAGGTGCTGTTCTGAGCATTATTTGTGGCTATAGAGTGGAGTTTTGGTTGAGCACATGGCTCCTGTACTAAAGTTGGTATAACTAGAGAAGCAAGCGGTCGGCAACATTCATCTCTAGAGGGGGTGTCTAACTCAGTGTTACAGTGTGTTTGATCCTAGATTAATTTTACGCCGGAATATCCCTTTAAGGTCTGCCTCAACTCCAACTCTTGGCCTCTTGCGAAGTCAGTCATAAACTAGATTGAGTCAAACTTCCAATATGGAGTCAGACATCAACAGACTGTATAGATCCACAGCTAAAACAGGCATTTACTGAAGTCTGGTTCTCCTCTATGAGATAAGTAGCCTTGCCCTGGAGCTTCATGCTCTGAAGGAGTCAAATGAAACTTCACGTTAAAGAAGTTTGTTTAAGGTCACATTAGGAAACCAGCTCAGGGTTGGTGATCAGATACCATCCAGGCTCATCAGAAGTGCTGCTAACACGGGGTCTGAGTCGACTGTATGTGTTCGATCTCCACTGCCAACTCGGCTCTTTTTCCTCTGGACCCACCCTCAGCTGTTTGACACTTTCACAGCCTTCACATCGTCTCATTTGGAGCCAGAAACACAAAAAGTGACATTCTTGCTATCCTGTAGGCTGAACATTATGAGCCCCCTCCCTTCTCTTTCTTTCTTTCTTTCTAATATAAATAATGTCAGTGGAAAATGTTCTGTCTGGATGACGGTCCAGCTGTGAAGCGTCTGCCTGGCAGATTTAAACATGGTCCACTTTTAAACATTAACAGGGGTCCCTGACACCGGTCTAAGTCTGTCTGCCTGTCCTCACAGGATATTGTTTGGCAGACTCTTGCTGAAAACTAAAATATGAGGAAAATACAAAACATGCTTTGTCATGATGTGGATCTCTTTTTTAGCAGAGAGGCTTTGCATTTTGTCACATGGAAGTTAGTGAGGTTAATTCTTTTGTTTTCACGTTTTTAAGCAACTTTAACTGTGCTAAAATGCAGAAATTAAGTAGCATGTGTGATATATTTTAATATTTGAAGTAAGGGTGCCCTCTAGTGGAGTGAAGTCACATTGCACACAGCCACAGCTTAAATTGCACAACAAAATGTCCAAGTCTTTATAATTATTTTTATTTTATAGATCTGTGTTTACTGTGTTTGAAAACCTGCAGGGGTTGTTGTCTTTAAAATGTCTTTTAAATTCAGTTTCATGACGAGTGTCTTTAGTCCACAAAATAAATAAAGACAAACACTTAATGGGTGATGGTTGAAGAGAGACCCTCACTGCTTATCACAACTAAAACAAACAAACAAACAAACACTGTATATTTTTCTAAAGGGGATGTTGTTGGTTTAAAAGTGATGTATTCACTTTACTTATGAGTTAAAGTCTTAAAATCCACAATTAGCTCTGCCAAACAAACACCATGTTATAAGTTTGGTTTCTGTGTGTCTATTTTCCTTTAATTTGGTTGATTTCATTCAGTTTCTTGTGTGTTTTAACATCGTTGCATATTTCTGTGCTGTTTTATCTTCTTTTCTCTGCTAACAGCTGTTCAGCCGTTCACCACCAGTCTCAGACTTTATTCCCTCCCAATAGAATGAGAGTGATAATGAAAAATTTACACTTAACCTACTGAAGCTGCCGGAAAGTGAGATTATTTTAGTCAATAAGAGGAGGCAAACCAGTAAACTACATGTGCAGTAATATATGAAATGATATGCATCACTAAAAGGTTTCAACCAATGAGAATAAAGTATTTAACACTATCCAATCCAGTCCATCTGTTCTCTGCACGTGTTTGTATGCAGTTTTCTGTAACTGTGCAGCTGTTTTCATCCCTTTTCTCTCTAAATAAACAATAAAAGTAAAACATCCTCTCCCACAGCAAACAAACGTCACTCATCCCCACCTGGTTCAGGTTTATACCATAACAAAGACGCCACATTATAGCCAAGACTTACATGGATTACACCTTTTGGTTCTGCTGCTATACAGTCAATAAACCAGGATATTTCCCTCCTCCTCACCTTTTCTCTCTGTATGGATTTATACTATATCATTAATGAGAGTCGGAGCATCCCCACAGACTTGGTGCTCTCGGTACTTGGAGGTTTCCACCACATGTGGTCAGGGTGATTCTCAATGCTGCGGGAAAAGTCATTATCTTCTTATAAATTTACAAAAATAAACTATTATGGTGTCACTGTTGCTTCAATTTATATCTAATTATGTAGTTTTTATTATCAGCTCTTTCTGTATAATTACGACAGTTGTAATTGGCTTTATCTTTTTAATTGTGCTTTTTTTTTTTCTTCTCTTTATGAAATTTTGGCTTGTGTTGACTCTGCTGACCCCGGTGGATTAAGGCTTACCTCTTATTGCTTTTGTATGTCAAATAAAGGTGTTTGCATTTATTTCAGCCTGTTATTTAACCAGCTAAAATCTCACAGGAGTATTAGGGCAACATTTAAGGTTTTTTTTTATTTCATTTTATTTTTACCTTTTTTAAATTCCCTTTAGATCAGTGATTCTCAACTGGTGGGTCCTGACCCAAAAGTGGGTCGCAGACACATTCTGGATGGGTCGCGAACATCTGGTCAAAAAAGTAAGAATTTAATGTGCATCTGATGTTTGACATGTCTTTTATTTTGAAAAATAGCTTATTTTGAAAGGCACACGTTATGTCGTGGTCCTCCTCGGTTTCTTATTAATGTGGCCTGAATGCAGAGAAAAAAAAAAAATTATATACATATATATATATATATATATATATATATATATATATATATAAATTGGTCTTTATTTAGTTTAGTCTTTAGTTTCTTAGTCATATATTTTCTGTAAATGCAACTTCAGTAGTTGTCATCCTCAGTTCATGTGCTCTAAAATGCACTTTACTCAATAAAATGGTGTATTTATGTTAAACATTTGGGTCCCGGAGTGAAACCAGTTGAGAACCACTGCTTTAGATGATGTTGTAAATTTCCTTTTGGAACATATTTAATCTTCCAAAAATGAAAGTATCGATTGTACATTTAAAATCTGCTCTGTCTATTAAGTATCACAAGATAACTTTTACTGTAAGAGTTAGATAATACAGTTAACTTCCTCTAAGTTGGTTTCCCATAAAAGTGTCTGTGTTGTGACTGTGAATAAGCTTGAATTCCCAAAATCATTAAGTCCACTACTAAATATCATAAATTTAGATATTTACTAAATTTATTATTTGCGTCTCAGACCTGAGACTAGTTCATGAGAGCGGGTGCAATTTCTATTCACTTTTGCGCCACTAGAGGACAACAGAGAGTAGATTTAAAGATTTGTTGGACGGCCTGCTGTTTGTTTTGGTTCTCTCTGAATAGGTCAGCATCACTCAGTGGTGACATATTATGTAAATTGGACATAATCCAAAGTGTGTAATTAGTTTAATTTGACTTTTATTTCTTTTCAAAGCTGATAAATGGAAATATTCATAATGGGGAATATTTCTTTGTGTGTTTCTGCAGGTGTTCCAACAAAAGTCAGGTTACTGATTTTAAAATTGTTCGATAAAGCTTCACTGTGAGAGCAAGAGCAGGTCGATACTGTCTGAGGAGAAACCCATCATGAAGCCCACGGTATCAGAGACACTATTGTTGCTGGATTTCACCTGATGCACCGATCAGAGCGGGCACTCTGTACACTCAGACTGTGTGTACGGTAAGAGGCCATGCGGCGGCTGCTTCGAAAAGACAGAGAGAGTGTGTTTTTGTGAGCGTCGAGTGGGTGGGAGAAAGGCAACCGGCTTACAATTGCTGTCAGTTTGAGAGGGGGAGGTTTGATTCTTTTGATGCACTGTTTCAAAGTCAGACAGGATTTATTCAAAGTGACTGACAGCTTTTTACTCGTGTAACACCAGTGAATGTAAGTGTGAGGCAGCTGCTGAGAGGAGGAATCAGGCACCAAAGAAGAAGAACTGAAGATGCCATGTGAATTATCAGTTTGTTTCGCAGGTTTCAACATAAAGGCCTTTGTGCACCAGCTGCAGGTTCGACCCCTTCCTTGACCCTTTGCTGGAAGTTTTACACCACTCTCTACTGATAGACAGGTAAATGAATCTGCATGATATTGCAAAAAAAATCGTGCACTGAAGGATTTGATCTGATTGACATTTTCGATGGTGAAACATGAACAAATTGAGGTTATATTGTTCACTGCAACAGCTTTGTGAACACAGACTGTGTTACTGCAGAGGCCCTCATGTAGATACAAAAGCATTTCATTTTAAGCATAAATCAATGTTTTATATTCAGACCACAATCTAAATAATACTAACAGATGTTTTTTTCAACTACCCTGTTCTGCCAAATGTCAATAAATTCCATATGTTGTCCCTTTAAATTGAAATAAATAAATCATAATGTTTTCCTCTGTGACTTTAAAAAAGATGCAGCTCAAATTTATCTTTCTTTAATTTGCATTTTGGAAACAGAAGTTGGCAGCATGGTTTCAGTCTGCATACATTAGCTCAGTCTAGTCCTGGTCCAAGCAATAGAGGCTGTTTCTAAAAATACTTGATTCTATTTCACTATAACGTTTACCAAATTACTACAGCTGCAACTGCACCATATATCACACCAATTCTACGTATATAACAAATATTATAAATAGGGGAGACTGGGGTAAGATGATCCATTTTTCATATTTCTGATCACTACATCAAGGCAGTAATAGTTTTGTCTCCAACTAGTGTATCTGCATATATTTCAATATGTTGTGCATCCCTGTAAACCAACAGAATGAGTGTAAACAGAACTGTCTTGATAATATAGCATGCTAAAAAAAAGTTTTTTTGTGTTTTTTTATTGCTGACACCTAAACCTAAATTTATTATTGATTCAGACTGAATTTCAAAAAGGTCAAAAACAGGAAAATACAAAAAACAAACAAAAAAACTTCTTTTTTTTATTGTTAACAGTAAAACCCTAAATTTATTATTGATTCAGACTGAATTTTTAAAATGCCATAAACAGGAAAAAACAAAAAAAACAAACTTTTTTTTTTTTTTTTTTTTGCTGATATCTAAACCCTAAATTTATGATTGATTCAGAGACTCAGACTAAATAATAATAAAGGTCCCTTTTTTTTTTTTTTAACTCTGTGCTTGACCCCAATATCCATCCGCACCTGATGGCTAAAATAAAATAATACTTGATATAATGTTTGGCAAAAAACAAAAACACCTAATTCTGATCTCCCTCCCCTCCTTGAGCAAAACAAAGCCCACACACACCGTGTTGTTTTCGTCCGTCCACCAGTGACTCCAGAGTGGCAGGTTTGTCCTCCAGTGTCACGTGGTCATGCTGAGCATCCTTTGCAGATCCAGCAGGCTGCGTGGCGTGTCTTCACTAGGTTACGGTATGGACCATTACGCTGCTGCTGCTGCTGCCGCTGCTGCTGCTGTCTGTGGTCGCTGCATCTCTCGCTTGTAGTTTTTTCTTCCTGCTGGACTGCTCTCTGAAAACACAGGTAAGTGTCGATGCTACAGCGTTGATCAAAGTCTGCAAAAATCGAAAGATGCTGAGTCGCTGTCTGTGTGTTTTTTGCTATTCAACAAAGACGTGCATGAGCGTGGGGAAAGGGGATGACACGCTAACGTTGTAGTGTTGGAGATTTTCTGCACAAACTGAGCAAATCCACGCTGACGGGGACGTCCTTGCAGGTAGAGAGGAAGAGACGTCTTCATCGAGTCCAGGTAGAGCTGCTCCACTCTGGAGGCGGTGGCTTATCGTTAAACTGGGATCATGCTGTTATAATCGAGGGTGTTTCTTTCCGCCCGTGCGTGGAAAATTTGCATTACCTTGTCGCTCTGCAAAGATTTGGAGATTTGCAGGTCATGTTTGAGTCTGAGACTGAAGTTCAAACAGAAGCAGGGGGTTGATAGGTCACATAGTAATGACTCAGCAACAATGGTCTGATGATGGGAGCAGACTAATGCTGCTGCTGCTGCCTCACATCTTTTTATACACAAATTAGAGCTGGAGCAGCTGCCTGGTTGGTTCTTGTGGACAGTAGAGGGTTTTGGTAACAGGACTCCTTCCATCTTCAGTGTTTTATAAACAAGGAATTTTAGAATTGAGTGCAAATATTGATTATTGTACCACTCAAGTCTGAGCAGGAGAAGGAGGAGGAGGAGGCAGGAAGCAAAAGATGTCAGCTACAGCATGTTCTTGAATAAAATATATATAATATATGGACACACATGTGCATTTATGTAGTTTTAACACTGTCCCTACTGTCTAACCAGGCAAAGATGCATTTCTCCTGCTTAGATTAGGGGAGACCAGGGCTTGTTGTCACATTTTTTACACTCTTACATAGAGCTGCAGCTATCAATATTTTAGTAATCGAGTATTCTACCGAATATTCTATCGATGACTCGAGTCCCAAACGGCAGACTCACATAAAGTTAGATTTCCTATAGCCCTGCAATGAAGGCCAGACTCTGAGAAATAGAGGACAACCGCGGAACAAGCATGTGCGTTAGCGGATTGCAATGCTCGTAAGAAAGCTAATTATGATATTTACTTTAATCATGCCCCTTAAGACATTAGTGTCCGAGAACTGAATAGCTCCGATGTTACCTGCTTCTGCTACGACACCAGCAATTTTAGGCTACAAGCTAGTGTGAAGAGAAGTGTGCAGAGTCGCTAGGTTGGCAACCCTGCAAGAAAAGCCCCTCTCATCATTTATTTTTTCCACTCCGCAAAACCTAAACAGAATTTACTCCTCCTTCTACCGTGGTGCGCATTGTATCACCTTCAAAAGAATCTGTGCGAAACAGTGACGACTTGCGCTTAGAAACGAGTACCCTAGGCAGAGAAAATTTCTCATTATTTGTAATCGATCATTATTTGTAATCAAGGTACTCAAGGAATCATTTCAGCCTTACTGTTATATATTACTTGGAATCAGTGCATCATATATAAACAAAATGTGAACCAGATGAAAGACCAAAGTCTCAGGTTTATATTTTGTATTCATGTTATTTTCATATCTTGTGTCAGTGCAGAGTTATAAACAATCAAATAGAGAGTGTGAACATGTGACATTTTGCCTCACCATTGGGTTAGTTGTCTGACTACATGGGGTAAGATGTCACCGTGGATTTTGCAGCTAATAAAACAAGGACAAAATTAATTTCGCTCTAGTTTTTAACATGAAAGTGAACATCAAAGTCAGGCACAGAAAATGAGGTATGGTAGTTGACATTAAAGTCCTTTATTGTCCTCCAGATTGATTTATTAGCGAGGGTCACCTTCCTGACTGCCCTCAGCATCATGTCATGTGACAACAAACCCCGGTCTCCCCTACATGTCTAAGTTCAAAATGAAAATGGAAAAGAAGAAAAGGACCTCAGGAAGAGTAGTTACTGCATATTTTGTTGTAACTAATGGTGGATCCAAAATAAAACTAGACAAAAACAAAAGTTAAGAGCCATGCTAGCAGCTCTCCTTAAAGCTTTAATTCAGTGTTAGCGTGCTAATGTGCTCTCAGTTTTGATGCTAACATGCTGAGCTTTACTCTGTGAAATTGTTAGCTTAGTTCACTCATAAACTAAAGTTACAGTCAACTCTCTTAATCATGACTCCATCAAGTCAGCTTTCAAAAACGACTAAACATCCCCACTCTGAAGCCCCTAGTCCTAGCCTTAATTTCAGACCATTGTTAGCTAGCTCAACACTAGCTTAGGTGACTGCGGGCTGCAGTCCTTTAAAAAAAGGCTGTAGTTCTCGAACATTTGCATATAGTAGCTCACTTAAAACTTATCACATAGACTGCTAAGAACACACTTTGTTTAAATTTGGTTATTTTTTACAGTTAAATGTCTTTTTTTTTTTAAATAGAGATTGTTTTCTTTCCTTGGCTAGCATGCTAACACTAGCTAATCCACCAAAGCACAGTAGTTTAAAGGTTTCTAGACCAAAACATTATTTTATTTACTATTTTTGAGTTTAAAACAAAATAGCTTCTATGTTGAGGTGATTATACTCTTAATTTAACAGAGGCTACTTATTTTACAGTGCAGTATAAATAGAAGACACGACATGTTGTTACGCCGAAGTGACAGAACATTAGCAGAAAAAGTTTTATTGTCACTGAATTTCATGTTGTAAGGCCTTAACTACTTTTTAATGAAATGTTTTGATCGTTTTGATTTTCTCCCGGTGATTATTTTTGCTATAATTGGTGCTTTTCTGTCAGTATAAAACATGTACTCTCTTGCTTTGGCCTTTCGTCACTGTTGCACTTCTTTCCAGTATCACAGCGTTGAAGTGTGACGCCTTTGTTGAACTGTCAGCCACCTTGTCTCCGAGTTTGCTGCCCACTTGTCTCTAAATATAGAGCCATACATGAAGAAAAAGCTTGTGGCTGTGTCCAAAGTTGCTCTGTGAGGCCTAGAGTTCAGGGAATTGTGGGAAATAGAAGGACCTGCATATATCGCCTATTCTCGGTTGGACTTTCTGGCCAACACAGGAGCTGAATACAATGACTGCAGTCTGTTTTTCAGATTACTGCCTGCACAGATGATTTTCTGGCAGCGCTGCCTGTTAATAGAAACGCAGTGCATCTGCAATAACAGTGCACAATGCAAGCTCACATTAAGTGCTGAATACGTTGGCTTTACAGACTTTATGTGTGGTTTAACAGGTTGAGTGTGATTTTCACTGGCTTGTGATCGTCGCTCTCCCTCTGCACTGAACATGAAGTTGTGTTCATGTTGTCAGTATGAACTGTGAAACTCCGCAAGATGTCACCGCACCGATGCCAGCAATTTTCGTTCAGCGTTTATACTCTCTGGTGTGCTCAGCGCTATAGTGGCGACAAGATGCAGAGAAACGCAGGTTTTTACTCGGTCATGGGGGAGCATTTTCTAGTTAGGTCTGACACCAACCCCCTGACAGCATCACACTGCTTTTACACTGTTTGGGAGTCCCATCTGAAGGGGACAGGGCAGGTATAAATTGCCTTATTTGTACAGTGCTGCACTGAGGCCCAGTGCCATTAGGTAAAATGATCCACTGTGGTTAATCTCTGATATGATGCTGTGCAGCAAATGCAGTCAGCTGAGATACAACCCAACAAACAATGTGACGCATGCACAACAAACTGCTGCGTCTTAGAGTACCTGGAACTTTTATTATATGGTTATTGATATAATTAAAAGTACAATTTAGCAATATGAGCAGTCACCACATCTGAAATACCGGCTCATCGCTTAATTCCACTAGATCCATGTTCGGTCTGGGCAGATACAGTCAGACACAGAAACGCCATCACAACATCTGAGTCAATTTACAAAACAAAACACCCCATGTCCACGCCAGATTGTATTTCACATCACTACACCAACAAACTATCAGAGTGAGTGGAGTCAGGCCTGGAGTCAACAAGTTAGAGCTCATCGTCATACAGTGCGTTTACATGCACAGCTTAATCAGACTAAGCTCATAATCTGTTTTTTTCACCGAATCGGATGTCCCTCCTTGTCCGTGTATACATGCAACTGAGAAAATGGAATTATTGACATGAACGTGTCCTCCTCCCCAAAACCAGGGGGCAATATTGGTCTTTACAGCGGCGCTGTTTCCGAACATTTTTAAAGATGTCTCTATTCCTCGTTTTGCGACCGTTCATATACTTTAAAATGTCCATTTCTGTCAGGACGGAAAACATAACGGCACTCTCTTTGTCATCCCAAAAGTGGACATTCTTTCGTGCTTCAGCCATGTTGCAGTTGCTTCTGAGTCGGAAGTTCTTTAAATGATAGTGCCACATCTTCTCTGGTGGAAAATTGGATTCCAGTTGCATTATCTGGGTGTCTTAATCGCAGTTCTCCGACTCCAATCGGAGTTCTCAAACTCCGGTTATAGTAGGACTAAGATGTTTACATGCACTTCAGTTGTCCGGTTTTAATCGGAGTAAGGCAATAATTTGGTTTTCTCGAGTGTCATGTAAACGTACTGAGTGATGTAAAAAAAATCCTGATTCTGCCTTTAACTTGGGTGATCTTTGGTCTCGGTCCTCCAGCTGTCCAGTAGTGCTGCTCTAAGCTCTGAAAACGCAGCTGGTGGGTGTTGACAGACAAGTGGGCGGAGATGGATCAAACACGGATCAGGTGGAAGACCGGTGTTAGCCTAAGTTTAGGGCAACCACCTCGACATTGGCAGAGAGGCGGAGCTTGGGTGGTTGGTTCACTGCAAACGGCTTCAACATATTCGCCTGTTGGTCGTATCAGCCGTGTCTCTAATTATGCAAATCTAGTTTCCACTGAGTTTGAACGAGGACAACACTTTTAAATCATACATGTAGAAAAAAAAAACACCTGCCTGAGTCTGACTGACAGAATTTTTATTACTCGCCGAAAGGTCACTCAGTCATCCGATCTGATGTGCTCTTTGCTATTGCTCATTTGCACTTATATTTAAGGTGAAGTAATTTGAGATCAACAATTAGCTGAAATGCCCACAGCAGAGCGAGTACTATCTGAAGCGGGAAGTATTATTTATTGGCGGTTAAAATCAGGTATCAGGTGATAAGTGTCTAATGAAATATGAAGTGGGTCATTTTCAGGGGTCGACCTCATCGTTTGTATTGTAGCCCTGTCATCCACCTGAGCTTCTGTTTCCTTTTTTTGTGTCTGTCGGCATTCCTCAGCTGCTCCGCCTCCCCCCCCTCACCACCACTATACTATCAGTGTCTGTCACTCGTGTTTGTCAGCGTCCTCTTCACACATTCAAAGGGCGAGCCATTCAGGGGCTCTCTGATTACACAGCCGCTATGACGGGGGGGTGGGTCACTTGATATTGCTGTAGTGGAGAGTTAGTCGCTGGTGTTGGTGGGCCGGACAGGAGCTGGGTCAGCTTCGGCCAAGGTGACTACTCACTCTGCTGGTGGCCAATCAGGATGACACACCGGTCCTTCAGACACAATAGAAGGTAGGACGCACTAAGAGGGGACTTCATTTATTATGAGTGCCATATTTTAACCACGCTAATACTGCTGGTGGCATTGAAAAGGTGGCGGCTAGATGGAGTTAATGTGAATGAGTTAGTTTATGGCTGTGCAGGGTTAAGCACAGGAGCAGGCTCTTTGTCAGGCTGTCAGTGTAGTTCATCCGCCCTGTGATATTATTAATAGAGCGGGTAATGTAATAGCCTGCAAAAGCATTAAATCACGTTTGCATGCTTGATGCGCTAATCATGTAGATTCAGACACGAGCAGCATCGAATACTAAAAAAATAATGCACAAAAAATGGATTTGAAGGGATATTCCGGTGTAAAATTAATTTAGGGTCAAATGAGTTAGACACCCCCCTCGAGAGATAAATGTTGCCGACTGCTTGCTTCTCTAGTTATGCCAACTCTAGTAACAACCGCACGATAGCAATACAGAGAGCAATGCGCTCAACCAAAACGCCACTCTATAGCCACAAATAATGCTCAGAACAGCACCTAACTTCATCAACAGGACATATAGGGTCACACCCATAGTACTAGACACCAAACATCTTTGTAACTTTGACTCATTTCTTTAACAAAGAGACTAAACACAACTCACCTACTCTCTTCCAGCAGCCGCTTGTTTCTAGCAAGAACTTGAGCCAATCCTGAGGGACTGCAGCGGGGTGACGCAGCTCAAGGAAGAACATTTATCATTTCTTCATGGATATGCAATCGGACCGAGATGCTAAGGCAGAAGAGCAACCGTGTCCACTGTGCAAAATGATTAAAAAGGTGATTATTACTTCAAGGAAATGATAAAGAAATGATCGTAAATGTTCTTCCTTGAGCTGCGTCACCCCACTGTAGTCTGTAATGGACTGGCCCAAGGTCTCGCTACAAACAAGTGGCTGCTGGAAGAGAGTAGGTGAGTTGTGTTTAGTCACTTTGCTAAAGAAATTAGGCAAAGTTAAGTAAGATGAAGTTAGGTGCTGTTCTGAGCATTATTTGTGGCTATAGAGTGGTGTTTTGGTTGAGGTTTGTTTATGGCTCCTCAGACTGCTGTGTATTGCTATCGTGCGGTCATTACTAATGTTGGTATAACTTGAGAAGCAAGCGGTCGGCAACATTCATCTCTCAAGGGGGTGTCGAACTCTGTGTTACGGTGTGTCTGACCCTAACCTAATATTACGCCAGAATACCCCTTTAAGTTTTAAAAAGACGAAGAAGTAAAGTCCTGCTTTTGTGGAAGATAACTATAAGAAAGCTCCACAAATGAAGATGCAATCCTGCGATTATTAAATTTCCACTTTAGGATGCATCGTGGTGTAGTAATGCCACATTGTGCGCATAAGCTCTCCAGAGATTTCCCCGGCTCTTCCGCGCACTCAGCTCAACAACCTACTTTTATTTGTGCAGCGTCTTGTGCATAATGTGTGCCATGAGCCAGCTGTAACTGTCTCACAGGGAGGAAAATGAGTCAGCGGAATCAAACCCAGGCAAATGTAGGGCGTCTTATTGTGGCGGTGGGAAAAAGAAAGCCGCCACAAACACAGCCAGTCCCTCAGGATTTATCAGCTTTATTCCATCAAGTACAGAATCCAATATTCTCATAATGTGGGCTCAACTCAGTCCCATATTTTCTCTTGTCTTGTCATTGCATGCGCTGGTCTTTATCAGCCTCTTGAAAGCTTTCCAAAACCCTGAATCTTATGTGCTTTGACATCTGTATACTCAGCTTCAATATGAAACCACAATTAAGAGAATAACACCAAAACACTCGAATATAATGAAAGATAAGTGCCTGATCTTCAGAGAGAGGTTCAAGTGAGCTGTATTTCCATTTCAGTCACTTCTTACAAATCCTTCAGACTCTCACTGAGTCACAGGAACTTTAAACCACATTTGTCTGGCTCGCCTTCTCCCACGCTGCCCCCCAAAAATAATTACAGATCAACAATCGCTGGCATGTTTACGTGGATCCGAGGCACCTGTTTTCCTCCACGCTAAAACCAAAATATTCAGCTGTGTCTATTTTGGCACCATCAGGATGATTAAGCGGTCCCAAGGTGCCTTCTCTTGTTCTCTTGTTTGTTTATGTGAGAGTATGTGTCACACTGGTTTTGAAACAGGACTAATAAGTGTGGATTAAGCAGAGTTAAGTGACGGGTTTAGCAGGATTTGTTACTGGGAAACAATAAGATTTCTATCTTTATCTTCAGGGAAACTCCAGTTACATGATCAGCCCTTCTGGAGAAAGTTAGCCGCTTTCACTTTAATTGTTTTACAGTGACTATCTAAGGCTCGAGGGAAGTTTACTCACAAGAGACATTACAAAAAAACAATATCTCACAGATTTCTGTTTGGTGATGAAGGTTTTCAGTTAAGTAGAAGAAGTCAAAAAGGAGCTGCTTTGTTGAGCTTGTTTTCCTCCTCATTCAAGTCCTTTTTAATGTAAATATGTTAAGTTAAAATATCATAATCAGAACTGTTGATAAAAGGTGTAGGATTAAATAAGTCTAAACTTCTTCCAATCCCTTTTCGAACATGTAGATCGGCTGCACATGCAGGTTGTTGCCAGCCATCTTTGTTTTCTATTACTTATGGTACGCATGTGTTTGTGTTTGGTTACCACCTATATTCATGTTTGAAATAAAGCATTCATTCATTCATTTATAATCATAGTTCTGTTTGCAGTAAAGCAAACACATTTTTAACATCAATTTGTAGAAAGACCTCTGACTGTATTGTACCTTTCATTGTATTGTACAGCCCTCTGTATGTTTGCCATCACATTGCATCATATGCTTCCTATATTATCAAAATGCATGACATCATATTGCATGACATTGAACGCATCATTCAAATGCACCTTAATGCATCATATTATATTGCACCGCATTATAATCTAACTCATGCATCATATTATATTGCAGCACATAGGGGTCATATTGCTTGCATTTATTGCATCACACTATCATTTGGCGTCATATTGTATCCCATTGTATCTCGTTGTGACCCTTCTCATCATAATGCACTATATTACATGCATCATTTTGCTTGCATTATACTGCAGACGTTTCAATGCTTGGATCTCAATGCATCATATTGTATTTTTCCTCCACTGTTTCATCCTATTTTATGTCATAGTGTCACTTCTGATAATAACAAATCAAAATGTATTGCAGCATCGTATTGCACAATGTTGTGTTGCATCATATGTTGTACGATATTGTCTAATATTGTACACATTTCATTTCTCTGCTGTTACCCTGAATTAAAACCACAAAACACACGCTACAAACAGCAGAGAAGACATGGGTGTGACCCCACTGCCACCCCTGCTTCGGCCCCTTATGGGGTCTCTTGTTGCTTGTCCACGCCCTCTCTGTTGCCATGGAAGCTCTTAAAGACACCAGTGGAAACACACCGATCATGTGATAATAAATTGCCTCATGAAAATGTACCATCATGTGGGTGGTAAGCAGAAAAGAAATGAGGTGACAGATCAGATATTGGCGCTGGTCTTGTCTGACACTTTTGACTACCTTGGATTTAACTTTGGGGGTTTGTGTGGCACTGTCATTCTGGTTACTGTCCATCATTTCCACACACATTGCTCGGTCTGTAATCCATTTTTTCTCCTGTCCTCCATCCTGCAGGTTATGCCACCCCAAAGGCTTCCTGGACCCCCAACCCTGAAAGAGAAAGGCTGATCCCTGTTCTCCCCCAGGTTCCTGCAGCTCTGCACCTCATCGTTCCTCCGTGTCCCTCTCCTGCTTACCCCCTCACCCAAGTACACTCACCACACCTGACCCTCCCTCCCCCTGTCAGCCTCGACCTCTAGGACTGTTCATCCTGTCACTTCTCTCCCCCATAAATCCTCCCCTGCAGCCGCTCCGTCCCCTGTCTCTTAATTGTATTCCAGCCACACTAGCCTCCCTCCCTGCAGGCCCCTGTCCTCGTCATAGAGCTATTCTTCACCCACTGGCTGCACGCCGGGCCCCATGGCTACAGGAGGTCATGCCCCAGAGATAGATGTGTTGATCAACCTACAGGAGGTGAGCTTCATTATGAGCGTTTTCTGTAGTTTGACCATCATGTAATTCATGTAAATGTTGAATATATCAGGTAAAAGTCCCTCTGTTTTATCTGGACCTGTTTGTTTGCACATTAAGGAGGTTTAATTACCTTATACCGGGCAGCACTTTCAGGATGTTAACCATCAAGGCGAGCGATTCAAACGGTGTATCCTGGTGACAAATCCAGCAGCTTTCACTTTGATTTGATTTGCTGTCATCAGAACGGAGAGCAGGAGCTTGTAGTCTTTGTGCACGAACTTTTTAAGGTTGATTCAGCCCCGTGGGTTTTCTCCAAAGAGGCTTTAAAGTCCTCTGCTGGTTTGGTCGAGTTTTTGTCTCCTGCACAAAAACAGAAAACATGCAGAGAAGTTAGGAAGAGTTATTAGATTTACAGATTTAAGGTCAGTAAATTTAAGATTTAAGGTGAGAGAACACTGATTTAGTTTTGGTCGAAGTCACATGTTTGTCTTTGAGTCTAGTTTAAGAAAGTCATTAAATTGTAGTCAATTAAGTTTCAGAAATGTTTGAATTTGCAGTGTGACACTTAAAAACTTAATGTGTAACATTCCTAAACTTAACTGGATGACAAAGTTAAGCTCCTCCCACCAATGCACTGCTGTCTGCTGCAATGGTAATCCACTAAGGTTATGTATAGGGCTGGGCGATAAACCAAAAATTTCTTATACCAAAATTTACGACAATAACCAACGTCATTTTGCCCATGTCAGTATATTCGTGTCAAATAAATAAATACATAAATAAAAGCTGTTTTTGGATGTGTGTAGGTAGGCTATGGTCTCATGTCCCTTTAAGACGCTGTCCTACGTCAGAGACGTGACTCCACCCCATCCAGTCTGTAACAAAGAGGGAAAGACAGGTGAGGAGATGGAGGACGGTTCAAAAGTTGTAGCGGCTGAAGTAGACGAAGTTAATGTGGGAGGGGGTGAGCAGCTTGTGGGGTAGTTATCGTCCATTTATCGATATCGAGGTGAACTACTCAATATATTGTGATTTTGATTTGAGGTTGTATCGCCCAGCCCTAGTTATGTACATTAGTCTCTCCTCTCTAAACCAAGCTCAGTCTCAGCAGATGACTGTCTAACATGATTCTGGTTCTCCTCGATGTTTCTGCCTGTTAAAGGAAGTTCTTCCTTTTTTATGTGGTTGAAGATGGGATGGGAGTGGATCTGAATAATCTTAGGGGCTCAATCTGATCCTGTCCTTACACTGGGTCTGGTCTAGTCCAGCTTTTTTAAGCATCTAGAGATAACACAAACTTGTGAAGTGCCGCCATAAAAATAAAGCCATAAAAGAAACTCTGAGTATTATGATCGTTGAATTTAGTGAGTGATACATCTTTTTTTCCAGTGAGTTTTACTGCGTATGTTTGTGTGATTTTTTTCCACTTCACAGCCACACGTTGTGTTTGATTTTGACACTGTGGCACAAAGTAAACAGCGTCTTCTTAAAGCGCAGCTGTGAGGGGGAAGGACGCCAGCGATGAGCGAGAGCTGGAAATATGTGAGAGGATAGACAGCTTCTCAGGGAGTCCCGCAGGAGCGTCAGGTTGAAGGGAAAAGAAATCTACGACGTGGCGAGTGACAGGGGGGACGTTGATGAATTCGCCACGAGTGGATAGATTTCTCTCTCTGCAAACACTTTTCTGTTAACAGACGCACAGCTGTTACCGGGAAAGATATCAGGCTCGCAGTAAATAAAATTGTTTTGGTTTGGACAGATGTAAGTTTTAGATAGAAACCTTTTTAATGTTAATTAATTCACGAAAAATAAGCGTTAAGCTGCAGAGGTCAGAAGATGACAGGTTTATGCCAGAGGGAACATTAAACTCCATTATTCGATAATTAATAAACAATCACATCAAACACTTTAAGTAATTTGTTGAATTTGTTCTTTTGTCATTAAACTTGTTATCTTTACAGCTGCCTGTAGTGTCTGCAGACCTGATTTGTTCAGTTTTTAATTGGCCTTATGGGTCCGACTGATAAATCTGTTAATTACCTGAACCTGGAAAAGCTTCAGGGTACTAATAAAACTAATATTTTCATGCTGGTTGTTTGGTGTTGTAGTGAAATAGTCGATATTGAACAGTGAAGGTGACAGAAGAGACTGCAGGACGCTGGTTTTGTCTCGGCTCTAAGCAGCGTTTTAATGTTGGGCTTTAGTGTTGGCCGTCTGTTTGAGAGCCGGAGAGAGAAAATCGTTCATGAGCTTGTTTGACAAAATGCTTTGTGTCTTTGTGAAGTCAAGTCTCAGCTGCAGAGTCTCACTCCTGTCACGTTTTCATACCGCGGAGCTGCCAAGTATCCGCTTTATAACAGAGCAGAGAGCAAAGTCAGAGGATGGCCTCAGAGTTTGATGTTGGAACAGGAGATCTGCTGGATGTGGCGCTGCGTGTTTCTTAAATGGTGTATTTTCTCATCCTTGGATTTGGTATTTTAAGAAACAGAATTTGACTGTTTTCTGCTTTAAGTCGGTTTAACACAAAGTTGATATTACTTTGACTTTTAAAACTGAAAGTGGAAAGTGGACTGTGACGTGGTTTTACTATGGTATGTTGAGAGTTATAATAAATATCCGGAGTTCAGCGTGAGCAATTCATTGCTATTTAATCGATCTGTACTGCGCAAGTGCAAAAAAACTTTATTTAAACTACCAATCGATTGCAGAAACCAGCTGGCGATGTGACAGGCTAGCTTACTGCAGACTCCAGAGCTAATGCAGAGGTATTCGCCAGAGCTTCCGCCCAGCATAGTGAGACATTTTGGGCCATAGAGAGCGCCACCACCTGGTCAAAATATGGTTCTTTGACAAAGGGGGGAATGCTCTGAAGGTGTGTGGCCACAGAGAGCGCCACCACCTGGTCAAATTCATGCTTCATTTATTAACAAGAAGCCTACACATTCTGGACAATGAATTTCAGCGTTTGTTCACAGTGTTTCAATTTCAACACATTCATTCAAGCTTTTTAAAACGACGGTGCAATTTTAAAATTAAGCTAGTCGTAGGAACTTTTAATTGTAAAACTGGGCGCCATTCTCTTGACTTCCCGGCACTCAGTTCAGTTGGAGGAAGCACTCCGTTCAGGAGAAAGGTGTGTGGCTGTTATAAACTGAAGCATCCATTCTGACTGAAGCGAGCTGGCTGATGCTGAAGCTGTCGAACAAGTGTCGAAGCTGTTGCAAAGATGGCTGGTAGAGGAAGTGGCGTTCCTTTCACACATGCGCAGTACAAATCGGGTTTCCGGGACGGATCAGGTAGCGACAGACCAATCCGATGTTTGGTCCACTCAGCACGTATTGACCAACAAGTCGACTAGTGTACTGCTAAACTTAACAAGGTACTTCAGTGAAACTTCATCAGAGTATCTTTACTTATACTTGAGTAGAATATTTGAGTACTTTGTCAACCCCTGAAAACAAACCGTTCAGACACTCAACGTTAAAGAAGCGGTCGATCACAAAGACGCTTTGCCGTTGATTTGAGTGCGTTTCACGAGCAGTTAAACCCCCTCCTGTTAGGATAAATTGGCGAACAGGTCTGATGTCATTCCAGTGAAGTCTTTAAACCTGATTTGGAGTTCCTCAAAGAGCAGAAACTCCCCAAACAAAGGTATTATGCCGAGAGACACTCGTCTTCAAGAGAGACTTTTCCTCTGACAGCCCCTCAAAGGGATGAGTCACTCGTGTGTCTGTGTGAAAAGGCTCAGATTGTTTTGTGCCTGTTGTTGAAGTGAAACAGATGAAAGTGTCTTCTCCGGGAGATAAGGCTCTGCCAATTAAGTAGGTGATGTGTTATTATTCACAGCGGGGACCGTGCCATTCACAGAGCACACTGAGGCTCAGGTCTGAGGGAAATAATAGGCTGGATACTCGGCTACGGGCGATACATGCAGATATGAGGCTGACAAGTATCAGCGTCGAAACAGAAACAAGAGCATGGAAGGAAAACTTGATTAACTTCATGTAGACGAAATGACATTGAGAAATAACGCCAACTTTTTCGAGATAATTGCTCATAAACATCAGCTGTGCGGCGAAAAAGCAAAGCAAAACACTGCTGCTGATATTTATGTTCGCTGTGTTTGTTGGTCTGGGAAATGCGCCAGCTGCTTCTATCAGAGGGGAGTGGGAAGCAGATTTTAAACAGGGCGAAATAAAAAAGAGCAGGAGGGACCAGGAAGCAGAGCAAACAAACTCGTCATATTTTTATCAGCCTGGATTGTAATCGGTTTAAGAAATATCGAGTTGTTTCCTGGAGAAAAAGCTCCTCTCTGGCGCTGGTTCTCATACCCTAAATAATGAATCTGAGCGACAGACATACAGCGACATATTGGTGTAACATAATGAGGCCTGAAGGCATCAGCTGGTGATGTACTTCACTGGTGTAACAGGAGTTTACGATGCTTTCCTGTGGACCTAATCCTGAACCCTAAACCCTAATCCAGAATCCAGAATCCCACTATGATTGGCTGTTTGCTTTGTGAGAGGCAGGACTGATATTTACATTCGAGCAGTCATTTACATTTGTAGTACCATTTTGATCTGGTGTGTAAACTTTATGTCGGTATGTTAAACTGTCACTCTTGATGATACATCGATATGCGGATCAGTGGGAGCATCTGTCAGGGTTTGAAAGTTTAAAGGTCTCAGATCTAGTCCTTGTAGACAGGGAGGAGATTTTCCTCATCTGCTTTGAAAAATGACAGAAACAAGCAAAAATGCTCAAATGTGAAAATTCTGCATCTGGTGGTTCAGATGCATAAAATAATACCTGGTGTTGGTTAAAGGGATATTCCGGCGTAAAATTAATTTAGGGTCAAACACACCGTAACACCGAATTAGACACTCCCCCCCCCAGAGATAACTGTTGCCGACTGCTTGCTTCTCTAGTTATACCAACTTTTAGTGACGACCGCACGATAGCAAAACACAAAGGTCTACGTCTCAAACAAACCTCAACCAAAACGCCACTCTATAGCCACAAATAATGCTCACAACAGCACCGAACTTCATCAACAGTACATATAGGGTCCCAGCCATAGTACTAGCCACCAAACATCTTTTTAGTTTTGCCCAATTTCTTAATCACAACTCACCTACTCTCTTCCAGCAGCCGCTTGTTTGTAGTGAGACCTCCAGGCCAGTCCATTACAGACTACAGCGGGGTCACGCAGCTCAAGGAAGAACATTTATGATAATTTCTTTATCATTTCCTGAAGTCTGATTGTATTTCCATGAAGTAATGATCATAAATGTTCTTCCTTGAGCTGTGTCACCCCACAGCAGTCCGTAATGGACTGGCCTGAGGTCTCGCTATGAACAAGCAGCTGCTGGAAGAGAGTAGGTGAGTTGTATTTAGTCTCTTTGCTAAAGAAATGAGTCAAAGTTAAAGAGATGTTTGATGGCTAGTAATATGGCTGGGACCCTATATGCACGTGGCTCTTTGTATCGTTATGGTGCGGTTGTTACTAAAGTTGGTATAACTAGAGAAGCAAGCGGTCGGCAACGTTCATCTCTCGATGGGGTGTCTAACTCGGTGTTACGGTGTGTTTGACCCTAACTTAATTTTATGCCGTAATATCCCTGTAAGACCTGCACGATTTTTATGAACGCAGTATGTCAGGAATGGGTTCGAATTTGACTGGTACACTAGAATTTATGAAGCGAGGTTAAAGGTCAACGTTCCTGTTGTATCTCAAAGTTACTCTGAAGTTTGATCGGCTGCCATGACAGAGAGAAACACTCCTAACCACAGAGTCAACCTCACCGCTGTACCCTGAGTCCTGACCTGCTCTGAGTCTGATATTTTTTTAAATCTGTTGTCCAGTCAGAAAAAATGTTTGCCTATTCCAACCTCTATCTGGGGTTTGCAGTAAAATTAAAGCAATTCTATTTAAAGTTTTAAAAACACGGCCTCCCTGTTTCAGTAACGACCCAAAACCACAACAGAAAAATCGTCCACACAGATCTTCAGCTCCAAAATAACCAACATTTCCTCTAATCCTGGAGGTTTTCCTCATCATGAGGGGTACACATCAAACTCACAAAAACACACCCTGGTCTCTCTCTCTCTCTGTTAGTCACAGCTGATGAATATTTTAAGGCATCTTTCTGGCTCAGCATTCCATCAGAGATGAAATATTGATGTCGTGGTAGAAGCGCAGCAGATCCTGAGAAAAGGTGAGACAGCAGGTTTTCATCTGAGCGCGGGTTCGGCTCATGGGATCAGGATTTATCAACAGGATCGATTTAAAGCCTCAAAACAGAAATTCAGGAGAAACAGGATCTTTGTGTTTGATGGAAACAGATTCAACTTCAACACAGAAGTCGTGATAGAGTCGCTTTTTATGTGGTTTTAGCAAGAAGGAGGACTTAAAAGCTAAAGCTAACTCAAAGAGCTGAAGCAGAGCAAGCAGCACTCACCTCTTCCTGGTTGTCCTCAGAAGGGGGCGGAGTCAAAGAGAGGGGGCGAGGCCAAAGTTCCTGCTTTAAGGCTAACAGAGCAAACCATAGAGATTAGAGGGGTGGAGAGGCCCAAACCAAGAAGACTTAGGTGATTATTTTGACTGTTTTTTACAAACTTCAGTGCAGAAATTAAAACTTGTGTAGTTTGTACTTTTTGTTTTTAATTTTTATTGTTTTTTTTGAGTTTTTTGTCACCTCTGAAGTTGTCTTAAACCACAGGAAGGAAGCTAGCAGCTATTGAAGCTAGCAGCTACTCTCCTAGATATCTGTAGGGGTCTGTGCGGCCATTTTTTTTCACCTATCACCCCCAGATAATATCGGAGGAAACAGGTCTGGACTGGCCTTTCACACATGTAACACACTGCAGGACATTGTGCATGTGAGACTAGATCACAGCTATTTGGAGTCATGATTCAACAGGTTGTATTTGGGCAGAGTATGTTGAGGCCGCTGTCTTGTTAAAACCTTCCTCTTGTGTTAGCTTTTACAACACACCCACTATGTTAAGGGTTGGTTTCAACCCGTGTCTTGAATCAGCTGTAAATTACACTAAAAACAATTCTCTATCATCCAATTTGGTTCTCATCTCTATGTTACCTTGTTTGGCTTCATTATCCATGAAAATGTTGCTTATAATAGTTTTTGTTGTGGTCCTCTGGGCTCTTCTTTGTCAGTATACACCTCACACAGACATATTGATGGGCACGGCAGTTCTTTTAGATTTACTGAATCACTAGAATCAGTTCTCTAAAAAGATTCGTTCATTAAATCACTGAATCATGTAGCGCTTGTCGGAAGACACCTGCGACTCCGAACTCCTGAACTGATACACAGCTGAATGTTCAGGATTCAGTTCGATTTATAGCTTCTGGGACCAGGAGACGAGAGTGTTTGGCTGCGTTGCTTTGACAAACAGGTTTGTAAAAATGAACTTGTTTATAAGTCATGATGTTTTACGTGTACTGTCACATGGTATGCTATTTACCAGGTCTGAACATGAACCGTTCCCTCGCAAACCGCTGCAGTGATAGGATGCCGCGGGTTTAATGCACTACTTCTTACATGCTGTGTCCTATTGTATGCAAGTTGTTGTTTTGGCAATTTAGCAGCGAAAAAAAAGGTAGTTTTGTCTGACAAAAATGATTCCAGAGAGTGTAGTTCAATGTGTGATTCGTTCACCAAGTGATTCAGGCGTTGGTGCTCGCGGTCCCTCGTTCACCAGCTGCTCGACTGAAGTGAGAAATGGACGAATCACTTGAGGAAATGATTCGGTTCAGTGCGTTCACTGAAAAGATTCGGTTCTTTTAAACGACTCGTTCATGAACGGCACAACACTATTTCACATGATTGGAAGAGTATCTGACTGTCAGTGCACTTGTGATTTTAGTTTTTGCTCTAATTATTAGATATTGATCTAACCGGGTCAACAGCGACCCTGACACGACAAGTGCCATAGTTTTAATAAGAGCATTTTATAGTTTAGTCAATTTAATTTTTTAATTTTTATTTTGTTGAAATAGAGGTTCCTGACAAAGTCAAAAATTCTTGATACTAAAATAAACTTATTTAAGTGGTTCTTTTAAGCATGTAAAAACAAAAACTAGTCGGTGCAGACCCTAACACAGGAGGAGGGTTCATGTCATGCATTGTTCTTGATAGTGCAGAGGAACTTTGTATTTCATTTCATCAAATAGGAGAGGAAATTACATTATTATTCATCAAAGATTCAAAATGAAGACAGCAACACTACACAGGTGTGATTATAGAAATAACCGTCCTCCTCTTTCTGTCATCTCGTCCTGCTCCCACACGCCGCCTCCTCCTCCTCCACCACCTGCGCCGGGGTCGCCCTCCTCCTGCGTCCCTCCACCCAAACTGACTTCAAAGCTGACATGAAAGACTTTTCAGTCATTCGCAGCGAAGCAGATCCGGCGTTAGCAGAAATCCCTTTATTGTAATATTTCTATTATTCCCTCTCGCCTTATATGAGCGGTATTAGATCCTGTGTCTTACACTGTGATTACCACAGCAAGGTGAGAGCGGGAGGATGTAAGAGAGTCGAATTAAAGCGGAGTTGGTTTGTAGGAATATAGGCCACCTTCAATAATGAACCAAATTAAGCTGGCCGGGTATAAAAACAAGGCTTTTACTGCCCGCTCAATTTAAAGCCGTCCTTTTGTACTCAGCCTGGCTTCATCTGCCCGGGCTCTGTGTAGATAGGTAGCTGAGATCATTAAACGCATCCTGTCCCTTCATCCCTCTGGTAATTAGGAGGTAATGGAGCCTTGGCACAGAGAAATCGGAGAACACGGAGCAGCAGCCAGAGTGCTTACCGTGCCAGCGCCAATCTGAGGTGGAGGACGCCGCCTGTCACGGCGATTTGACCTATCAGAGTCACCAAACGGCTCCTGCAGGACACTCCCATCAGCCTCTGCTGTCTCCAGGGGCTGTCTGTGCATTAGTCCTCCGCTGCTTTAGCACTTTGTTGTATTGATTTATCGTTCTCCATGCATGCAGTGGAAGATGTACAGACACCAGGTGCTTGTTGTTGTCTGTAGGAAACATTTTAAAGACATACTGGAGTTTTCTCCCGGGACAGATTAGCAGCAAAATCAGGGTTTTAGGTCCACCTGTGAGTCTTTTCTCCTGAACCGGACAGACACAAAGAAAAACCCTTCAGGCGGAGATTTTTCTGAGCTTTTGTTCTGGAGAAAGTTTAATCCAAGTTCAGTTTAGTGGTTTATTTGACACAGATGATGCCTGGGCGAGAGTTTACTATATAGTGGTGTACACAGAGGAGTGAAAGGGGGGTGTGATGACCTCCCCTGACACCCTGACCTCTTAAAAACTCCAGATGTAAATAAATATTATAAAAATTATGGTGCCTTTTTCCTAGAAAATGAGTGGAAAATGACCGTAGCAGCCAGTCTGTAGAGGACAAAACATGACAAAGTTCCCCCTAGATGTCTTTTCAGGATAAAATCATAGAAAAGTGCTCTTTAGATGCTCTTCTAATAGACAAAATGTGATTTGGTTTAAGATTATCGAGACACGTTTAACATTTAGAAAGTTTCTTTTTTATTTGAGGGCTGAAATAGTTTATTTAATTTGATTTAAATTTGATTTCTCAGGTTTAAACGATCACATGATGTGTACTTTATTCACTTAAGGGGAAAAAAAGCTGAATTTGTCAGAATGATGAGAAAATTTTGCAAAAATCAGAGAAAAAGAAAAACAAAACTTGCGTCTCAGTTTGGTCCTAGCACCAATTGTAGTGCATAACTCCATTAAGAAAAGAAGATATTCCCATTTAAAGGTTGAAATCTGTAAACTCAAGTTTGCCTCAATCTTGCTTAAGTGCATTTTCTGCTATAGGAGGGAAGTTAAATGTAGTCAGTTGCGCCCACTTTAACTGTTTTCTGTGCAGAAGTACCTTCCTCAAATGTTGCCTCTCTCTGATGCACTCATGCATATGTATATCTCTGCAGGGATAATGCTATAAAGACCTCTGTAGCATTGATTCTGCAGAAATGCACACTTTGTTTGAGTTGTAACGGCGCCTGATCACAAATTAATTTAGATGTGAAACACAAGAAAATGTCAAAGCTTAACGGGTCGTGCAGATTTCGCAGAGGTTGTAGAGTGTGTGGAGGATTAAGAATAATCACTGAAGTCTGGAGATAAACACAGAAAGATCATTGGGTGCATGAAGAGCTTTGCAGAAGATAGAGGTAATAGATGAGACTGATGTGTCTGTGAAGTTCATTAAAGGGATGGTTCATTGTTTTGAAATGTGGTCGTCTGGGGTGCTTGTCAATACTGAGTGTATTACCCACATGAGATCCTGGTCTGTTCGGCGTCTTTGTTGGAGAATCAGAGACGTGGAGCTTCAGCTGCTGCATAACTCATTTTACTACATAACTAAACTCATCCAAACATTCATGTAAGTGCACACTGTATTTAGAAATGTCTGATTATAAAGTTTTCTTTTCTCCAGGTGAAGGTGGAAGAGGAAGATGAGGACGGGTCCGTGGAGGAACACGAAGAAGAAGAGGAAGAGGAGGAGAGCTGGGAGAAAACGCTGTCCGTGGATCGTTTCGGAGACTTCATCAGTGACTCTGCTTACACGAGCAGTGACAGGATGGGCCGCCACTACACCGAGAAAGACTTTGAGAGTAAGCGGAGACACAGCTCTTACTCTCTTCCTCTCATTCTGTCCCTTGGCTTTTCAGACACACACACTTACTCACACCTGCTTCCTCCTCTTCTCTTCAACTCAGTCTTGATTTTTGTTATGTCATAATCCAGTTCCATAAATATGTGAATTAACACACTCTTATAAAATCTCCTGACCTTGTCCATCAAAGTTTCAGAGTGGATTAAATTTCAGGCAGATTAGCAGACGGATACCTCACGCTCTGGTTGGAGATAATAGCAGCTATTATTGGACAGAGCTGCTTTCTTCTGACGCTCATTAAACTGTGCATCTCTCCATTATTGTATGTTAATTAAAAATCTCAGGCCTTTGTTTGTGTTGTGTCTTTCAAGTGTTTAATAGGGTATTAAGGGCGAGATAGAACAAGTCGTCTGGGAATAGCAGCGTGTTTTATTTAAGTGAATCAAACAGCTGCAGCAGAGACAACAGTGACAACAGTGTTTGTTTAGTGTGAGGCAGTGAGTGTGAAAAACTTTCAAATCTGAGTTAGGGCTGTCCCGATACAATATTGATATCAGATATCGGTCCGATATCATCCAAAACAATGTATCGTCCTGCGTCTAAAATCTCCGATATCATCACTCCAATACAAGCAGTCCATTCTAGACTCCGCCTCTATCTAGCAGCGCCCTGATCCAGCATGTAGAGCCCACATAATCACAACAACATTGTGTACCAAGGTACTAACAAAGTACCAAGGAGTAGTAGTGATTTCAGCTGTGTGCCAGTATTTTTCGTTAAAGTGGGAAAAAAAAAACTTGCAGCTGAGTGCAAAACTTGTCATGCACAAGTTTATGCCAATATCGATATCTGCTGATACTGAAGGCTACAATATCGGTATCGTATCGGAAGTAAAAAAAAGTTGTATCGGGAAACCCCAAATCTGGGCGCAAGGGGCTAGAAAGTAACTCATTACAGTTAATCAAGTTACTGTAATTTCAGTTTATCAAGTTATACTGTTGTGTGTTTGTGTTGAACTACTTTGACCACAGGGGGCGCCAAAATCGACGCTGATACAGAAGCTTTAAATTTAGTCCCAATCTGAAAATTATTTCGAGATGTTTCAAACTTTGAAAAAATGTTGCATTTTGTTTTAAAAAAAAATTAAAAAACTTTTTACGTATTGCAAGCAATCCAATCCTTAAATTGAGAATCCTTTCCCCCTGAAGGTATGCCGCAAAAATTTTCAATAACCCTAAACCTGGATAGGTACAGAGTCAAAACACTGTTTATTGTTTATTGTTTCTTACTCCCCCAAATTCAGCACCATGAGTTCAAGTTTGTTGTTTTGTTCACATTGGATCCTGTCCTGCAATCCACGCACAACAAAATACTTTTGCCTGCTATAGGTGTGCTGCTGCATTCCCATTTGTTGTGTTGATTGTTTTTTTTTTTTTTATTGCTATCATTTACTCCACAATCTAGTGGAAGTTGACTTTCTGTCCTTTCAAAATAAAAGCGTATTTGTTATTAGATACAAAAATAACACATCATGGGCAAAGGGCAGAAAAAAAGCAGAAAAAAAAACATTTTTAACCCTTTAATGCCTGAAACCACAAATTATGGCCAGAAAATTCACATTTTTTTGGAGCTGAAATGTTTATTTCAACAAAAACAATGTCCTAAAAATTTAATAAATATATTTATTTATCTCTTTTGATACATTAGATGTTTTTGGAAACTGATAAACCACAAGAGGACATTTTTATCATTTATTGGACCGTATTCAGGTGTTTTTTTTAGTAATTTGTTGATCATTTTATTTAATAGAAGTATCATAAAAGTATGTATCAAATATGAGATACTGACCCTGAGATCAAGATCTTCTTTGATTTTATTCTTGTTTTTTCTTTCAGATCACCGACACACATTTCATCACACCCACCACCCCTTGTCCACCCACCTGCCCCTGCCCCAGCGTTTGCGGAAGAGGGTGCACAGCTCGGACAGAAGGCGGAAAAAGAAACGGAAGAAAAAAAAGACCTCCCTGCCGCCGTCTGACGTTACACCCACCATCCATGAGGTAGACGAGGAGGAGGCGGAGTCTGAGACCGACAGACAAGGGGCCGCTTCGGCTACTGTGGAGACGACCGATATCCAACGGCAGGTAAAATAAGACAGAGGAATCATGGGTATTTTAACCCTAACCTCCTCGTAGCTGGGGGTCTTTGCTGCTGCTCTCCCTGCCTTTGCTTTAAAGTATGAATAAGAGGGCGGTTGCGTAAAAGGCGGTACCCTCAAATATATGACGCTGTTTGATGAAAGTGGTCCTGACTGAACCACCTGTGAGCATTTTCCTCCTCTCATTGATCTTCCTCTTCCTCTCAGTTTAGTTTGGGGAGCCAAGAAGACTTGGAGGAACCCCTCCCGCTCTCTACCATCCACATGGAAAATGAAGAACATCCACCGACAAAGGCAGACGCGCCGGCTCGGAAAAGCGGAGAGGCTTGTAATGGGGATATTACAGCTTGTGGACAGGATGAGGAGGTGGATGGAGAAGAAGCGGCCTGCAGCAGGTAGGCTGTGATGAGAAGCGGTTTGTTTATTTTTGTGGATTTATAAAAGGAGTTGTGGTGCATCATGTGGGTCCTCTGACACAGATCCAGATTCGAGAGTTTCTCTGCGCTCTCAGTGATTTGATCAAAATGAATCAAACTGCTCGATCACTGCTGGACTCTGTAATTCCTCTCACCTCTAATGAGTCTTCCTCTATCAAGCATCCTGCAGCTAATTACTGTAGGTTTCGGGAAAAATAAGCTCCTCGATGCTGCGTGCCCGGAACCAAACAGCAAACAGTGTTAGCCGCTGAAATACTCGCTCCGAGGCTTTAGCAGCCAGGGAGCAGTTTGTAATCACAGTGCGGCTAAAAAAATAAGTGAATGTTGAAATTACCTCCCTCGGGTTACTGGAAATAGTAATAAAGGTGGCTGTTGATAAAAGGATGGGGAAGCAGTGGTTACACAAGAGTGGGTGAAGTGTGGAGAAAACGAACAGTCCTTCTAATTCCACATGTGGTGACGCCTTCATGGCGAGTGTTTCTCGTTAGCCTCCCTGGCGAACGATTTCAGCTAGACAGGTGTAGTGACAGTCGTCATTCATTGATTAGAATGAAATCCTCATGCAGGTAGCAGGCTAAATCCTGAATATCGCCACCTGCTGGATACTCTCACCCTCTCTGCAGCTGTGGCCTGGATTGCAGGACAGATTCCAGTATGAATACGACCGTATTGTTAAAGCTCCTGTGAGGAACTTTTGATTTGTGTGAATTCTGGCGCCCCCTGTTGATATTACTGTCTCCACTTGTCTTGGCTTATACATGTTGAAGTTGTATGTTTTGACCATAAACTGGATATAGAACGGACGCCGTCTGCCTCCTCGCTGGGTGAACCCACCATGAGAACAGCACCCTCTGGTGATGGGCTGCAGTATAGGTCATAAATCCCGCCTCCTCCAGCAAAGCTTATGGAGCTGTGGACAAACTTTAGAAATTTATTACACAGAATATAAATGTTTCTCCCACCTGGTTGCGATGTTGACATGTAGTTACTGTAAGACTGGTTTGTGCTCAAGTCCTCTTTTTTCTGTGAAGCTCCGTTTTTTAAAGTTGTTAAGGGGTTCATGTTTGCTATGATTGACACTTGATACAGCCTATTGGCGTACGAAGATTGCGTAGCTCACCCAGGGAAAAGCTGTTTGAGCCAAGTGTCATCACAGCAACTCCCGGTGACTCTCCCGCCTAATACTGGCAGAAGGCGGAACCAAGTTGTCTATAGTATTTACAGTCTATGGTTTTGACAAAAACTCAGACTCGACAGTTAAATGTGTAATTTACTGTAAAGCTGTAAAAACAGAACTCAAGTCCTCAATCATTTAGAGTCAAAAATGTGTATTTCAGTCTTTTTCATTAACCTGAAAATCTCCCCAATGGAGCTTTAAACTCAACATGTTATCATGCTAACAGAAAGTACTTCAGTGTTTATGAGTCTGTTGCCAATGGAAACCTGCGACATTGTCAACATGCAGGAGTGAAATGAGCCAGATTGGTTTGATCTGCTGCGATATGTGATCTAATTGTCTCTGAGAGCGCTCTTGCTGTTCAGACTTAGTTTGTGTTTTCAAGGATTAGACCAGGAGATTCAGAGGAAAGCCAGGTGATAATTGAATATATGATTTTTAATCTTGTACTACATAAACACAGCTTTGATATGTAAGCATATGAAATGATTAAACTGCTGTTTTCTCAGAGTGAAGAGTCTCTTACGTCGGTGTTCACTGCAGCTTGAATTCCAGTATTTACTCTGAATATTTTGATCTAAACAGAGTCTGTGTATCTGTTGAACTTTCATCCTTTCAGCTGTTGAATGCTGCTATAGTCTCTGCAGCTTGGTCTGTTTATAGTAAAGAAAATTAACTTTAAGAAGCTAAAACACTCTGTAGTTTGGTGATAATTTCTCCTCCTTTTGAACGTTGCAATCGTCTGATAAAGAAATATTGATCGAGCCGCCTCTCATATTGGTCTTTACCTCGTTTCTTCTTTATCCCTCTAAGTCCATTTCATCAAGGACTGTTTACTGCTACCGTAGAAAGGAAGCACATGTTACTCAGAAGTACGTTGCCATAGTTACCCGCAGTTTATTACTGTGTGCCTTATGACCTAATTTAATACGGCTACACTGACACAGGAACAATGTTGGATGTGAACTGTGTGTTTCGCCTGCGAGCCGCAGAGGAGCGACTGTTTTGTTGGGAGAGGTTATAATGGCCACCGGAGACAGGTCTCAGAGGCGGATTAGAGACGATTGAATTAAAATTTAAAGGTTATTTTGCTTTCTAAATCTGGAGCTGACCCCTGAATCACACACACGTGTGAAATAAAGCAGGTGCACGCAGTAAAGAGCAGGACGGAGCAGTCAGGGGATGTTTCAGCTGTTATTGCGTGCATACACTCAGGTATAATGTGAACATGAGCGCATATGCAATATTAAAAGCCCAATTGTCTCATTAGGATTCACTCATGCATGCTCCAGCTGTATGTTTACATAACTTTAACATCCAGGGAGGTTTTTGGGTGGATTCAGGTGTCCGTCTTTTCAAACGTCTGAGAAATAACGGCACAGAGACGGCGCCGAGCGTGTGCAATGTCAGATTGTGTCTCTGTGGCTGAGTGAGCATGGCAGAGGATGACTCAGAGGGTTGGAGAGGTGATGCTGCTTTTGCTGCTGTGTTGTGAAGCCCTCTGCTGGTGAGGGGACGGCATTGCAACCATAACTGGAGCCCTATTTGAGTTCACTTTCAAGCATCTGATGTTGAATTTCTGTTTATTATCAGGTCAATAAATGTCTCTCTCTGCTTTTTCTCAGTGCCACCGAAGAATCCGACCCCTCCAGCTCGACTTCACCTCGCGGCTGGTTCCGCAAGAAGCCCGTCCACCATCGTCCGGCAGCCGCCCAGAGGAGCAACTATGACCTGCGGGAGCGCATCTGCATCGGCAGCATGACCGCTCACGAGACCGCCGTCTACCAGCAGGTGCCCACCGATGAGGCCGAAGCCCAGATGTTAGCCAGCGCCGATCTGGATGACATGAAAAGTGAGAAACGCACACACCTCTTTTTTTGAGGCTGTTGCCAAGGGGAACGTTATTGCAGCTTGAATGAAATGCATAAAAATAGAAATCCTCAAGTGATGGCACGGCTGATAACTACATTTATATGTTTCCTCATCGCCTCTGAGATGTTAAAGCGTTGGAGCAGGGTGATAGGAGATGATCTCATCTGTTGCTAAAAGTACCAGAGATGACTCAGATTTACTTTCACCTACGCTGGAACAACACTGTGGGGTCTGCGGTGTCTTTTTCCAGCACGGTTGTTATGCATCAGCTTGTGAGAGTGCTCTACCGATTCTTCATATACCACACAGGAAACGGCAGAACATAAAAAGCTATAAAAAAATGCTGATTTTTAATTGTAACTCTCTGATCTGAACATAAACTGTCCCCATGGCTGCTGAACTGTGAGGCACAGACATCATTTATGTTGCTTTAGGGTCCGATTTCACTCTCATAGCTGTGAGATGTGGATGTCTTTGCTGAAATATCAGTTTAAACTGCAGAATTCCTCAAAGTCAGGTAGTTTGCAGCCCAAGTTGTAGTTTTAGTACCCCCCAGTGGCCACGAGGAATACTACCGTTCAGATATTTTAGCTGCTTTAGTGACTTTCTTCTGTCTTACAGCTCTCCCATCTTTGACCCACTTATTGACGGATAGTTAAACTCTCCCTCTGAGTCTATTTTATACAACCTTTCAAGTTTTTCAGTGTTTATTTTGAAAATGAAGAATCACTCACCTCCTAATTCAGTGTGAGTTAGGAGCTGCAGCTCCTTTTTCTGTAAACCTCAAATTACCTTCAGCTCCTGACGGCTGAGAGCTTCAGAAACTCTCAGATTAATCTTAAATATGAATTAGCTGATTAAAATTGATCTCCACTTTTTTTCACTTTTTAAAGAGCTTTTTTTTTAACTCAACAATATTTTTATATCAATATCATCATTGTCACATCCATACCTGTTTTTTGTTGGCACTGATCTTTTTTTTCTCTTTTATATTTTTCTTATACTTTCTATACATGATTCAGTCTGTAAAAGGCCTTATCAGTCAACCAGCATCAAAATTTATAGTTTTAAGTTTGTTATTTTTATGGGTAAAAGTAGCATGAAGGGTTAGGTGTCATTTTTTATCAATTATACTCACAATAAAAGACACATTTGATGTTAAATATCAGCAGGATGAGATTTCTGACTGAAGGAGCTTCAATGTCACTAAATATTCCTTTAAATAAACCAAAATATTGTGTTTATTTAAAGACATCTTCAAAGTGAGAGATATTCACGCTTTAGTTTTCATATTCTCGGTCCAGAATTTACAGTTGACAGGCTTGCTGTCCTGATGTTGACGATTGACAACTTCCCTTATTGCTGCTGAATAGTCGTCTCCACTGTGGGCGTCCGGCGCTCTGTCTCATGAAACCAGCCTACACAGCTCTCCTCGCCTCCTCCTCATCCTCGGTTAAATATGAGCTTCAAAGACAATGACTGAAAGGATGAAGGAGGACCTACAGTATCTACACATCATTCCTGTTAACGCCAGACAGATTCACTGGGTACTTTTACAAAAACAAGTGAATTAAATATGTTAAAGATCAATGCAGCAGCACTATTTTCTGTTTTTGGCTGTTTTCTTTAGAGTAAAATAGAAATCAGACAAACAATCAGAGCTGAGGCTCACATTATTAAAGGAAAGACGACACAGTTTTTCAGACAAGCAGGTTTAAAGTTTAATGTTTGGAAATAGAGCAAATACTGTTTCTGTGGAGAAGAGACAGCTCCCTCTGCTGGCCTCAACACAACATAACATGTTATCTTTTAACACTCAAAATATGAATTTTGTCTGTTTTCGATTCATTGAAACTATAAAACCGCAGTAATTTTAAAAGATAAGTGTGTAATACCTTGTTTTTGCAGCATTTTATAACCGCCTGCTTCTGCTTTATCTTAATGTAAAGTAGCGTCTTTAATGTAACCTGCTGCAGCAAAGTTAATGACAAAAAAAAACAAAGATTAGAATTAAAAGTAGACAGTGGAAAATAACAAAAAACCGAGAAAAGGACATCAGTGGTTGAGCGACTTGCACCCGTGCAGCCAGAGAAAAACACTCTGACAGCATCCAGAGGCTTTAATTAACTGAAGCTGCAGTCGATTCCCCTTTAGCGGCGACCCTGCCTCTGGCTTTTCCTGCTTTACCAGAGCAGAGCACTCATTGACTGTTAAGGAACCCTCTGGAAACAGAAAACAGGGCACCCACAGCCCATCAGAGCCCGCTATCGGATTTACAGGGAGTGAGGGCTGAAATTGACGGGCCGAGGTTCCCCACTATAGGTGCCGTTGTTCCATTATAGTCGACTGTGTGACTGAGAGCTGTTTGCATGTTTTCACTTTACTGACTGATGATCGTTTTTTCACATTTTACAATCATGATTGTTGCAGATCAAGTTTTTCAGCCGGTGACTATTACAGACTAATATGTTCACAGTCAATGAATTCCAGCTCTTCACTTCTATAATCCATTCAGATGAAACCAAAGCACTCTGCTGATTTTTCAGGCCTTAAAAATTTACACTCACAGATTGATTTTTCAGAGAAATATCTGTGTTGTGAAACAGTGTTTGAAAAGAGAAGAGTGCAATCTTGTGAACGCCTCATTTAATGCTGCTTTGGTATGGCTGCAAAATCACTGTCCTGTAGAAGAACTATAGGTTTTTCCCTTCATAGGCTATCACAGGAAAATTAAAAAAGGAAAAGGTAAAGTTTTTGACACTTGTTCTGTGTATGTATCCAAAAAGAAATCCTGATTTTAGAATATGTTCAAGGTTCAGGAACCATACTGCAGTGTGTCTAAGTTCTCCTTTAGCAGACCTGCTTCATGTGCAAAAAAAAAAAAACCTCACTACAAACCTCAGGAGAGCTGGTGACATCCTGGACCCGGAGATAATTCTGAACATGAATATCAAACAACAATATCCACATGAAATTTACCATAAAATCTCAAACGTTACGTTTTAGCAGTATAGAGAACAATGTGTAAGTGTAAACTGCAGTTCCTCAAGTGTCCACTTGAGGCTGGCCCCAAAAATGCTTAGAGCCACATACACACCCATTCATAAAACTCCATCTTTGCAGCAAAATTTGACATGTTTACAGCCTGATATGAAAAGCGCCATCTTCTGGGTAAAACCCTGTTGCACAATTGTCAAGAGTATCAAAAGGTATCAACAGTGTGTCTCGTTGAATTAAATGGTGTTCGCTCTTTTGTTTATAAAAAGGTTGCTATTATGTGTGAGAATCTTACAAACTTCTCAACTCTTTTGTGCTCAGTTTAGAAGTTTTATTACGACTCGACAGGGGCTGCTTTGGTTTTAGTTGAGACAGGAATGGTGCAACATCTCGAAATAATAAGCTATATTTAATCTTACTTATTAACATCAATTAGGTTTCACTCGAGTGGCGTTTGGATACTAGAGTCTACTATCTGAACTTCACCTTTACCCATGCACTAATCACATGATGGAAATGGAAGAGTGGAAACCAGAGGCATGAACTCTTCTCCTCTGATCCACTGAATGTTGGTTTTCCAACAGCTCCAGAGATCAATGAGCCGGGGACATCATTAAAACGGGGCGGGACAGCCTCTCAGTTGACAGGCAGCTCCCACAAAGTAGACCATCCCTTATCAATACTTGTTTTTGGGTTTGCTGGGAAAGAGTGATTTGCCGTCATTTATGTGTCTTTCTGGTCGTGGATTTAGCAGGGGGGTCTCTGCCTAAGGGTGCAGCTCCAACTTCGATTTCAAGCTTATTTTGTTTGGATTTAAAGTTTGTTTTTCTGCTTCATAAGTTGGACCAGAGCAGAGAAGGTGTTTTTGAAGGCCTGAGGCTGAACTTTTTAAAAAGTCTCATGTTGGAGATTGTTTTTGAAGCTTCCTCAAAGGTGTTTTTTTGCACTGTCAGGTAGGCTAGAGGTAACTTAAGGAGCCAAGCATCATCAGGTGATCCAGGAAAGACAAGGGTGTTCATGATCTGGAGCCCTGGATGAGCAGTGTGTCCACTAGGAGAGAGGAGGATAGGAGGAGGTACCGGCCGTGGAGATGACAGACATTGAGGGACAGGAAAACCAGGGACATGGGACCTCTGAGAAGAGGCGAAGCATGGACCACCATGGACAGGAAGGGCGGCCCAGTACCCAAAAAGGCACCCCAAAGCAGCACCAACTCGATTACCGCAACTCAATGTCCAATGTGGAGGGATTTGAGGATTTTGACGAGTTTGTTTTGGATTTCGATGACTACGACCTGCTCGAGTCGATCCAAACTCAAGTGGAGTCTGCGATCGAGCCGATACGTAAGTTCTGGTTAAATCTGCCCTTTTTTTTTCTGCCAGGCTAAATCGCAGAGCTTCAATCACGTACGCTTTATTCCAGTTACTGAGTCAAGCCGTTGATAGGGGAGGTTGTTATGTAAGTATAATGAATTAGAAGAGGATGAGCGCTCATTTCAGGCTTTACATGAACGATCAATAGATAGGAGCTCACTTGTTATCATTGATTGAAGCCCGCTGATGCTTAATTATTGGCAATACAACTCATTCATGGCCACACACAGAACAAGTTCGCCCTTGGTATTGAGTGAATTGACACAATGCTCGACTGTGGCTACTTCCTGCTTTCCTATTGATCCAGTGGCCCCCATTTGGCAGGTCCATTTACCATTAACCACGGCTGGAGTGGAAAGATATTCATTGACCAGCAGAGCAGAGTCCTGCTGTTTTATAGAGCTGTGATCCAGCAAAGGCCAAATAAATAACATTCATCAGCTAGCAGTACTCTGTAGTAGGTTTGTAACATGAACTAATGAAGCTGTGAGGTTTGGATGAAAAGCTGGATGTCCAGTTATCCTGTCAAGTTGACATAAATCATTTCATCGTCTACATACATTGGCACTCGTGTCTTAAATAAGTAACCAAACCAACTTGAACATAGTAAAAGTCTATTTTTACAACTTATGGACTAGTAATCCAACATGGTTTGGCATCACTTGTTTTTAAGTATTGAAAAGGGTGAATGGAAATTACTTGGTGAGAACGCTAGCTACTCTTGTTGTACCAAATGTTATACCAAAAGTCTTGCTTGTATACCAGTAGGTATCCAGGTCACCGGTAAGATGAAGGTTGTCATAACCTGCCTCAGAAATCACCTGACTACCCAGCCATGTCAGAGGTTACATTTATTTAGCATTGAAAAGTATGTTTATGATTGTCTCAGGTATACTTGTGAGCTTGAAGGGTAACTAACCAAATCCAAAGAGTTTGGAAGGATTCGAGATAATGGACTCTTTCTCTCTCGCATAGAGCTCTTGACTAAAGTAGACCTGTCCTTGACTTGTTCAAAGCTCTTTGAGAAATAATACCACCAATAATTTTAATTTCCTGCAATTACCATTGGTCAACTTCACAAAATATTACAGTAATTTTTGACCTTTGACCCCTAGGCCCAATCCAAGTGCTATCCCTTAAGCGCCACCTTTTTTTTAATTGCCCTTGATTTGATATGAACCAGTTGCTTGTCAGAGACTTAAAGGATTAGGGTCTTCACTCTGGAAACTGGGCGCCAAATTAATTTCAGATTAGTGACTTTCATAAACCAGGAAAGTGAAATATCTGAACTGGGACACCCAAAGCATCATTGCATAAAGTCGTACTGACATCATGATAATCCATTTTTGTGATTTCATGTCTAAAGGTTTGTTTTATTTAATCTGAATCCAAATTAAAGTTAGACATATCTTTCTACTGTGACATTCTGTATGGTTATTAGTGAAGATCTGGACTTTACTCCTCTGGTGGCCAAATTTAGTGACCAAAGCCAATGATGGTTCCAGAGAGAGAACAAGTTGAAGTCTGGTTTATAGAGGTAGCCGTACAACCAAATACTTGGTAGATGATTGATATTTTAGGGGTAGAGTCATAAGTACATAAAGTTGTGTGTCTCAGAGTCTTAGTCTTTAGATACACATTTAGGTCATGGTCTGAATTTATGTATTTGAAGTCCCTAATTCAAAATTACTAGATCCCATTTCATTTTGCACACGCCCAGTCTTCATGTCATCAATAAACAGAAGTTTATGATTTCAGTAATACAAACTCTTGTTTTCGTTTGAAATTAAATTTGCCCTAAAGTTTGGTAAAATAATAGGATTCAACTCAGAGCCCAAAGAAACAGAACTGGTGGACTACACAATAACTTTTAATATTGAAGGGTTTCTGGGTCGTTCTTGTGATTATTTGAAGTCTGAAATCTGTATAAACAAGCGTTATTAAAATGAGATGGTTGGTTTCACAGGAGGAGTCGACCTTTTCTAGATTTCTAAAGAAAACAAAAGTCTCATCACTGACCCCAGTTAACTCGAATTACCCGTTAAAGCCCCGACACAGAGAAGCCAAAGGGTTTGTTGTCCAGAAATCATCTGTCCCATCACTGGACCAATTCATTTATGATGATTTTTAGCTCCTGATTGACAGTGTTTGACGTTTTTGATTCTTAACATCTGTGAAATGAATCAAGGCCTGAAAGTGGAGGACAGGTCATGTATAAGAGGGGCGAAAACAGGACTTTCTGGAGGCATCAGAAGGAGATTTGGTCTTTCAGTCTATTTGGAGAGAATCAGGCTGACTATACGCTATCCCTTATATAATAAACTCCAGCCCATCCATCCATCCATTTTCTTCCGCCTTGGGTTGGGTAAGCAAGTCTACCTAAATCATCCTCTCCCCAGCAACACTTTCCAGCTCCTCCTCTGTATTCTCAAGCGTTCCCAGGCCAGGTGGGGCATGCTATCCCTCTGTCTAACTGGGATCTCCTCCCAGTTGGATGTGCCCAGAATGGGAAGTGGCCTGAACCATCTCAACTGACTCCTGTCAATTTGAGGAGGAGCAGGTCTACTCCGAGCTACATATGTTCAAGTTTGGAGTCCTGTCACCCTCGTTCTTCCGGTCATCACCCAGAACCCATGACCATCGGTTTGGGTCTGTACGTGGATCAACCGGTGAATCGAAAACTTTGCCCTCTGGCTCTGGTCTTTCTTTACCGACCTAAACCGACCTAATCCATCCATCAATTTTTTTCCGCTTAGGGTTGGGTAGGCAAGTCTTTTCAAATCATCCTCTCCCAGCAACACTTTCCAGCTCCTCCTCAGGGATCCCAAGTTTTCCCAGGACGGGTGGGATATGCTATCCATCTGTCTTACTGGGATCTCCTCCCAGTTGGATGTCCCCAGAATGGGAAGTGGGAAAGGCAGATACAGCCTTTTCGTAGCCGTTCCAGGTACGGTGGAAATTGCCCATAAGACTCTTATCCCAGAGCAAAGGGGCTGGGATACGCAGTGCCAACTGAAGAAGCCAACAGAACCACATCATCTGCAAAGAGTAGCGGTGGAATCCTGAGACCCCACAAACTGGAAACCCTCCTCAGGAAGAAGATAAAAAAAAGAGGCCAAAGCTGCGTGTTGTTGAATTCTTGAAACTTTATGTTTGTTGGGATATTTTAAGTCTGTGCAACGTGAAATATTGAACACAGAAGAGGGAAAAGAACCAAATCGAGGCCTTTTCAAGTGCGTCTCATTTACCCGGTTCATGCCCTTCACTGTGGTGAGAAAAATGTGCTCATGGATCAGCTGGAGCAGTTCACCAAAGGACAGCCTGGGAGGGTCCGGAGAACGAAAACTCTCATCCTGATTTCCATTTCTTTCTGTTTCCCTGAGGAAGGGATGACGCAGCAGAACGGAACAGTCTCTGCTGTTACTCCACACACACACTCAAACACACCTACACACACTCAAACACACACACACGGTTCCTCTTCCTGTCACCTCCACGTAGGTCCAGCTGGAGATTCAAAGAGACAGTGTTTATTTAGACAGAAAATCAACTCAGCTTTTGGCAGATCCAGAGCAGTCAGTCAGTTTCCTGTTGTACTCACAGATCTTTTACATTAACCTTAAACACACTAACCCAATAATGTCGCTTTACCTCATTTCACCTCCTCCTTATCCTTACCTCTTAAATCTCCACAGATGTGCCAGTGGTTTTGCGTCTCACGGGCCAATTTTCCCTAACAGGGATTCGAAGCGGTAAAGATCTGCTAGATTTTGGCAAAATATGGGCAACAAAAGATTTACAGCTGTAATGAATGTGCGAGTTAACGAGAGGTTTGAGTGGGATTAACGCGCACCGAACGATCCCTGGAAAGCACAAAGTCAATCAAAACACTTTGCGGTCGCTCTGGATGGATGTCAGACACCTGATTTGCAATAAAAACAAGCAGAAGTACTTTTGTTTTCCAGTTAGCACTTTTCCAGTCACCAGAAACCCTCACCAGGCCTCAAAATGACGGTTTTCATAATTTTAACAAATTATAACTATTCCCTAACTTCATTGAAAACATCAGTGTAGACACATCTCCACATAGGTGGTTAACCTTTTCTCATTTCCGAAGCGATTTATCCAAATTAAGCGGCTTCCTCAGCTCCTCGAACCTACACGGGAAATGACTGCCAGGTATTTTCTGTAATTTAGAGACCTACTTGTTTAGCTAAACTCAATAAAATATGATTCGTGTTCGAGGAAATTGAAAATGAAACGAGTCTTTTTGAACCGACACGTGTCCGCGAGTAAAAGCAGCTCTTCTGTAACAGTTTCCCAGGGCCTTCGTTCAGCAGACTCTCTCTCACCCGTGGAGCTTTCACCTTCTCTCAGCGGCTCCTCTTCGAAATCCAAACAGACGTATTTGTAAATTTCCAGTATGGAGCGCACACGCTGAGGTAGACGTTTGACTTGGAGAGAAAGAGAGCGTGTGTGTATTTTGGATTCTTGTATTTGTACTTTAAATTCATGTGACGGCTTTTTCAGGTCACAGATTCGAGGACAACCCCGGGGTGAGACGCCACCTGGTGAAGAAGTCGTCCCGATGTCAGATGAGCCGGAGCAGCAACAGTTCGACGCCGCTGAGCAGCCTGAAGAAGAAGAAGAGGGCGGCGGATAAGAAGATTCATGAGGTTTGGTTGCAAATGAGTTCATCTTCGTTTTTAAAATCATCGTTAATTTCAGGGGATTTGTCGACATCTGTAAGAGAACACTCTGTGCTCGTTCTGCAGGAGACAAGTTTGTTATAAACAGTGAAATCATCATCCGTCCTAACTTGAAAAAAAAAACACAGTTGATCCAGGGTGTAGTCTATTTTTAGGCCAAATCTTCCCCGCCGTGAATTCAACAGAATTCGTTCCTCATGTTTGACCCGAGTTTGACCAACAACACAAATCATATTATTTCATGTTTGTCCTAGAACACTTTGCTAAAAGTTCAGCTCTGGAATGTGACAAAAGTCCCTCCAAAACCATTCAAGTCCTCGTCTCGGTCCAAACCACGGCGAGCGGCGTCCAAACCGCGGAGTTTAGTCAGTCCCCATAAACATGTGTGCGGACTGTGTCATTGGATTAGCCGTCTTTGAACTGAGTTTGCCATCAGTGAAAGATCATGTTCGGCTGTTAAATTTTAAAAAAAAGCCACCACCACCACGGTTAGATGTAGTTTTCCACTTTTATTTCTACGAGCGGCGTGTCAATAACTCTCTGTTCCACTTCGTCTTCAGTTGTTTGTGGAGCTGAACGAGCTGATTGTGGAGAAGGACCATGAAATGCGTTGGAAGGAGCGCGCTCGCTGGATCAAGTTTGAGGAGGATGTGGAGGAGGAGACGGACCGCTGGGGGAAACCTCATGTGGCCTCGCTTTCCTTTCGCAGCTTGCTGGAGCTCCGGCGCACGATCACACACGGTGAAGAGCTAAATGTCGTTGTAATGACCTGAATCTGTCCCTCCTCAGACAGCCCGGTTTAACTCGTAGCTCTTCATCTTCCTGTCATTTCTTTCACCAGGCGCCGTCCTCCTGGACCTGGAGCAGAACTCTCTGCCCGGCATCGCCCATCTGGTGGTGGAGACGATGATCATCTCTGATCAGATCAGAGCCGAGGACAGACCTAGTGTTCTCAGAGCTCTGCTGCTCAAACACAGGTCAGTAATGAGGTTCAGATTCACTCAAACACTTCGAAATGCGTCCAATGTGGTGCATCTTTAAACCCAAAGCTTCATCTGTGTTACTGTTCACCGAATAACGAAAGAAATGGAGGAAAAATATCATTTTGGTTCGTGAAATAAACACAAAGTACTTGTGGTTTTATGATTTGATTTCTTAGGATGAGCTCTGCCCCTTCATGCCCTCACCAACACCAATATTTATGCACTACTAATAAGTTATGTGGCCCACCGCATGACCTCCAATGTTCCCCACAAACCGGTGAGCAAGAGCCAGTTCATCTCCAGGGTTATCAAGCGGGCACCGCCCTCCACTGGTGCTGCGTCGGGCCAAGGCCACGACCCCTCCTGGAGGCTCGGTGGTTGGCTGTGCTTCATATCCAAACTCAGAAAGAGGGAAAGCAAAGAGGAGAGGAGTCTGTAGAGATGAGTCAAGGAAGCAACAGGGAAGGCAGGGCCAGGGCGAAGAGCCGATTTGGGCTAGAGCTCGATCTCGTTCTCCTGTCCTCTTTCTAAAACCTCTATCCAGACGTCTCTCTATTAGGCTGTCAATAAAACCAGTATTGACGATAAGTGTCTTTTACTAGAGTGACCATATTCTGAATCCCCAAAAAGAGGACACGACTACGTGGGGCGGAGTCTCAGAGTCGCACTTTGTTCATTTTGAGAGTTTTCGGTTCGGGTCGAGTGTTTTTTATGCGCTTCTAACTCAGGCCTCAAAAAAGAGGACATGTCCGGGTAAAAGAGGATGGTCACCCTGCCTTTACAAACAGTCAAGTTTTGATATTGTGCTAAAAATAAGTATGTAGAAATATGATGTCAGTAGTCAGTTTATGACGCCAGTTGTCACGCCCCCTAAAGTGGATGGCGGACAAAAAGAAGAAGAAGCGGTAGTATGCTAGCTGGCTGTAGCAGCCCTCAAGCTCATGTAAGATAGCGCCTCTTTGGGGTTGCAAACTGTTTTCATTCAGTTCTTATATTTATAATCCACCAGAGATCACATATATGCCATTTCAAAATAAAAGCACGCTTTCACAACACAGGGAGTAGAGCAACTTAAAACCGAGATGTTTGGATTTCAAAATAAAAACATCTGAAATAATGGATTGATTAGACTTTTAATAACGTTTGTGTCACAGGACTGGAAACAAACCAAGATGTTTAAAATTTCAATATAAAAGCACATTTTTACAACACAGGGAGTAAAACAACTTTAAACCAAGATGTGTAAAATTTCAAAATAAAAGCATCTAAAAAAATGTTTAATTAGGCTTTTCATTACGTTTCTGTCACATCACTGGAGACAAACAAAGATTTTTAAAATTTTAAAATAAAAGCATCTCAACTCATAGTTTAATTAGGCTTTTCATAAGGTTTCTGTCACAGGACTGGAGACACTGATAAAACATAAATTTGCATATGATCAGAAATGAATGAAAGCATGTCAGTCAATTCTGTTTATTTGTAAATTTTAGAAGTTTCTAATTGCAATAATTGTGATACTTTGAGGTGAAAATGTGACATCCTGTCAGCCTAAACTGAAATCAAAGTGTACCAGAAAACCTGATCATCGTTTTTATGTCTCACGTCCAGGATCAGACCCTTCAAGTGCTGCTAGAGTTTAACTGTGAGGGTCCCAGTCTGTCAAAAACTGATCCCATCTCTGCAGGGCTCTTATTAAAGGACCCTGCTTTATTTATTTATCACTAATACCAGCCCTTACAGTGTATCTGCTATTAAGGTTTTCTGCTCGAATTTAACTCAAACAAGACTCTGCAAACCCTAATCTCCTGCAGCAGCAGCAGCCTGTGGGAGGACTGTTTTCCTAGGGTTGATTTTAAGGACTTTATTCTTTAATTATACGGTGAACGGAAGACTTAACTAGAACTCCGTCTCTCAGTTTCAGCCTGTGGGATAGTTACCATGTCAACAGATTCGATCAAACCGCAGAAAAACCCAATCCCATTTAATACCAAAGTTAGAAACATGCCCTCCAAATGTGTTTTATCTTGGATCCAGCTGTTCCTCTATCCAGGGATTAACAAACCAGTCATTGTGCTGTAGCGGGGATGCAGCTTTATTTAGGTTTTGATTATGGATTTTAGATAATAAAGTAGGAAGAAAAATACCCTCACCCTCCTCTTCCTCCGCATTAATCATTGTTCTGCAAGTGGAGGTTGTTACAGAACGGCAAACTCTGGGGAACCGAGTGGGGAATTTCCAAATTGTGACATTTAACAACGCTTGGCTCATCACTGGGTGTACTTCCCCGGGGTTGACTTAGATTCAAATGTCAAGACTGCACTGGGTCTTAAAACCTAGACCTTTAGATTCAGAGTCGGTTCTTGCGCAATCGTCTAAACCACCCTGGCATTTCGATCTCTCTCTCTCTCTGCCGTTTCAGTCTGATTCAACTAGAATAAAAAGACAACATTTGAGGCTTTTGTAAAACATGTAATCCTGCTATTTTGACGCTCAGGTTCATTCAAAACTTTGCGTCTCCACTCAGAAGGTTCAGCTGTCGTTGTGGTTTCTACATGAGCAGGTTCTTCCAAACTTATCTTGATGTTGGCAGAGTCGAACTACCGCCACAGTTTACTCACAGGTGTCTGGACCCACAAAACACCAGAGGGCACGGTTACATCAGATCCTGCACACGGCTATTTTAAAATCAAATAAGCATGTGGATGTGAAACATGTGACGCGGCGGCCCCTCCCTCTCTAGAGACGGTCCCCCTCTTATTGATTGAAACCGGCTAAACCGACCCCGACACACACACAGCCAATGGAACAGTGCGGAGCGTTATAGATCCTCCGCTCTTATATAACCGAAAAAACAGCGAACTAAATGTCGGCTGTCAGGTTGAATTACCGAAAGGAAAGATAAGTCATGCCTGCCAGTGGAGCGTCTGTCTTCATGCTCACTTCTTTCCTGGAGAGTTTACTCTGACATGACTTTGAAATTTTAGTCTTTTAACTCAACTGCTGTTCAGTGAAATCTGTCGACGTTTATTGGACGGGTTGCTTTAAAAAAGAAACGTGTTCATGATACCCAGATGCATGAAGATGAATCCTGATGCTCGTGTTTCCTTTAGTTTAGAGAGAAAAGAACTAAATAAGAAAAAAAAATACAACAGAACTTTTTTTAAAATGTCCAACTAAAAAATCAAAAATCACTCAGAGCAACTGGGGACTCAGGCATACGCACACATCGACAAACATACAATGAACCAACAAAGAAACAGGGGAAGACAGGGACTATATATACACACGGGGAAACGAGCAACAGGTGAGACACTGAGACACAGGTGAAGACATTTACAGAGGAGGAAAAACTGAGGAAGTAAAACAAGACTAGAAACACAAGGATGGACTACTACAAAATAAAACAGGAAGTGCTGAAAACTGATCCAAAGAATAAGACACTAAAAACATGAGGGAAACGGGGTCAGACACAAACTGAAAACTCACAAGACAGGACTACAGGGGAACAGGAACAGAGCCACATGTTCAACCAAAACGCCACTCTGTAGCCACAAATAATGCTCAGAACAGCACCTAACTTCATCAACAGGACATATAGGGTCACAGACATAGTACTAGCCACCAAACATCTTTTTAACTTTGCCTAATTTCTTTAGCAAAGAGACTAAACACAACTCACCTACTCTCTTCCAGCAGCCGCTTGTTTGTAGCGAGACCTCAGGCCAGTCCATCGACTACAGCGGGGTGACGCAGCTCAAGGAAGAACATTTACGATCGTTACTTTATCATTTCCTTGAAGTAATAATCACCATATTAATCATTTTGCACTGCAGACACGGTAGTTCTTCTGCCTTAGCGTCTCGGTCTGATTGTATTTCCATGAAGAAATGATCATAAATGTTCTTCCTTGAGCTGCATCACCCCGCTGCAGTTGCTGGTCTGAGCATTATTTGTGGCGTTTTGGTTGACGTTTGTTTATGGCTCCTCAGACCACTGTGTATTGCTATCGTGCGGTTGTTACTAAAGTTGGTATAACTAGAGAAGCAAGCAGTCTGCAACATTCATCTCTCAAGGGGTTGTTTAACTCAGTGTTACAGTGTTTTTGACCCTAAAAAAAATTTACGCCAGAATATCCCTTTCAAAGCCAGGTGCACTTGCGAGCATATATGTTACTATTTACTCAGCAGACACAGGGAGAGATCACCGATCACTGTCAGCGTGGGCTGTAAAACTCTGAATCAAACTCTGAATCAGCTGCTGTTTAAGATGGTGTTATTGTTTCATTTCAAAGAGCTTAAAATAATAACTTCAGACAGCTGCTGCCTGCTTGATAAGTTTGTATTTCTGTTTATAAGATGGTTTTGTCCTGATGTTTCTCTGTGCAGCTCTCCAAATCCTCTCTCTGGCTCCCCCTCTGTTCACCCTGAATGGTACAGCCAGTATTTTATTATCACCATTAAATTATTCTAATCAAACAAATATTAATAAGGTTGCTGTGATGGATTTTGTCACTAATGTGCATGGGATGGATTTCGCAGCAGATGAGCGTGCCGGCATTCTCAGCAGCAGCAGCAGCAGCAGCAGGCCCTCGGTGCATTAATACCAGCTTTAACAGCCTTTCCACATAAATTCCCAGCATGTCACTGGCTGCTTCCTCAGTGAAAAAAAAAAACACTCTGTCATCATCAAAGTCATCGCCGGTGTGAGATATCCGATTTACGACGTGGAAAGAAACACACCGAGGCGCTGCTACAATTTAGCTCATCGCTTACTCAGAGCACTTTAAAGATCCTCTGGAAACGTCCTGATCACTATTCGCTCCAGAGTCACACCTCGTTCTTTTGTCCCGGGCGCTGTCGCGTCCAATTTGGGCGCCGTCTCATTGGACCTAATGTCTGCGCTGATGTCACCGTTGGACTGAGCGGGGATGGCGCAGTGTTAAAAAACTCTGCTGGTGTGACTCACTGAATATTTCTCATAGAGGGGGAAACGTGCTCGCTCTTTAACTCACACGCACTAAGCCGGGATAATAAGCCCACGCAGATTAGTCTCTGGCTGTTTTATTGCTGCTCTAATGCAAATATCACATTAAGAAAAATTACTGTTTCCACTCAGGCTTTGTCTTAAGTGCTTTCTAATAAGCCTGCATTGAAAGATGGATTAGATTACGAAGGGCTCTGCTGATGGCTTTTCTAAATTTATGAGCTGCATTACTGCTACATGAGGTAAAGCTCTTTAACATGTCCAACCAACGGAAAGTAGATTATGTGAACAGAAACACAGCTGCGCCGGGCACTTTTACGGTCCAAATTATCCCGCGGGCAATTGAATATAAATGCTTCGTAAATATTTTCTCTTTTTACAGGTGAAAAGTAAAGGCTGGGAGATAACGAGTGGATGTGCGCTCATGTCAGGCTCTCTGGGGAAAAAAGGGCAAAATTTAGAGTACCACTTGACTTCTCCATGGTAACTTAACAAACTCTATTTACTGCTAAAAGCTGCTAAAGATGCAGACTCATTTATCCTCCCCTGGAGTTTTTAAAAGCCACAAAAACTGTTTTTAAAGCCTTTTTGACGTCTATGAAACAGACTGAGAATCATATAACAGCCTTTATGTAACATCTAAAAGCAAACGACACTTAAAGCAACATGATTGATGATTTTTATTTATAGTCTCAACTGCCTGAAAGTAATCCGAGGGGGTCGGTATCAGATATCAGCCTGATGATAAGCATGGACTGTAGGGCTGGGTGATATGGCCTCAAATCAGTGTCACGATATATTGATCAGTTCACCTCTATAACGATAAATGGACGATAACTACTCCACAAGCTGCTCACCTCCTCCCACATTAACTTCTTCTACTTCAGCAGCTACAACTTTTGAACTGTCCTCCATCTCCTCACCTGTCTTTGCCTCTTTTTTACGGACAGCTGTAGGACAGAGTCTTAAAGGGACATGAGACCATAGTCTACCTACACACATCCAAAACCAACTTTGATTTATTTATTTGGCCAAAATGATGTCGGTTATCGTTGTAAATTTCGGTATCTGTAAATTTTCGGTTTATCGCCCAGCCCTAATGGACTGTTTTCAGAAGTTCCTCAGATGAGTTTTAAAGTTTACAGATTACACATTAAAGATTGAGTTTATTGTCATTGCACATGTCACAAGTACGGAATTTGCTTTCCAGTTCGACCCTTTCGAGAAAAACATAAAAGACAGTCACATACAGGTGGGACAGGAGGGGAAGGAATCGCCACAGGGGAGGCGCTCCATTTTCTTAGATGGGGAAAAAAGGAGGACAAGAGGAGAGAGGAGGGAGAAAAAAAGGCAACATAAGACATTACAACATTATGTTAAAGTTTAGCAAATCGAGTTGTAAGGTTTGAGACTGAAACTGTCCTTTGCTCACCCCTATTGTAAGTGAAGCGTCTGTCAGGCACGATCAGTAGCATCCTTTAACCGTCAAGTTTCTACGTGCGTCATCAAACTCTTATTTTCTTCGTCCTTTAATCGTTAAAATTTGTGCACTCACTGACTGATTTACAGATGAACTGATTAATTTGTCAGTCGGTCATAATTGGACATTTTTTTCACTCCCTAATTCTGTTATAATGTTTGAATGATCCAGTTTAATTTTGCCTCTGACAGACGTATCATCATGTTCTGTGTTCGTGTATTTGTCTTTTTCATTTATTCATTAAAAATCCAGAAAAACACGTCAAAAGGTCAAAAGTTACTTAATCAGTACCCTCAGGTAAATTTTGTTTGCAGTGAATCACATATGAGAGTAGACGAAGAAACAGCACAGTACAGACATATAAAATGACAAGAGATGAAAATGAATCAAATAATCAAATAAAACTAGTAAAGCCAAATAAAAACCAAACAGCTCTCAGTGTTTCTTCCCCGTCTTAATGTCCCTGATGACTGATGAAATAAAACTATTTCTGTTCCGCTGTTGTAACCGTTACTGGTTCAGATGACTAGAAATATGGTTTTTATTTTAACCACAATATTCACCTTTTGTTTTATTTCTTTTCTAATAATTAAAATTGACACCCAACATTTTGTGTGGTAATAATACTTCATAAAATACTCACTTTTGCTCACTTTATATCAGGATCCGTAACTTTAGTCGGCACTTCATGTTGACATCATTTTTTTGTGCCATTCGCAGACACAACACAGATGTTTTTCTTACTCTGAATCAAACTTTTATTTATTCCTTTTGTTTTCATTGACTCTCCATCCTCTAAAGTAAAAGTCAGTGAATGAGGCCCGAAGTGTTTTAGGCCATAAAAAGAAAAAGTAACCGTGGACTTCTTCAAAAGCCTCCCAGCGAACAGAAACCCTTCAGGCTAATAACAAGTAGCAGACAGAGTCCCAGCAGAGCTGAATTCAGAGAACGACGTCAGTGGGATGTGATTAAACACTTCAGAATAAGCCAGTAAGTGGAGAACACTTAATCAGATGTTTGTGTTCAGCTGTATTTGGAACATAAAAAGCTGGTTTGTGTCGGTTCAGGAGCTCTTTCAGATCCTCTTTGACTTTGAAATCCTCCCGACTCTTCGCTCAGTGTGTCTGTGACTAATATGTTTGATTTCAAATCGATGTTTGGACAACCATCAGCTGATTTACAGTCCAAATGACAGCAGATATGACCTCACCATGTTCACTTTGTACTTGTTCACGTAGAGAAAACCTCCCAAACTCATATTTTTTATGTTTTATTCTGCTTCTCCCAAAGCCACCCGAGTGATCTGAAGCACCGTTTTCATCGCCATCACTCGTCCAGCAGCCTCGGTCATAACAGCTTCAATCAGAACCACGTCCAGGACACCAACCTGCCGCTGGTCACGGAGGAGCACGAGGAGCACCAGGACAACAAAGGCCTCCAGTACGACCCGAAACAAGAGGTGTTTGTCAGCCTGTTTGTAAGTAACTCCATCACATTTTCCTTTACTCTAAGCTGTAAACAAAGATCTGAGAGAAACGAGGTCTGGACGGTGATAAATTGTGACATAGCTGAAACGGCGCAGGCGGACGGAGCTGTAAATAAGATTTGCCAAAGCCAAAGTAACCAGTTTTGACAGGACTCCACAAGGATAATTGAACTCAGCGATCTAAATGGACGGAGATAAAAGCAGCGATGCGGAGGTGTCTCGCTTCGGTTTATGGTTTGAATTAAGTTCTGAGAATCAGCAGTTAGCGGAGATTTAGGCATGATTACACTAAAGTCCTGATGTGAGGCCTGTGGCTCTCGCATTGTTCTTTGAAACACCCTCCATGAGGTCAGAAGTCGTGTAGGTAGTTCTTGAAGTCGGAGAAAGTAAGCCTCCCCGCGCCACATGTGTTGAATTATGTTCTTAGTCAGCTTACAGGTGCTTCTAGTTAAAGCTTCTTGATGCATTAGCTGTGAAATCTTAATGTTCCCCACGGCTTCAAATGTTGGCAAATTTAGCGCAGCCTATTAAAATCAGTCTCTTCATGCTTGGAGGACCAGTCACTCCAGATGAATTATTCTGGACCGTCAGATTAGGATTGTTTGCGCTGTATCATAGTGTCACATCACGTTGGTTTAGAGCAGTAATGTGGGTAATTGTACTTCTGTTCTCCCTCCAAGAAATCGCTCCACCCTCTGCCTCCCGAGAGCCATCCGGCTGCGGCCAGATCGATGAAACTGCTCGCCAAGATTCCCAAAGATGCCGAGGCTGTCATTGTTTTAGTTGGTAAGCTCTGATGGTTTTGACAAATTGCGTTAGTCAGAGGGATTATGTCTTTTATTTTCTCCTTGTTTTGCAGAAATTGTCGAGGGATAAATCTGTCGGTGGTAAATCCCCTTCAGGATTAAAAACAAAAATAAAATTATAAAATTACATTACAGTGAAAACCGCAGGGAACAGCACTGCTAAAGAGAGATACTGTAGTGTCTATTCTGGTCGACTGTTATTTCTAGTAGGGCTGGGCGATATGGCCTCAAATCAATAACGATAAATGGACGATAACTACTCCACAAGCTGCTCACCCACTCCCACATTAACTTCGTCTACTTCAGCCGCTACAACTTTTGAACCGTCCTCCATCTCCTCACCTGTCTTTACCTCTTTGTTAAGGACTGGATGGGGTGGATTCACATCCCCGACATAGGACAGTGTCTTAACCCTCCTATTATTTGGGTGATCTCGATTATTATCCCTATTTTTTTTTAACTGCCAGTTTTAAAGCATCTGTACTTAAAACTAAAGAATAAATAGATAAATACTAAATAAGATGTTAAATAACTTTTCTTCTCAACAATAACATCTTTGGAGGATGACTCAAAGTCATGGCTGACATCTGTTTTACTGCCCTCAGATCCACGTTCGGTTACTCTGTTTACTTCTCTGGCAACTTACAGAAGTGAGTAGGAAAAGCTGGACTCTGATTGGCTGTTGTGATGCACATTTTCGCCATGTTTGATGGAGTAAATAAGCTCACAGCTGACCACCGTGATCGAACCGTGATAATCACCCGGTCCTATCCTCAAATATAACTAACACATTTTACCCTTTGGGTCAATCTGACCCCAGGTATATTTCCCTCCAGAAATTGATTCACATGCAATTGTTGACCAAGATTTTTTGTCCGGTGCGTTGTTTATTTGTTGAGTACATAAATAACCTCTTAAGAATGAAACCGATCACTGAGTTGATCTGTTCTCTAGCGCCACCAAACTTTTAAAGTAGAATTAATTGATCTCTTAAAGTTTTCATACAAATCTTCTTAAATTTACCGACAACCTTTATGACCACAAGAGGATGAACCCTACTGGTTATGGTGATAATATGACCTTCCCTGTAGCGCCACCATCAGGTCAAACTTTCAGTTTTAGATTTAGTGTATCTTGAAAATCTTTAATCCAATATTTTTTAAACCTGGGATGAACATTCACGACTTTCAGAGGATGAACCATGTTGATTATTTTGCATGAACTACCCATGTTCTTGTGGGAATAGCCCACCCTCCACAGCACAGGAAATACAGTATCAGTCCTACCTCAACATGTGTGAGTATAGTAGGTCACTCATACACACACACACCTTCATGCCCACTGTGTAGGAACGTTCTCATGAAAATATTGTTATTGCAATATTGCACCAAAAATTGGTTAGCCAACTATTTTTTTTTTTTTTGATTATTAACATTAAATGGGGTCAAATTGACCATAAGGATAATAGGAGGGTTAAAGGGACATGAGACCATAGCCTACCTACTCACATCCAAAACCAACTTTTATTTATTTATTTATTTTGACGCTGAATATATTGACCCGGGCAAAATGACGTTGGTTACTGTTGTAAATTTCTGTATCGGTACATTTTCGGTTTATCGCCCAGCCCTAGTCTGTAGTGTTTTGAGTAGACAGTTACATTCACTGTGAGTGTGTAGTTATCTTGTGTACTTGTGATATCAGTTGGACACCCATAAAGTAGATTTGCAGCTGCTTAAAGTCAGACTCAGCTCGTGGGTGTTACTTTTTACACAGCTTTCCAGAAAAAGTCTCGTTCAAGACGTTCACATGTTTCTGCTGTCGTTGCATAACTTCACTTCCTTTGTTAGGGTGTGTCGAGTTCCTGGAGCAGCCGGCCATGGCGTTCGTCAGGCTGAACGAAGCCGTCCTCCTGGAGTCCGTCCTGGAGGTCCCCGTCCCAGTCCGCTTTCTTTTCGTCCTGCTCGGTCCAAGTCAGTCCAACATGGACTATCATGAGATCGGACGCTCCTTCTCTACTTTAATGTCCGATAAGGTGAGTTTGAAACAGCAGAAAGTCTCAGAAATGGATCCAGAGCCGAGAGGAAACAAAAACACACATGAGGAGTTGAATAACCGAGCAGAGATCTTCTTTCCTGTAATTAAATGCTAAATAAGAAACTCTTCCCTCTTACACAGACCTTAAAAGTCCACAGTTACCTCAGTTTTGAATAATAATTCTGCTCCTCTGAACTGTAGCGGTCTTCTAATGATGAGGTTCGAATGTACCCCGTTGTAGAGTTTCCACGAGGTGGCCTATTTCGCTGACGACAGACAGGACCTCCTGAACGGTATCAATGAGTTCTTGGACTGCAGCATCGTCATTCCACCCTCAGACGTGGAGGGCAAAGACCTCCTGAAGACCGTGGCCGACTTCCAGAAGCAGATGCTGCGCAAGAGGAAAGAAAGAGAGCTGAAGAAGCAGCACTCAGCAGTCGGCATCGAGCTGAACAACAAAGGTAGACTGTCGAGTCTTTTACCAGACTCTGTTTTCAGGCCAAAGCTGAAACGACCAGCTTTCAGTGAGATGCCTGAGGTTCTTTAGAACAACAGAAGTGCCAGCTCAAATTGGTCCCTAAAGACCAACATCTTTAAACAATACTCTGCTGTACCCGCCCTCTCTTCTGAGGGTTTGAGGCAGATTTTTATCGAAGCGTGTAACACAAAAAGTCCTGAACGACAAAGTCGCACACTAACCCACAAACTTGACTGAATAGGTGTAAGACGATACAGCAGCAACTTTCTAGACGATCTCAAATCAGATATGTGTCTGAGCTGATTTGGAGATACGCCGTTCAAAAGTGTGTTTGTGTTAGTTTGCAGGTTGCAGAGAGACGCTGCAGCTGCATTAAAAACCTGTTGATTTCAGACCTTAAAGGTGGGGTAGTCAGGATCTGAGGAAGTTCCAGTTTTTGGGAGAAATCTTGAATGTAAACTCTACCCCTCCAAACCAGTTTTCCCCTCAGCTCCTCCTCTCCCCTCCCTCTCTGCTCCAGCAAGCCCCGCCCACAAACAGACGCAGATAAACAAAATTACCGCTAATGGGGCCCAGTCAAGGTGAAAGTAAAAAGCATTGGTGCTACTGTAGATGCCAACAGACTACCAGCAAACACAATGTTTGCAGGACTTCTACAACTAGGATAAAGTGACATACTCCAGGACCCGAGGTCAACAGTTTAGCGATGGCGCTACAACACGCTACAGCAGGTCCGTTTGACAAGAAACACTTCTGTTACAGACACTTGTCTTACTTTGTTAAAGCGGTTTACCTGTCCAGCAGAAAGGTTACACGGTCACCAAGATCCCGAAGTGTCCCTGAAGCATTTATACATCATTGATGTTGACCCGGCTTTTTAGCTCTTGTAGTTTTAATCGCCCGTTATTCCTCCAGAGTCTCCGGTATTTACTTCATTTTCTTGCTTGTGTCGGCAGTCGTGGCCAAAGGAGGATTCAGAGAATTTTCCGAACTTTCTGGTTGGTTTCTACTGTCTGATATTGTAGCACGCTAACACTGGAAATAAGGAAGGAAATAACAAGTAACAAATAATAAATAAAACACGGAAATAACTTTTCAAAACTGTGATAAGTGCATCAATACTGGCAGTTTTGAAAAGTTATTTCCTTTCATTTCTCACTAAACAACATTTTCATTGGGACTACTTTCTGCAGCGTATTACTAATCAGTAATGTCGCTCAGGCCAATCGCCTCTAACACTTTTTGATTAATTAATTAACTCTTCAGAGGTGAGTCCAGAAGAGGAAGAGGAGGGCGACCAGGAGGTGGACCCTCTAAAGCGCTCAGGGATCCCTTTCGGAGGCCTGATCCACGACATCCGCCGCCGCTACCCGCAGTACATGAGCGACATCAAAGACTCCTTGGACATGCAGTGCCTCGCCGCCGTCATCTTCATCTACTTCGCGGCGCTGTCGCCGACGATCACCTTCGGAGGCCTGCTGGGTAAACAGAAACGACAGTGATAACAGGAATGAAGGAGAGCGTCTTAAACCTGCGCTCTAAGAATCTGTTTTTGTTGTTCGCACACTCAGGAGAGAAAACAGAGGGCATGATGGGAGTGACGGAGCTCATAGTGTCGACTTCTGCTCTCGGAGTCATCTTCTCACTCCTGGCTGGTCAGCCTCTCCTCATCATCGGCTTCTCGGGACCTCTGCTGGTGTTTGAAGAAGCTTATTACAAGGTACTTTCTCTAAACACGAACGTCTGTGTTCCTCATGAGAACTTTCTCATCGTCTTTTTATCATGTCTGTATTTTTTCTCTCTCAGTTCTGTCAGACCCACAACTTTGAGTACCTGACCGGTCGGGTGTGGATCGGTTTCTGGCTCATCTTCATCGTCCTGGTGATCGTAGCGGCAGAGGGAAGCTTCATGGTTCGCTACATCTCACCCTTCACCCAGGAGATTTTCGCCTTCCTCATCTCCCTCATCTTCATTTATGAGACTTTCTCCAAGCTCTTCAAGGTCGTTTTCTCTCACGCTGTTAGAAGAAACTCTCCTAAACACACGCCGGAGCTGGAGTTAACCCTCCTCTTCTCTTTTCTTTCTTCTAGGTGTTTCATGAACATCCACTGATGGCCATATATCCCACTGACTCCACCCCAGCCACCGGGCTCAGAGACTACGACGGCCCCGTCTACAACCAGCCCAACACTGCTCTCCTGTCTCTGGTGCTCATGATGGGAACGTTCTTTGTCGCTTTCTTCCTCAGGAAATTTCGAAACAGTCGGTTTCTTGGTGGCAAGGTAAGGAAACCACCTTCACACACGTTATAAACAAAGTCATGTTGACGTTGTTTTTGACTGAAATCCATCGTCAAGATATTCCTCTCGTATTGCGAACAAAAATAAGTCCGTCCTTCAGTTGGAGATTCTGGGGCTGCCTCCATTTTTAACCATTTCCAACAAGCTCCAAATACATCGGACCAATCAGAGCTCTTTATCTAGAAATCTGGTAATAATGACACCAGAATGAATTTGATGAAATACTGTTTTTCTCGGTTTATCATAAGCTGAGTTGCTCTTATTGGTTGTAGGTTGAAAAAGAAGTGAACGTATACAGACCATAGACTGTGTACTCATTGGTTCTCTAAGCAGAGAAACTCTTCATCTTCAGTCTTTTAGTCTTTGGTGATTTGAATCTGTATTTGGAGTTTTGTCTCAACTCTTTGGGATTCAGAAACTCTAAAAGTCCAAAGTGGTTTCAGAGAAATTTCGGAGCTGTTTCACTTTGTTTTTCTTTTCTTCTTACCTTCAGGCCAGGAGAATCATCGGGGACTTCGGCATCCCCATCTCAATCCTGATGTCAGTGCTCGTGGATTATGCCATCACAGATACCTACACTCAGGTCAGTAACATGTTGATTTTTCTTGTTATTTTTATAACAGCTTCTATAATTCAGCCCCGTTCCTCCTTCTTTAATACTTTATTTCTAGAAACTGGACGTGCCGTCGGGCTTCTCCGTCACCTCTCCTGATAAGCGCGGTTGGTTCATCAGTCCGTTTGGCGACAAGCAGCCGTTCCCCACCTGGATGATGGGAGCTTCTATTGTACCTGCGCTTCTGGTCTTCATCCTCATTTTCATGGAAACTCAGATCACTTCGTACGTACTCAAGATTATCTTCAGAGGAAATTCAACATTTAACTTTCATGACTAACTTTCACTGATGTTACCGTTTTACTCCAACCTGTCAGACTCATCGTCAGTAAGAAGGAGCGTCGGCTGGTCAAAGGCTCGGGCTTCCACTTGGATCTTCTTCTCATCGTCATCCTCGGTGCCATCTGCCCTCTCTTCGGTCTGCCGTGGCTCACCGCCGCCACCGTGCGCTCCGTCACTCACGTCAACGCCCTCACCGTCATGAGCAAAGCCACGGCGCCCGGCGAGAAACCCATGATCCAGGAGGTGAAAGAGCAGAGGCTGACGGGGCTCATCGTGGCCGTTCTTGTTGGTAAGTTTGCGATACCCAGCACAATTTAACCTGACCGAGGTTCATAGTTTTAGTCCAATAAATGAGAACTGGAGTGTTATGACGTGCTTTAGGTCCAGTAGTCAGATATGGAGACTGGGAAAAACCAAAGTGCCGAGGGTCAAACCTGGGTATCTCCAACCTCCCCCCACCCCACAAAGAGCACATAAGTCTTCACCAAACACTACGTTTACATGACACTCAAGAAAACCCAATTATTGCCTTATTCTGATTAAGACCAAACATCTGAAGTGCATGTAAACACCTTAGTCTGACTAAAATCGGAGTTTGAAAACTATTAAGAAACTATTAAGACACCCAGAAAATGCGATTGGAATTCGATTTTCTCTACCATGTAACCGGCGTAGTCGCAGTATGATGGACAATGCATAAGCGCGTGTGTCACGCCCCCGTAACCCTGTAGCAAAAACACCAGAGAAGAGGAGTAAAAAGCAGCGTGTCCATCATGTACAACAAAAACAATGCTGTACGATGCTCCATCTTTTGTTGTAGCCACTTCTGACATCTGACACGGACTTGCTGTTGTTGTTGACGGTTATATGGCGAAAACAGCGCCACTGCAAAGACCCATATCGCCCCCTAGTTTTGGGGAGGAGGAAACGTTTTCGTCAGTAATTTAATTTTCTCAGCTGCATGTATACGCAGACAAGGAGAGAAGTCCAATTCAGCGAAAAAAATGAATTATGAGTTTAGTCTGATTAAGCTGTGCTTGTTAACGCACTGGCCGTTGCTGTAGCGACACCATAATCAGAAACAGGAAGTAGTATTTTGAAGAGGCTAGAGTCACCAAACCTGGTGCACAGGAGCCAGAGGGAGCAATGCCACTTCTGATGCAGGTAAAATTGTGGGCGTGGCCAATTGCAGTCTTTAAGCCACACCCACAATTTTCAAAAATTCGTAGAAACTCGCATGTTTATCTTTGGAAGATGTGCATTCATGGAGCAAACTGCACAGAGGTGGCCTGTGATGGAGTTCACCTCAAACATAATACTGATGTGATGTTGATAACAAAGGATTCTTGTTGTATTTGATAATCCTGAACACTTTTTCAGCTCGCTGTTATAATAGTTGGAGCTCCTACGTGTCCGGGCATTCACTGATCATGAACATACTCAGAAATGATTTTAGATCCTGTCCACGAATCTGGATCGGAACGACCCTCACTTTCGCCCGTCAACAGCTTTTTTTTCCAAACGAAACCGGCTCTGCATGTCTGACATTTCAACATATTCTCTCTGTTCTGGCGAGCTCTGTTTTTCCAGCAGAATATCTTGTTTCAATTAAGGTGGTTCCCAAAGACGTCCTAAGTATAGTTTAATCCAGTTTGGGTACACAACTATTATGACTCACCGAGATTGTTGAGCTTTTATTTGATTGAAATGCTGTTCAGATCAGGAATAAGGCCTTTTGGATTAGCTCAAGTAGTGTTTTAACTAAGTCAGCTGAGGAGTGGATATGTTTCAAATAAACAGTAATTACAGCCTGTTTATCATGAGGGCTGCTCCCATGCTGGATGAATAAGTCTCCACACTGTTGTATATTTTTCTGCTGAATCTGAAAACGATCTGTAATCACTCAAAAACCGCGTCTTTAACCACGTTTTTCTCTCTGTCAGGTATGTCCATCGTGATGACGGACATGCTCCGCCTCATCCCTCTGGCTGTGCTCTTCGGGATCTTCCTCTACATGGGGGTCACCTCTCTGACGGGCATCCAACTGTACGAGCGCATCACGCTTATGGTCACGCCCGCCAAGCATCACCCCGACCACATCTACGTCACCAAGGTAACACAATAAGCAACAGGAATGTTTGCGTGCCCTCGTCTTCTGTTATTAGTGGTGAGATGGAGAAGCCAAAGAGGAGCCTGAGTGATGACTGCAGCAAAGTTCAGGCTGGGTCGTATCTCGGTTTGGTTGAACTTTCTGATTATTTAGACTCTTTTCTACGCGCTTCATGATCTCTACTCTTTCTTCTACTTCTGTGCAGCTCCTTTACAACAAAGATGGAGACAGGAAACTGAGATTTGGCTTCAGCTTTTCTGTCTGATCATCAGTCCTTGAATTGTCTTCATATTGTTTATTTTAATGGTCTTTGTTTATCCAGCTTATTGCGATGTGATTGTAATTTAAGCCGCACTTGCACACACAGACCAAAGAGAATAAATAACCTGGCATTTGCACAGAACAGTAAGTTTCCACCGGAGTTTTGCAGCTGGCAAATTCAGGTTTCTCATAAATTCATGTTGTCTGAACTGGTTCAAAGAGTTTGCACAAGCTACATGTAGTTATGGGACTTATTAGTAAATAACTTGAATTATTAAGCAGAAAGAGGTTGATATTGAAAGATAGGTATGCAGCATTTACAGTTAGTCTTCATCCATGTTTATATTTGCAAAATTTCTTGATCCGATTAAAAATTTGAGGGATCTGATAATCTGATTCCACTGTTTCTATGGGCGCAAAGTCAAATAACCCGATCATGACGTGCGTATTCATACAAGTTTTATTCAGATTAGAAGCATTTGGACATGCGCAGAGTTGTCTGATTTCGCTTAAACAACCGCAGAAGAAGAAGAGTTGTATTTATGCCTGTGCTGTCAACAAACCAACCATCTAATTCAGGAGTTTTCTTCCTGTTAAATGTTGTCACTAGATGGCGCCTTTGCGTACTTATCTTACTGTTCTGTCAAAGGTTGCTCTGTGCGTGTAGATGTGACATCATTACGCTGTATGTACGCCTTGTTATGTTACCAGAAGAGCAGACATGGCATCTGTGGTTGGCGATATTTTTTTTTTCATAGAATGGTAGGGGAAAGTCCCGCCTCCTTTGCCTCTGATTGGCGAGAAAAGCTGGAAAAGTCATCACATGCTCAATCCGAGCGCGGGCTGTCGGCTCTGTACATCGAACAGAACATTACAGAACATTATGACCCTCACCCTAACCCGACAGACGATGACGTTTCACAGCCATAAGGAATAACCAATCGGAGCCCAGCATTTCTAGCCAATTAGAGGCGAAGGAGGGAGGGACCTTCCCCACCTACAAAAAAAATTCGCCTGCAGTTGTGTTTTGTGCCAGAATGTTAACAATGAAACCTCCTGAACTGACCTCAATGAATAAGCAAAAGGCTAAAGAGTGAAGATTGAGTCAGGTAAGAGAGTCACGATCGGAATCAGTCTTTACATTGACACGTTTCGGAATAAAGATCGGCATGAACCACCCCTCTCAATCGGAATACAATTTCTTTCCGATTGAGCCAAATTGGATCAGAATCTTTCAATCGACATGTTAACATGACCCTTTTTTATTCCGTTCGGACATTTATTCCGATTATTTGTGCCCATGTTAACGCAGCTAGGGGATGAGTTCAAACTTAGACCAGTTTGAACGCTGTCCTGACATTTTCAGGGTTGCTGAAAAGTTCAAACAGAAGCAGAGAGCAAAGAGCAACTAAGAGGAGCAGAGTCTTGCACTAGCGCTTGTGTACAGGCAACACATCCTGTGCAGTCACATCTACAATGTGATGTTTGTTCTTGCCCAGTTTTGATAGTTTGCAGTGATGTTTGACTCGGGTTCGATCTGATTTTGCTCCTGTTTTCTTCAGAAAGAGAAAGTAATTGAGCCGGGGGACTCGAGACTCACTCCAAATCAACAAGAACAACCTGATATGTAATCAAACACCAATGTAAACATACTTATAAGTACATTATATTCCATTTCTACAAGTGTGTTTTGTGAAACATCACTCACTGTACCTTTAAAGAGATCTCTTCAGAGTGTGAGTGATGGTAGACTACACCCAGCCTCTTTGTTCAGAGCTATAAAAGTGCTCTTTAAGTTTATCTGAAGTAAGACAAATGATGTGTTTTATCCAAACTTGGTGATTTTATTATAAAATTCCCTCCTTTGTTTTCGTTCGACTCTTACGGCTCAGCCAAGAGACACTTGTCTTTGGGAGCGTTCGGAGGGAATTTCATGTGAAAGAGATTCAACACATTATCTTTGAATAAACGTATGAATACATTTTTCCACTGCTCAAGAGCTGGAGATCAACTCTCGGTTCACTCCCATTGGACGGCTGTTCAAAAGGGATCTTTGTGTTGTTTATACTGACCATTAAAATCATTTGATGATAATTCGTCCAAGGAATTTTATTAGACAAACTTCTGATGTGATGAAGGAAAAGTAGAAGTTTGTTTTGTATCCTTTTACCATTCGATCGTGGTAACCAAACCTTATACAAGAATTGAAAATATACAATGGTTTCGACTTAGAAACAGCCAAACAAGAGCAGGAACAACTGTATACGTACTCTGAGTGGAAAACAAAAAATGGAAACTTCACTGTTTATCACACGGCGAAAAAGTAGCTCAAGTTTCAACCAACATAACTATCATAATCAAACTTATTACACTCACGATAAGACACATCAAAAGTTTAAATTCTTACTGATACCTTCTCAGGACTATCAGGACAAGATTCATAACTTTAGTGTTGTTATTTTTAAGACCTGTGACCAGAACGAGGCGACAGGTGAAACATCCCTGTTTTTATAGTTTCCTCAAAAATATTCACCAAAAGAAAAAGTGAGATTTTCAGTCAGAGGACATTATCTAAGCATGTATGTGACAGGATTAGCAAAGACTGCTTTGTCCACAGGGGGGCGCCAAAACTGACACAAACTGAAAATTCCTTAAAAGAGCTTTAATCAGTAAAATGTACTTTATTTTAATTTATTCAAACTTACCTAATCAAGAAAAATTTATGTAAAGCTATATGAAGGTCCTTGTAATAAGCATGTAATTATAGTTCATAAGCAACTAATAAGACCTTATGAGATGTTAATGAACATTAATAAGTGTTATTAACATCTATTAATGTTTAGAATCCTAATTAACACATTTATCATTGTTTATAAGTCACAATTGGAAACTTGTCAACAGTGTATGTATCTGCCACATATAGGCCACCTATAAAACCTTATGGGATGCTTACGAACTATGACTCTTAATAGTTGAAAGACTTTTTTTATTTTAATTAGACGTCTATATGACATGAACAGGCTTATCAAGGTTATTTAATCCTTTGTTTCCTTTCAGCTCTAGCACAGAATCACACACTTTGACATACTTTGTGAAAAAAAAGAAACATTTCAAGACTTACTTAAAAAGGGACAGAAAGCAAAGACTAGTCTGTTAACTGTGTATATAATAACATCATATGAATCAGAGGGAAGCAGGTGAAGAATCGCCAAACTTCAGAGCTTCATGGTGAACAGTATCCTTTTCTTTGCTAATATTATGTAAATTAAGTTTATAGAATGGAGAATCGTCAATTAAGAGTCCTAATGCGACACATTTTCCCTAAAAGAGGCTGTTTTATCTCAGAAACCAGAGCAGAAGCTTCATTTTTGAGTTTATTCTGGAGCTGAGTGCTCAGGGTGGAGCTCGATCTCATTTCTTGCATAAATAGATTAATTACAGCTGATGTTATTATAGATACAGTGATCAACTTTTCTCAGAAGTGACAAAACAAACATTCATCACTGAATATGTAAAACGTGCATTTGATTAAGTCAGTTTAGATGAAAATGTACCAAAAATTAGCATGTAAGGATGATCTTAGATACCAACCCTGACACATGAACCTCTCCTGCACAAACCTGAAGAACTGAAATCAGGTTTTGTTGAATTTGAAGCCCTTTGCACTGAGCCTAAAAACACACAGAAAACTACCTCTTGTGCATTTATTCCAAGCCAATAGTTGCAGGATTGTCCACTAGATGGAGCTAAAACATTCAGGATTTTCCTCATGAAGGGAGAACTTTGGGATTCAGTTCAATCTTTATGTGAATCTTAAAGTATATCTGAGTGTAATATGCCTGTTTGTCTGTTAAAGCTCATGAGACACTGTGTTCAATCCCCACATTTGTGTTCCTGCAGGTGAAGACATGGCGTATGAACATGTTCACCATGTTCCAGCTGGGATGCATCGTGGCTCTGTGGGTAGTGAAGTCCACCGTGGCCTCCCTGGCGTTCCCCTTCGTCCTCATCATGACGGTGCCGCTGCGACGCCTTGTCCTCTCCAGGATTTTTGAGGAACGTGAGCTGCAGGCGGTAGGTTTTGGTAGCGGAGACCGTCCAGGAATGTTTGAATCTTTGCCACAAGAATGTGAAGCCAAACAGCCTCCGGATACGTATTTCACAGCAAATTTAACATCAGATGGATGTTGGCGTGTTGATGTATCTGCCTAACAATCCAGAAAAGAAATCCTGCAAATGAACTACAAATGATTTCCTCCCCTGTGATCACGGAGGGAATCTCATCCAAATATTTTTCAGACGATATGCAAATATTTCTTTTTGCTCTAGGTTGAAACCAGCGGGAGTTTCACCGTCGATCCCGAGGCAGGGCTGCTTGTTTTCTTGGTTAGATCCCCCAAAACCCGTACATGTCAGCACTGTGACATTAAAACCTTCCCTTTCCAAAATGTCAATTTATTCAGGAGCTAGAATAAACAGCCGGCTTCTGACCTGACCACCATTCATTGAGTGTTCATCCAGAGGTCTCATGAACCCAAAGCACTGCAGGGCTGCTTCAACGCAGACATTCATACCTGGAAGTGTTTCTGCAGGAGACCTTTATTATGTCTATTTTAGCAGGAGAAGATGTTGCAGGGATGTTTTACCTGCACCGGATCGCACCTTCTCTACAGCACAGCAAGACTTTCAGATCCCTTAAATGTGTCTGTGCCTGTGTGCCAAGAGAAGGAATAGTATTCAGCTAGTTTAATATGGAACTGTTTTTGCACTTGAGTTTTTAATTTGTTGGATAAATTAAATTTAAAACACATTTTAACTGTCTTTAGAGTAAGCGGCTTTTATCAGTAAGTGGTTAAAAATGCAGGGATGGCACATAAAGACATTGGCGGCAATTTCGCTTTGCAGAGTAAATACTGAGGTGAGACTAGAGAGAGAGAGAGAGAGAGTGACGCAACTGCAGAGACACGGTGTTACATACTGCTGTGACTCATCCACCAGATTTTATGGTAGATAAGGGGCGGCTGCGGCTCAGTGGTAGAGTTGGTCGTCTTCCAACTGGAAGGTCGGGGGTTTGCTCCCAGGTCACGCTGTCCACATGCAGAAGTGTTCTTGGGCAAGACGTTTGACCCCACCCGCCCCCACTGGCTGCACCCGCTGATGGTGTGTGAATGGGACTAGTCAAGAACTGATGGGCTCTGTAGACAGCAACCTCCACCATCAGATTGTGAATGTGGTGAATCAAGGCTCATGGTGTAATAGCGATACGAATTGGTGAGTTGAATGTTGCTAGTAGGCTAACGCGAAGTTGAATCTGCTAGCTTCTGTAGTGATATTCCCAGGCTCGGATACTTTTATGATTTAAGCCCTGAAATGCAGGTCAAATGTTATACTTTGATTGTTTTCTGATGGTTTTCTTGGAGTGCTGTGGTTGGGATTTAGTCCCTTCAGAGCCTCCTGAGTCAGAAAAAGTCCCACAAACCCCTCTGTTCACAGGATATTAAAGGGATATTCTGGTGTAAAATTGAGTCATGGTCAAACACACTGTAACACCGAGTTAGACACCCTGCCGAGAGATGAATGTTGCCGACCGCTTTCTTCTCTAGTTATACCAACTCAATTAACAACCACAGGATAGCAATAAAGAGCCACATGCTCAACCAAAACGCCACTCTATAGCCACAAATGATACTCAGAACAGCACCTAACTTCATCAACAGGACATATAGGGTCCTAGCCATAGTACTAGACACCAAACATCTTTTTAACTTTGACTAATTTCTTTAACAAAGAGACTAAACACAACTCACCTACTCTCTTCCAGCAGCCGCTTGTTTGTAGTGAGACCTCAGGCCAGTCTATTACGGACTACAGTGGGGTGTCGCAGCTCAAGGAAGAACATTTATGATCATTTCTTTATAATTTCCTTGAAGTAATAATCATCACATTAATCATTTTGCACTGCAGACGCGGTAGTTCTTCTGCCTTAGCTCTCGGTCTGATTGCATTTCTATGAAGAAATGATCATAAATGTTCTTCCTTGAGCTGCGACACCCCACTGTAGTAGATGGACTCGCCCAGAGGTCTCCGTACAAACAAGCGGCTGCTGGAAGAGAGTAGGTGAGTTGTGTTTAGTCTCTTTGCTAAAGAAATGAGTCAAAGTTAAAAAGATGTTTGGTGTCTAGTACTATGGCTGTGACCCTATATGTCCTGTTGATGAAGCTGATGGTGTGTTTGACCCTAACTTAATTTTACGCCGGAATATCCCTTTAATTCTAAGCTTGAGGTGCATCAAAATCTTAAATTTGTTATCTGTTTGTGTTTTTTGCAGCTTGATAGCGACGAGGACTCCCCCAACTTTGACGAAGACGGACGAGACGAGTACAACGAGATCCACATGCTTGTATAGAATATAAAAAATCGGACCTCGCCTGTCGGACTTCCTCCTCCATCCACCAGCTCTGACCAATCAGAGCGAGCCTCTCTGCCGATCTCTCAGCAGAGCAGGAGGAGCTACTGAAGTGGTGTTTATAAAATACTCAAAAGAATCTGGATCCACATCTGGATGACCACTTTTTACCCTCGTCTAGTCCAGTCTTTTTTGTGTCGTTTTAAACCTCCCTGAAGATTTAATTATGTCAGAGGCCATAAAAAAATAACGACCACCTGAAGTGGACGATGCAAACAAAGAAAAAAGTAACTTATACGAACATTATAATCTCCTTTTTATCCTAAATATCCCTTTAATTACTCTGCAGGTTGTGGGCATAAGTGCAATGTTGATGGGGACCTTAACGACTACATGAAGCGGGGTAATTTCACCCTCATTTTTGCCTGAAGGAGGGGAACCAGGGTCAATTTGCTCACATTTAAGCAGATTTTCATCAAAAGTCATAATATTTCGGGCTAAATATTTCACCCTAAATCTCAAAGCCCTGAAATCTACTGCCTCTGTAAGCTAGCTGCCAGATTTCCTTTGTACCACTGCCGTTTCTTCGTGCAAACAAGGAGTTAAACCGTCCTTTTCCTTTCTGCACAGACTTCTAGTAATGAGCACTTTGACTGGGCAAAAGTTCACTTTTGTCGCGGCCAACCCAGCTCCCCTGGCACAAAGCCTCCTCCCTAAATGTAGTCTCCCCTTGAAGCCAAAATCCCTCCAGAGACTGCGAGCCTCCTCACTGGGTGTTACTGTACTTTTGTTAGGTGTCTACTACCCAACATACCGGTACTCTTACCCCCTTATTGTTACCTTGGATGTATACTGTAAGTAAATAGCTAACATGGTCTAAACCTTATTTTTCTACTTTGTTGTACCTATTTATTTTGTGACCTTTGGACTTAATACCAGATTCTTAGTGGTGTTTAGACTCCAAATACTTCTAGCTCTACCAGTGTAGAATAAAAAGAACATTGTGTAGGTTGACACATTGAAAACAGAAAATGTCATTATTCACCCACTCTTTCATCTCTCTGCAGTTTTTTTTTTTCCATGGCATGGTGCATTTTTCACACATGTCATCAATAATATAATAACACACTCAAGTGGAAAAGCATCGAAACTAAGCAAACACACAAGCACTGAAAACGCAGGGGAACAGTTGAGTGTTGGCAGGATGTATGAATGATGCATTGTACAGTACCACTGTGAGCTTGGAATTATAATGTACCATCTGTGTTCGGAGTTGTTTTGAAATGCCCAGAGATTCAGTTTTCACCTCCTATATTTTCGAGCCCGCTATAGAATTTTAATTACCATTCAGCTGTGACACTTCAGCATTTTCAGAAAGACAAAAACACCAGTTGTCAGATACAGTACAGAGGAATTACACATGATTTTTTCATGAGAGGCCTGTGCTGTGTAGGGGACAGCGTTCAACCGCAGACTGTAAATACGACGTGGACACAGCCTCCCGGGGTTCAAAAGTGAGGCCAAAGTGAAAGTGCCTTTAACCTGCTTTATTTTTAATAGCCACAAGGGGGCGACGCTGAGAATGGCTGAGCAGAAGAGGGTGAAAAAGGACCTTAATTCAGGTTTGAGACATGCAACCATTGCGTTGTTCCCGGTGTGTGAGGACCTTTACCTCCACAGGATAGAGGTGTATGGATTCGTACCTGGATCTAAAATATAAGATTGCTTTAGCCAGCTTGTAGAATTACATCTGCCCCCACAGTCAGTATAACTCAATTTGGCAACTCCATTTAAATGCGTACGTTACTGCAAACTGTTCTCAGAGGTGACCAATTTTCTGCTTTCACCTTTACTGATCATGTACCTTTACATCATGTGGAAGAACTTGAGAAGTTTTCATCTACTGACTTTAACTTTAAGACTTCATGTAGAGTCCTTCTGTTTGAGGGCGGACACTTTGCAGGACCTGAGATAGTCCTCATGATTGGATTGATAATTCTCACTGAGCATTTTTTGGTCTAAAAGGAGGTCTAATAGACGTCTAAATGTGGCCTAGACGACTGGTCTAAAATCAGGCTACCACAGGTCTAAAAAAGAAAGTTTTCTTAGACGTCTAAATTTAGACCAAGTTTAGACTAGCCTCAACGGCTACCAAAATTATTTTGGTTAAGTACTTGGAGATCAGTTATGCAACTCACAGTTGCTTTTTGAAATAAATAGTTATCGAAAAACGGATTAAAGTGCAACGTGTAAATTCCGTCCAAAAATATACAGAATCTAGGTGGTTGAAATTAGGTCTACAAATAAACCTAGACGTCTAATAGCCATCTATTGCTTAGTGGGTATTATAATTACGTTGAAGGTGTTTTGTAGTACATCACCAGGCGAGTTAACAGATTTTGTACCTAACGTCATTTGCATAGGAAAGCTAAAATCCGCCGTTTGACTTCTAGGTCAAAGTTCTGCACGTGCAGAACTCCAGGGCCAGTTTAAGGCCAATTGTGGTTCGTACGTGCAAGATAACACTGAACTGCATCAAAAAAGATCTGCCAGTCCTGATATGAGAATTCACAGTCAGGCTAACATGTTTACATGTGTTTAAAGTCCAGATTTATTAATGCACAAAGTGGCTGTGTGCACCTCTATTATACAGTTTACGGTCGACACAGACAGAATCAATGAGAGGAGGCCTTTGGGAAAAAATACTCTGACAACTCTGTGTCAACTTTTTTAAACATGACGGTGATAAAGTTCAGAAAAAGAGGAGGCGCTTGGACCACTCAACTTTTTGAGCTCTGTTAAAAACAAATCACTGGAAATGGTGGATTATTTTAAATACAGCCCATTTTTAAAAAGCAGAAAATTACCGCAGAAATCTCTCCACCCTTCAGATCTTTTATTCCCATTGTTCGCCTTTAACTGTATCTGCTACAATGGACAAAGTAGTGTAACGTTTGAATCAGTGATAAATACAGTGTTTCTGCTGAGAAGTTTTGTAAATAGATGTAAAATATAACAAAAAACTCATATATTCATATATATTTGTATTTACCTGATAACTATGATTACTTCTGCAGACATACAATCAACTGAAAACACGCTAAAAAAGCAAAAATGACACATGGTGACATTAAAAAAAAGTATATTGAAAATCAAAAAGGGCGCTCTGAGAGATCAGCGGTGTCGCGGCGTGTTTTTGGCGTGTCTTATTTCCCGTTACCATGCCCTACATTACGAGCCATGCAGGAATTCTGTCTCAGGGGAAACTGACCTTTGATCTGTAAATATTGCTTCCCAGCCTTTCAGTTTGTTGTCTCCTTTGTGTACATAAAGCGGTCAAGGCAATCCAACACTTGCGATGTAAAAATATATGGCTTACAGTCGGGGCTTTTGTGTCGGACAAAAGCAAAAAGGAGGTCAAGTGACGAGAATGATGTGTTTACTGGAGAGCAGTCGGATGGAATTCAAACTGTAAATTAAAACCTTTATTTTCCCTCCATTGTCCTCCGTGAGCCCACGTCTGAGGCGATACTTTGATGTGAAGCATGCACCTGCTGCGGTCTGTGTTTAATTCTGCAGCTCCTCCAGTTAATGAGTTACTGAATGTGCTTTTCATTAGCACCGTTAATGGACCTCCTCAACCACACGTGGATGTTTCAGGGTTTACAAAGACTTGAATGGTAACCTTTAGGTGAAGATAACTTATTGTTGTCTCTATTGTACACGGCCGCACTGTGTTCATGACATGAATGAATGTAAATGTTCAGCTGTCTGTTATTTTCAGGCATGTGGGTCCAACATACGGAGCTCCGCGAGGGACAAAAGTGATGGTTGAATGTCAACGACGCTTCAAGAAGCACACCGGAGAGATAATGTGTTAGACGTATGCACACAGTTGTTACCAAACTTTCTGAAACAAACTAACAAACTATTTCAACGGCATCAAATTTTATTGTGTCTGCTTCATTGTGTTTCTTTGAAATAATAATGTCACCGAGTATCCCCACAGGATTGTCTGAAATGATTGTCTTTGTCATAGAGCTCTCTGCCCTTTTCAAAGAATTAAATTGTAGTTTGAAAATGGACTTTTATTGTTTATATTTGTTTATTTCCTACAAAAAGAAATCATCTCATGGGAAGTTCAAGAATTAGATTGAGGACTTCATCAAAAATATTAATACCTTTGCCAAGGAATGAAACCAACATACAACACAACCTGTCATTAGAAACTTTAAATTCACAAACTCTGCGCTATAGTAGGTTTTAACGATTCACTAATAAATTAACCCACTGAGCAGACGACTGGTCTGAAATCAGGCAACCACAGGTCTAAGTTTTTTGAGACGTCTAAATTTAGACCAAGTCTAAATCTGGACTATATCTATACTACACTGTATATTGCTCAATGGCTATCATATTTATTTTGGTTAAGTACTTGGAGATCAGTTATGCACTTAGAGTTACTTTTTGAAATAATTAGTTATCGAATAATAGGTTAAAGTACAACGTCTAAATTCCAACTAAAAACAGACAGAATCTAGACGGTCTAAATTAAGTCTAAAAATAAACTTGACGTCCAATAGGCGTCTATTGCTCAGTGGGAATGAACTCATACTTAAAGCTCCTGTATGTAATTTTGCCAACCTTTATCAACAAAGGCAAATGACCATTAATATTAAGACTGGTTATATACCCTATTTATAGTAAATCCTAATAGTATTTTCTTATCTATATCATGAAGACAAACTTTAAAATGCTGTATGGAACTTTTTGATGTTTATGAAATAGAGTGGAATTTACTTTGCCATTTTATGACATACAAAACGAACAAGAGCATCAGCATAAAAATTATATCATAATTTTTAAATATCTGATACTGGTGCGAGAGGGAAGGGGACAGCCAATCAGTGGGAGAAACAGGCCATTTCTTATAAACTACTCAGAATAAATGATGAATTTGTCTGTCAGTAGCCAGAATGACAAGATTTTGCATCAAACACACGACTTTAGCACCCATAAGAAAAGAGAAGTGAGACTGCTTTGTCCACAGAGTGCACAGAAATCTGCATAAACCAAAAGTTTCTCTTAGGAGCTTTAAATTTCACCTGACACATGATCTACGAACTTATATTGTGAACTAAAGTGGAGGTTATCTCTGCGCAGTTTGCTCCAGTTTGACTGTGTTTGCAAAGAGGTGTCAGGATCCATGCAGAGCTGCGCTGTGCACTCTAATCCTGACGACCCAAAATTCTGTCAGTTCTCTCTAATGAGGCTTTTTTGCATTGAAATGAGTATATTTCACTCCAACAAATGCATAAAAGCTCATTTAAATACACATGTGAAACTACTATTTGTTCTGCATTGCAGTCGCTTTTGGTGCTTTTAATCTTTTGCACATTCTTTGAGAATTAGACGATGCCTTTTTGACTCATTCTCACAGGTTTATTAGGCTCAAAAGTTATCCTGCTCAGTCTGTAAACCTTTGTATTTGCTAAACTAGTTGACCCTCAGTGGTTAAAGGATCCTTAGGGGTCACCATCTTTTGTTGTCTGAGAACACAAGTCTGTTAAATTGTTCAACACATCCACGCGCCCCTGTTATGTCAAGAACTGGTGTGTCCGTCTGTCTGGGTATGTGTGGAAGTCTGCAGGGCCGGAGCCGAGACTGAGCCGGCGAACGTATCCTTAACAAAACTTCCTCTCAGTGTTTACACAAGGGAAAAGTGGAATTGTGGGTATTATTTAAGATAATAAAAGGTACGCTGCTGCCACTCTGTGCTGTCTGGCTGCTGGATGTCGGACAAGTCGGATGAAAAAGAAAGTAGTATTTTTGACCCTTGAAGAGTTCTGCTTTGTCAATGTAGTGAGTTTCCCACAATTCATCACCCTATACCACCGTGGTAGCAGAGAAGACCACCCACCCAAATCCAACACTGTGCTCTGTTGTTTTTTAACCTCTTTTAATTCAACGTCACTGGTCTGAGCGAAGACGTCTGGAGATCTTGAAGTTCTAGTTCATGATATAGAGTACTGGTTTTGACAATTACAGAACTATAAATAGGAGAGATAAAACTCGGATTGTTAAAGACGTCTTGCTGCCTGTTTTCTTCGTGCATCTGTCTCACCTCAGTCCATCCCTCTCTACTCCCTCTTGAAACCCAGATGACTGTCCTAAACGTGTCTGGTCCTGCTCAGGGTTTCTGCCTGTTAAAGGAAGCTCTTCCTCTCCACTGTAACTTGCTAAATGCTTTAGACTAGGGGTGTTCCGATACAACTTTTTGACTTCCGATACGATACCTTCAATATTGATTAATACTGATATTGATATACACTCACCGGCCACTTTATTAGGTATACCTGTCCAACTGCTCGTTAACACTTAATTTCTAATCAGCCAATCACATGGCGGCAACTTAGTGCATTTAGGCATGTAGACATGGTCAAGACAATCTCCTGCAGTTCAAACCGAGCATCAGTATGGGGAAGAAAGGTGATTTGAGTGACTTTGAACGTGGCATGGTTGTTGGTGCCAGAAGGGCTGGTCTGAGTATTTCAGAAACTGCTGATCTACTGGGATTTTCACGCACAACCATCTCTAGGGTTTACAGAGAATGGTCCGAAAAAGAAAAAATATCCAGTGAGCGGCAGTTCTGTGGGCGGAAATGCCTTTTTGATGCCAGAGGTCAGAGGAGAATGGCCAGACTGGTTCGAGCTGATAGAAAGGCAACAGTGACTCAAATAACCACCCGTTACAACCAAGGTAGGCAGAAGAGCATCTCTGAACGCACAGTACGTCGAACTTTGAGGCAGATGGGCTACAGCAGCAGAAGACCACACCGGGTGCCACTCCTTTCAGCTAAGAACAGGAAACTGAGGCTACAATTTGCACAAGCTCATCGAAATTGGACAATAGAAGATTGGAAAAACGTTGCCTGGTCTGATGAGTCTCGATTTCTGCTGCGACATTCGGATGGTAGGGTCAGAATTTGGCGTCAACAACATGAAAGCATGGATCCATCCTGCCTTGTATCAACGGTTCAGGCTGGTGGTGGTGGTGTCATGGTGTGGGGAATATTTTCTTGGCACTCTTTGGGCCCCTTGGTACCAATTGAGCATCGTTGCAACGCCACAGCCTACCTGAGTATTGTTGCTGACCATGTCCATCCCTTTATGACCACAATGTACCCAACTTCTGATGGCTACTTTCAGCAGGATAATGCGCCATGTCATAAAGCTGGAATCATCTCAGACTGGTTTCTTGAACATGACAATGAGTTCACTGTACTCAAATGGCCTCCACAGTCACCAGATCTCAATCCAATAGAGCATCTTTGGGATGTGGTGGAACGGGAGATTCGCATCATGGATGTGCAGCCGACAAATCTGCGGCAACTGTGTGATGCCATCATGTCAATATGGACCAAGCTCTCTGAGGAATGCTTCCAGCACCTTGTTGAATCTATGCCACGAAGAATTGAGGCAGTTCTGAAGGCAAAAGGGGGTCCAACCCGTTACGAGCATGGTGTACCTAATAAAGTGGCCGGTGAGTGTATATACCAATATTTATCCGACGATGTAAAATTAATTTTGGTTCAAACACACCGTAACACCGAGTTAGACACCCCCGAGAGAGTTGAGTGTTGCCAACCGCTTGCTTCTCTAGTTAAACCAACTTAAGTAACGACCACAGGATAGCAATACACAGCAGTCTGAGGAGCCACAAACAAACCTGAACCAAAACGCCACTCTATAGCCACAAATAATGCTCAGAACAGCACCTAACTTCATCAACAGGACATATAGGGTCCCAGCCATAGTACTAGCCACCAAACATCTTTTCAACTTTGCCTAATTTCTTTAGCAAAGAGACTGAACACAACTCACCGACTCTCTTCCAGCAGCCGCTTGTTATTATGGAGACCTCAGGCCAGTCTATTACGGACTACAGCGGGGTGACGCAGCTCAAGGAAGAACATTTACGATCATTTCTTTATCATTTCGCGGTAGTTCTTCTGCCTTAGCGTCTCGGTCTGATTGCATTTCATGAAGAAATAATCATAAATGTTCTTCCTTGAGCTGAGTCACCCCGCTGTAGTCCTTAATGGACTGTGCCGGGGTCTCATTACAAACAAGCGGCTGCTGTGTTTCGTCTCTTTGCTGTGTTTAGTCTCCAAAAGATGTTTGGTAGTTAGTGCTAGGGCAGAGTCTGGAATGGACTACTTGTATCAGAGTGCTGATAATGGACCGATGTCCGATATCAATATCATATAGGGACACCCCTACTATAGACTACAGACGTGTAGACTCAGGCGTTGAGTTGCAGAGAGATTGGCGGCGATTCCACTAGCTCACTTTGTAACTGATCACGCTGCTCCATGAAGCTTTCTTATGATTGGATGATACTCTGCAGGTGTCCATTCAGTCTACGTTTACAGTACTGACATTGCAGACACTCGTGCAGCAGGTTCACCTCACCTTTACTGTAAAAACTCGACCGTGAAACGTTATTTTTGTCTGTAATAAATATTTATTGAGTGTTTCAAATACAAACAGAATCTTTCTTTTCTGTTGTCAGTACAAAAAAAAAGTTTGAAGTATCACATGAACTTGTGCAGTGAGCTTGTGCAGTAAATCATTAACAGGGTTTTGTTTTCCTTCACTCTCTATAGGTGCGAGTTGGGTGGGCTTCAGCATATATGACAAAATAATGACTTCCAGAGAGCGCAGAAATTCATGGACACATATTTACACAGTCAAGTATGGATTTATGTGGACTGAATGTATCATATGGTAAATGCAGGCTGATTTACGGAACCTCTGTACTCGCTAATCATACGATTCTTCGCATGGAAATGAACTAAAATAAAAATGCACATAAATTAATGGTTTGTAGTTTAATATTATGCAACTTAAAAATCACTGAAAGCACTCTTGGATTTATCCTTTTTGTCCACAGTGGCCTGGAGACAACCTTGCAATAGTCGTGATAACTTTGCAGATAAATTTCAAAGTCGGGTTGTCTACAGGGATGTGTCTGAGGGGGCGAGTTTGACACACAGAGCTGGCATTAAGAGTGTGGCGATGACAACAGGCGCGATTAACATCACAACAGTGACGAGTGGGGGGTCTTGGACCTGTCCACATTGTCTGAAGTACTTTTGATGGACTTTCAAGAAGATCTTGTCAATTAAAGATCCTTGTCCCTGGCACCAGGATACTTTGGCCCAGTCGTCCACACAGATCTTCAGGTTGTTGTAGATGCTGCGGAGGAAGACACAAGAGAGAAGGAGAAGATGTTGACGTGACATAAAATGCTCCTTTCAGTAAGATCTCACCTCACATTTGAGAACAGCATGGTTAGAGTCAGATTAACAGCGTTTTCACATATTTGGCATCACAAATAATGACAGCAAATCAGATCTACAGCTCTTCTGCAGTGCAGCCCTTCCTGTATGTTATTCTTTAGGGGATGCTCAATATTTCTTACCAGCTGCAAGTACATCTCCCTGTCTTTTCTGGATTACAGTTTTTCTTGGTGATTGCTAACATCACCTAACTGAACCATGACACACTTTAGCAGAGTCTCAATCTAGGAGCTAAAGCCTTTGAGGGATTGTGGCCAAGAGTCAGCAATCTTGATTGTCTCGGCCCGCTAGGAGTCGCAGGGTAAGTGGGGCCACAAAGGATGCACCTGATGCAGCCTCCAAAGCCCAGAGAAGTAGGATGCAAATGGAGGAGTCCCTAAAAATGGGGCTGCCATCGATGTGATGCGTTCGGGTCCTGAAATATTACTTTCAGTGGAATGCATGTCATGAAATCTAGTGGTATACCAACTTTCTTTCCCAGGGGCAGTGGAAAATTTGCCTCTGTTCATCGTACCAGTGGCACATTTAACATATTTTTCCCAATTATGTCAAAATCTTCCACACAAAGAAATGATATAGTTCTTTTAAGATAAATAAATCTCATGAAATGCTTCTTTGTTTGACTAAATTTCTGAATTTTAGTAGACAAGTGTTCAGCAGATTCTGGCGGCGCCACTCGAGGCGAATCGGTTTCATGCTTTCATTTGGTCTGTGCTGTTAAGGCCTGTTTTAAAAAGTGGTCATAAATGTACAAATATGATTTGAAGTGTAAGCACTAATGTGTTCCATGACAGGTACGCCTTTCTGTAATGATGCATGACCATTTGGAGATCGTACAAAATGAGCCAAAAACATCTAGCCTCGGTGACTCTGAGCTTTTTTATTAATGGAGAAATCACTCACTGATGTTTTAGAGAAAGCTTGAATTTCACTCTGAAGTTTTGACATGTCACGTCCGCCGGGTGGAGAAGAACCAAAGCTGCGCTAAAGCAACATAAATCACAGGAGCGGTTGTCACTACAAGGTTTAAATGTGGAAAAAATCCACTGAGAGCCGTTGAGCCCGACAGCCAGAAGCTCGATCAACATGCTGGACTAAACGTGATGATGGACACTCCACCATAACACATCACTCGATCTGTGAGGTTGCTCAGCCCCAGACCATATTAACAGTAAAATATGGATTATTACACCCGTAATTAGTCACAACTTCACTCTACTGTAGGTAGAACAGCGAGAGCAAAGTCTCCACGAATGACAAGCGTCTGGAAATTTAAGCCAAAAAGCAACAGCGCAGCAATTTACATCACGAGTTGAGTAATTAGCTCTAAATGTAGCCAGGAAACATGAAAGAAACTGAGTTTTCTGTGATGATAGATCATATATCTTCACTGAAAACCCAATGAAAGTCCATAATGTGACGCTATATCCAACCTTATTCTCGTTTACGTCACTGGGCATTGATATGTTGAGCTCTGGAAATATTTGTCAGATTATCTCAGATGACTTATTTCAGCTGAGATCTTCTCAACTGCCCCAATGGACTCAGTTTGTTAAAATTGAGGTCGAAACCTGTACAAAAAGTTTTGGAAACTTCTTAAAAGGCCTTTCCAGATGACAGTTGATACCACCATATTAATTCATGGTTTCAAAAAGGTCTATGAAAGATTCAGTTATGATATTCTTTTATCCAAATTGTCTAATACTTGAGTTCAACTACATACACTCATCTTTAGCTGACCATAACACTGGAGTTCCACAGGGCTCAACCCTCGGACCAGTTTTGTTTGGTTTTTATATCAATCTCCTGCCCCTTAGTGGTCCACATTCATCTTTATGCAGATGACACAGTTGTTTACGTTCATGCTAAAACATCAGCTTCTCTGTAGAATTAAAGTATCTGATAAAATAACTCAGAGTTGTTTTGCTCTTAACATGAGCGAAATTGAAGGTGGTACCTACTTGTCCTGCACATTTTTTTGGCCTCCTTGCTCATGAACTACAGATGCAAATTAGCTTTGACGCTAACTCTGACTAACTCTGACTCTAACTCTGACTCAGCAGTGAGATTTGTGCCAAATAAACTGTTAAGAGCCTCTTTAAACCAGAACCAGATTTTAGTTTCACAGATTTCCTTAAAGCCACCAGAATCCATTGAGAAAAAAACAGTAATTTAGCAGTGATTTGCTGTATTGACCGGTTTATGCTCATGTCTTTTGTTGATAAAACTGCATTGGGTGGGGTAGAGGGTGAGGTCAAAGCTGTGTCTGGTTAAAATCTACTCTGAGGCCCGTCCCTGTGAGAATAAGCCACTCTGAAATCAATTAAGGCCTTTCAGAGGGAAAAACAGGCTTTTTAAATGGATGTAATTTGATCAAGAGCGTTAGACTAGAAATATTACAAAGCGGCCAGTGAAGAGCGCTGACTTCTGCAGACAGAGTTGATCTATTCAAACGAATGAAAAATCAAAATAAAAACGCCCTTGCTTAGCTTGTAACATAAAACTGTGTTTTAAACAAGAGTTACACAACAAAAAAGTTACCCTTTCACACCAGGCCATGGACATCCAGCCTGGTAGCCCTCTGTCTCCATGCTCCTGTTGAAGTCTGACAGGCAGTTGTCAACATTACTCTCGAACATGTGCAGGTCACATGGTGGGTATTGGGATTTTGCAGCTATTTCTGCAAAAAGAAGAGACAGTAACAGGGTTTTCGTAAACTTGTGCCACACTGTTCCACATTTTAGAGCCTTTTATGGAAAAATTTGACCGTCCCATGGAGATCCAACGATTTCTACTGATTTAAATTTTAAGTCATATTTTATCTTAATTCCTTCACCCTTATTTTGGAAACGCACTTGGAGATTGTCTTTTTCATGTTCCAAATGAGCTTTTTGAGGTTATTTTTACACTTTTTTTCCAGGCCCTGCCAAATAGCTTGCATGTACCGAGGTTAAAGTCCTTACCCTAAACCCCAATCTTCCAAGTGGGCTGCCCAAGCTCCAGTCCCACCAGAGGGGGAGTTCCACAGGGCTCAATCCTCAGACCACTTCTGTTTCATTTTTATATTTTTCACCTTATCTGCCCAGAGGTCCACAGACTATGTTTATTTACATACATGCTAAAACAGGAGCAGCTTTTAGTCCAGAAGTTTTGATCCTCTGTTAGTTCTGATTCTAAGTCTTACCTGTCCAAATGAAGGGAAGCACCAGAAGGTACGCACCCAGCACCATCTATTTAAAAAAAATAAACATATAAAAGAGACTCACTGTTTAAATAATGATGGATTTGTCACAAGTTCGAGTCTTTTAACTCAGTGCAATGTGTAGAAACAGTTCTAAGAAAAGGTTGCAAATCAGATGGTTTACATGTAAACATGAAGATTATACGATGAATGGATTAGCTGGATACCCTGAAGTCAGTGTCGAGTCAACAAAACCATTTTTGTTGAAGTGTTTGCCGTCTCTCAATCTCTCTCTCTCTCTCTGTTTTCTATCATGCAGGCACACTTAAGCCTTTTAAAAAAATCTACTTGTATTTGTATCACAGAAGCATTACATGACAACATACTAACCAATTTGTCAAAGATCATTTAGGCCACTCAAACTGGATTAAGTGTTCACTCACAAACATTTATGAAACTCTGCTTCTTAAGCAGGATGTGAACATATTGAAGTAGAATCCTGCTCCTTATTTGAAAAGAGATATAAAGCTCTGTGCAAAACAGAAGTGATGGCCATCTGTGTCCTGGACATTCCCTCAAATTAATGGATTTATCTCGTGGGAGAGTCTGGAAACAGATGTTACCGGGGAGAGCAGCCAGAGGATTCTTTTTGGAAATATGCACAAATGTTATGTCTGTTCTTCTAGAGAGAAACGCTCTACTGTATACTGTAAATTCAGTTAGTTCGAAGACTGGACGTTCAGTCATGGACCCATATGGCAAAAAGGAATGAATATAATCACATTAAACAGATTGATTGATTGTGTCTTTCATTCTTAGCTCAATAAAACCAAATCTGCACAGATTGCATTGAAAATATTCGTATATTTCAGCTAGTTTTAACATTTATACGCAAAGGGAAAACTCTTGCACATACCCCAGCTTTTGCGCTGCTGTTTGAAGAATTATTATTTCCTGGTGGATCCCTGGTGGATGCCTTTGTTTAGAGCGCCTGTTGAAGATGCTTCAAATCCAAAAACCGGCCAACTAACAGATGCACAACTGGTCACAAAAAGGCTCTGTGTGATCTGCTGTGGTTTCTTATCAGAGCAACTGAGAGCTAATTGGATTGTGCAACAAAAAATGGACAGCCTGCTTCCTTTCCCAGGCTGAGCAGAGCTGTTCCCATGCTACCCTGAGACTACCCATGTTCCACTCACAACCCCCCAGAGACCTGAAAACCGAAGGAGGCCTCAGTGTCAAAGAGCCTGCAGAGCGGACACTCCCTGATAGATTCAAGGGTTCAGATTGAAGTCATGTGATGGATCTAATCACGTGGGTGACTTTCTGGAGTCACTATTTTCAGAGAAAGTCTGATTCTGACTCACCAACTGGGCCAAAGGTTAGAAAACACAACACTCAGAAAACAGCAACACAGACGTACAAAGACCAGAGACCCCCGAGGAAACATGGTGGTGAAAAAAGTCTATTAGACTCATAGACCTGGTGGCTCAGCATCACCGTGTAGCTGATAGCCCCAGGTTTGACTATCAAGTAGGAAGCCGACCCAGCTTGTACTGGACTTTATTTACTGAAACATAAAACTCACTTTTATTCTGGTGCCTTTTTTTTAAGGGACAGGGAAATAGTTGTGATTTTTCTTGCGTTGGACATAAACAAGTGGATAAACAGACTTTCCAGCTTTTAAATGTACTTGCACCAATCAACTCAAAGTTAGCCCTTGCGCGCAAATAGCTGTGAAACAAATGTGCTGCACGTTTAAGTCTTTTTTTCTCAAAGAAAAGCTGCCATTTTAATATGTCCACACAACCCGACTCATAACCACGTCTTTAAGGTCTGTAATAAACCACACCGTTTGTAAATCTGTCAAGATTTCAGTGAGTTAAGAGTATTTTTGATCATGCAGATTACTCACCTTCCGTCAGCTAGCGTACAGTGTACCAGAATGGTATACTGGAGTAAGATGGCCGCCGAGCATCTTGAGTCATCTAGCCTTTCTTATATATGTCTATGGATCGGATCCGGTGGGCGCTGTATGCTTGCCGATCTGATCCGAACTGCCGGTCCGGAGCGGAGCCCTTTCAGGATCCAGTGGGTTTAGCCGGTAAGAGTCTGGAGGACACTGGAGAGGCGACTCTGGGAACTTCAGCTGTGTTAACTCTTTCCTCTTCCGGTGAGTGCTGTGAAGTTTGGGTAGTTTGCGGTTAGCCCCGCAAGTTAGCATACCGTCGTGGTGTGTTAGCCGCCGAGCTAAAGTGTTAGCTCATGGTGTTGTTAACGTTCTGTGACAAAAGAGAAAAGCGTGTGCATGTGTGTGTGTGTAAAAAATAATGTGTGCCTGTTAATTACATTGAAAGAGACATCAGTAAGTGTCATGGGTTATGAGACTGCTTAATCCTTCTGTGTAGTACAGTGCTGTTGCTCACAGGCTCAGGATATCACAAGATTACCTTATTTTACTTACCTTAAGTAGTTCAATAATCATTTACGTGTGGATTTTTGATTGTTTACCAGTCATTTAATGGAAAACAGTGAAGCTGATATTTCATTTGCTAACACTGTAATGCAGCAGTTATCTTGAAATAAGTTAACTGAGAAAAGTTACATTACACATTTAAATTGATTAAATTTGGGAACTACTATCTATACAGTTAAAAGAGAAGTGAATTGATTTAACTAAGCTCTGTTTTGCTACACAGGCTGGTTTTTTTTTTGGATACGCTGGACTCTGGATTCTCTCCTAGAAGGGACATGGCGAGCCAACCAACTGATCATCTGGATTTGAGCTGAAGAGGACGCCATCTTCTTCATCTGTCATCCTTTTGGTGTGGTAGGATTGAGAAAAACTCAGAAAGATTGAAAAGGGACAGTATTTATTCTTTTCCTTCCTTGGAAAGCAAGAGACATTTTATTTTTTAAAGGGTGCACCAGACTTAAAAGACAATTTAAAAGAAAACAAACTGAAGGCCGGCCATATAAGAATAAGAAGATTAGAGATATCATAAGAGTGCTAATTTTTCTGTGTGTGTTACTGTTAATACAGTTATAGTTCAAAAAACTTCTGTGTGTTTTCCTCTTACTCAGTTTAATCTTATTCTTCATCATCACTCCCTCTTACGAATCTAGAGTATTGTGGTCCAGTGTTACTTACCTGGCAGGTGGGTTACAGCAGCACACCCTGATGTCAGGTTGTGGTCCTGTTTCGAAATGAGCTTTTCAAAGAACCAGAACCATGAAACCCTGCCGTGGTTCAAAACATATGTGTGTATTAAAGTGTGACTCAGCACAGTCAGCCTTCTTCAAACACTAAGATAAGTCAAATAATACTCTGTAATGGAATGATAAACTAGAGGCAGCTTTCTTGGACTTATCCCGAATGATTAGACATCAAGTCCTTTTTTTGGTCTTAATCCTACAGCCTCATTAGCGTCCTGTTCGCTGCTGGATATCTGAATCCTCCCAAATATAGGCCTCCTTTTCACTCCTCTCCTTTGAATTACACCCATGACTGAGGAAAATGAGTGAGTGTGGAAAATGTGACCACCTTTCTGTGGTATTCCATTTGTCTCGACTAAATGACTCTTTGACAGACGGATCTTTCAGGAGCCCGGTTTAAAGATCTCTCAGCGCCGCACTATCAGGTCGTTCCGCTTTAGAGTTAAAATTAAACGCTCCGACATTGTTCAGCTATTGCCCATTCATTTGGAGTTGCGAGGCAACGCGTACACATAATATAACTCTTAATGGGTTTGGGAGCTGAGAAACGTGGAGGATTGGACATAAGAAAACATTTCCATTTTCTTAAATTGAAGACATAACAGGGTAAGATGCAGAGCAAACAGCAGATAGACACGGCTCTTTAAACACTGTCTGTAAGAGGCAACACGTGCTGTTTGAACAGTCTGTCTTCACTCTGATGGAAAGTATTTCTCAGGTAGGAACAGGAGTGGAAAGAGGAGCCCATGTGCTAGCTACAGGCTTGATGTTTGTCTTAAAATCCCTCTCTTTGTCCACGAAAATCTGCTCACCTTTGTTTCTCTTTCCAACACGAATGTGCTCAGTAGCCTCGAGTACATCTCTTATGGGGTGCTCACACCAAGTAAAATCATCTACTCGCTTAATTCGCGCGAATCTAGAAATGTGAATGAATAGTATTTACTCACTTCATTCACGCATCAACAGTAATTTCAACAGTAATTCCTGCCAATTCAATTCTTTTACAATTTATCAGGTAATCTGATCTCCAGGCGAGTTCCTTTTTTTTCCGGTTTTGGCAAATAAAAGAAAAGGTACACCAACACGACCGACACGATCAGTTTGCCTTCCGGTTTAGATACCAGTGAACAACCAACCGTTTTCATACGTCAGCCAGCAACCTTCGTGCTGATTAGTCTCTCGATGGGATTATTTGCTCAAGTTGAGACATTTTCAGCTCCCGCTCAATTCGCGTCATTCGCACCGTCAGAGTAGTTGGAACGTCTTATCGCGTCTTTGCATTGACTTAACATGTAATTCATTCGCACGAATAATTTAATCGCGCCTGGTGTGTGGAGACAGTTACTCGGGAATCCTAGGGCACATCAAATACGCAAGCATACAGCGCCCACCAGATCCGATCTGCCTCTGCCTTCGAAGGAGAAACGCTTGCGAGATTACAGATATTTCTTGCAAGACTGGACGAGCTCTGGTAAGATCCCGCATTTTCCCCATGGAACATTGAATGAGATCCACGGATTGGTGTATATAAACACCCACACGCACAACCCTGGCCTCTCCTTATATCAAGTTAAGAACAGTTTAACATACTGACTTTATTTTATTTTGAAAATTAACCGGATATTTTACTAATTTCGCTCGTGCTGCACTGAATTGATGCGCCATGTGCAGGGTTGCCAACTCCTCAGTGAGGAAAGTTGCTAGTGGCTCTCCTAGAAGTCGCGAGATGACGCCATCACCCAATTAGCATATTTTATATTTATTAGACAATCTCTAATAATGTAAGAACTTAATGGGCCTTTCTGACGGCTGAGTAAAGTACAGAAAAATTCCCAAAGGTTCAGATTCTCAAACGGAGCTGAGCCTCTCAAATTGAGCTGCTTTCCACTCTTCGAATAAAGGCGTTTAAGTGCTTCCGAAAAAAAGAGAAAAATAAAAAGAAAGGTGCCTGAGTCTCAGAGATTTATTGAGTGCATCTATTGAAGAGAATGCCTAACTGGCCTTTGGAGGCCCGAGGATGAAATTTCTCGCCGTATGCCAGCTGTTGAACGGAACAAGTATCTTCCATCACCATGCAGCTGCAAACATGGGTGGGGAGGAAGTTGCACGTGCCTTCAAATGTCAGTGGGTTGGAATTTCTGTTCGCACTGAAGGAAATGCGTTATCGCCTCCCATTCTCGCAGCTTTAATTTGAACTTGAAGTATGAATGAGATTTATTTTTATCCAGAGAAACAGCCAAAAGACTTAAAAATAAGAATCTAGATTTGATAAATCACTAAACATAAAAACTCAGACGCTTTTATTTTTCTCCTCTGGCCCTACAGCGATCCTGCCCTTCAGTCCTGAAACATTATGCAAGTGGCAAAAAGGGGCAAAGTGCGGAAAGACAGACATGACTTCATACTGAGAGCAGCTCAGCTCAAGCATGTTATACAGTTAGCCACACTGACATCACACCGGAGTAACTCTGCGGGTCTGGAAAACCCGAACGTGCATCCTGGGGTCAGTCAAACATGAGGAAATATCTGCCTCGTGTTATGGGAATGAGAAGCTTCCTGTTGGTGCGGCGTCTCCTAAGAGGTGCACTTCATCATATGACTGCGAGTTAATCCGTCATTACATCATGTCACTACGTAATCTGCACTCACGCTCCTCCGCTCCTCATTGTTACTGACAGTCAAATCCCATAATCCAAACTTTTCTCTTTCAATTAATGAAATAGTGAACACACATTTCACTTCTAATTAAACTGCACTTCTCTGTAAACTCCCTTTGACTTTATAACAATATTAAGTATTAATGAGGAGAAGAGGGAAGCTCTTATTCTGCTCCGCCAGCGAGAAGATAAATTAGACTGAAATCAACTTTTTATTTTGTTGGTGCTTGAGAAACTTTTTTCTTTTTGGGTCCTTTGAGGAATAAAGTTTGGCCAATTTAAATGTTGATGTACTTTTGAGTTACTCTTTTTCAAGTTAATAAAAAAGGTTTAAGGGTTTAACAAAAGGGTAAAAGTTGCTGTTACTTTTTTTCATTCTGTTAGTATATTAAACATTCAATACAAACAAGGAAAAATCTCAAACGTGAATGAAAAGGAGCAAAAAGAAGATATTAATCAACTTAACACATAATAAAAAGTAAACAAGCTGCAGGCCAACATGCCTTTTACAGTTCAGTATTTTTTGGCTTTTAAAATATTTCAAATCCCTTTAAATTATAACAACTTTCTCTTTTTTCAAATCAACTCCGGATGTTGATTGGTAAAATTTTCTTATGAGCTTTATACATAATCTGCAACATACTGAAATCTACTAACTCACTGAGTTTCAACAACTGCAATTTAACAAATAATGAGTTTGAAGGATCTCTGTATTGACTTCTACTAATAATTCGGATTGCTCTTTTTGTAAAATGAAAATTGCAGATTCAGAAAAAGGTTTATGAAGAAGAAATAAATGAAAAGCACAAAAATGGGGACACTGGAGACATAATCACAAGGAGATCAACTAGGGATCCAAACATACACTGACATTGATCTACATGCACACAAACACACACAGAACCAAACAAAAAAATCCAAAAGACAAAATCACAAGGAGAGCAGGCAGACACAACACACAATGAACCAACCTGAACAGAGGGGAAGACAAGGTCTATATACACACACAGGTAAACGAGCAACAGGTGAGGCAAACGAGCAACAGGTGAGACTCGTTAGTGATTGACAAAGGAGGGAAAACTAGAGAAGTAAAACCAGACTAGAAACACAAGGGATCAACTACTACAAAATAAAATAAGAAATAAACACTGAGAATAGATCTAAAGAATAAAACACAGAGAACAGGAGGGTCAAACACAAACTGAAAAAAACTCACAAGACTGGACTACAGGGGAACAGGAACACAAGGGGGAAAGACACAAAATGCACTAAAATTTATGAAGACCTGTGGACTGCACCTTATCTTGATGATTTTAAAACCAAACTCAAAATGTACCTTTTTAGCGTTGCTGTGAACTAAATTCTATATCAACAACTTTGATTAACTTGGGATTTCCACCGCATCAACTCTGATCCAGAACAACTGTGATTTTCGCTGTACGCCAGTTCCTACCGGATCCGTTTGTGAGGTGAATTTTGTGGCAGATTACGGACAGCATCTATACAATACAATACAATCTGCCTGAAACACGTAGGGTTTTATTTTGAAAAGATGCCAGTTGTTTTATTTTGTGTCTGTGCCCGACTTCCTTTCCAGCACAGGTTAATCTTTGCTGAATTTATCCGGCATGCTCCGGCATCTGGAAAAAAATAGAACTCTTGCGATCAGCTGTTGAGTCCTGCGATCTGCAGCGGAACGGGAAGAAGCCGGTGGAAATTGAGACGTTTACTTGAATTGTTACGATCAGCTACAATCAGCGGATACAGCCTTTTCGTGCCGATCCGGATGCAGTGGAAATTGCGGGTAAGTGTTTATTCTTTGTTTTCTTTGTTTCTTTTTTTTCCTTTGGTGTAACGCACTTTGTGCTACATGGCTTTGTATGAAAAGTTCTATATAAATAAAGACTGATTGATTGATTGATAAAATAAAACCAGGAGAAAATGAAATAAAGAGAACATATCATGACAGATCTCCAAGAGGCTGGAGTACATGTGAAAAGTGACATGGCGTTTTTATTTTTATTTTTTGATTTAGCTTGAATCTATTCAACTTAAACGTGTGTAAAAACAGTGACATTTTAGTGAAGTGAAGTAAAAATCCCCAAAATGAGGTCAACTTAGTGTCAACTGTCCCCGTGTCACCAGAGGGCAAAAGTCAACAGCCACTTATTGGAGGCTAAGGAGCAGCCGGGCTGTAATCACCCGAGTTTTTCACAGCAGAGCTTATTATGTTGACCGCTAAAGCGAAATAGTTTGGCTGCCTTCGGGGCGGACTATCGGCCCCCAGGCCTCCTCACCTTTAACTGAGTGCCAGCTGACACGCAACAAATGAAGGGGGCCACATCACAAACACTCAACACTGGTTTTAATATCCCTGCTGTTCGATCTGAGTTTTCTTTGTTTTCTGTAGGGGTCCACTTTCTTTTGCTGCTGAGTCAGCTGTGTAAGCAATCATCTTTTCAGCGTAGCACTGCAGTAGACTTTAAAAAGAAAGATAAGTAATCAATCTATCACTCTGTTACACTTCAGTTTGAGTGGCTCTTCAGTTTCTGCTGGTTAATATGAGAGCAGATAGGACCCTGTGTGTTGCATCACAGTGTTTACCCTCACACAGTGAACGATCCCGGGGTTCACTCTGTTCAATGCTTCCAAGGGTCATTTTCAGCTGTCAAGCAGAAAGTGTTAGGATGATCAGGCATGTTAGCTACGGCCTGCTGTTTGCATACTTTGCATTGCCTGGAGGCGTACTCGGAGAATTGGCGTTCAGGTGTCCGAGTTGTTCCGCTGAGCAACTAGCTGCATGTCCCAAAGTTACGCGGTCATGTGCAGAGATAGTGAGGGAGCCGGGCTGCGGCTGCTGTCCGGTGTGTGCCCGGCAGGAGGGGGAGCTCTGCGGGGTCTACTCCCCGAGGTGTTCGAGCGGGTTAAGATGCTACCCGAGCAGCGAGATTGACTTTCCTTTGCAGCAGCTCATCCAGGGTTTGGGACGGTGTGTGCAAAAAGTGGACCTGGATGTTACAAATGTTGAAAAAGCTACGAATGGTGAGTATAAGTAGTTGAGCTTATTAACCATCTGAGTTTAAATGTTTAATCTCTCAGCTGTGAACTCGTGTCTTCTGAATTTCCCCAAACCCGCTTGTTTGTTGTTCTTTTTCCCGGCACAAACTTGATCATGTTGATTGAGCTTCACTGCTATCAGCATTTCTCTTTCAGTATCACCGTGTTGCAAGAAAAGAGATAATAATAATTAACCCGCTCGACTTCAGTAGCATAGTTGGCAGCTCTCTCAGCTTCACTGATACGAGGTATTGGCTAAAGTGCCAAATATTTCCAACTGGAATAAAGCCAGAAGATTTGACATTTTGGAGATTTTTTGATTAGGAATACTGGAAGTGCTTAAAAAGTCAATTTTTTCCCTTTTTTTGGACTCACCCAGACTGAGACTGAGGTTTAGACTTTTATTGTTTGATTATTGGATGTACAAACTGGTCACTATTGCTCAAAATGCCCTGAAATAAACCTTTAATGGTTGATAGTGTAAGTCAGTATGTTTTCATGTCCAAAACGGTCCATTTATTGCAAAAATCAGATTGAAACTGGACTTTTAGAATGCATGTAAACACCTTAGTCAGACTAACAGGTGGGGTAGTAAGGGGTTTCTGAGGAAATTCCAGTTTTTGGGAGAAATCTTGAATGTAAACTCTACATTTTCCCCTCGGCTCCTCCTCTCCCCTCTGTCTTTGCTCCAACAAGCCCCGCCCACAAATTCAGATATAATTCAGATAAATATTTAAGATAATTTTAAATGGGGGCCCAGTCAACGTGAAAGTAAAAAGCATTGGTGCGACTGTAGACACAATGTTTGCAGGACTTCTACAACTAGGATAAAGTGATGTAGTCCAGGACCCGAGACCAACAGTTAAGTGGCGCTACAACATGCAGCAGGTCCCGTTTGACAAGAAACACTTCTGTTACATAAAGTTGGCTAACTTTGTTAAAGCGGTTTACCTGTCCAGCAGAAAGGTTACAGGGTCCGTAAGATCCTAACGTGTCCCCCATCATTGTTGACCCGGCTTTTTAGCCTTTGGCTACCTCCTTTTTAAGCGCCCGTTATTCCGCCAGAGTCTCCGGTGTTTACTTCATTTTCTTGCTTGTGTCGGCAGTCGTGGCCAAAGGAGGATTCAGACAATTTTCTGGTTGGTTTCTACTGTCCGATATTGTAGCACGCTAACTTTGTTTGAGCTCGTGAATGACACAGAGGAGCAGTGTCCGCCTCGCAACCAATCAGGTTGGGGAGGTGGAGAGGCTTTGTTTACAGTCAGAAAGAGCGGGCCGCTTAAAAAATTTAAAATGTTGACTACACAGACATAACAAAACACAGAGATATCATTATATTACCAGTTGTCATCAATAACTAATAGCTATTGACCGATATTAAAAGCTTTTTGTATATACACCACAAAAAAATGCTCTTTTAACGGATTCCTGCCTACCCCACCTTTAACAGTAGAAAAACAAGTCAAGTCATGAGTCGAGTAATTCTGATTGATTTTCTGCAAGTGTGCCAGCATCGCCGGACGAGATATTTATTAATAAATCAGAGTCAAGAGTTCATGCAGAAGCTGTTCCCGCCGTCAAAACACCCTTTTTATTTAATGTAGGATTCGTTTTATGTCATCAAAACCACATCAACCTCAAAAGTCTTCAGTCAAAATAACTCTCCAGAAGACAAAACCCAGAAATCCTGCAGGGACATACAAACGTCAGCTTCTTCTCTCCCACATTATGCTTATTAGGGACAAACGGTCACTATTGATTCCTGTAAATGAATGTTGACATATGCAATGTGTTTGGCAGGCAGTGGCAGTCCCACATCTGTGAGTGCAAACAAGCAGAATCCCCCCGATGAACCCTTAGCATGTCTGTAACCTGCGTCTCCTCAAAGCTTTCCGGTTGGGAGTGTCTTATTTTGAAGGGTTTGTTTTTTATGGTGCATTTGGGAAAATGATTAATCAAAGACATGAACGATGCAGATCACAGAAGCCCATTGGGAGAACATCAGGAAACAGGTTGAAACCTACTTTATATCGAAGAGATTTCTATGTGAGACGTTTCTGACTGAATTATCCGGTAATTTAAAGCAACAAGGACATTCATTTCATTTTGACACCCTTGGAGGTTTTGGCGAAAACAAACTCAGTTTCAGTTCCTGTACTGTAGCCCAGGATGATGGACTCAAATGCACTCAGTGATATTTTACTGTCTTTGCTGTTCAGAGCGTATAAAGCTGAAAATGAGCATCAGATCAGGCTGCGGTTTGCCCGGAGTTCACCGTGTTATGCTTGGCTTTTCAAGCATGAGGGACTGCTGGCTATCAGATGTCAACATCTGTCTCTCCTGTGCCCATTAAAATGCACATTTTGGGGTCATTTCCTGCTGCTGCATGAGATTATATTTTAACTCTAACATGGCCACACTGCAGTGCACATGAAGGAGGGTAGTTCATTTTTTATTTGGTGTGACGCTGAGTTCATATTCCCCAAATTTGCAAACTCCTTTTAAACCTATGAAGGCCTTCAATGTATTCTGCAAGGTTTAATGTATAATCAACAGGTGCATGCAAACTCAATTTCTGTCTGATTCACATGAAATAGGGTGACCATATTCTGGATCCCCAAAAAGAGGACACGACTACGCAGGGGCGGACTTACGAAGTCGTACGTAGTAAATTTGGAGAGTTTTTCGGGACGGGTCGAGTGTTTTTTACGCGCTTCTAACCCAGTAAGTTTAGGTGACACAAACTCAAATCTTCCATACAAAACCCCGGACATTAGAAGGATTATATAAACTCCCTCGGACAAGGCCGGACAGCCCCCCCAAAAAGAGGACATGGTCACCCTTCATGAAAGAATCATTATGAGATATTGTCAATGGAATTTCTGCAGGAATATTTGAGTGAACCTTTTTCAGCTCCTTCTACATAAATGAGGCAAAAATCACAACTTTTATCCTGCAGGTGTTTTCACTGCCGCTCATAACTCAATTCAGGATAACGCATGTTAAACAGGTAACTATACAAATTTGAGTCCTGACGGATGGGAGCCAATAGCATTTCAACATGTGCTGTTACCATGCAGTGAAGGCCTGTTGAGCAATGTGTACTCTGAGTTCAGCAAGTGTTCTTTCTTTTTTTTACCATCCAAGTGCTCACCTTTTTCTAAGAATTCTCTTGTTTATAATACCGATTAAAATTTGACATGATCAAATTGGCCCAGAAAAAAAAAAAAGACCTCATGCTCTCCGTTCGCCTCAGTCTGCGTCTGTCTCTCTCTCCGTCTTTTCTTGTGCTGTCAATGGACCGAGACTGGCCTTATTGTTGCCCTGCAGGTGATCCTCTGCTGAGACATGCTCCTGCTCCTTCACCGGCACTCGCAGGTCTTTAATTACTCGATGTAGATGGAAAGGTGAAGCAGTGAGGGATCACTTTGGGTGGGAGCTGCGTGTTGGTGCCTGTTGTTCTGAGAAAGCTCCACCTGAGGTGTTAATATGAAACCCTCCTTCAATTCTGCTAATCTTAAAACAGATGAACAGTAATGTCTTACATTTGATGCTTCTGACAGCAGCAGGATGGTGCTTTTTACACCAACAGTTCTGTGCTCAGTTTGTAAAATCAGTTATACTTGAATCAAAAATCCTCATCAGAACAGGTGATGTTCAAAAACCCCAAACTTAAACTTGAAGTTCTCAGTCAAATCACAGCAGCTAAAAAATAAGGAACCTTTTGTTTTTTCAAAATCATCCTAATTATTTCTAAAATTAGTTTTTTCCTACATCCATCTATCTATCCATCCATCTATCCAACTGTACATCTATTCATTAATGATCCAACTATCTATCTATCTATCTATGTACTTCTATTCATAAATGATCTATCTATCTATCTATCTATCTATCTATCTATCTATCTATCTGTCTATCTATCTATTCATTGTACATCTATTCAGAAATTATCTATATTGATCTATCTATCTATTCATTGTACATCTATTCAGAAATTATCTATCTATCTATCTGTCTATCTATTTATTGTACATCTATTCAGAAATTATCTATATTGATCTGTCTATCTTTCTATTCATTCTACATCTATTCATTAATGATCTATCTATCTATCTGTCTATCTATTTATTGTACATCTATTCAGAAATGATCTATATTGATCTATCTATCTATCTATCTATCTAGCTATTCATTGTACATCTATTCATTAATGATCTATCTATCTCTGTCTCTCTCTTGCGCTATTGATCATTCGATCTATCTATATATCCATTGTATATCTATTCAGAAATGATCTATCTATTGATCTGTCAATCTATCCAACTGTACATCTATTCATTAATGATCTATCTAGCTCTCTCTCTCTCACTATTGATTGATCGATCTATCTATATATCTATTGTCTATCTATTCAGCAATGATCTATCTATCTGTCTATTTATACAACTGTACATCTATTCATTAACTATCTATCTATCTATCTATCTATCTATCTATCTATCTATCTATCTAAGCATCATCATCATTGTGTTATCTGACGGACTGTATCTTGAGTCTCAGGTGGGCAGTAGTCAGATTTGGGGCCCCCCTAAAGTTCTTCCTTAATGCTGATCTCAGACCGCTGGAAAATTCACAGCTATTGGCAGGAGTCTCAGACATGGACCCTAAAGCATTAGAAGAACTTGGATTGATGGACCAAGATAGGAGTCTGAGGTGTTGACTTGGTCCCTTGATTCCAAGGATCTTAGTCAAATTAAGCATTTGTCGCCCTGAACCATGGAGACCTTACCTTTCAACCTCGAGGACTAAAACGATATGTTGTTTTTCTCCACCAGACCCATCTTAAGATGCAAAATACTCAAGAGGAGAAAAAACATGGCCCTCAGTATTTATAAGTTGAGTTTGAGTTGTCGTCATTTAGCACAGAAAATATTATTCTACAAACAAAATAAAAATGGACATCGGTTTTCGTGCCGTTTCAGCCACTTCAAATGGAGTATCAGTCCACACTTTGGACATCATGGTTAGTATCAGGAGACAAAATTGGTCTTAACCTTGGAGTGCACCATTGTCTTTCAAGTCTGAGAAACAGCCAGAGCAGCGATTGGAAACAGTTTTCCCTTTAAACTACAAAGGCAGCGTCATTCGGTTAGGATGACACACTCGGCCACATGAAGCAGAGCAGCACCGAGAGTTGAAAGAGCGAACTAACGGTAAAAGGTTTGAAGGGGACCTCTGGCTATGCAAAACCTTCTTCATTATTCAATTCCTTTTTGTCTGTTTGCCAGCTGTAAAGTGTTTGAAGTGGCCCAGCCTTGAGAGGAGGCGTTTACACTGACAATGGTTTGAAGTACTGTAAGGCCACTCTGGTGTGTAGAAGCACACACGGCCTCGCTGCGTAAGATAACACGGCAAATATATTAATGCTAAGACGCTCTGGAAAGACATTACTCATTCGAGGCCATGAGAGAATTGTGAAAGCATTGCTCAAAGGCAATACTCAAAGCCAACACTCCCAACAGCTCGAGACAGGTAGTTTCTATGGTACTGAAGACAGAATCAACAACACAGTCTTCAGATGACAGCTGTTGGCCAAAGACGTGTTGTTTTTTCTCGCTGGAACATACCGTCATGAGCTCCTATAAGTGTCTATAGAAACATTTTTCTAACACAACTGTAGTAATGAGTTTTAAGTGAAATAAAGGCATCTTTATGCCTGCACAACATGCCTGTAGTTGCAGCTCCGGCTCTAAAGAGAGTGGTGATGTTGAACATGTGAAGGCAGCAGGGAATAGACACATCCATGCACATCTGCAATCACAGTGTTCTCAATTATGTCCATGATTTATCTTTAATCAAGCTCGCCTCAGGTTCTATTAGCTGGAGTAAAAATATCAAAATTTAATTAGAGGGTTGTGAGTAATCTAATGTTGCATTCCAGTTACTTTGGAAGTCGGCTGTCGGAACTGGGAATGAAGTTGCACTCGAGTTGACGATGTTTCAGTAACCAAGTCAGAAAACCAAGATGGACACCTACTGATAGCCGTTGTCAGCTGTTGTTAGTTGTTGTTAGTTGTTGTTGTTAGCTATACCAGTTGTAAACAACGCATAACAGTATCTTACACCATAACACCGTGTTCACAGTTAGACGTTGGGCAGTACAACATATACTGTACCACTTATTTAATTTCACAAAAACAAAACAGAAGTGCCAATAAATAAAACATTATGAGAGCTTTCATTGTTACCGTTTTTGTTGATGCAATGCGCTGCCATCTTGGATTATGACGTTGTCGTCTACTCGGGGTTGGTGAGGATCGTCCAACTTTCTGAATCCGAAATCCGACTTCAAGGGGGTGTTCCAGATGAATTTTGAAACTTGATGAAACTTGATACAGCCTATGGGCGTACAAAGATTGCGTAGCTCACCTGGGGGATACTCTGTTTGAGCCGAGCATCATTACAACTCTCCCGCCGGAGAGCAATTCGGCTTCAAATTCGTATCATGAAGGAAGGCGGAACCAAGTTGTCCATAGTATATACGGTCTATGGGCACATATTACACACCATCCGAGAGTTTCCTTTTTACTAGGGTATAATTGTCTTGTACTGGTGCAAATACAGTTATCATTATGTAATCTCTATACTGATTATGCAGTTACAATTGCAACTCTTGCAACAACCATACCAGGGCCATCAATGTGCACTGTGGCTGAATACTCAGACAAGAGCATGACGTCTCAAAAAGACCAGATACCAAAGGGAGTCAAACGAACCTAAGTTGCATTTGAAAAGACCTTCTTTTTTATCTGGCAACTTGCAGTTTTTTGAGCTGAGTAGCATCAAAGAAAGTTGACCCAGGCGTCCCCTGATCTGATGACTTGGCAAGGGTCGACTGTGACAGCTAGACAACTGAGAGCATCTCCAGAGCTGAAGCACTTGTAGGGTGTTGAGTCTAAGAGAGGCCAGGACTCAGTGATGTGCTGTTTTGTGTGGCCTGATCCAAGAGAAGAGTTTCAGGAGTCAAACTATGCTTTCATTTTGAAGTATACTAGTAAACTCAGTCATTATTAACACCTTTAAATTGCAACAGGGTCAAAAATAACTCCTTTATGTTGAAAATGGTCTTGGTTACATAAATACTCACACACATTGACTTAGTTTTTACACCTGGCAGACACACGCACACTTAAGGTGGTGTGAAAGCGTGTGACGGGAGCTCGGAGGATTCACAGGGGGGCCTTTCCCTCTCAGGTGTGATTTACAACCTCAGAGTATGGCTCCTGTTTTCACAGTGCTAATTACAGACAAACACACTCGCGCGGACACACACACTCGCAGAGCCTTGGGCAGGTCGGTTTGGTATCCAAGAAGAAAAAAAAAAACTTACTCAGCGTAAAAAAGCCTCATCAGAAGTGCGTCCTCACGAGTCTGGACTCGGCAGCGGTGTCTAGCGTGCCGGTTTTTAACTCAGCCTCTGCTTTTGTCTGAGAATGGATATGTTGTTTTCATCCACGCAGAATTAATGAAGTTGTGTTTTACAATCGCAGCCAGAGAGGCTTTATTCCTCGGACAAACTTTCAGCTTTCTTTGGCCGTCATTTCTGCGAGTCTGTTCTGAGTTAACATGTTAGCTTGTTTGTATTTTGTCTCTCCTGCTTTGCACAAATGATGACCATACTTTGGCATAACAAGCAGCAGGAAGCACACTCGGAGTGACCCCGCTGCTCAGAGGAGACCTGAGTAAACCGAGCGACGAGTGGGCTGGATGTAGCACTTAGCCATTTCACAGAGGAAGATCTCAGCGGCTCTCTTCACACTGTCGCCATAGTAATTACAGCCATCGCAACGCCTGACTGTCCAGCATAGAATTAGTGACACGAGGTAGGAGGGACACAGGATGCCCTGAGGACGCAGCATGACTTTGTCTTCTAATTCTGGGATTAAGCTGACTTGTAAAAGGGCCTGTTATTAGAAAAAATGTCGCATTTTAATAGCGGCTTTGTGATTAAAGAATAGATGAACGCAGATGTACATGTGCGCGATTACATTAGAAAGCAGCAGAGATGTCGAGACGGTCCAGTGTGTGCATGGGTGTGTGTAACATCTGTCCATTAACCACATACCTAAAAGACAGGACGCAGATTACTTTCAAGCTCAAAGACCTGACTCAGTAGAAGCACTTCAGAGAACCTCCACCAGTATTGAATGTTACACTCGTGATTAAAACCAGAGAGTAAACCAAAAGGTTGCATGAACTTTGAGTAGGTTTCTTTGATCGCAGAGTCTGTTTTCAAGTGAGAGAAGAGGCCAGATTTGAAGGCACAGATGCTTCAGATTAACAATGTTTCTAACTGGCTTTGTGTGCTGTGTGTGTTTTTATATTTAGAGGTGCTCGGGACCGAGACTCCGTTAACCAAAAGACCAGCCATAGAGGCTTTGAACCGGCAGGAGTTGGCCAGGATACAATACATGAACCAGCTCAAAACCAAGATGAAGACGCAGGTGGACCCAAGAGTCCCACAAGTGCCTCAGGTTAGAAAATTCAAGAGTTATTAAAAACTATTTTGGTGTTCTCTGTATTTTCTGCTGGTGTTATGTCAGCCTGTCTAAAGCAGGCGGTGACAAAGGTCAACCATGTGCTGTGTCAGGAACAGTTCCTGATGCAGTGGTGCCCTCCTCTGGACTCACACTCGGTGAGAGAAACACACACGTATAGACACACATATCAACATATGGACATGTTTATTTAGTAACTGGCTGCACATGGGCGTCCACAGTTACATAAATCATAACTGCTGCATATCTAATCCCAACTATGACCCTTTTTTATCCCACACATCTGTTTTCTCACTGACTACTGTATCCGCACACCCAACAGGTTTACTTTTCATGCATGTTTCATGCACAGCTCTGCTCTGTTATTACAGGATGATGTATGAAATGCTCATAATAACAGATTTAGTTAGTCGTCAAGGAATGTAAACCTGATTTTTAATAAAAATAGAGCAAAAGGAAAGGGTTCAATGTTGGAATTGAAAATACATATATTAGGGGTGGAAAAAAAACTGATTCACATAAGCATCACAATTTGGGGGGAAAATATGGTTCCTGGAATAGTCTGTAGACAATCATAATCATTCAGCTGTTTCACTGGTGTTTAAAATGCAGACTAAAGTTCAAGAAAATCGACTATATTGTTGAATCACGATTTAAATAGAATTGGCATTCAACAAATCATAGAAGAATCGAATCAAGAGAAAAGCATATCAACCCAGCCCTAACATATATATGGTTTTATGTTAAATAAAAGCTCAGTTTAAGTTTGATATGACAAACATCCCCACCTGTGCTGTTAAGCATTGATTGTGTCTGCACACGTGTGGAAGCTGTCCATGATAAAGAGGAGGAGAGGGAATCTAAAAAGAGTCTGAAATGTTGATTAATCGAACCACAGCAGTGAGATGTGTTCGCAGAAAACTGTTTTTAGAAATAATTTTGAGTCAATGCAGGGAACTCCACTACAGAGTCATGTCTGTTTTTACTGCAGAGTCATGATTCTCTGAATCCTTTAGTGATATTTTGCGTGTAAGATGATAAAATACATAAATTCTTTGCTGTTTGATCTTAAAATGTTGAGCTATTTGCTCTTGCGGTCTTTTACAATTTCTCAGTGAACCTTTGTGAAATACCTGTTTCACATCCAATCATGTTACTGACTCTTTTGCAAATCAACCTAAATCACATATTTTTAGTTGCTACTTTCAGTTCAATAAGGTTTAAATAGCCATGTTTGCATGGGCACAAATTATCGGAATAAATGCTCAATTGGAATAAAAATGCGTCATGTTAACATGTCGATTGCAAGATTCTGATCCAATTTGGCTCAATCGTAAAGAAATTGTATTCCGACCGAGAGGGGTGGTCGATTGTAATTCTGAAACACATCTATTCTGATTGTGACTCTCTTACCTGACTCAATCTTCACTCTTTAGCCTTTGGTTTATTTATCGAGGTCAGTTCAGGAGGTTTCATTATTAACACTCTGGCACAAAACACAACCGCAGATGCCGTGTCTGCTCCTCCGATAATATAACAAGGCGTACATACAACGTAATGATGTCATCTGCACGCACAGTGCAACCTTTGACAGGACAGTAATATAAGAATGCAAGGGCGCCATCTAGTGACAACATTTAACAAGGGGGAAAACTCCTGAATTTAATGGAGTGAGCCACGACTGTTTGTTGGTTTGTTGACAGCACAGGCGGAAATGCAACTCTTCTTCTTCTGTGGTTGTTTTAGCGAAATTAGACAACTCTGCGTATGTCCAAATGCTTCTAATCTGAATAAGACTCGGTGTATGTATACACACATCATGATCAGATTATTTGATTTTGCACACTCATAAACAGTGGATTCAGATTATCGGATCCCTCAAATTTTTAATCGGATCAAGAAATTTTGCACATGTCAACATGGCTAATCATTTGCAAACAGTCAACATCAGCCTCCTTGGATCTCTGTGATTTTTTCATTAATATATCCAGTTATGAATAAAGTTGTCCAAGCAGCATGAGCTCCATTCACACAAAGCCGTCTTACATGCATTAATTGCTCACAAAGAGCATCTCGATGGCGCGGACTGATATTGTTTTGCTATTCACAGTGGAATGCATGTTGGCAGTTTCATGTAGTCTATAGATTGAAACCCCCCTGCTCCCCATTCTCCAACATTCACTCAACATTTCACAGTTTCAAACACCGCTCTGCTAAGTAATAACAGTTCCTAGTAAAGCCTCGACGGTATGACGTCCAAAACACAGATATTTTCTTTCTGTTTCATGCAAATGAGCTTGGGTCCTGGGGGCTGCGCATGAGGAGGCCCACGTATGTCTCAACCTGGCAGACAATTACATGTGTATTTGCTCATTTTCTCCCTCACTTAACTCGCTCGCTCGCAGCAAAACAAAACAAAATAAAACAACAAATCACAAGCGGGGACGGTCAAAACAATAGCCAGGATCATTAGAAGTAACAAAAGAAGGAATTTACTAAAAGGAGTCATGCAGCTGGGCGGGGGGAGAAGTTCAGACAGCTGGTGTTAAGCATGGATGCACTTCATTGTGGGTGGCCGTGTGAGGTCAAATGCTGTACACAAAGTGCATGCTGGGCTATCAGAGCTGTGCTAATGTGGGTTTTGTCACCTGCTGTATTTTCTTTTTAACGTTCTATGAAGTTAACGAGTTAAAGTCTGAAAAACGGAGGTATCATCTGCCAGCTGTGTTGGAGTTTCATCCCCATCTTCTTTACTAGCCGTCTTATGATGCACTCAGACCAGATGCATTTTATTTACGACTATCAGGTACTGAGTTTACAGGTGAGTAGGACCCCTACAGGATGCCGAGGGGTCTTGTGTCATCCTGTAAGGACTGATGGTCCTACAGAGAGAGAGAGAAAGACTAATGCAGAAGTATTTTAACAGATGTGTCTTCTCCACCAGCTCTCCTTTTTTCAGCTTTTTATTTTTGACGTAACTTTCAAACCCACAGAAGTTTCAACTTTCATTGTTGTCGCTATTATCACTACAGTATGTTTATATGGTCATGTACTGAATGCTTTCTGCAGAACAACTGACAGAAGAGACGACAGCATCCTGCATGAGTCACGATACTAATGCAGACTATCTATATGAAGATTCAGTGCAATTTCAATTTGATTCAAAAGGCTTTATTAAAACATGTGAACAAAAATATGGCAATAAAAAAACGCAAAAAAAGTACCAAAATGTAGATATTTGGAGAAACAGTCGATACACAGCTGTGCAGAATTACAGCATTGTTGTGTTCGCTAATAAATAAAGTTTAAAATTAAAGATAAAAGTGATTTTGCTCTTAGAAATATAGATATATGTACTAGATGTAAGAGGAAACTCAGTTTATAATACACATAGGAGTATAAATAAATGTTTGACTACAATTAAAGTTACAACACTTCATATTTTTGTCTAGATTATGTTTTAAATCTATGCGCAGTATGTATATAAAGTGATGTTAGTGCAGGTGACCAGATCTGTCTACATGTCTACCTCTTTATATCTGTTTTTCTCCACCACATTATCGAACATCCTTTAGGTAGTCAAAAAAAACAAAAAACGTAAAAAAATAAATAAATAAAATAAAAAGGCAGAATTTTTGACAGTTTTGTAAATTATATTTAATTAAAAATAAAACCAATTCCAGAGGGCCTTAGAGTGTGCTTAATATGCAACCCTGGGCCAAGTGATCAGGAACTTAATCTGCTCTGAACACACAAAATATCCACAAATGTACTCGGTTTAAAATGCAAACAACCACCAAGTTATATCATGATTTAAACAAACTATTTGTTGTATTTTTCAACTTAACGTGAAACTCTTTTTGCATATTTGTGATGAAGAACAGTGGAGGATTGTGTTCCCTGATTCTCACATTGTAAAGTGATCTGAAGCCATGAAACAAACGGTGGCGTGGACCTGACCTTACAACAGCAGTAAAACTTCAGAATTGTACTTCTGTAGGTGTAGGTTAGTGTGTTCATTCATGATGAAAGAGTGTAAGATTGAGTGTGACGGAGAGAAAAAGAAAGAAAGAGAGGAAAAAGAGAAAGGGCACTTTCATCCATATGTTCAGATGTCTGATAAGGTTCATGGCAGAGCGCACCTCCCTCTGCCCTTTTCTCTCATCCTCATCCAACTAATCATAAGACTGGACCTCTTTGATCCCACTGGCAGCCTGATACACTCTGTGTGTGTGTGTGCGGATGTGTGTGTGTGTGGGTGTGTGTAACAGGAAAGTTTGTGTTTGTCTTTGTGTGTAAATGCACCTGGATATAAGTGTGTACATTCAAGGGGAACAATGCGCATGTATTCACGTAACTGTAACATGTGTCTGCACAGGTCTGAGTGTGTGTGTGCGTGCATGTGTGCGTGTGTGTGTGTGTGTGTGTGTGTGTGAACGGCCACCTGCTGAGTTAAGCAGTCTAGCCCCTCATGTTCCACTCCGGCAGACTCACATCAATAACACCGGCTGAACTTTCTGCTCGCTAACCACACCTCATAAAGAAGTTCGTTATAAATGCGTATTTGTGACATTTTTATAAGTTACTCCAACGTATTTTATTTCACTCTTCTTATTCTTGGACTGAGAGCAGATCTGCCATCAGACAGGAGTCACACTTACTGTACTTCTCTGCTCCTGTTTTGGAAATTTACTGCTCAGAAAGTAACACCAGTATTATTAGTTCTATCGTTATTAAAGTCTAAAGGTTTGATTCTCGTCCTCTGTTCTCAGAGCGCCTGTCAGCTGGAGCTGGATAAGGTCTTGGAGGAGATCTCCAAAATGACCTCGGAGGATAACAGAGGCCCGCTGGAGAACCTGTACGTGCTCAAGTTTCCAAACTGTGACAAATATGGACTGTACAACCTCAAACAGGTGAGCCAAGAAGACTACACCAGTATGGGAACACGCCCCCATCTTCTACTCGACCTTTGACATCCTGTACCAGTTCTGGTGGTGCTATGTTACATAAAAGTTCTGCTTTCTATAATGCATTGTGTAAAAAAAGTGCAAAGGTTGACTTAATGTGCTGCTCCTTCAAATATTTGCTCTCCAGCGTGCTTATTTTGTAACAGGAGAAGAAAAACTGTTTTTCTTGGGTCGTGTTCGGGGGATTTTTTCAAAGATTTAAGATCACAGTTGCAGGAAAAGGGCAGAGATTTGAGGAAAATGTCAATACAATAACACAAATGTCATGATCTATAAACATTGTGTCAGCCCTGGCTCCGAGAGAGACGACTCTGACTGAAACTGGCTCTTGATACTGCGTGTTTTGTTCCCCCTGGAAAAGTCCTCCGTTCTCAGTCATCCAGATTAGCTGATTGGTTTGTCATTTTCATGTCAGAGTGAACCGGTCTTTTCTTAGCTGAAATACACAGCGGGAAACTATCACCCCACATGGGTGGAAACTCAGCAGAATGTCACAGCGCTGGTCACACCCTCATCAGTGAAATCACAGCAGGTGTTTTCCATCTGCTGTCAGAGGAAAAACACCTGCTGTGACGTTACTCACTTCGGTTTTAGAGCAGGCTTCGACACATTTTCTTTTTCCTATTGTGTTTTATAAAGATGGGGTTTCAATCTATTTGTTTTGTACTTAAATGTCTTAGTTAAAAACAAACTCTGGGCTGTATTTGGACTGTCTAAAGAGCTTGTTTTACGACAATCTGAGCACTAACTTAAAGTCTTGTTTTTTTTACAAGTTCATATCTCATTTTTCTGATGCTACAGGTCATAGCTGAGTATTTCTGGATTCAAATTGCTTTGAATCTCTGGCAGACCCAAATGGCAGGTTCAGATACAGTGAGATTTCCTACGTCACAAATCCAAGCTCCGCCCCCCAGAGGCCACACTCGGAGAAGTAGCGATGACGATTGCCGAACAAACGTGTGCGTTAGTAAGAAAGCTGATTATTATATTACCTTTCATCATGTCCCCAAAGACATTAGTGCCTGAGAGCTGAATAACTCCTATGTTACCTGCTACTTCTACTACACTAAGGTGACCAGACGTCCCCGGTTTAAGGGTTTCGTGAATAAGAACAAAAATGTTGAGTGTAGACAAGAACAACGGCAGCTGGCTAGGTAGGAAGCACAAACGGCTCTGCTACCGAACTGCGGTAATTTCCAACATCCGCCAATTTCTACAGGATGGGTTTATGAGGCGAATTTCATGGTGGAATTTGGACAGTGAGTCCAGTAAGTTGGAATTGCAAGAATTCACAAGAACCCGCGGATTGACATGCAACCGCGTGGTAAAGAGTTGTCTCTATCAAGACAGCCACATAACCATATAAGCAGTATATGCGCTGCTACAAAGTAGTACCTCAGTAGGATTTTATTACAGAAATGTGGTCACCTTATACTACACTGTCAATGTTAAGCTGCAAGCTAGTGTGAAGAGCAGCGTTGTCTACGCCCACGACTCAGAGGCGAATTGCTAATGAGTTACTGGAGCTCTGCAGAAGAAAAGCTCTTGAAATTGACACAGGTAACGTGATTTTGGCTAAAAACTTCATAATCACAATTTAAAGACAAGTAGTTTGAAAAAAACAAAACAATCAGAGTGGGACTTTAAGGCACAACATGAACCAAGCCAATTAGCTTGTCGCCTGCAGGCTAGCTAGCATGCTACTTTTTACACGACCTGGTGGAGAAGTGAGGATGTCAGGAGCTAGGGTGACCATATGTCCTCTTTTACCCAGACATGTCCCCTTTTTGTCAGATTCGAGTTCATGTCACATGGACTTACTGAGCTACAAGTGCGTAAAAGACACTCGAGTCAACCCGAAAAACTCTCAAAATTAACTATGCACGACTCTGTGACTCGACCCTTGCGTAGTCGTGTCCTCTGCAAAAAGTGACTTGTTTCTATTAGGTACAAGTCTCTCTCCCTAGTCTGTCTGCACTCGCCATGATGGCTTGCAGGGTTTGCGAATTCACCCTCATTTTGCTGGACTCCCAACCCCAGGAGGAGGTGAGTGCTGCAAAAGACAAAAAAGTGACAGTGTTCATTTTAGAAATCCTTCGTTAAACAGGGAAGACTATTATTATTCTGTGACTCATCCATCACCTCCAACCCCCGTCCTCTTGCTTTAAACCTCTTCACCAGAAACAACCCCGAACACCTCGAGTGTCATATTTGTGAAGAGCGGGGCGCTGACGTCGTCGTCGTCGCCGCCGCCGCCGCCGCTGCCGTGTTTGATGAGTTGGGAGTGAGAACAGGCTGAATTTGTCTTTCACACACACTCATGCACACTGTATCATTTGGTTCAGCTCCCCTTGGATTTCCCCTCTCTTCTTTTTCACACAAACACACACCCACACAAACCTCTGTTGTATCAGGCTGGCAAAATCACCCTGTAAAAAAAAAAATATAACCTCCCCCCCTCCTCACTCCCACCTGCCACCCCTTTTAACAAAACTCCCCCTCCCCCGTCTCTCTCTCTTTTTTTTTTTATAAACTCGCACACATCCTCCTTTTTCTTCACACACACACACACACACACACAAATGTGTGGGGAGATGTTGTCATCATGAATGAGGCAACAGCTTCTGAGCTCAAGGTTACAAGGCAATAAAACTGTTTGGCGTACTTCATGGGAAGACTTTTGTTCAGCCGAGGAACGAACCGTGGTTCCGATTTGAATTCTGCTCATCCATAGAAATCAGACAGAGGAGGACAAACAAGGTCACATTTCCAGCGTTTTCTTACGAGGATAGTAGAGCAGAAAAGAAGATTTGAATAGGCGCCACCATTTCCTAAAGCAGGGCTCTCAACCACTCAGCCAATTTTCATCACTGGTCACAAACAACAGCATTGTTGTTTCGGACTGGAGTCCTCAGTTCCCAGGGAGGAACACTGTACCTCCTCAACACTCGGCTCCTTTTTGGAGTTGTCCCTCCTTGTCGCGGGGTAATTACTGTAACTGTCACTTTTTTTGTTCTTTCTCATCGAAGGAAGAAAATGGAAAGTCTTTTCTTTCCCCCCAGCTCTTCATTCTTTTCGCCGTCCCCTCCGCTGCCGCCCCGCGTGCGCGGCGTAAACTGTGTCCACTTCAATTACGACCTCATTTCTGAGTAGAGGGGGCTCTGCGGGGGGGCCGGTCTGCTGGCATGCCTCTGTTTGTGTGTGTGTGTGTGTGTGTGTGTGTCTGTGATGGCATGTGTGGTTGTTGGTTGAGAGTTGGGGGCATGACCTGAGGATGGGCTGTTATTGGGCGAGGGTTGCCCCACCCAAAGCATGGCCCACGCTCTCGTCCAATGGCCCCCCGCCACAGGGAGATCCACAAGTACAAACACACACACACACACACACACACACACACATCTCGAGCGTGGGCCATGCTTCATTAATGCACCCCTCCTCCCCATTTCCCACTGTGCATCTTCACCCCTCCCTCTTTTTTCCTGTGTTTTCCAACTTAGAGTTTGTGTTTTTCTTCCCTCTCCCCAGTGCAACATGTCCACCCATGGCCAGCGGGGCGAGTGCTGGTGTGTTGACCCCTTGACCGGGGTCCAGATTCCAGCAACGCCCAAAGTCAGAGGGGACCCCAACTGTAACCAGTTTCACGAGGAGCAAAGACTGATGCCCACCGCAGCAGCAGTGACGGCGGCGTCGGCGGCGTCACAGTAACACAGTCCAGCACATGTGAGGGGGTTGGGCTTTGAGAGGAGTTTTCTCTTCGTATGTTGGAGTAGTCTGCGTTTTTTAAGGAATTGTCTCATTTATATTCACAAGATTTCTAGGATTGAAATATAGTTTAATCTTTAGTATCTACAAAGAAGAAAAAGTTCACATCCGTTTATTTTCTTTCTATCAATAAATTTCATACAAGACCAAAATCCAAAAACAGCAGGAATGTCTCTGAATGCTTTTCGTCTTTCCGTCTTTCAACCATATTTACTTTTCTCAAGGTGAGGTCCAATGACAGAAAAAGAGCCGAACAACCAACAAACATAAAAGTTAGCATGGAATAATGTAATTGTCTGGTCTAGTGAGGCTTTTTTGTCTGGACTTAAAGGGATATTTCAGTATTTTTGGAGGGTGTGTCCACAAACGGAGGAGCCCAAAAAAAAAAATGATGTCAGAACCAGCGTTGTTTTCGTTGACCAAAAATTTTTGTCAACGTCATCGTCAACAAAAACAACACTGCAGAATAAATGTTTAGCGTTTGACTGACGAAATGCTCATGAATTTCACAACTCTGTTCGTCGTCCACCATTAACGTTTTCGTCTAGTCTCGTCTCGTCAATGTAAACGCACATTCGTCTCGTCACATTTTAGTCATCTAAGACTTATCTTTAGCTCGTCGACGTCATGGGAAAAAAACAACACTGGTCAGAACAAACACTTTCACAGAGATAAGCGCTTGAGTTAGAGTCTCTTAAAGTTATCTAAAGCCTCATTCATATGTGCCCAGTTATTTTTAAAAACGGAGACATTAACCATCATTTGCACTCTTCATTTAGATGCAAACGAAGAATTCACCCCTGAAAACGATGCTTTTTAAAAAGTCCGGCCAGAGTGAAGATTTTGGAAAACTCAGTTTGCATGTAAATGGAGAAAAACAGAGATTCTAAGGAAGAGATGTTGTTGTTGTTATTGCTGCTGCTATGCTGGATTCTAATTGGCTAACGTTGGCTTGAGCTTCTCGCTACACTGCCCCCTACAGGTTTGGCATGCTCTTGACGGCCCTCTCGTTTTTTTTGTAAATGGAGAGGGTAAAATGTCTGTTTATGAAAATACCTGGGCACGTGTAAACATAGTGTCAGAGTTACTGTTGTTAGGTTCAGTAGTTTTGCATTGATCATGTGGAGATGGTTTGGCTTCGAAAAGACCGATATACAGACTCAATCTGCCAGTCAATTGAGAACGAAGATTATGAAAAGGATGTAAGTAAATGGAGAGGGTGAAATAACTTTTTATGAAAATAGCCGGGCACGTGTAAACATGGTCTAAGTTGGCAAAAACAGTAGCCTGACTAGGGTCTTGTTTCTATCAGCAGTTTAAAGGAATGAGTTGTGGTTGCAAGTACACTTAGTAATGACATGTAGCTCTTACAACTTCTGAAATATTCCTTTAAAGGAGAAAAATCTTCAGTACGATAAATCTTACTGGCAAAAAAAAACAGAATTTATAAAACATTTACTGACTAAAGTTGACAAGCCAACTGAAAACAATCGTAGCTTTATTCACAACCGTTCAATCACGAAGATAACAAAGCAAACCTTCCTTTTCTGCAAACGTACAGTCAGCACATCAGTCAAAAACTCAGAGACACTTTTATCGATGTCCCTGCCTCATGTCCTCCCTCATGGACATGACGACTCGATAGCGACACACTGGGACACGCCTTTTTATGATGACGTGTGTGTTCACAGAATTTTTAGTCACTTCTTGGGATTTGTTGACAATAAAAACGACCTAAAGCAAAAGTGTAACAAGCTAATTTTTCTTGGATCTCATAACAACAAAAAAAGTCAAAAACTTTCTCTGTTATATTAGCTGTTGTTTGAACTTAATCCTGGAGATTTCGCACATTCGTCAGCTTTAATGTGAGGCTGATGTCTGGGCGGGGCTAAACGTTGAGGTGCTTCTTGAGAATTTCACAGTCAGCGCCGCGGTGTAACCTTATTTTATATGTAAATACACGACATGCAGGTGATTAAGATTTTAATGATTCCATCTCGTGGAGGTTTCCAGTCGATGTGTCAGCTTTGCTTCTTACATTGTAAGCTGTAAATTCATTAAACTCCTCTTTGCTCTGACATGCACTGAAACACAGTCTGCTGTTGTTTGTTGTCTCTCTGATTGACAATTTTACGACGCTTCGCAGTAAAAAGCAACAAGTCAATTCAGCTCCAGATGTGCCTCTCCTCTGACACCCGTCGCCTCGGTCGGTTGGCTGTTGTTGTTGTTTGTCAGCAGTTTTCCCATCAGCACTTGTCAACTTCAAATTACTGTCGCCGGGGAAAAAATTGCACTCACGGTAATAATGCGGGAAAAATTGCTGCGCGGATCACTTTTCCTGTGACTGCTGTGTTTGCAGGGATGCACGAGTGTGTGTGTGTTTGTGTGTGTTTGCGTGTGTTTGCGTGTTTGCGAGCGTATCGCTGGGGAAACTAATGGAGTGTTGACAGAAGGAGGGATCGGGATGGAGGGCTGACACTGACAAATGCGATGCTAAGTGGGTAAAGGTGTCTATGAATAAACGCTACACGAGTAAGCGAACGCACGCGATTGCAGAAGCATACTTGAGGTCCAAACAGACGGGTGAAGGTGTGTTACTCATGCCCCCAACAAAAAGACACATTGGAGCCATTGTGGTAATGTGTTCAAGCGAGTACTTCTCCTGGCTTCGCTGGAACAATTCTCCCATTCCTGGGCTGTAAGCAATTCACTGTTATTGTCCCTCCGACAGGCAAACCCATCAATATGAGTTACGGATGACATGGAATGTTTTTGTCATATTTCAGAAATGTATCTATAATCTGTTACAGCCACTCTAAAAACATAGAGTAAGTTTATAATCCGGCAGATGCAGCAGAAACAGAGAGCTGTGTCAAGTCTCTCTCCGTTCCTGCGATGATTTCAGGGAGCGCTCCGAACGGCTCGCATGAGACTGAGAACGAGGATTTCATAACCTCCTGGCAGGTGCGCGGGTTCTTGATACGTTCTCATAAATCGAATTGATTCAGGGAATTTTTTTGCGGCGTGATCGTTCTCCAAACATAAAGAAGATTTACAAAGGGCGCTTAAATCTTCAGCTGGTACTAGCATTAGCTGACAGAGAGCTCTGAGGTCGTAAATCAGCCAGAAGTAGACATAAAGTAAAGAACTGCTGGGCTTGAAATGGACCTTTTGTACCTGGTAGCTCTGCTACTCCCGACTTTGAACAGAAGCAGTAATGATTAGAAAAGCCCGCTCCTCTTGGCGTTAGCTTAACTGATCAACCGCTAGGTACTGAATTAGCAAACGTTCTGCAGAGATATGATAAAAAAACAAGATGCACCACAAGTATTCGCACTTGTGCAAGTGCTTGCAAATGTATTTTGAGGTCACACAGATTCAGTTGAGGTACATGCATCCACAATAGTTGCAATCTCAAGTAATGTAAACGTGCAGGATAAAGCCTCGGTTGAACTGAGCACCTTAAAGCTACTGTGAGGGATTTTTAGACAGTCTTAAAACAGAAAGAAGAAGCTAAAAAAAACCTCTCTGACAGGAACTTTAAAGTCAAGAGTTTAGATTTCCTAAAGTTTCTCATGCCAGTTGTAATTGTTTTAGTGGAGTCACTGAACATGGAGTCGAGTCTGGAGTCTTCAGTGACAGAGACCGAGTCACCAGAGAGGAATTCACCTGGGTCTGATCACTGATGGTGTGACAGTCTCAAAAATACTTCCAGCCAAATTTTTAGCTGGGATTTCCACTGCATCCAGAATGGCGGCGATTTTTGCTCCACACCAATTCCTACTGGATCCGTTTGTGAAGCGAATTTCCTGGCGGATTACGGACAGCAGGGATTGCGAGAACTCACAAGAACCCGCGGATTCATGTGCAATTGTTTGATAACAAGTTGATAACAAGCAGTAGATTGTGTCCTTCCAGAGGAGGAAATCTAGACTTCTAGAATCAGCATCTCCTCATCCATGGTGTCATCGGGTTGAAATGCTGTCTATAAACCTTTCACTTGTTCGTCCTCGCCTGTTTGCATGGTGTGAAATACGATCCGCCTGAAACACAGAGTGTTTTATTTTGAAAAGAAGCCACATGTTTTATTTTGTGTCTGTGCCCGACTTCCTTTCCAGCACGGGTTAATCTGTGCTGAATTTATCCAGCATGCTCCGGCGATCAGAAAAAATTGTGATCAGCTGCGGAGTCCAGCGATCCGCAGCGGAACGGAAAGAAGCCCGTGGAAATTGACACATTAACTTGAATGGTTACGATCAGCTATGATCGGCAGATTCGGCCTTTTTGTAGCCGCTCCGGATGCGATGGAAATTGGGGGTTAGAGTTAAACAAGCAACAGTCCGGGTAACTTTACTATTTACTGATCTTACTGTACCTGGAGAGATCTCTGTTGTAGTTTTAACTTGTTCCCCTTTAACTAAGTATTTTTTTACGTATCCAACATGTTGCTCATAATGTCTCTTTATCCAAACAGGAACTTTAGCTGGAGGAGATACAGAGACATGAACGAAAGTGACTATAACTTCATAAACATGTCCTCTTCATCCTTCCTGATCAAATCAGTGCTTTAGTTTCAGTACAAGTCCGAGTCATCACGAGTTAAGCTACAATGGAGTCAATTGATCCTGAAAACCAGGACTTGTGTCCCGGACATGGACTACAGCACTACGACACTGCAACACTGCACTTTGGCTGATGTTCGTGACACAGTTTGAACTCAAAAAAGAGTTTTTTTTTTCTTTTTTCGGGGACCTTTGAAGGAGTTCTGAATCGGCCATGAGAAGCTTCCCACGGGGAGAAAATTCACGTGACATCTGAGCGCTGTATTAAGACAGACTTACGAATAAAAGTCCCATAATCCACTTCAGCAGAGTAAGTCGGAGAAGAAAACGGCACGTCTGAAAGATTTTCCACCAACTGAGTGAGATTTCTGAATCTTCAGGGGAGTCATGTCAGAGTGTTTTTTTATGTCGTACAGCCCGGGTACATTAAATTTACGGCCGAAATTGCAAACACTTGCAGGAGTCACCATTCATTTGCAATCAAAATGATTCAGGACCAGAGTGTAAAGAAACACCTCTTTGAAGTCGTGGCCAAACGTGTATCATATGAGACCACTCCTGACTGGCTTTGGCCCTGCAACCTTATCCATGTGCCAGTTAGCTGAGCACAAGTCCCAGAAACACTCCTTCAACCACAGCGCTGCTGCTGCTTTGTTCAGGATCTGTGACACGCTGTTTTTTCCGTCTGGATTCTCCTTATTTTGTCTTAATAATGCTTTTTTTTTTTGGCAGGGGGCTCACTTTAAAAATTTGACAGCTTGGCTTGGTGTCACACATGGATCTCAGGCGTCCCCGGGCACTTTTAATGGTAGCTCGAAGCTGGCCTTTTCTGAAAACAAATCAAAACAAGTGTCTTTTGTTTTGGGTTTGATAGATCAGGCACAATGGGCCGAGGAGGGTAGTTTCACAGTGGGAATAAGAGTGGGGGTGAGTATGTGTGGTTGCGTGATTGTGTCTGTGTGTGTATGTGCAAAAGCACATGTGCGTGTACTGGCCTACAGAGCCCAAGATCTGCCCTACTTTCAGGGAAGTATTTCTTTTGTTAGCATTCAACAACTTCCCTTGATATGTTGATGGTGGGTCTAAGACTCACGGAAGCTGTACTTTGTTGAATGTTAACAAAATAATTGTTGTTTTATCTTTGTTCAAATGACAAGGTGCTCCAGCGTTAACAGGAAGTACACCAGTAGAGACATTTAGCTTTGAATACGGACAAAGGAGCCGAGTATTATGTTTCAACGTAGGAAGGCTGATAAAAACGTCTATGCAAAAACAGATTGTGTAAGTGAGGCTACATGAGGTAGAGCAAAAACCGGACCTCCCTATAGTCTGGGACGGCTGACAGCGAAATGTTTAGGTGGGATTATTTTCCTGCAAAAAGGGGGAAGAAGACAATAACATGGTAGCAAACTAAATCCACGCCTGAGTTTGAGTCAAATCCAGAAGAAGAAGCTTAAATCATGAGCTTTGTTTATTTACATACAGACAGAATAATGGCCGTATGTAGAACATCCTCTGACTTAGATGCACCTTGTTGGTGATCATAGGCGTGCACACAAAGCAGTTTTTTTAACGGTTTGGAAATAAAGTGGAAAGATTGGTCATTTCTATACATCAAATGTTCGGTTTTAAGGGTGAAAAGGCATCAGGCAGGTCACAGAGTCGTCGGTACATCAGCAGATCGCTCAGACATTTACCTCCTACATGTCTGATTGGTAAATGTCAAAGTGGGTGTTGAAGTTAAAGTGCTCTATCCTGCTCCCACTCAGCTCTGCAACCCCAGCTCCTTTGTTTAATACACCCTGCAAAAATGTGTCTATAGATTTGTCAAGTTGCTCAGGCGGTCACAACAAAAAGGGAAGATACACACCGTGTATAAGATTCTAAACCCATCTTTATTACATCAAATTAGACCAAATTAGAATATCCAAAAAATGAGGTGTGTGTAAGTTGTGCATGAGTGGAAGGTAGGTGTATGTGTGCAACGGTGTTATACAAAGCAAACAAACTATAACTAAACCAAAGGAAAGCAAAGCCAAACAGCTGTAAGGAGGCCAAGGAGAAAAGGGAGGAATGAGAGGAACTGTGGGAGCTTAAATACCCCCAGCACTCAGGGCCCAGGTGTGCATGATTACTCTGATTGGTGTGCAGAGAGAAACCAACAAGACACACCTCTAACAGCAGCATGCCCTTATAGACGGGTTTCTGTGCAGTGTTTTTCAGATTTTTGTGCAATGAAAGACAAAACAATTTTTCAATGAAATGACATTTTATTGCAATTGTGTCAAAGAGAACTTGCAAACAATACGGCATCTTCATTGATATCAGTTCACTCCAAAGCAGGCTTTTGCCCCATGGTTGAGCACCTAGTATTGTTTGTACACAAGAAACCCGTCTATAAGGCAGGGGAGTCAAAAAGACAGTAGTGATGGGCACGGCAGTTCTTTTAGATGTACTGAATCACTAGAATCAGTTCACTAAAAAGATTTGTTTAAAAGATTCGTTCACCAAATCACCGAATCACTTAACTCCTGGTGGGAGAGGCCTTCGAACCTCCTGAACTGATCCACAGCTGAACGTTTCAGGAATCAGTTCAGATCATAGTTTCTGGGACCGGGAGACGAGAGTGTTTGTCTGTGTTGCTTTGGCAAAAGTCATGATGTTTTAAGTGTACTGTCCTATTGCATGCCATTTATCAGGTCTGCTCAGTAAATTGGGCTCCGTGAGTGATTCGTTCACTGAACATTTAGAAGAATCACAATGAACATGCACCGTTCCCTCGCAAACCGCTGCAATGATCAGATGCTGCAGGTTTAATGCACTATTTGTTACATGGTGTCAATTTAGCAGTAAAGATTTTTTTTTAAAAGTAGTTTTGTCCGACAAAAATGATTCCAGATAAGTAGTTCAATGGCTGATTCGTTCACCAAGCGATTCAGGTGTCGGTGCACGTGAGTCCTCGTTCGCTGGCTGCTGGCCTGGCAATGCTGTTTCTCACTTCAGCTCAACTGAGGTGAGAAACGAACGAATCACTTGAGGAAGTGATTTGGTTCAGTATGTTCAATTAAAAGATTCGTTTCTTTTGAACGAATCGTTTGCGAAGGACACAACCCTTAAAGACAGAACAAATATAACTAAGTGTTACCAAATATAATGTAGAATAAAGGTAACTACTCCTTAACATATCGCTCAATGACTTTCTGTATTTATTACCTATTCAAGTTACAGAATATTACACTTTATAGATGTTGTTTTTTTTGAAGGCTAACTTTGACAAACTTGTCTCCATGTTTGGTGTCAAAATGCCGACATAGACTGTACTCTCCGGTTTTTATATTTGAAGCACAAACGTGTTTTTGCCTTCCCATCTTTTCTTGAAACCGTCTTCCATCTGCATCCATCTTCTCTTCCTGGATATTTTAGGATCATTTGTGAACATTTCAATCTCAATCTCACTCATTGCACTATGCGTATACATGATATACTGCAATCTAGTGGATGCTGTCACTTTGCAGATAAGACCAATACGCCTTTAGGCAGCATAGACCTATTTTAACACAGATTTTTAAGACCATTTAAACAGTCGCAGGTCACAAAAAATGGTATAGGGGCATCACAGCGTTCATTGGCTACCACAACAAGTCCTCACAGTCAGAAATCAACTCCTCAAAGTTCCCCAAGAGGAACTCCAGCAGTCCAGGGCCCTAAACAGTCCATGGCTTTCTCAAATGTCAAGTCCCCAGAGCCGAGAGTTCGCGACCAGTCACGGTTTGTCACCATGTTTGTGTTTACATATCCTCACATTCATCATTTTTAGCTTACGCAAACACCAATCAATACCCTGGACGCGTCCCTTTCCTGTTTTTGTGAGGAAACACATAAACACGCGGGATCGAATTTCTCTCGGCGAGCTACCTGATGAGAACTTTGAAAGCTGAACCAGGAAGACGATCCGTTAATCTGCCGCTGTGGATGTTTACACAGGACAATTTTCTTTGTAATTTTATCGTTTCCTTTTGTTCTCTAAATCAGTTAGTTCCTCTAACCTCAGGTTTGTTTACAGCTTGTGTGACCTTGTGTCCTTCTAGCCTTGCAGGACCTTTTTTCCATGACATGCTGTTGTTGCACGGGGGGATCTCAGCAAACACAGCTGATTGATTGAAACTCATTCTCGCGCTTGGATTGCTTTCAGACTTTTATTAATATTTTGACTAATTCTCCGCAGACCTGAGGTGAAATACAGCTGTGCAAAGTTTCTGACAATAACGCAGAGTTGCCAAAACAGACACATTATATCTGCGCCCTCAACTGCTTCTTCTATTGTTTGTGGGACGTCAAATCATAATCTCAACCTTTGTTTACCTGACATGCAGTTGTGGTTCTCACAGTCACATCCGATCCGCGCTGGAGAACCCACCATTTGGGATTCCGGGTCTTAGTCCGTGTTTGATGAAAGGGCTCAGATGAAAACTAGCAGACACTTGCCTGCCGTCTTCTACCACCGGCATCGGAGGATTCCACCGCTAAGTCGAGCGATTTACTCTCAACCGCTGTAAATTCTTCCAAATCTCCTTTCATCTCCGTCCCGGTGATGAAAAGAACCACCATTACCTCTTTTTAACAGATAGCGTTATGTACAGCCGGCGCAAGCAGTGATTTGCAGAGATCCTAATTATGCAGCGTAAACATCTGCGTGCCATTTGTACGCTAAATGCCCCATCATCGTTTCTAAAAGTCACATTTAATGACATGAGCCGTGGGCAAACCCGCGCACAAGCGAAACATCTCCGATTCTGTGACATTTGATTGAACGCCGCGAATCATAGAAAACGCTTTTGCAGAAATATGCAATCTGATTGGCTCGTGTGAACGGCAGTTAGAGTCGCGTTTCGATGGATGGAGGTGCGTGAGTTAATGTCAGACGGAGCCGTTCGACGTCGTTGGCCTAATTATGTAATAAAAGGAGCATAAATGCTTTGAAGTCCTAAGTGCAGTTGTCAGTTTCTTTGAAGGCAAATAGTAATTGTCATGTTCACTGCCTCACAAATCAAATCTTGTACACATGTTTTCTCCTCCCTGAAGTCAAAGTCAGTGCCCTCCCTGCTGCACACACACACATACACACACATGAACGCACACACACGTGAACACACCACAACAATCTTTACAGCAGCCTTGATCTGCGCTCTATACAGGAACTGCAGGGCCCTCCGTCCTTTCATGCCCTGCCTCAGTCACCCACATCTGGAGTTGGTCAAAGTCGTCGAGTCCCTGAGGTAAGATTTTGGTGCCCCCCCCCCCTAAAAAGAAAAGTCTCATTCTGTCACTTCCTGGAATCTGTGAAGGAATAAAAATCTCCAGACACCCCTCTGTGACGATACGCGCTCAGATCCTCAGATCCTGTCTGCGTTTCATCCTCAGAGATTAGCTGCTTTCTGCTCTTCTTACCTCGGCGACTGATCAGAATCGCTGCGCTGTACTTCGTCAGGGTTGGTCAGATCCAAGACTTACAATACTCGCATTTTGTAGACCAGGAGTCTCTAAACTGTGACCTCTGATCCCTTGTAGATTCGTTTTTTTACACTTGTAAAAAGTTTCTGCCTTTTCAATAATAACAATGAACTTTTTAAACACTTATTTTCTTTAATTCAAAATGTATTTGTAATTTCATTAACAATAACACGATTAACAATCACGATATGTTACACAGATGCTCCGAAAATCACCATTTTCTTGTCCTTTACTCACTTTCCATGAGCCCTAAGTTTGCTGAAATAGAAACATTAAAGTACAGATGTGTAAAAGGTAAAAATCCAGAGTTTTTCAGGTGACAGGTGAAGAAAACACCCAGCATCCCTGATCAGAAACATTTTTGTAGGCAGTTTCAGAGACTTGTATCAACGATTGAATATCATCAGGACCGTCTTAGAAGGGAATTTTCCAGCTTAACCAAAAGATTAGAAAATCTAGATTTAGTTATACGAGGATGAACTATCATCTGGTGATAGCTAACAACAATGTCACAGTGCTAGCTGCGGTTGTTGGCCAGCGACGTGTATTTTCCAAAGAGTTTATATTTAAAAAAGTCAGGTTTTTTTAAGCTTAGGGTCTATCGATTGTTCGTCTATTTAGTATGTTTACATCTTGTCTAAAAAATCTAAATACTGAGTTGGCCCGACTAAAACTGGACTTTTAAAATGCAGATTAAAATGTTTGTCCGCCTTAAATTGCACAAACAAACTCAGATAATGCAGGATGGATCTTCTCTGACATATTGGCGCCTTAACTGGACTAAAGTAGTCTGATCGTGCTCCAGAGTTTGCACTTCCTGCTTTGACCTAGAAGTTGGATCCATGTATTATCCGTCCATTCAATTATTCCGTTCAATCTAGTAAATGAAAAACGAGTCAATATTTTGATTATTTGTTTTTTCTATATAACCAAAAAATAAAAGATTAGTGTTTGTTTTCGTATTTTCAGCTCAAAACAGAATGGATAATAGAGAAGGAAATGAAAACAAAATAATAAATCTTATTTACATTTATTGATTTTGAGTGCGCCTGTTTTGAAGCTACATTGGCCTTCCCATGATCCTCAGCGACAGTTACCATGGCGAAAGACGCGACAGAGCGGTTCGAGCGCCAAAATCTTACGTTGTAACAGAGCTCTGGTTGTCATTTTTTCTACTGTCATATCTTCTTCCTTCAGCGTGACCCTCCTGGCGGCTTTGAATAATACATAGATGCGTCCATCTCCATGACAACAGGTTAGCCTTACTCTACCGCTCTGGCCTGGAGTTTTTGGTCCACGTTGTTGGCTACTTTGTTGCGCAATGTGGACCGAAAAGTAGAACATCAATAACCCGAAAACGAAAAGTAGATTTACTATTTTGTTTTCGTTTCCTTCTCTATTTTATATTCTGTTTTGAACTGAAAATACAGAAACAAACACTAATATTTTATTTTTTGGTTATACAGAAAAACAAACAAAATATTGACTCATTTTTTCTTTTTTCATTTGCTAGATTGAATGGAATAATTGAATGGACAGATAATACACAGACCAAGTTGAATGGCACATATGCCTGTTAGCGTCTTGTCGACTCATTTGTTGATTTAAAGTCTTTTATTTTTTACTTTAAAAAGTCTAAATGAACTGTAACTCTATCTAACAGGCTTGTACCTCTATGTGCATTAACATCTAGCAGCATGTGCATGTCTTTATGATAGGGTGTGAGTCCGCTCAGCCTCTAAGTGCTAATAAAGTTCGGGTTGCCATAACACGATGAAGCCTCCCCCGGGCTATAAATCTCTTCTCCTCAGTCATTTGAATCTTGAGCTGGTCCCGCTAAGATGTTATCCTCCCTTGAAGTTCAAACTCATTGCAAATGACTTCCTTGTTCCTGTGCAATCTTTTTTGACTACGGTGTTGAAAACCAGGTGACTTGCCCTCGGGCGAGGCTTTATAAAGTCACATCCTGCATGCTGCATGAGATCCTTGTGGGCTAGCCTGGGTGTCTCAGACTTATGTCTAAGAGGTTTATCAGCTCGTGCCTCGGAGATTAGTCAGCGCTTACTATCAGGATGATTGCACTTCAAACTGCTCTTTTCAAGCCAATTCAGTTGGCCGCTCGCTTCTTCTACAAAATGCAACGCTCGAAATGAAAAACCTTGCCCCAAGTGCTTAAATGAATACATAACTTTATTTAAATAAATGCTTTGTCATAACAAAAAAAGACAAAGGTTAAAAGAGTACATAAATTACAAGTTGAATAAATATTACACAGTGATATTCACTTTAATAATTTGAGATTTTTTGTCTTTTTTTTTTTTCTTATTCGTTTTATGTAGTTCCAAATACTGACCATTTTATTTCCCACTATCCTCCTGCCACCGATGGGTCTATTTCACAAGCCAGTAAACACCAAATTATGCAAACCAATCATATTGTTCTCATTACATCCAGAAAGTGTTATGTACTCAGAAAGATAGCTGTGCTGCTGTTACTGTGCTACTGTAGTCTGTAATGTGAATATGAGTTTCAACCAAGTAGGAGATGTGAAACCTGAGGAAGACACCGCGGAGTTTGAGCGGCGGAGTACAAACTTTGATTCTCTGCTATATTCCCCAGATTTCCATGCCTCCTGATAACTGTCTTGCTAACTGTAACTAATGTCATGCGATTGGTGACCCCGTGTCGGGGTAGTGGCTAGGCCCTGATTATGACCACTGCCCATGGCGCTTGCTTGCTAGCTTGCTTTTGCTCCTCCTCTTCCCTCTCTCTTCCATCCTTTTTCCCACTTCCCATCTCTGTGCAATTGGCCATAAGAACATCTCTACTTGTGTGTTACTTTTTGATCTATTTTTCCCCTAAAAGATGCTGCTGTAATGGAGGTCCCAGGCATGGGCTGCACAGCCCCTGTCAACAATTATTACCTCAAAGCACCACCTTTAAAAGGTAAGCACAAGATAACACAACATTTAGCTTTTGTGGCTGTTTTTTTTTTTTAAATCTTTTTGTTCCACTAACTTCATGAAACCACATCGTAGGACGTCGTTGTGTGTCAATATCAATAGTGAGTAACTGAAATAAGTGCAAGCTGCTTTTTTTTTTTTTTTTTTTCGAAAGTGGTAGTGGGGATTTGGTGTTGGAAGTGGGGCAAGAAGAGTAGATATATTCACAACTAGAGGCCGTTCAGGATGTCATCTCTCTCTCTCTTTTTTTTTTTTTATGCAGCAAAATAAATGCTTGTTTTTCTCCCGAGCATCCTTCAGGCCTCTTCTCTCTGGCAATCATAAACGTACATTGGCATTCACATGAAGAAAAAAAAAAGCATGAGTCTTAGCTTATTGGTTGTCGAAGAAAGAGAAGAGGGAGTCCCTCACACATCATTCTCGTCCAGAATTGCCCCGAGGTACAGGCGGAGAAAGTTAATAAATGCTTTTGCGATTCGTAGCTGACACCGTTTACAGGATCTACCACATTCAACATTCTCCTTTTAATAAGAACTACACCCCTCGATCGTTGTATCAAGTATCGGCCCCGACAGTCAAAGGGCTGTCTGAGAAAAGGAAATTGCCCCGTAGGATATCCATGTCACTTTCACGTCACTATTTAAATGTATTTCTTGTAGGAAGGCACTGTGACTTGCACACAGAGAGAACAACTCTTGTTAAATGACCCTGTTATAACCTGTAACCTTTGTGTTGTGATCACGCTCCTCCTCACGGGGAACGTGCGAGCAGAAGGGTTCAGAGGGTTAGCTTTGTTGACTTCCTGTCGTCGAAAGACTCAGGGTCAAGGACCTATTCAAATTCTTTACAGGCTAAAATCTTTTTTTTTTTTTGTTCCAAGCACAATTACATTGTTTTCATACTATGTTTCTACAAGGAAAACAACATTCAATAACTATATTTAAAAGTAATGTAATACACCATGGTTACACTGTAGTAGCAGTACTGAGGGGAAACCACTTGATCAAGGAACATGGCTCAAAAAGTGGGCGGTCTTTACTTCACTGAAGGCAAAGAAAACAGCACAAACAAAACCATACAAAACTACACTTCACACAACTGAATCAGAGAAGCAACTGGCCTGACTGGCAAGTTTTTTTTTTGATTATGCACTCAACTCGAAAAAAGATCGAAGTCCATCTTTGAGTCCCATCAGTTAAGCTGAAAACACTTTATTTCACGGGTAGAGTCGGCGCTCTCTAAGCTCTGTGTCGCCCTGCATGGCAGTGTCTGTTTAAATAGGCACAGTTGGCATATCAGGCTAGCTTCATCGTCGAAGAGCCACTTACATAGGTTCATCTGTGACAATCTGCTTATGTTTCCAAACACTCTCCTGTGTCCCGAGACATACTTTACATCGGATATAGAGAAGGCCAGCCCCAAGACCACTTCAAGCGCTAGCAATACTTGTTGTGACAAAAAATCAAACGAAAGAGAAAAAGAAAAAAAAAAAAAAACGGACATTCGTTTTTGTAATCGGCTCACTCCGTCATACACCAACACCGGCTGATACATAACACACACTCAAACTGTACACATACACGCATTCATACGCACACGTCATTTGTGAAGTTTACACATTTCTAAGCAGGTTCCCCTAGTCTTAAGTGCTCTGACAGAACCACATCTCCAGATAGAGTCAACTGTTACAGCGTTTCCCTATCTATTGTTCTTTTTTTCTTTTGGAAAACAGACAAAAAAACCAAATTACTCTGCCAATCCTCAGTCCCACAGTGGCATCATGTTCTGATCTGTTTTCAATCAATGTGCCTGGTACTGTTTTCTTCACAATGATCGTTTTTTTTTTTTTTAAGCTAATTTTACATCATACAAAGTGTTGTATTGAAACCCTCAGCTTCTATAAAAATATATCCATTGTGTGCATATATTTTCATGGATCTGCAGCCGGCGGTCCCATGAGCAACAGTCAAGGGATCTAATCTTCTGGGACTTTTACCCTCATTCGGAGATGAGTGCTTGGTCGACAACAGGTAAGAAAAGAAAAAAAAAGTCACAGGTGTCCCTTTTTCAGCCTGTCCTTTCGTTTGGATTTTTTTCTTCCTTTTTTTTTTTTCAACTTGGAAAAAAAAAATGAAACTCTTGAAGTGTACGGAGGGCGGAGCGTTCAGGTTTGATTCAGAGAGGAGGCGTGGGCCCTGGGTCACGTGGTGGTTGAGGGGTTTGGGGGGTGAAGGGGGGTGTATAGGGTGGTCCTCCCCCCCTGTTTCACTCGCTGTTGTTGTTGCTGCTGCTCTCCAGGTCTTTACACTGAATGTCCCCGCCGCTGTAGTCCGTGCCGGGGAGCTGAACGCCGTACTTGTCCACACACCAGCAGATGCCTCGTTTGCGGCCGCGGGATGGCTTGCACTGTGGGTCAAAAAACAAGATTTGCATTTAGGATGACGATGCATTTTAGTCAAGTTTCTTAAGTACGTCTTTGTATCTGAGACCAGCCCACCTGTTTGCGTTTGAAGAACCCTTTCCTGTCACAGTTGGGGAGGTACAAAGATAGAGCCATGACACGAGAGGTGTCCTTCATTCCCTGAATGATCCCGTCCAGTTTCCTCCTGCATGGGCCCTTTGGGAGGAGGAGACAGAAGAAGAGTTTTAGTTTGGAGTTCCACAGGGCTCAATACTTGGTCCTCTTTAATTCCTCATTTACTATAACACAACCTAAAATTAACCCTAACCCTAACGTGCAATATATGTTAAGTTTCATCTGCAAAATCCTACTCCAAATCGAGGATATATGAGGGTGTATATGTGAAGAAACTTGCGACAAAGGACTAGCTTATAGTGCGAGTAAACAAAGATGCGACTTGTAACCCCCAATTTTTTCTCCATTCGGAACTGCTCTGCCGGGAACGGCAGCGGTTTTCGCTGTCTGCTAATACTGGATCTGTTTGTTTGGGGAATTTCGTGGCAGATTACAGACAGTTGGAATCGCGAGAAATCACAAGATCCCACGGATTCACGTGCAATCGCGTGATAATGAGTTGTCTCTATGTCCCTCTAGAGGAGGAAATCTACTTCTAGACTTCTAGAATCAGCATCTCGTCATCTATAGTGTCATCGGGGTGAAATGCTGTCTACAAACCTTTCACTTGGTTCCCCCCCCCCCCCCCCCGTTTGCGTGGTGTAAAATACGATCCGCCTTTCCATCTTTGGAAAGATGCCGGCTGTTTTATTTTGTGTCTGTGCCCGACTTCCTTTCCAGCACGGGTTAATCTGTGCGGAATTTATCCGGCATACTGTGGCGTCCGGAAAAAATAAAACTCTTGTGATCATCTGCGGAGTCCGACGATCCGCAGTGGAACGGAAATAAGCCCGTGGAAATTGACACATTAACTTGAATCAGCTGCAATCGTCAGATAGGGCCTTTTCGTGGCAATTCCGGATGCAGTGAAAATCGGGGGTAACCCTAATGTGCAATATATCTTAAGTTTCAATCTGCGAAATCCTACTCTAGATTGAGGATATATGAGGTTTCTAGATGTGAAGAAACTCACAACAAAGGATGAGCTTAAAGCTGCGATTAGTAAGAATACTTACAAACTCGGGCTCATGCCTGTCGATGGGCAGAGGGGAGTAATCCAAGGGGGTGCCCATGGAGCGCTGCTTGCCCAGTTTCCTCTTCAGCTCCTTGCGCAGGGCGTGCACCTTTTTCGTGTTCACAATGTCTTTGTGGAGGAGTGGCACTTTAGCGGGCTGCAGCTCCTCTGTAATCTCTGTGGTTATGGCGTCCTCGTGTTCCCGGGACTCATGATCTGCACACATAAAAGAAATCACAATATGAGAAATCACATTTGAACCCGTTTTCGGTCCCATATCATTTTGTTTTTGAGTCTTTTTAAGCTCCATTTCATTCATGGGCTTCATGCTAACTTTGTCTGGCAGCGTTTTGCCTCGAACGGCTGGAGGACCGATTTGAAAAACTTGGAGCGCAAAGTCAAATCCCACTGAAAATAGTGATAAATTTGCAGCGATTTCTAACCCTCAAGTCTTTTCAAGTGTCTGCAAAGTCAAATGGCCCATTTCTCCACGATGCAAAACTTTATTTTCAACCGAACATAAAACAAGGAATGTCAAATATCTGCACAGAGGAGATAATGTCATGAAATATCTGTCATCGCAGACTCATCGTCAAACTTCGATTTTCAATATTTCAAAATCAAAAGCTTGCCATTATCTTTACGACAGCGCTTGAAATGATTTGCAGACTGACTCTCTGCATAAATCAGGTTTCGCTCGCACAAGTCGAATAGCAGGTGCTTTTCTCGGGGCTCGTGCCACCAACTGCTGCTTTCCATTTGTTTATAGAAGAGACCTGAAGACAGCTGATGAACTCCGACACCGGGACTCCAACACAGCTCCTCTCCTCGCACACACAATCCCACCTTCCACCTACATACATGCTCCATACGTAACAGTCGACCCCTCCGAAGACCTCTTTAAATTTTCCGAACATATCGTCGAGATATGTCGAAGCAGTTAAAGCCGCGCATAAATACAGACACATAGAAGCCAGGAGGCGCATATTTCTTTGCTCTCACAGCTCCACGACTTGGGAAAAGTGCATCACACGTTGCCAACGCTGTGCCTGGAAAATTTGCTCACACGTTATCTGGAGCGCTAAACTTCGACAGGGACTGGAGGCCTCTGAGTGCTGTTAACTTTACTGCGACGTGTCCCACATTAAACTGATTCAAATGTCAGACTGAGGAAAATCCACTCGCTCTGCGGGCTTGTATAAATGCTTGTACATTTCTGTCACATTTTATGCACCGATTCGACGCAATTCCAGCTCCCCCCAGGGGGCACTGCGGTCCCACAGACCTGAGAGTCCCCTCCTGATAGGATGTTCACAGGTTGAGGTCTTTTATCCCCCCCTCCTCCCACCCCTGGTCCTCTTCTATCTTTTGGGGGCTCAGCCTCTTAAGCCCGGACCCCCAGCCAGAGGTTCTTTGAGGCCACAGAAAGAAGCTCCCAGCTCCCCCCGTTGGCTTAGCTGTAGCATAAGTACAGAGTTATTGTGGGGACTTTGCCAGGCCCCAACTGGCCGGAGCGACGGTGCCAGTGGATGACCCTGGTTATATTTATCTGACAAGGAAACCCGCCATGGTGCTCAGGGCCAGACTCACTGAACCAGAGAGGAATGTCGGCTCCTGACTGCAGGCCAACTGCTGCAAAGAGACAAATCAACTTCCTCACTTGTAAAGCAGCATGAGAGAATAAGTTGGAAAATATGATCTTTTTTTTTTTCGTCTTTTTTTACAAGTCGCCATAACTTCCTCGAGCGGCCCTGTTAGTACACAGCCACCGCAGAGAAAGGCAGTGAGACGTTACAAGGACACAAGCTCTGAGAAACTGATGTTCAAAGAGCCTGACACAGCATGAGCGTCTGGAGTCTCTGGGAGGGGAAGGCAGGAGCGGGCGGGGGGGGGAGAGCAGGAGAGCAGGGGCGATGGGGCAGGGTGATTACCAGAATTGGGTCTTTGGCTTCTGTGCCGCACTACCGTCTCTTTGAAATTAATCTCACAACTCATGACTTGGCAGGCCTTGGTTTGTGTTTAGATATGTCCTTGTGTCTCCCCCGCTCAGACTACGAGGCTATGACTCGCTATAAATAAATACGTCAAACAAGCATTCCTATGTACACCATGCATGTGACCACTGTGGAAAAACTCTTTACGTCTGCTGCACAGAATAATCGTTTCTCAGGGCGCTTGATTAAAACGCCACATATTTGGCCGTGTTTTTTAACGTGCATTCTTGTTTCATTTGTAATCTCATTTGAGCGTATAAACGGCCAGACTTCAGTCAAATCAGAAAACACGCCTCTTTGGAGAATTTGGGATAGAGACGGTTTTATTTAGACGACTCCTTTTTTTCTCCTCCAGTCACAAAATCACCAGATTCATCTTTTCTGAAGTGGGCTCTTCGGTGCAGCCACAATACTCAGTTTTTCCATGCTCAGGGTATCCAGCTTGTAAAGGAGGCTTAGAGGGTCTGTGTTTAACTCCTGAAACTTGGCCAAGACGCTGGCCGGGCGCCAAGTGAGCCAAGTCATGTGCAGCTCTTCCATTCAGCCGAGCCCAAAGCTCTGCCGCTATCTCTCCCTCTCCCTCTCTTTCTCTCTCTCTCTCTCTCTCTCTCTCTTTCTCTCTCTCTCTCTGCTGAAGCTTAAGATTTCATTAGGACGAGAGGAGTGGAGTAGCCAAAGGAGGTGCACCTGATACTTCTCTGTTTAAAAATTAACATCTGCACACAATTATGCTTCATGAATATCCCAAGTTTCTTACAGGCAACAGCCCAAGCATGAAAGATAAGCTACCTCTTCTTTGGATCTCTTCCCTCTGCTGCATCTTTAAGACAATAATAATAACGTCTAAACGGCATAAAAAAAAAAGCAGAACAATAGATTCCCCCACCTTTCGTTTCATTTCCCGGCACTTCAACCACATTTGTTATGTCCTGCCCAGACTAAGTCTTAAATTACACCTTTACAAACGTGAGGGAGTCGTGAATAGAAGAGCTGTTTCATCTCAACAGGGGGTAGGACAAGATAATATAAGGATAACCGAGCCTGAGGGCCTGTGTCATAATAAGCACGACATAAGTAAACCATCCGTCAGCCTCAGGCTGCCTCTGCTACTTAATATTTGAAAGCAAGGCCACGGCCTGATAACCCTGCAGTTTCTGGAGCAGAGAGGGAGGTGTGAACGAACCTGTGGAGCCTTTCCAGCTCTCTGTGTGTGTTAGTGTGGGAGCCTGCAGCAGAAAATAAGCTCCTAATGGCAGAAGAAGTCAAAGTCAAAGAGAGAGCGTGCACAAAGCCAGGCTACATGAGTGAAAATATGAACCCGTGTCCATGATCTGGTTTGAGCACCCCCAAGTGTAAGGGATTTATGTTTTGACCCCGGTGTCCTGTTGTTTGGCTGGAATTTGTTGTTCTGAAAATGCAGGAAATAACTCTTCCCATGGTATTGTGCACACAGAATATGTTCAATGCAATCAAAAAGTTTCCTGCTTTTCTGAATGCACGGTATAAATAGCAACAAGAACAATTCAAGGATTGTAAATCGCAAAACAGAGACTTATGAGAGGATGCAAAATCCATCCAAGAGGGAAACGCTGCTGAAGGTAAGCAAGCCGTCTGAACCGTTTACAGCTTCCGCAGCGAGAATAAATAAATAAATAAACGCCGGGGGTCGTGTAGAGACCGGGCATGTGAAAAGTACATTAGCAGATTAAGTGCTTCTACTGTACATTCATACTTTTGGTCTGAGGTCCAATCCTACATCTGGGTGTGGGTTTGAAACAAACCACATGGACGGACGCAACCTCTCTTTGGGTCACCGTCACCACAACACAATTGCTGGGTGTGACGATGTTCTGACTCCCTGGAGGCAGAAGCTGCTATTTTGGCGAGTCCCTCCTGGATGTACTGTACATAGCTGATCTTCAGGGAGCATAAAAAACTACCTCCGCGGGTTTAATTCAACCCGCGGAGGTACCTGCATTCCTCGACAGAAACACGGTAAAAATCTTGTTGGCAAAGAAATCAAGCAAAAAACTGAGTCATATAAGCATATGCAATACAAGAACGCTAGCATTAATAACCAGAGTAATGAGGAGATCAAACAGTGCTAGTATGACTCAACCGATTCAAAGTGACAGACAGGATTTAGAGGCTGTTTCTTATTGTTCGTTGTTGCACGGTAACTAAAGTGGTCCAGTTGTGTCTTGAGGGGATGATGAGTACGGTTAGAGTCTCTCCTGTCACTGTTGTTGATTGATGCTATCAGAGGTCTTGCCTATTTTGGATTCAGATTGGTCAAAGACACACTAAAACTAGCGTAGACGCATTTTAAACTCTAATATGTATCTTTGTTTTGCCGGTCATGGACAATTGTCGACTCCTGCAGCTTTTCATAATCTTCATAATCTCCTGCAGTCTTTTCAAAACCAAACCATCTCCACCTGCTCAATCCAAATCTACTGAACCTAACAACAGTAACTCAGACACTACGTCAACACGTGCCCGGGTATTTTCATAAACTGACATTTCACCCTCTCTGTTTACAAAAAAAAGAAAAACTGCATGCACACCACTACGTTTTCAGAAAAGTTTTCCTCTACACTAACCCGTGTATGTATGCTGTCAAGAGCATGCCAAACCTGTAGGTGGCAGTGTAGCAAGAAGCTCGAATTCTCTGTTTGCATCGAAACAAAAGGGTGCAAACAGTAGTTAATGTCTCTGTTTTCAAAAATAAGTAGAAACAGGGCCTGAGGCTGCTGGTGTTTGTGTTTTGTCTCCTCGCGCTGTTTTCCACTCATTGTTACTTCACACATATACGCTAGCTTACCCTGTTGTGATGTGTGACTACTACATGTTTTCTTAATTAGGGCTATCTCGATACAATATTGATATCAGATATCGGTCCGATATCAGCCAAAAAAACAAATATCTGATTACATCTGCCTGCATCTAAAATCTCTGATATCAGCACTTCGATACCAACAGTCCATTCCAGACTCCACTCCGGCACATCTAGCTAGCAGCGCCCAGATCCAGCATGCAGAGCCCACATGATCACAACAACAGTGTGTACTAACTAAGGTACTAACAAAGTAGGAGTAGGAATGATGTCGACCTTGTTGCAGTATTTTTAGTGAAAGTCCAAAAAAGACATTGCAGCTGAGTGCAAAACTTCGGATCAATTGCTTTACACGTGCTCTGCCGCGTGGCGCTGCTTCAGGCGGTGCAAAAGATTTGAGGTATTTTGAATTTGTGAGAACATGAACTTGACTTAGCAGTTGTTTGCTACTTGGTTCTAATTCAGCACATGATTGGTTCAGCGCGAAGAGGACCCAGAGCAACTCCCCTTTTCATTGACTATTCATATAATCTACCAAAACATGGCAGAATGCTGACTATCGAAAAGCACATTGACCATGTTTTATATTGATATCGAGAGAAATTAATTTTCGATATATATCGTTATTGTTTTATCACCCAGCCCTAAAAGAACGATTAACGTATTTTGCACATGCCCAGTTCACGCACTCTTCATGGGTTTGGCTTTATTTTTATTTAAATCACTGCGTTTAATCCTAAATTTCGTCCTTGAAAGGATCCAAACTAAGGAGCTCTTTTTAATGACCAAAGATGAGTTTATGTAAGCGGACCGGGAACAATAAAAGGTTCACGTGTCTCTCATTCCTAGAAACACCAACATTACACAGAAGTCACCGGAGCCTCCATTGTTCTCCGAGTTCTTAGAAACTTTTTTATCAGCTCACGACTGGAAATGTAAAAAAAAAACTCCTTCAAACACACAAAGAGATGATTCTGCTCCTTTCTGGCACCGTGCTAACATGTAGCCAGGTGTTTGAGGAGAGCTTACAGCGCACGGGTCAGGTGTCAACACATGTGACATCATTTTCCAGCATGTGGCCATCGCTGCCCTGTTTTTTTTTTTTTTTTTTGAATCCCACGCTCCGAGCTTACAGCTAGATTTCTTTCACAGCTGTTGCCACCAGCAGGCCAGGTGTCAGTGACCACTAAGCTGTACAAATACCACAGTGAAGTTTTATAGGGAGATATCAGCCAAGTGTGCTTCACAGTGTTTGCTTTAGAGCTTCAACTGTCCCTCTGATCATCCACCACATCAGCGTTATCGGCGTCCTCGTCCCGTTTCCTGAGATTTGCACGCTTTTCTCCGCGAGTCTTGACAAACTGACCTCTCCGATAAGTCTCCCTCTCTGCAGCACCTGCAACAGATCAGTTGCAGCATGCTAAGCTTTCACTGCACTGTCTCAGATGTTCAAGGTGAGACGGATGGAAAGCCACATACAGTCTTTCCTTTCGCATGAGCCCATCATGAAGCTGTCAGGCAGCTGGGGCGGCGCACGTGACCGGGGCTATATCTAACGTGGCGTGTCTGTTTAGGCACGAAACATCCGAAGAAGAAGACGAAGACAGACAGTCAGACAGTCAGACAGACAGTCAGGGAGTGTTAGCTGGTCTCCATTAGCAGCGTCAAGGGGAATCAGCATTTCTGCTTCACTTTCCCATCTTTGACCCCGTAACCAGCTGCACCAGTGTCGCCGGAGGAGGAGGAGGAGGAGCGGATGGCGGCTCTCCAAGTCGAGTAGTTCTCTAAAAGTATGTGATGACAAGCGATTCTGTACGGCGCTTAGAAATGCAACAGTGTGACGGTGGATGCGCGGAGTTAGCGAGCATCAGAGGTCTGCAGTTGCTTGACTTACTCATGACTGTCGTCGATGACATCGAGAACATGTGACGTGTGAAAAATCACCAACTCTTCAAAATAACTCCACATGCAAAGAGCCAACGCCGATCTATTTAAGATGTCAGGGGAGGCAGCAGGTTGTCTGTTGCTATGCTAATAAGGGGCGCAGTATTTCTGTCTGTGTGTGTGTGTGGGTCTGTGTTTGTACTTTCCTACCTATCTAAGAGGGGACTTGGTGTCGTACCACTTTCACCAAGAGGGGACCGTATAGCCAACAGGGGACATTTCTTTAGGAGCTGATAGAAATCAAAATATGGAAGCTTTGTGTTACTTATGATGATACTCTGGGACGCAAAAGCCTCCAGCGTCGCTCCATACCGTTCAACAGGGCACCTTCGCCATTTTGTTCAGACAAAGAGGGGACTCAAAGTTTTAAACAAAGAACTGCTGTATAACGGTGAAGATCTGAGTGTTTAAAAATAGTAAAACTGTTATGAGGAAAAGGAATCTTGATTTTTAAAATGTAAAAAAGCAGTTCTGGCACAAAATACCCGGTCCATCAAGGGCCGGAACAAACTGCCATTAGCTATAAGGCCCAACGTTTGCTGCTCATTTTAGCTAACTCCTGATTTTTTAGCATTATTCCTAGTATTTTTATTGTGTCATATACTGTATTGTATTTCTGGCAATCGAGATTACAGTACTCTGTATTGGGCGTACACTGTCCCATCTAAATAAACAATAAACTATAAACTAAAAATTTGCCAAAGACTAGGAAATATTTATTCTCTTGACACCAAATTATTGTTATTCAAGCAGCTATAAAAGAAAATATAATCCAAAGAATGAATGGGGCCCAAATATTTTCTAAAAATGTTTAAATAATTATGACATATAGGTTAAATCAGCCATTCTTGAAGTTGTTGTGGTAAACAAGCTCTCATCAGTTCCACTGCCTTATATGGAGGTCCCCTGTTCGACAGGTAGATCTCACTCAAGGATCCAGGTCCCCTCTTGGCAATTAAAAATAAGAATAAAAGTCACATTTCAAGTAACATTACGGTAAAAGACCTTAAAAGAAAGTTTCCTATTATATTTTTGTTCAATTACAAAGACCAGAAATAGGGGTCCACTCTTGGTCGGTCTGGCCTCATAGTCCACTGTTTGTCAGGTAAGCGTGTATGTGTGTGTCTGTCTGTGTGCAGAGTATTCTGGTTTTTGGAAGCACTCCCCAATAATCTTTTGTTTCTTGGCAAAGACCAATCTGTTAAAACATAAGGCCCTTTCAGGAGCTCGGAGGACGAGAGGCTTGCTGCCATGAAGTCATATCTGTTGGCAAGCTTTCACGGCTCTGATTCACTTGAAGGAGGAGTGGGGGAGGGGTTACGGAGTCAGAGTGTACCCCCCCTCTCCAAAAAAAAAAAAAAAAAAAAGCACATACCACCACCTTTGGCGCACAATTTGAGCAACTCCTAGGAGTAAATTAGTGCACCCCTGGGACAGATGCAGAGCTATGATGGCCAGGAACATGAGAGAGGAGGGGAGAGGGGGGTTAGAAGGATAGCAAAGATTCCTCTCCCCCCATTGTTTGGCTGCCCCAGTCAATATTTAGTAGGGCTGCAGCTCCCATGGCCTCCTGAGTGTTGCAGACACTCGAGCTCCTCCTCCTCCTCCTCCTCCTCCTCCTGTGTGTGTTTGCCTTGCTCAGCTGGTACAGCACGCAGACAGCTGCAACCCCACACCGCAGGAAACCAGAAGCTCACCTCACCAGTGCACCAGTCCACAGAGCTGTTTGACAGAAGGCCCTTCAGAGAGGAGGAGGGGGGAGAGAGAGAGACACACAGAGAGAGGGAGAGAGAGAGAGCCGGGGGCATTCTGCTGAATCACTGCCTTGTGACTGAGCGCCCATGCAATGAATGCAGCGCCAGAGGCAGGAAAAGATGCTCTGATTACCTCTGTGGGCCAACAAAGAAGTCGAGTTGTGTGTGTCTGTGTGTGTGTGTGTGTGTGTGTGTGTAAAAGCCCCAAGTGAGACAAAACTGCCTGAGGTGTCATCACTCACAACAATCACTCACAATGCACACCCAGACACCCACACAGCCCCGCCCAAGCAGACACACACACACACACACACACACACACACACATGCTCTCACTCCCTCAGACCCTACCTTTACTTTTTGTTCAGCTGTCTCTGCAGAACACAAGGTCTGCTGGGTATTTTTAGCACAAACGCACTCGGAGGAGGAGGAGAAACCACATTCTGCTGTAATATCATTAAAAAAGCAGAGGTGAGGAGCTGCTCTCTGCGCTCAAACAGCCTAATGACTCTGTCAACAGCCCAAATGAGCCCAGTGGTAGCCCTGCTTTATAGAAGGAGGCTTGTAGCCAAAACCTCTGTGGTTCCCACCTACTTATCTAGTTGTTGACAAGCTGCTAAAACTCCTGAGTGACAGCAAACTGCTCTCTGTAACACTAAGAAATGTCTTAAATCATTCAGGGCTGCTGGCTCCTGCTCTCCTTCTCTCTCCCTCTCCCTCTCTCTCTCTCTCTCTCCCTGTCTCCGTGTCTTTCGCTCTTTTCTCTGCCTCTCTCACGCACAGGCTGCAGATTTAGTGGTAATCCGACTCTGAACACAGGGCTAGGGTTAGCCTGAAGACCTAAATCTGTCTCAATTCTCCTCTAACGGGGCTAAAAAGTTTGAAAAGTGCAGCGTTTTGCACTTTCCCCCCTCAGTGCCCGGACAGATTTGGTGATATTAAAGAGGAGAGCAGAAAAACGCTTCATGCGCTCTGGCACCAGGATGGAAAAATAGTTGGGTTTCACAGACACTTGTTACAGGAGTTGATATTAGTGGCGGCAGCTCGCAGGATAAGCTCCACTTAAAGGGGTTCCCTCTTCTTTATTCCTCTTTAAACCAAACTTTGGCGTTTTTAACGTTTCTATTTCGTGCGTAAAGACCGCTGAAACCACTCTGGAGAATTATATGCAACGCTACACACCGCCTTGAAAAGTCAGTATATTAAAATATAGACTGTCTGGATCCTTGTCAGTGCTACTTGGCTCCTGCTAGACCGCAGCTTGACAGCCCCGCACTGGGCGCTCAAATCCGCCGGGGACACGGCATGGAGCGCTCACCGCAGCGGAGCGTCGAGTCCGCCCGCAACAGCCTGCCTGACCGACACCAGGGCGCACAACCACAAAGTATTTCTGCTTCACCTTGAAGGCTGTTAAAGCCACGAGACTCCTCGTGGAGTGGTATAACGCAACAGTGTCATTACAGCTGGATGCCGAGCGTGAAGCGATCAAGGTGCGTTTTTTTTCACAACGACCTGAGAGGAGAGGAGGAATAAGCTCCTGCAGCCAGTTTAATCAAGGCAGTGGATAAAAGTTAATGAGATGGCACCTCATACCATCTGTCAAAGAAACAGTCAGTCAGAAAGTAGTGGTGACTGCTTTTAATGCCCTGCAGGAGAGTTAGGAGAGGGGACCACCTGAGCTCCCTGCGAGGAGGCGAAAAAAGACCGAGTTTAACAAAAAAAAAAGGAAAAAGATCTCCTTAATCTGATTACATTTATTCTCTTTAAACATGAAGACACACGGGAGCACATCCCCACATGGGACAAGACATGATCAGACAGACAGAGTGGAGTGGAGACCCCTCTGTCCCAAACAGAAAAAAAGAAAAAAATCAACATTTGGTTTTCATGCATTCTGCAGAGCGCCACTCTGTGCGCGTCTTACCTATGGGCGGATGGGCAGGTTTGTATCCTTTCTCGTTGGTGCACACTCCCCTGCCGTGGAGAAGGGCATGCAGAGGTTTCTCCTCCCCGCTCCTTGGCAGGCAGCGGAGGCCCTGGGCGCACGTCCCGGTATAAACGCCGCACGCCTGTCCCTCAGACAGGGCGCATGTTAGGCAGCAGCCGCAGCCCGGCTCCTTGACCAGCTGGCAGGCGACCGGGACCGGAGGGCACATGGACAGCGCCTTCTGGTCACAAGGCTCGCACGGCACGTATGAGCCCAAGCACCCGGACAGCCCCAAGATAAATGTCACCAAGAGGCAAAAACTCAGAAACATTGTTGGTGTTCTCTTCAGTTAGTATAGCATAAACCTCAAATGCGAAGAAGAGGGGGGGAAAAGTAGACTGGTCTAATGAGCACAATGCCTCAGTCAGATAATCCGATTTTTAAAGCTAAAGCCAAGAGTCTTTATCCAAGAGTGTTGCTATCTATTTAAAAAACATTAATTACAGGCTTTGCGCAGTGCACCGCGCAAAAACTGCTCAAATGTGCAATTTGAAATAAATGCGCTTCTTTTTTTCTCTCTCTCTCTCTCTTTCTCTCCCCCGATATTTTCTTCTGCAGGAGCGAGGCAGAAAAGTCTTTGCACAAAATCTCAAACTTCTCTCCCCTTCAGTTTGGACTCCAATACTTTCTCCAGCAGAAGTTTCCTGAGCAGACTGATCAACTTGAGAGCTGCCTTGCCTTTTTAAAAACAGCCGAGCCCAAACCCCTAACTATGAATACGCTAAACACCAGGGAAGGGAGGCGCACTTGTTCCACGGCTTGGCAGGCGGCCAAACATTTTTTTTTTTTTTTTTTCAGCAGCAGGAGGATCGCTCTTTCACCCTGAAGGCTGAACTGATGCCGAGGTGCAGGAGAGCAACGCTGCAGCCCTCATCAAAACATTTCAGCAAGAAAGAGAGAGAGAGAACTCCGAGGACAAAAAAGAAGGAGAGAAAAACCTGCAGGCTGTCACTGTCTGCACATCTGTAGCTTCAAATTCTACCCCCCCCCCCCCCCCCAAAAAAAAAAAAAAAATGACCTCCTCAACGAGTCATTTATGCACTGCAATAAAATCCCACTCGTGTGTCGTGCTGCTTTTTACAGTGTGAGAGAAATCTCCTGGAGATACGTGGAAACAAACACTGACAGGATTAGAAAGCCTCTTCTTCATTCTTGAATCACTGTCTCTCTCTCTCTACGGTGGATTTCTGATTTGAAAAAAACCTCCAAACTTTTACTCGAGCCTGAAGGAAAAACCATCTCTTATGTTATAATTCTTCCACAGCCATAAAATGAGGATAAATCATCGGTAACCCCCCTGCTTGACTCATAAGTGCCTCATTGTTACGGCTTGAATGGAATATACTTAGTAAGGAAAAGTAGGATGATCTGGGCTGAAAAAAAAAAGTTTGTCTCGCCCTCCACCACACCGGAATGACCATATGTGTGCTCATTATTGAATCATTCACTTATATAAGTCCTGGAGCAGAAAAGTGGATGCCGGGTTATTATTCTTTTACATCCTGTTCACGGCTTAACTGTTCTTTGTTGTGAACTCTGACAGGGGTACCTGCTCTGGCCGTAAAGTCACCTATAAAACCTGCACCTGTTGCTTCCATTGGATACCATTTGTGTCGCAAATGGAGCCAGGAGGGAAATCCAACAACATGCCCCCTTTTTTTCTGTCTTACACAGGAGGAGGAGGGAGAAAAGGAAAAGAGAAACATAGAGGAAAGAAAGCTGGATGTCACGCACCCTGAGACTTGAGGCAACATCCTGACAACTTAAGTGCAACTGGGCTCTATTATTTTATAGCCTGTGTGCAGAATTGCCTGATTGCTTCAGCGTGTGCTCTGCTTGCACCACATATGCACTCTAAATCAGCCTGCCCGGGACTGTTATTTCCATCACTGCAGCTTTCAGGGCAGATTTCTCTTTCTTAAGTAATAGCGTATCGTCAGGAAGCTGTATCAGCTGTCCTTCCCGTGTCCACTCGCTGCCTGATAAACAGACGCACTCATTTCCTAAACGTGGCTATCCTTTTACCTAACCCTGCGACTGCATGCTGAGGAGCCACAGAGAAGTGATTTGCTTGTGTTCATTTGGCACATGACCACTAGAAGGCACTGTTAACAATGATAAACTCAGGAGGAGTTCACTTTTTATGAGCTCTGTGGAGAAATCAGAGGAGTGATCACACTTACTGATTAATATGGAGTCAAAGCTGTGATAGGACAGACCTGGACCAGGTTTATTTCATAGCATTTATGTCAACAAAGAAACTAGTGCAAGTACAGGAATATTTGAGAGAGAGTTTTTAATCATTTTTCAACGTTATATCATCATCACACTTGTACAAGTACAACTCTAACTCCCTAAAAAGTTGCAGCTCTGTGTAAAAAGGTGATAAAAGCTGATTTGGTGGTTTGGAAATCATTTAGACCCTCAATGCAAATTGTGCAAAGAGGAAATAAAATATAAAATCTGTAAGAGAATCAATGTTTTAGGAAAAAACAAAACAAAAAAGTCCAGCAACAGGTTTGAAAACTAACTTGGTTGATTTGCATAAAGTTAGTAGCTTTTTCAGTGAGGCTTGAAGTACAAAAGAGAGAGAGACTGTGTGAGCAAATGGCTCAAAAAACACAGAGTCAAGTTTCATCTCGGTCTGATTGTATTTCCATGAAATCATGATCATAAATGTTCTTCTTTGAGCTGCGAAACTCCGCTGCACTCGGTGATTGACTCGTCAGGGCTCTTCAACAAACAAGCAGCTGCTGGAGGAGAGTAGGTGAGTTGTATTTAGTCTCTTTGCTAAAGAAATTAGTCAAAGTTAAAAAGATGTTTGGTGGCTAGTACTGTGGCTGGGACCCTTTATGTACTGTTGATGAAGTTAGGTGCTGTTCTGAACATTATTTGTGGCTATAGAGTGGCGTTTTGGTTGAGGTTTGTTTATGGTTCCTCAGACCGCTGTGTATTGCTGTGGTTTGGTCGTTACTAAAGTTGGTATTACTAGAGAAGCAAGCGGTCGGCAACATTCATTTTTCAAGGGGGTGTCTAACCCCCAATTTCCATCGCATCTGGAACAGCTCTGATCCGGAACGGCAATGATTTTCGCCGTCCGCCAATTCCTACTGGATCTGTTGGTGAGGGGAATTTCGTGGCAGATTACGGACAGCGGTAATTGCGAGAATGCACAAGAACCCGCTGATTCACGTGCAATCTCACGAAGACGAGTTGTCTCTATAAAGACAGCCACATAACCATATAATCAGTAGATTGTGTCCTTCAAGAGGAGGACATCTACTTCTAGACTTCTAGAATCAGCATCTCCTCATCCATGGTGTCATCGAGGTGACGTCTATAAACCTTTCACTTGGTCGTCTCTGCCTGTTTGCATGGTGTGTTTTATTTTGAAAAGAAGCCGGATGTTCTATTTTGTGTCTGTTCCCAACTTCCTCTCCAGCACGGGTTAATCTGTGCTGAATTTATCCGGCATGCTCTGTTGTCCGGAAAAAATAGAACTCTTTCGATCAGCTGTAGAGTCCAGCGATCCTCGGCAGAACAGAAAGAAGATGGTGGAAATTGACACATTAACTTGAATGGTTATGATAAGCTACGATTGGCAGATATGGCCTTTTTGTAGCCGTTGCGGATGCGGTGGAAATTGGAGGTGTTTGACCATAACTTAAATTTACGCTGGAATATCCCTTTAAGACAGTTTGTTGCTGCATCCTTAAACGGTTCAAACTGAACGAGGCGAAGAGGAAACCGTGAGCGAGAAATCATCCGTGTCTGTCCAGTGGTCTCACAAATCAAAATCTGACCTTCTTCTTGGAGATTGTGGACGCCACATCCTCCACTCTTTACAGGAGGGGGACCACCCAGAGGTTTATCAGCACAAAGTAGCCTTCATACAATAGTTGAGCTGCTGAACTGGTCACTCTTTGAAGACATTTGCTGAAACTGGAGGAACTGGGACAGAACTTCACTCTCAAAGCTCCAGAAACGGTCTCCTTGGTTCCCGCAGAGGTGACGCCCCAGGGCCAAATTTTTTTTAATGTATTGCTGGCATGAGATTTTTCCTCTTCCTACGATTCCCTCTTTTCTCATTCAGACTATCACTTCCCTTTCTTTGCGCTGATATATGACCAAAAGGAACAAGTCCCAAAACTGACGGAGATGACTTGCAGAGTGAGTGATTAATCCAGCAGCCACACACACTGCTCAGAATAAACCATTCTGGTTAAACTTCTCACCATCCAGATCCAGAGTGAGAGGACTGCAGTGAGTCAGTGTTCCCTCCAAAACCAACACGACCAGCAAAACCCAGCAAGAGCAAAGTGAGACATAAATCTGAGCTACTCTGGCCGAACCCCAGGCAATGATAATGAACGAGATTAAGACGCTAAAGCAGGGTGGATTAATGAAGCATCCACCAAATCTCTGCTGGGCATGAGACGATGGATGGGGAGAGAGGATGATAAATGACGGAGAGAATATCCTCCCGGTTACATGTTTGTATCACTGAGGGACACAATGTTCTTGTGCTTTTTTTTCCTCTGTTCTTATGCCTTTCCTAAATGGGAATACTAATTCTCCAAAGATTGATTCCCAATGAGGCATCGATCCATCTTCTCCTTCCCTTTTTCCCACCCTTTTTCCACTCATGCATCATTCTGACTTTAAGGAACAAAAACGAAGCCGTAAGCCAAGTTCTTCATTAGACGCTCGTTCCAGTGGCGGTGGTAAAAAACTACAAAATGACTGATTTAAAGCTCAGAGGATTCATTTCCTCAGAGTGCAACTTGAACTTGGGAATTTTCTGCAGCTGTAGTCTTGGTGGCGATCGCTGTGATACTGAACAGTTGTGTAGAGCTCGTGGAAGTTTCTAAAAGTCGTGCCCTGATAGGAAGGACATGACATCTACATTCGCCAAGAAGTTGACAGGCGCAGTGTTAATTTCGTATAAAGACTCATTTATGCTCAACGTTACATACGTATCCAGATGTGTACAGAGCTGTCCATCCGTGCATTCGATCTTTTCATCTGTATTTCTGCAAGTTTCCTTGAATTTTAGGGATACAGGCCGGACAGAGTACTACCACCGGAAACCATGGGGGGCAGTGTTGCTGCTTTCACTGCTCCGGTGGACATCCTGAAAATGGCGATCATTGTCAATTCCTCTCATCGGTTCCACTAGAGAAAAGAGTTCTCCGTCATTCAACCGTGAGGCATTTAGCAGCCTGACTGACCACCACCTCCCCCAACGCTGCCTCCGTTTCTGTCTCCAAATGCAAAATTATCACTCGGCCTGATGGGACTAAGCTCATATCTCGGTGAATCTGACTTCTCTCCTTGTTCGCTTATACATGCAGTTGAGAAAATCGAATTGTTGTCGTGAAAGTGTCCTCCTCCTCAAAACTAGAGGGCGATATGGGTCTTTTCAGAGGCGCTGTTTCTGGTTGACCACATACAACCGTCAACAACAACAGCGGGTCTGTGCCAGACGTCAAAAGTGTCTACAACTGCTGCTGGGCATTTTTGAACCAGAAGGTGGAGCATCAGACAGCGTTGTTTTTATCGTACGAGATGTACGGGCTTATTCTGAGTCGAAAGTTCTTTGAATGATAGCGCCACTTCTTTTCTGGTGTTCTTGTTCTGGGGTCACAGGGGCATGGCGCACACGCACATGCATTGTCCAATCATACTCAGACGACGCTAGTTACATGGTAGAGAAAATAGAATTCCAATCGCATTAT